GCGACACCTTACTACTTAATTTCGCAGTGTTTTTATTGTATATTTTATTTTAACTTAATTTTACTAGTTTTATATCTTATAATTATTTTTTGATTTTTTCGATTTAATTATTTAATATATATAATTAATTTAATTAAATTTAATCGATTTATTTATTATATTAATTTATAATACGAAATTATATTAATTCGATTTATTAAAATTATATTTATTTAATTTTAAGTTTTAAAATAATAAAATAATTTCCGAAATTTCTTATATCGTTTTTACGATAATTTTAATTTTTAATATTTTTCTTCGAATTAAAATATTTACGATTTTTATTATTTTTATTTAAAAAATAATAACGTATTAATTATTTTTTCGAATATTAATTTAATATTATTTTATTACGTTATTTAAATTAAGTAAAATTATTTTATTTATTTAAATATTTATTATATTATTTAATTAAAAACGAGTTATTTAATAACGTAAAAACGTAACTTCGTACGATATTAATTAATTATTTAATTTATACGAAAATATTTTTAATACGTATATTAAATATATTTATTAATTAAAGTTTATTATAATTATTTTAAGTTTAAATAAAAATTAAAAACTTAATAAAAATAATTAATTATATACGAAATATATTATTTTAATATGTAATTATTATAGTAATTTAATAATAATTAAAAAATTAATTAAACGTTAATAATTTTTTCGTAAATATAATTATTTTTATAAAGTTTTAATTTCGTATTAAATTAAAACGAAAAAATAATTTATTAAAATTAAAATTTCGAATTATAATTATAATATTAATATTATTAAAATTAATATTACGTATCGTTAATAATAACGTTAAAACTTAAATATAAATATTATTATATTAAAATTATTACGAATTAATTTATTAATTAATAATTAAATTATTTTATATTTATTTAATGAATTTATATATATTAAATAAAATATAAATATAATTAATAATATAATTTATAATTTTAAAAATTTATTTAATATATAATTAATTAATTGCGAATTTATTTAAATTATACGTACGAATAAAATAATAATTATTTTATAAAATATATAAAACGTGAATATTTTATTTAAATAACGTATATAAAGAAATTTATTAAGTATTTAAATATTTTTAAAAAAATTAAAAAAATATAAAAAACGTTATAATATTAATTATTTCGTAAATATTAATAAAAAAATTAATAAAATAATAAAGTTATTTTAAATTTTTAAATAATATATTAAAATGTAAAAATAATATTTAAACGTATTATTATTTAATAATATATATTACGTAAGTTAATATATACGTTATTAAGTTTATATATATTTTATATATTAATTTTATAATATTTAAATTAATAAATTTAATATATTATTTTTTAATATAATAAAAATTATTATATTATATATTAATTTTTACGTGGTTTTTAGTTTATTTTTTAACGAATTAAAAGCTAATTTTTTATAACATTTAAAATATTTAAATAATTTACGGTAATAATATTAAATTTAACTTTTAACGGTTATATTAAATAATTTCGTTAAAAAATTTAAATTTATAATTAATTAAATTTTCGAAAATATATTTTAATAATTATATAAATAATATATATTTAAAAACGTTATTTATTACGTAAAATAAAAATAAATTAATTTAAATAAAACTTTTATTATTAAATTACGAAATATTAACGAAATGTAATTTTATAATATTTTTAAATATAATAAATTAAGAGCAATGCTAGCCGCGCAGTATGGGGTTCGGCTAAGTTCCCGCGCAGTAGCGCTAAAATAGCGCGTTCGAAAGAGTACCTTTTTGCCCATATAAATCGCCATACAACAGGTTGTACTCTCAAAATAAGCTTTTCGCGCTATCCCACGCTAGCGCAACTGAACTTGTACACCTTTCGAAAAGTCCACACCTCCCTTTTCTCTTGTATCGACCCATCTTCAGCGATCCCTTTTCGATTCAACTTTCGATTCTCAGTTTCGAAACTGGCTTAATCGAAAGCTGTTGGATTAATCTATTTATATTCTGAAGGGTTAATCATTTCGAGATTTCGTTCGATCTGAATCCCTGGATCGAAAGGGATGTCTACTTCCAGGTTCTGGCTGTTGATCCTGTTGCCCTTATTGCGATCCGACTTCGATTCAGCGATGCAACGGCCTTTTCAGTCCCGAATTCGATGCAACCAGGTTCATTCAATTCGCCCTTTCGATGCGATTACGTCAATCGTAATTATTAAAGATTTGACGTTGAGTTGATCGAGAAACAATTGATTCAAAGTTAGATTGGGGAAAAAAGTTACAAGTGTCAGAATAAGGTTCGAAGCTAAAACAGGTACATAAGACACCACCCAATTTGTATGGGACAAAATGTACACCGTTCGACGGCGTTTCTTTTATCCGATACTGCGCGGGAAATTAGCCGAACCCCATACTGCGCGGCTAGCATTGCTCTAAATTAAAATTAAACTTATTTATATATAAATTAATTAATTTAAAAAGTAACGGCGAAAATAATAATTTAAATAAAATTAAAAATAACGAATAAATTACGTAATTATTCGAAAAAATAAAAGTTTTAATTAAAGTTTAATATTAAAATTTAAATATTAAAAAATAATTAAATTTTTATAATAATTTTATAAAAGTTTAACGAAATTATATTTATACCGATAAAAAAAAAACGTTTTAACGTATTTAAAGATTATTTAAAAAAAAATTTTAACGATAAAAATGTACGTAATATAATTTTTTAATTTATAATTTATTTCTTTTTTTAATTAATTAAATTTTATATACGTTAAAATAAAATTTAATGGTTTAAGTTTTTTATTAATACGTAATATTTTTTTTCGTAATTATTTTATTAATTTTTTTATTTATAACGTTTTTAAATTATATAATTATTATTTATTTTTTTTAACGAATTAAATATTATTAATATATAATATTTTATATACGTAATTATAAAATTATTATAATTAATTAAATTAAAACGGCTTATAAACATTTAAAACGTTATTTAAAAAATAAATATTATAATTTAAATTTATTATATAATCGAATTTATAAAATATATATAAATTATAAAATTAATTATAAATAAATTATTAAAAAAATTAAGTTAAATTTTTTATTTAAATATAATTAAATAAAATTATTTAAATTAATTAAGTTTAAAATAATTTTATTTTTAATAAAAAAAATATAAAAATAATATTAATTTACGTATAAAAATTACGTAACTTAAAAAAATTAAAATATTAATTAATTATTTTATAAAAAATTATTTATTAAATAATAAAATTTATTTTATAAATACGTATTTTTTAAATTTTTACGAGTTAATTTTAATTAATTTTAATTTATAAAAATTTAAGTTTTAAAAATGGAAAATATTAATTATTATTAATAATTTATTAAAAATAAAAGCTTTATTTTAATTAATTAAAAATTATAAAAAAAAGTTATATTAAATTTTTTTCGTTTTTTTAAAAGTCGTTAACGTTATATAATTTATATAATAATACTTTTATTAGTTTTATAATAAAATAAAAAAAAATTAAATTTTTTAAACTTTAAAACGTACGAATTAAATCGTATAATATTAATTAATTAATTTTTAAAAAATAACGATTATAATAATCGTAAAATTTTATTATATAATAAGCTTTTTCGGTTATTTATTTAACGACGATTAAGTTATAAATTTAAAATATAAATTTAAAAATAAAAAATTAATAAAATATTTAAACGGTTAAAAAAACGTATATAAAATTTATAAAATTAATAAAATTAATAAAATTAATAAAAATCTTAACTTAAACCGTATTTTAAGCCGTATTTTATATTTATTATGTTATTTTTTATTAATTTTATACGGTTATTTTTATTATAAGTATATATATTTACTTTTTTTTTAATTTTTACGAAACTTTTAATAAAATTAATTAATATAAACGGTATATAAAAATATTAATAATTTTAATAATAATTATTAATGTTATAATCGTAAAATTTTTTAAATTAATTATATATAAATTAAATAAAATAATATTAAAATAATTAATATAATTAATTTAATTAATAATTTAATTTATAAATTTACGTGCGTTAAATTAAATGTTTATTTATAAATATTTAAATAAATAAAAATCGATTAAGTTTAATTAAATTAATTATATATATTAAATAATTAAGTTAAAAAAGTTAAAAAATAATTATAAAATGTAAAATTAATAAAATTAAATTAAAATAAAATATACGATAAAAATATTATAAAATTAAATAATAAAATGTTATAATTAATAATTAATTTTAATTAAAAAGTTACCGTATTTTTTAAAAATTTTTACTATACGGTTAAAATTATTATACTTTTAATATTATAATATAAATAAATCTTATGTATAATTGTATAATAAAATTTTGGTAAAGCTAACGAGTATTAAAGAAATATGTATGAGTATATGCAAATATAATAAGCTGATAATATTGGTATTGTTGGTATCATAATATCCATGCGATGCGATGCGATGCGATACTTAGAAGGTTTATCGCCAAACTGATGAGTAAAATGAAAACTCAAAAGGTGAAGTTGTGAAGTTTGCAGTACGGAAGCACGGAAGCACAGCCTTACAATAGTGGGGAGATATCAAGAGATCGGAAAGTCGGTAGGGGCCTCGAACATGCTCAATTCCCTGCACTTGCAGAAAAAAATGAGGTCTCCCATCCGGGGTTTTAACTTTTTGGAAGCCTGAATTGAATTGTCGGAACGGATGAGTAATTCGGTCAACTAAGCGCGCGTTACTGCCTAATCCTTTGTCTCAATTCGTTCAATCGCTCCGCTAAGACTTAGGTAATCGTAAATTGTGACGTAGCATTTTAGCGGCTTCAGCCACATTTGATATCCTGCTAGATCATAATTCGGGAAAGCGGCATCGACGGCAGTAATTACATAGGCTGGTGGGAGCGACCATATGCAAAGAAAGCAAGAGCTTCTATCGCGCGATGAATTCAATTTCTTTTCTTCCTCCTTCCGCTTACACCTTATTCTTCTCTACAATTGCTAAATAATTAGATAAATATTGGTGTTCGCCAACCTTCCGATTCCAATTGCCTTTCTAATTGATATCATACCAAGGTAGTTTTCTTTTGTTTACTAATTCTTCGAGTCCTACCTTTCCGACCTATCTCAACCACCCCTTGTGTGGAACCAAATAACCCACCACCAAAGCTGGGCATCTCCAAGACCAAGACCAAGACCAAGACTGCCCAAGAGCGCGCGCAAACCGCCGCCTTGGCATCCACCGTTGTCGTCTCCTTCGGACCTCCGAGTCGCAGCCAAGATATTAATAACTACAATACGAACAGGACGATCGCGCCTACTCCGCCTAGCATTTCGGGCGTAGTAAGGTAACGAACGGGCCGACAGGAATTGCCGCCTTTGACATCATCTAAAATTCCTGTTACGCGCCATGTCTGCTTCCATTGAAGGAGAGGCCAATTCCGCGCTCCGTGGCCAAGACCGGCCGTCGCAACCAGGGCCTGCTCACGATGTAAATAATGAGAAAATCAGCCAGCCGATCCCCGATGGCCACGAACCAATTCACCAAAACGAAGAGCATACACCCCCCAATGACACCAATGAGAAGCAAGCTGGCCCAATTGTTCGTCGCAGCACTCTGAAGGAGAAATTCAAACAGCAGAAAAAGAAGATCAAGGCCGTAGCTAAGCCTCCAGGAGGTTATGACTCAACACCGATCCCTGATGCCCCTCCAGGATTCACGGTGAAATTCATATTTCACAAAGCTGAAAATCTACCTGTTGCCGACATAAGCACTGGCACGTCAGATCCGTACCTGACTGCCACTATAACAACTCCGCTACCGAAACGACATAAAGAAGACCCAGACCTCGTTTACCGTACTCGCACGATTAGGAAGTCTCTAGAACCTCAATGGGAACAAGAGTGGGTTGTCGCCAATGTCCCGGCATCCGGGTTCAAGCTCAAGTGTCGTCTATATGACGAAGACTGGCCGGATCACGACGACAGGCTTGGGCATGTGTCCATCCAGGTTTATCATGTCGGCGAAGACTGGGCAGGCTTTCAAGCTCCCGACAACGAATTTGAGGTGAAGAAGCGTAGCGGTAGTAAGCGTGCGTATATCCTCAAGGCTTGTGAAACTGCCTTTATCAAGGATAAATCCATGACCCCGAGGCTGTTTGTGAGCATTATTGTGCTAGGCAAATCAGACCCGCCTTATGGTCAGATGTACACGGTTGGTCCGACCTACTACTTCAAACACTTCTCGCCCATGATTGGTCGGATGATAGGCGCGAAGGTCAACAGGGACGAGGCCGACGACCCAAGCAGCCAGGATGCAGATGGGGCTACGTCTACACCTCACACCAATGGCAAACAACCGGAGAAGAAGGCCCAAAAGTACGATTTCCAGGCCAACGAGTTCCAATTAGCTGGACCAGTACCACCGAAAATGTACCATAGGTTTGTTGAATTTCGGCCCATCATTGGCCTCTTATTTAGAGGTCGTGGACTGCGGGGCAGAATCTTGAACAAAGCTCTCCATCATCAACACAGGCGAATATACAACTTTGACAGGCACACCCTTTGGGGCACATTCGACGCATGCTCCGAAGATGCCGCTACTCAATTTTTGAAGATGGCACATTACGGAGAGGGTGGGCAGATATTCACATATATCATCACTCTGGATGGAATGATGAGATGGACGGCTACTGGAAAAGAAATTGGATTGGATTTGCTCTCGAAACATACGCTTCATTCCGATGCTGCGGCCTATATCGCTTGCTCGGGAGAATTCTTCCTTAGGAGGGTTAAAAGACCGGAATCAACTCAGGATGGTGAAGTTGAAGAACATTCCCCCAAAAAGCTACCTGTGGGTAAACCGGAGGATTATCAACTAATAATTGATAATGATAGCGGCACTTATCGGCCTGATAAATCAGTGCTGCCCGATTTGCACAGCTTGCTGGAGCGTAACTTGCCTGGTCTAAACATTTTGACGCTAGCCTGCGATGATCCGGAAGACCAGAGACTCAAGAAGGAGCAGACTAAGCTCAAGAAGGAAGGGCGCATCATCATGGTGATGAATCGCAGCCCGAGCCAAACCTCGTTCAGTTCCTCTGACATTAGCGACCTTGACGAGATGGAGCGAGCTGGAGACGCAGGTCACAAGAGTAAAAAAGAACGAGCATATGCTCTTCTTGAGGATCCGAGACGAATAAGAGGCGGGGTAGTAGATGGGCCGAGTGGAAGTGCTGCGGCGACCCACGCCACCTAACAAGTCGATCGCTATGTGTCTTGAAATTTCTTGAATGTTGTTTTTATGGGCTTCTGCAAGAGGTGATTCGCCCTTTTGGATGCGACGGGCGGCCGGGCTGTTTTTTGATCATGAACAAATCTCACTGGAGCTTCTTTCATGATGATCTTTATTGATTCCCCAATTGTATTTGCTTCTTCAGATGGAACGCGTCTCGCGACGCGGTGGATATCGTCTTACTATACCTCAGTGACTTTCTTTTATAATGATAGTAAAATAATCTAAGCTTAAACCAGTGCGAATTTTTGGGTCAGCAAGCTACCTATACTTCCATAACTTTCGATCTATCTATTAGATATTTTTTCATTTAAGATATTTTAAATGAGTAGTGTAGTAAAGTTACCTACTGTGTTAGATGGTATAGACTTTGTGTTTTCGGTTCTTAGGACGATAGATGGTCCGTCGTTAGTGAGGTATAGGGACAATTTCTAGGGGTGATATATTCGAATATTCGCATATTACACACTCCTAGGTACCTAGTAACATAGCATTACACTTAATAAATGCCCAGGTGCACTTCCAAAGAGAAGGTAGGTAATATGCGTAAACGATAAATATTATAAGTTCTAATAAATTCAGGAACTACTATGTTCAATGCAAAGCTATCATCTTCCCATTCACATTCTCCATCCGTAACTCGCGAGAGAGCATAAATCTACACGTCTCTAACCACTAACAGCATTCTCTAATCCCCTTTCTCTATATACATCGGTAGGTAGGACAACACATCCCCCTAAACTAAGACAGATTCGTGACGACAAAGTCGGGAGCACCGGTGTAGAAGGTCTCAAAGGTAGACCCGAAGTCCTTGAGGGGGAAGTCGGTAGCGGGCCACTCGTGGTACCCGGCGACCTTCTTCGGGGCGTCGTACGCATACGTCACCACGACGCGGTATTGGCCCTCGGTCCCCGGCCGCGAGGGGTCTTGCTTGAACTGCCACTCCACGGAGGCGTCGTTGCAGGGGCGTAGAGACACGGATGGCAGAGCGGAGACGGAGGATTGGTCCGAGTATGCGCAGGTGGTGTTTACGGTTGTGCCCGGGATCGCAATGTTGAAGGATATGAAGGCACCGGTTCCGTGCGGAAGTGTGTTGGCGCTGAAGCTGGTGATGTCAAATTCGCTCGGGGCGGCGGTGACTGGCGCAGCGGTGATGGTGCTGGCGCCGAGAAGGAGGAGGGAGGAGACGGTGGTGAAGGTCTTCATTTTGGCTGGTGGTATTGGTGTTGGTTTTATGTGGTTACACGGTGAGAAGTTTGTTTGGGTTGAGTGATGATGAGAGATGTTTGTTTTGCGGGATGGCGATGATGATCTTTTAATTTTCATGGAAGGAACGATGGGATGCGCTTATATATATACATTTTCGAATTTTAGATGCTCGCCTTCCTCTCAGCCTCCTCGTCGTATTCACCGCACCTATCGTGCTTACTGCTTGTTACCTGGGTGCTGCTTGCCAAGTAGTGAGACTGTGGTATGAAATCATGCCACAGACTCACGCATCGCAATCCCCTATTCCCATGTTTATTTCGGGGATTGCCAAGGAAATCTACCCAGGTAAGCCTCGTGTTTCGTTGTATTTCCATCCTGCTGGGACCGTGACACCCATAACTTTATCCATCGCTTCGTTGGTGTTGGTGAGTGGCAGGAGAGCTGACGATGCGCATTGGTCAGGTCGCTTCCTTCAGCTCGTCACCGCAGGTACGAAGTAGATCTAACATTATTCAGTCAAAATCCCAGCCTCTTCGATTGTTTTTAGCTAAGGTTCGTCGTTTAAGTTTATTAGAATTCGTTATTCCAATCAACGTTCTCAACGAGTAAAAGGACTTTACGTAAATGACGATATTTGACAGCGGTTGGATCCACGTATTTGTCGGCAGGTTCGAACTTTAATGATCCTTAGAGCTTAGAGCGGAAGCTATGGGCGAGCTGGCGGACAGGCGGGTTAGGCTAATTCAAAGCTAAAAGTTAAGCGAGCCGGCGAATTACAGAGGCTCGTCTCATAGGGCTGCAGCACGTGGCACTGACCAACAGAAGCTACAGGGCCAATGAAACTCCTTAAAGTCAGCATAAGACTGCTAAAAATAAGCGCTTCAGGACCTGTAAGCTCGTGTTGGTAGCCCTGGAAGGTTCCAAGATTCTCTAATTTCCTTCAGCCTCCAGCTTCATCACGATATTGTCAAAAAACCCCCATTACTAACGTTCTTCTAAAATGCTTACAGAATCCATCTATTTTCGATTACGAGGGCCAGTCACAAGTCTTCGATGCTTGGAATATTAAAGGTGGTGTTGTTTGCTTCTTGGCTTTCTTGGATGAAAAGCTTGTCTTCCCCACCTGTCACGGCATCGAGATCTCGGTTGTCGAGTACAAACTTTTAAAGAACCTTAAGACGCACGCCCATCTATCCCTCATCTTGTCGCGTCGCCTCTTAATTGAATCCTACATGGCTTTAGTCGATACCGACCATTCCTTTTCCACGATACTCTCCAACGATGAATCACGTCGCTCACGTTCGGGTTCAATTAAGGGATAAAAGTCCATGTGACTTGAAAAACATTTGAGTATTTTCGCCGGTGGCGCTGCTAGTGTAGAGCAAATGTTGGCAAACATTTGAGCTCACTTCTACGATTCTATCTTCTCGTCGATGGGACCATTGACTTAAACTGTCAGGCTTACATCTCGCCACGATGAAGGGACTTCATTTATTGAAAAATGAACCTGTCTCTCTCATGCATTGAGCGTTGCGATGAATATGACTGAGAGGACAATCACTTATGTACTTGACCAATAATCGCCTGAGCTCTCTATGGGTGAGATATTAGCGGAAGCCGATTGTTGACAAGCCAGAATCGGAATCGGGCCTTTATTTTTCTTCCGAAAGGTTCATGCAAAGTTTCATCCTAGCCGCATTTTTCATTGCCGGCCTAGATCTGACACTTCTTTATTCGGATATCCCTGGCTTGATAGAGGCTGGAACGTTGCGAATAGTTTCCCAGGTGACGGACGACGGTTTACAAACTACCTACTCTGATGAGCATGGTTGGGAATTCATCTCCCCCGCACGTTTCCGCTGTGTTGATGTGGCGCGGATTACGGCACGTCCGTCTCATCTCCTCATTGGTGATTACCGCCTATTCGGACATACTGACGGGATCTTACAATACCACTATATTATCGTGGCTGTCATGGGTGTAAGCTGCTATGGAATGCTATTCGGCCAATATTTAGAGCGTGTAACACAAAGCGTCTACAGTCCCTAAGACTAACTCTCGGTCCCATATCTCGGTCCCATAGGAGCCCAACAGCGGTGAGTGGATGGGGCTAGCCAAGGTGTGCCTTTGACTATGGTCACGATGGTGAACTTCTTCCCCGCGTTTGGAATTACCCCCGTCGGGTAGCTTACCACAATCCTTTGTTCCCCAGAGCTAGCCCATGCAAGGGTGCTTTTCTCCATATTCCCATTTGAGTCAGTCGAGGGCTTCCCCAAATTCCTCTTTTAATAATCTCATCTCCACACCTTATGCTGCGTTTCTCTCAAACTTCTTAGCGCGAAAGAGCTTGGTTATTCCCAATGGCAACCGAAAATATGCCTAGCGACGTGGAGAAGAACGCCGGCCCTATGGCCGAGGAGTTGGAGGGGAATAGTATCAAAGATGTACGTTCCCAAATGAACGAATTTCAACAATAATTATTTGCAGCTTCTAACTGTTATCAGCGGGCAATCAGTACTGTTCACGTCACTTCGCCGCAAGAGCGCAAATTGGTATGGAGGCAAGACAAACGTATCGTGCCGTTGTCGGCCGGTATCTACTTCCTCTGCTATTTGGATCGCTCGAACATCGGCAACGCGAAGATCCTCAATTCCTCAACACACAATGACATGCAGACCGAAACGGGAGCCTCGAACTACCAATTTAATATCGCATTGATGATATTCTTGGTTGGATACTTCTGTTTCGAAGTTCCTTCAAATATCTTACTAAAGAAGCTCCGCCCTTCTAGATGGCTCGCCTTTCTCATGGTCGCTTGGGGCGCGATCACAATCGGCTTAGGCGGTGTTAAGAATTATCCTCAGATGACGGGAGTTCGTTTTCTGTTGGGCGCCGTCGAAGCTGGTCTGTTTCCGGGGTTGATCTACTACCTAACGTTCTGGGTGAGTGCGAAAAACATAGCATTTCTTCTTTCCCCACATCCCTTTCCCTGATGGACGACGATGTTGAGGCTCAAGATGGGTCTTCGTAAAAGCTGGTTTTAAGTTGCAACCCCAGTCTTCAATTGCCGGTTATGATCCCTAGCTAGGTGGGCCAAATACGCTAGAAGCCCTAGAAGTTCTTAGTTTGGAGGTTACTAGTCTCATCTTCTAACTGAATTCTCCACATTTAGTACAAGAGCGACGAGAGAAGTGTGCGAGTAGCTTTCATTCTCGCAAGCGCTACCCTTGCCGGTGCTTTTGGCGGTGCTATCGCATATGGAATCGGTCATATGAACGGGATACAGCACCTCTCCGCCTGGAGATGGCTGTTCATGCTTGAAGGTATTCCTTCTTGTCTATCCGGCATTTTAGTGTGGTTCTTCCTACCAGACTGGCCCGAGAGCGCTTCATGGCTTTCGGAATCCGAAAAAGATTTAGCTGCGCAGCGATTATATCTCGAAGGCTCCAAAGGTTCAGCTTCGTCTATGACTTGGGATGATGTTAAATCTACGCTTACCGATTGGCGGTTGTATGGGCACTATGCTATTTACTTCGCTGTCTCGTTACCTTTCAGCTCGCTCTCGCTATTTTCCCCTTCGATTGTTGCCGGTCTAGGTTTCCATGATCTGCAGGCGCAATTACTTACCGTACCTCCTTGGGCTGCTGCTTACAGTAAGTTGGACATGTTTTTCTTTCTCGTAAAATCATGGATTTGAGAACATACAACTAATAAAAGCAGTTTTCCAAATTCTTATGTCATGGTCCGCCGATCATTTCAATGCTCGCGGCTATCACTGTGCAGCAGCAGCAGTAATTGGAGCAGCGGGTTTCCTAGCATCTGCTGTGCTACCAGCTGACGACTATCTCAGCCGCTATGGTTGCTTAATCGTCGGAACCGCCGGAGCCTTTGGATGCATTCCCCCCATGTTAGGTTGGCTCACGTCGAACATGTGGAGCACGGCGTCAATTGGGTTGGCGGTTGCTATCAACGTCAGTATCGGCGCCGGCCTTGGACAAATGCCGGGTGTCTGGATCTACAAGGCCGACGAGGCGGAGAAGGGTTACCCAACTGGGCACGGTGTGAACTGTGCCATGCTCTTCTTCGTAGCTATCGGCGCCCTTGTACTAAGATACTATTACGGACGAAAGAACCGGATCTTGCTGAATGCGGCTTCTGAAGGAATAACCCCTAGGTTGTACAAGTTATGATGATCTTTCACGATTGCTATTTGCTTTTTAGCATAGAAATCTCGAAGATAGGTACATAGCTACCTCGTACTTAATTTGTCCGTTGGTGGATATTGGTATGATAACGGTTGATATTTGGTATTTTAATCTGTAGATACCGGGCACCTGCTTTCTAGGTAGGCAATTCTTGTGTCGACCTTTTTACAACCCTTATCGAGAAAATTCGAGGGACATACGTAATCAAAAAGCCTCCTCAGGCAAGACACGTCTACTGCATAAAGCCACATTAAAAAAACTAGTGACAATAATTACCGACCTCTCTAAAACATTCCCACCTACGTAGTTACAAGCGCGATAGCTAGCCACGGAGCTTTCAGCTAAGCTTTTCCAATATCCGGGATTCCCCAGGATCCGAAATGTCTCTGTTCTTAACATAGACACTTACGACAGCTTTCAAGGGACCTGCACTCGGAATCAGCCATTTTAGTGCTTCGGACTTAAAACCAACTGCCTATCAAGGTGGGTAGTTGGTCCATTCCTCTCCCGGTGGGAATGTATGTTCATTGTTCCCGCGGGTAGGAAACCCCGCACCTGAATGAGCTTCTAGGGTCGTATCCGGTGTCATATGCATCTTGATCTCTGTGCTGTGAGCTAGTCTGTTTGTACTGTACTTCTCGTGTTAGCAAGATGGGCTGGACTGCTCTGCAAGATGCCGTCCGGTCCCGTGTTTGTCAGTTCCTGCTCAGAACGTTCTTTTGTAGATCGCTAAGTACTTACCGCTTACCCCCTGGCAACGGTTGCTGTGGGTTTCACAGGGATGACACAATGAGGTTCACATAACCCCCAACCTCCTACGGACCCGACATGTCAAGCACGTCCATGAAGCATGGTCATGCGTGGCCGGTCCCTCGGGATCGCCTAGGTATTATAGTATATATGCAGTATACGTACCAGACGCGCGTGTTCCCAAAATCGATCGTAGAATATATAGTACATAATCCCAATTTCAGCCTGTAGCCGAAACCAGGTCACTCGCTTCCCCAAAAGAGCAGTTCGAATCGCACATCAGTGTGGAGGAATCACACGTTCGCGATGAGGTGCTCGGGCTTCCTCCAATTATCGATCAACCTCGCAGTCGTGGTTTTCTCGCTACTCGCTGCTGCTACCGCGGCTCAGAGTAATGACAACACCTTCACCATCAACAACCATAGAACGAAAAGCCGTAGGCAGACGAACTGCAATGCAGAAACCTTCGCTAATGTTCTCCCCTCTTCGGCCAAGGTCGAGAAGGTTGAGTATGTTAGCGCCGGCAGCACTTTCGGCGAGCCCCTGACTGATCTCATGTACCCGATCTCGCCAACGAACCTACCGGAGCTATGCGCTGTCATTATATCCGTCGCGTCCTCGTCTGTCTCTGCGTATAGGTTCGGCATCTTTCTACCTGCCGAGTGGAATGGCCGCTTCCTCACCGTCGGAAACGGCGGGTTTGGCGGTGGCATCAATTGGCTCGATATGGGCGCTGGTGTTCGGTATGGCTTTGCCGTCGTATCTACTGACACAGGCCATAATTCGACAACGGCCGATATCCGCTGGGCTTTTAACCAGCCAGAGATGAGGACCGATTGGGGCTACCGAGCGGTTCACGGGACGGTACAGCTTTCTAAGACGCTCGTCGCGACGTACTACGCCAAGCCTATCAGCCACTCGTATTACAGCGGCTGCTCGACGGGCGGACGCCAAGGATTGAAGGAAGTGCAGATCTCACCGGATAGTTTCGACGGCGTGTTAGTCGGCGCGCCGGCTTGGTATACAGATCATCTGAACACGTGGGTCGGCAAGATCGCGACGTACAACTGGCCCGCTGTCGACTCAAAGCACATCCCATGGGAATCGCTCAAACCAATCGGTGCAGAAATTGTGCGTCAATGCGACGCCAACGACGGGGTGTCCGACGGCATCATCAGCCTTCCTGAACAGTGCACCGTTAACTGGACCGACATGAAGTGCACGAGCAACGGCGGCAATACAGACTCCGACTTTGCGAAATCAACAAACTGCATGAACGACGACCAAATCGGCACATTACAGAAAATGTACGACGGCTTCGTCCTCGACGCGACAGGCGAGCAAATCATGCCAGGCTACCTCCCCGGCTCCGAAGCGCAGATGTACACCGTGCTGAACTACTCCGACGCGAGCCCCTACGGCGTAGGGTACATCCGCTACTTCGTGCTCAACGACCCGCTGTTCATGGCCGAGCAGTACAATGACAGCATCCTGCAGCTTGCCGAGTCCCTCGACCCGGGGAACTCCACCGCTGATAACTACAACCTGACCACCTTCCGCGACCGCGGGGGCAAGATTCTCCTCTACCATGGAGCTGCGGATGGTCTTGTTCCTACTACGGCGGGGAGTCTGTATTATAACCGCACGGTGGAAACGACGAGTGGCGGGAACGTCACACAGGCAAGGGATTATTTTCGCAGGATGGAGATACCGGGGATGCAGCACTGCGGGATGACAGCCGTCAACGCGCCGTGGGCGTTCGGGGGCGCGACGCAAGCTGCGTCGTTGGGGAACGATACATACAGTGTACCCGGATACTCCGACGCGCAGCATGATATCCTCCTAGCCCTGGTGAATTGGGTTGAGAAAGGTGAGGCGGTGGATCAGGTTGTCGCTACGACGTGGAAGACTAGTACGGATCCGTCGTCGGGGGTTTTGCGCCAACGGCCGATTTGCATGTATCCTGATACGGCGACGTGGGATGGGTCCGGGGATGTGGATAAGGCGACGAGTTGGAGTTGCGGGTTAGTGATTTTCCCTCCCCCTTTTTTCTGTCCTGTTTTTGGGAGTTTCGATTCCTCATTTACTCTTTTCCTTTTTTTGGAGTCGTGCGGTTGGTGGCATATACGATGTCGGGTGTGATTATAGGACTTTGCTAATTTGTTGATGTGTGGTAGCAGTAGCAGTGGCAATAGCAGCGGTAACGGTACTGGGGAGTCGACACACAGCGCGGCTTCTATGACCTACATGAATCCGTTTTCGGTTATTGTCGACATTTTCAGGGTTCTTGATATCATATGACATGAGTACGGGGCCTGTCGATTGGGTCTTGAGGTATGAGGAGCTTGGTCACTGGGAAACGATTGTATATAGGGTACCTACCTAGTCCTGGTAGATAGAAGCATTTAAAAAGAAAGACGCTCGTAATGAAGGATGTTTCACGACCTCGTCTTGGTTTCGCTCATCGCATAGATTGGTAGTATTATGACTGCATATTCCCATGATACTGATGTACCTAGGTAGGTAGTAGGTTTGGAATGAAACAATATTTCTATATAGTCTGTATTTGTTGAAGTGATGTACCAGAGCAGGATTCTGGTTGAAACAGTACTAGAGTCAGGGATCGCAACTCAGCCCTATGAAGGCTACTGTAGGAGTAGCAGATCTCCAGACTTGGGTATCAGGATCTGTAGCTCTCGATTATCCTTGTCAAGATTTTGGAGAGCTATGTATTTACATCTGAGAAAACATAGTAATTAAGATGTCAATATGGATAGAGAGCCACTTGGTATTAGTCCTCCAATCGCATAAGTCGGTATACTTGGTGTATACTCCTTTAAACGCCCCGCCTAAGACAAGAATCCCGCCCATCAAGTGGTTTACTTAGACTTTTGCTGCCTGAACACAAAGTACCAGTTGTCGGCCGATTGTGATGCACCCAATGCTCCCTTCATCCAACAGGTATTCTGGCCCTGATAGCTACCCCAGCCGGCACCGACGCATGCCGAGTTGGCCGAACACAGATCGATGCAACTCTCGATTGAGTTCGTTCCCTTGCTACCGATATCTGTAGTTCCGCTGTTCGGAGCGTTGCCATTGTAGTCCACGTTACAGACGACTAAGAATGGATCTTCGCCAGACGCTTGGTATATTGTGCCATTAGAATTGGGACACACAATCGGTGTCGGCGCAGCTGTTGTGGTTGCGCTATATAGCTATTAGCTTCTATCCTAGCGGAGATACTTGTGTGGGTGACCCCAAGGCGTTGCTTACTCAGAACCAGATTTGTGCGCAGTTCCCAATCCCGCACCCAACCCAACAGCCAGTCCAACAACAAGCAAGACGATAAGTGGTGAGAATATTAGCCAGAATTTTCTTCTTGGTATCCCTAATATGGTCGGACGATTAGGCGGTGCGTCGTTTGGTGGGACTCCATCGTTGATATATGCACCACTCTGAGAGCTTCCCCAGTGGGACTGAGTTGGTTGACTGGAAGGGGCATATCCCGTTGGCGGGTAACTGGCTGCGTAAGCTTGAGGTTGCTGGCCGTATGAATACTGCGCTGTGTCGCCGTGCGGCTTCTCTATAATCTGCGGTCCTGAGATGGCTTGTGGTGGTTCCGGCTCGGGCGCCACCTCTAAGCCGGGCTGGTCCCATTCTAGGCCAGGCTGGTTATGAAATCTATTCGACATCGTGGATTATCGTTGTTACTCATACAGGCGGATATTGGCTTCGCCACGCGGTGCTACCGCGTCGACATTTGAGATGAGAAAGAAAGGAGAGGCAAGCGATCACTGACGATCATAGAAGATGGAAGGGTTAAGAAAGATCCACGCTACTACGTATCTTCGCCTATTGGGTGTGCACCTAGTTATGCTCGCGCATCTAAGTTGTAATCCGGTCGACAATCTAATCCTAGACGGGCCCCTGCGTCAAAGTTCCGAAAGGGGAATAATCCTCACGACCCCAGTAGCTCAGGTCGTGCATGGCGTTGGTAACTTCGGGGGCCGTCTCCCCCTTGGAAGACGGGGCTTCACCATTGGATCATTCGCAACGGCGTGGCATTTTACAATCCTTCCGTTGACTTACTCACTCATCGGCGCTTTAAGCGGGATGAATCCCTCGAAGTGTTTCAGGAGTTCTTCATGACTTTGAAGCCACATCATTCGGAATGCGACCCGAGAGTAGAATTAGTTGCAGAACATAATGCGTGCAAATTTCAGCAGAGTCTCATAGTCCTAAAGACATTGGTTATGTAACCCTTCAGCCCTGTCTCTGACAGTTGATGTTCAGGGTTGATCTAGGACTCATACCATACTATGTAGTACAGAGTGGTCCGGGAGGGCGGTAATGGACACGCCACAGCTAAAATATTACGGACCATGGCTCGATACCTCAGGACTCGGTAAGCTGGGGAGTATAATGGTATTTGCCGATATGATATCACCGTTAAGCGTAAAAGCCCCGCCTCCTCGCCCGCTGGAACTCGCGACTATTTACTGCATGTCTTGGATGATCAATGATTGATTCAGTCATAGGGGCAGTTCGTGTAACCCCCGAGAAAGTAGCATCGAGGCTGCGAGGGTAAATTTCTGCGATATGTAGGTAGGTAGGGTATACTCGACGTTCGCAGATGATAGAGAAGTGAGTGAACTGGCGTAATGAGATGGTGGACGAATTGATATACTGTTACTCTCGTTTTAATCTTGATATTGTTCGAAATAAGTTAAGCTTAACATGGAGTCGTCACGCTAAATTTGATTGACATCTTGTTGATCGGTGACTGGGCGCCTCGTACCGGACTCCAATTTTAAGTCCACGAGCCACTGTTATTCTCCAGCCGCAAGCCCTGTCGAGTTCTCGTAAGCTGGTGTCCGCGGTGGTTATGTGGATCCGAATGTGTCTTTCTTGTCTTTCCGGTTTCCTATTCCGTGGTTCTTAAGAGGTAAATCTGAGCCACGTTGTAGTCTATTTAGGTATTTTGGTCTTCTGTGCTTGTGTAATCTCACATCAGCTTACTTTTAAGATTCATTCAAGACTGTTCTCGTATAAGAAATCGGTATATGCGCATATAAGTGTTATGAATTGACCACATTTCTAATTATTTCTCTTTGCAATACCTCTTCTATGCCATCAAGTCTCTTGTGGCCGACTAGAACAAAAAGCCATCAGAGGCAGAAGACTGAAGTTATTCATTATTTGCTTGAAGACGTGATACTTAGGTACCTAGTAGTAATGAAACTTGATTTTATTCCTAGCTTAATAGGTCGACTTCCAGGGGATTAAAAAGCATGAGGCCAGCGGGAATGAAAGAAAACCAATTCAAGGCTTGATCACGAGGGTTGGTATTTTCAACAAGAGAGAAGTTTGTTAATATTCAACAAGTCAGTTGCGAATAATAGGGCAAATCGCCAAGGGTGAAGCGCCTTAAAGCTTAAGCTGATTTAAGCACGGCAAAATAAAGACCCGATTGGAGCTTAGATCACACTTAAATCCCTGCGCTAGTCCAGTATGTATTGTACCTATGTACACAGATCCCTGTACAATGATACCTAGGTACATAGTAGCTCCCGAGTTCACGGCTAGATGACGCGCCGAAGCCAAAGGCGAAAGCTTTCACATCATCTCAAGGACCAAAGGTTTAATTTTTACAAACCCTCACCTTTCCCGCGCACGCGATTAATGGCTTGAGATGTCTTCCCCAGTCGAACCAAATGATGACCCATGGGATCAGAAGACAAGGAGCAAGTTCAATAAGTGAGTTTGTCGGTTCAAAACTGAGTTAACATGTGTTAATTATGCCCACGACAGCAAATCCAAGAGCGAATGGTTTGACCCTTGTCAAGATGCTGCTGCGCGAAGCATTCGTTGCCTGAATCGGAACGGCGGGGACAGGCAGATGTGCACGGATTACTTTGAGTAAGTGATTTCGGGATCTCAATGGTTCAGAGACTCTAGGGATAGAGTGGGATAAGTGTTGACGATATAATCTTTAGGGCATATCGTGCATGCAAAAAAGAATGGGTAAGGATGAATTCTGTACTATCTTACCCCAGACTCTGATCCATATTTCTAACTTCATCTGTCAAAAGGTAAATAAACGCAAGAAGGAAGGAGGATCCATTTTCGGTTGACCAGATGACGACTTGAATATTCGTCTTCGTTTTCTAACGATGCCATCCATTGACGAACATGAGCTAAGCAAAATCGAAAACATATGGGACTCTACCCTTTACTCTTAGCAATAGCAGTACTGCTCTATGCACATGGATATTAATTATGGGTGCGGAGGTATGCATTACCTCCAGAAATGAAACCCTTCCAATAACAAATAAAAAAACACCATTCACCATTCAATATTCACTTATTACACCTCGACAATGCCCAGTGGGCAATTGACATTAATGATTATCTAATAAATAAATATACGATTGTTACGTAATGTGGACTCGAAGCTAATACCGCCTACCTAATTTGGTAGGTGGCGGAAGCCCCACTAACGGCAGAATCTAGGGAATTTCTAGAGGCAGGTACATACTTCGTAGGTTGGTAGGTGACGAAAATCATGGTTGATGCTGCCCAGCCCTAACAAGAAACAACTACAACTCCATCAAAGAACAGCAGCACGTTTGGAAAGAGCAAGTTAAATTGCACTTGCAAAGTCAGATCATACTTTGCTTCCTCTCATTCAGCCAAGTTTAACTTTCTCTGACATGCATAATTCTATTTCGAGTCCTGTCAAAATCATTCTTTGCGATTCATCTTTTGCTAATTCTCCCTCTCGATATCCCCCCCACCCATTTCCATTACATCCAACCGACATCGTCACATCTGTACATACAATCTACCGTCGACTCTCTGTTAATCGCCATCATCTACAACTTAGCAGCAGAAATTCACGATAATAATTCCTTTCGACATCAATATGAGGCCTCCGCTACCCAAGCCAAGTGCTCGGCCCATTAATATCAAGCAATCTGCACCTATAAACCTACAGTCTAGCTTCGCCGAAGAGCAATGGATCATCACTGCTAACTTAGCGAGACAACGATATAGGGCCACAAAGGATCCCTACTACTTGGTGAGTGTCATTCTATCTATCTTATTCCTCTAGGTCTCATCTCTTATTTCCCCTCGTTATTTCAGTTTATGTTTTGGTACTGTTCTTCGGCCATAATCGGTGGCGCTTCATGTTATCAATCTACCAGCTGAGGGTTAATGGCGTACAATATTCGTCTCAACTCCGGATTTGTCTATACTGATATTATTCCAAAACGATGAGGACCTTGCATAGCTGAGCTTTGTCTGCTATGCTCTCTTGGCAACCTTCTCTCCCTGGATATTCATGTATGATGATCATTTTGACCTCTCCTCCCCACATAGCTATGTTTTATCATATTTCTTTTTAATTGGCGGAATGTATTTCTTGCCATTGAGTGTGCCGCAGCTAATATTTTAAATTAGGCAGTGGAGGTTGCTGCGAAGTCCCAAAGCGATAATGTCGCGGACCGTAGTGCTGGGAAAGCTGCTGTCGAGAAGATGATCAAGGATAACGTCGTCGTGACTGATGTCGATGCCTTAGATCTATATGAATTCGCGTGCTCGCATGTTGACATCAAGTATCCGGAAACGATCGGTGTACTCCGAATAAGACTAGTGAAAGCGTCCCCAAAAGACCAGAAAGCATGCACTCGTTGCTTTGATGCTTGTGTCTGGAATTCCGATTGGAAAAATGCCCAACAGGTAACTTCCCTTTATATCTTAGATGTTCAGTCCATTAACGTGCGTGTCTAGATTGCGGCATCCTTAAATAAAACATTTGCCGCTGATCGAAAGTTGTTGTTCCGATATATCATGACAACTCATTTATACTCTGTGAGACCCTCCTTTACTGCTTGTCACTACGAAGTACCCGTCTCTAACTAGAGATAGTTGTCTAGGGAGTGCCCTGAAGCTAGCAGAAAGATTTTTGCATCTCTCGCAAAAGCTCAGGCCGACAAGGCTTTCGATTTGCGCACTGACGTAGGCCTTAACCGACGTTACCTTTTGATGGGAATGGGATGCTAACTATAATACTTAGATTTATGGCCTAGAAGGACTTCATCGAGCTAACCTGGCCGAGCCCGAAGAGTGGGTGTGGCTAGAAATTCGAATCGCTCATTGCAGCTCGAAGGAGAACTTGGAACTTTTTAAGAAGAATGGGTGTACCCCTCTTAACTTCCTCCACGCCGGCCGTTACGAACCGTTCTGTAGAATTGTCAAGTACCTACAGGAGCATGGTGAATCGGATGAGCTTTTCCGGATCGGAAAGGTTATCTTGGAAGATTCCATTACTGCCTTGCAGCCTGATATCGAATGCTTTGAAAAGAACGAGGAAATCACCCGTCTAAGGAAGCTCGCGGACGATACTATCAACAAAGGCTCACCAGAACAAATATTATCTGTGAAGGCGGACTTACGCCAGGCGATCATTTCGGCTAGACCTGGTCGAAATATAAAAGACCATTGCTCCATCGTCGTCAGTTACGAACATAAGTTGTTGAAGACTTGGGCCGATGCAGCGAAGCGTCAAGCGGACCCAAAACGGTTAGTTCGTCTAACCTAATATACCGGAAAATGGGGAACTGATCATTCGATAGGGCATTGAAGCAACTTGGAAACTTGATCGAGAAATTGTCGAGGAACCTAAAAAGAGCCCAATCCCTACGCCCGATCGCCGAAGTGACACTAGAACTTATTAGCTTGGATATCAAAGTCTCACGAGCTTCGCTGGCGTATCCAGGACCCAATCCGTGCATAACTTCACGGATTATAGCCCTCGTCAAACACGTGGTCAAAAATTGCGAGAACCCTACTTCTCTAGACGAGGCTACAGTTCTCATACGACAGTTGGGTACCACAGAAACATCTACGTTCCTGGGTGTTTTTAAGACTATTGCTGCGCAGGTATTCAACCAATCATATCGGCCATAAATGGCGATTCAACTGACATTTATATATTAGTGTGACGATGCCTTCAAACGGTATTTACTGACGTCGATATGCCTTAAAATTTGGTATATCGTTGCGACGAACACGGGCCTCGCGTGTAAATTTTGTCGTACCGAATGGACAGGCCATGGTTGTCGACTCTGTTTGAAAGAGATTACAGCTATTGCGCTAGATTCATATCAGTCAGGCCTAGAAGACGATAGTCTTATTCAGGACATAACATCTCGGCAAAGTACGAATCCGCTGTCAGACATTTCGGTAATCGGCGCCATGAGTCTCTTGAGACTCGCAGGGCTTGGTAATCCGCGGGCACCACATGGAGCTAGCTCGTTGTATAACGCAGACATCCCGCTGTTTATGCAGGCTGTTCTATGGTTGGACTCGTGCAGGGACCTGTCGCCGTACGTATCTACCGATCATAGTGTTGTTCTCGTCAAGCTATATATCTTGATGGGTTGTGTGTCCCGAGCCAGAGTCATCTGGGAGGGCTTCGACGTGAAGAATGCTCTACTTGATTCCTTAGGTCTACTATTTATTGATCGACTGTCTTCTATCTCTCCAGGCCATTTCATGGGATCGAGTCGCAGCAATCCGGTAGAGCCTTTTATGAATCATTTTACGAGAGAATTCAAAACTACAATACCTAAGAAAATTATGGATTCTTTGGAGGAGCAAACATATTCGAGTATTCCGGATATAATCGAATATGCCGAAAGACATGCGGCAAGCTGTAGTGTTGTCCTAGCTATGGTTGAAGAGCGGCGAGGTGCAAGAATGAAGGCGAACAAGGCTGAGATTGCTATTGATGACAGGCCTCTAGTCAGTATGTCGAAACATAACTTCTCTACATTGGCTGGATTAAGCTAACCTAATAGGGGATCTTTCAATCGAACACGAGCTACAGGACGTAACTGACTACAAAGTCTTCAGTCTATCAAACGGAGCTAGTGATGAGGCATCAAACCACTCCATAATTCACAGTGGACCACTCCCTACGGTTTGTAATACCCATGGCAAGCCTTTATGCTATATTCTAACGGCGATTTAGGGTAACCGAGCTCACCTCGGATTGCTTGCTGAACGCTTTCTCGATCTCGTCTGTTATGTACAGCCGAAAGAGTACAAGCCGCCGAAAGCTGGACGCGTTATTCAACTTGACTGGGAATATGCACTCGCCACTTCATCTCGTCTAGAAAAAGACATGCGAACTCTCATGCCTACTATTGACTCAAGTCTTTCAGAGAAAGAGCAAGTCGAACAATTCCGACAACAAGAACTAGTCGCGAAATCCCTCACTTCGTCCGAGTTATGGTACCATGGGATCGTTCGTAGGCTAGCAAGTATGGTGAAGGATATTGTCGGATCTGGAATTCTCAAAGCTCCTACTAATGACAGCCGCGACCGCATTCGTTCCACCATTGAGGAAATTCTACGCGGGTTAGAAATGCAGACCAATGACTTTCTGGCTGTGCCTCAAAGTCACCATTCGAAGCTTCATGGTTTTCACGGGTTTGCGGCCCTACATGCTATGGGCATGTTACGCGAGACAATCATAGTTTTGAAGCATACGGTGAACTACCTTACCATCACGTCTGAGAAGGCCAAGACTGTCGACAAGCTCCGCTCTCAGGCAGAACTTGCATGGTTTACTCCCGAACTGAGAAAGATGACAGCGGCTGTAGCTGTTTCTGAGAAATCGGTAAAAACTCGCATTAGCCAGCTGCAGGGCTACCTCGACAATATGGATGGTTGGCGTGATCGTCTGTGCGATTGGGTATTTGGCAAATACGCTATCGTGGTGGACAACGAAAAAGAGTTTAAGAATGAGGTCTGCCAGAAGATGCAGGCTATCGTCCCCAAAGATAATGCGGAGAAGTGGACAGACGACATCGGTAACTCATGGCGAGAGCTTATTAAGGGATGGGCCATCGTCAAGTTTGACTGATCTTCCCTTATTTGCCGCCTTACTTATCCACTGCTCTGTTCGGCTAGTTTGGTTTTGCGCGTAGATCACAAACCCTAGGAGGCTTTAAGAAGCTTTGCACATTGACATACAATCTTAGAGTTTTAGCATAAGCCCAGGTGTGGATGGGGTTGGTGTGGGTTGCTCACATTTTGCGGACCTTATATGTCCGTTGGAATCTCTCGTATTAAGGATACTATCTAAAGGGAGAGTGGAAAGGGGAGTTGATTGATGATATGGAAAAGAGGATAAAAACCATTGTTGTAGCTGTATAGTTTGGAGTGTCGTATGTAGGACTAAGACTATCATGGATCCTGAACACGTCGGACTGTATATAGCCAATTACACCGTTGATCATACATGGCATACATGTACACAATACAAATGCTTAGATAATAGATACCGTTATCCATCTAAGGACACAAGGCATTCCGTGACTTCATTTAAACACTCTAGGAGAAGAAAGGGGTATCGTCTGTATTCTCCGTCTCGCTCACTCTTTCTAACAGTCTTCAGCGCCGATTTGTAGATGTAGAACCAAAGCCCCAATGCGCCCGTACCTCACGCCAGTCATATGCTTCTGAGAACTCCGCCAAAGACGTATTGTGGATTAAAAGGGGAGTGACAAGAGGGTCCTCGACCGGGAGGTTGTGCTCAGTGGAACCGGCCTGTGCTCTCTATTCCTGTATCTTCGTCGCATATCATAAAACGGACCTGGATAATATTCGATTTTATCTCTTCACCAAGCTTCCTCTGTCCGCGTATCCTTATCGATCCATCGATCCATCAAATCCCCTAAAACCCCTGCGCCCTGCCGTTACTAGTACTCCCCCTCCTCCTCTTCCTCGCCGCAAACTTGCCCGTCTCCTCCTTCAACGTAACCCAGACCCAAAACCAGCTCAGGAACTCCAGAAACGCGAAGGTGAAAAAAACACGGTTCCGTAGCCCGTCTCCGCCGCTCACCGTGCTACCCGCTACAAACACGTTCGGTGGCGCTAGGGGGTGCGACATCCGGCTCGGCCCGGACCGTCCGTAGGAAGGCGTGGAGAAGTAGGCGAAGAGCGAGACGAAGGCGAATACGGTTATGCGTAAGGGCGCTTGCGAACCCCAGTAGTGGATTAGCCAGATTTCTTCGGGGAGGGAGAGCGTGAGCAGGTCGGAGAGCCCGAGGACGAGGAGCGTTATGGCGAGGAAGGAGGAGGCGCCGCTGGGGGCTGCGAAGGAGGATGTTTGCGGCTGTGGTTGGGGGTTAGTATTTAAGTTTCTACTATGTGTGTGGGAGGTTAGGGGGAGAATGGGGGAGGGGTGCTTACCATTCCCATGGCTTCACCTAGTACGTAGACTAGGGCTTGGTCTGCGATGGCGTTCGGATTCGTGTAGAAGAAGTAGGCGAGGGTGATGTGGAAGAGGCATAGGGATGTGAGAATCGTTTTGACTGATATGAGCGCCATGTTGATTGGTTTCTGTCGGTTCTATCTTTTTTATTTGGTTGTATTTTGACGGACATCCGTCGGGTAGGTAATAGGTATTCGTTGGGTTCGTGGCTCTTAGGTGCTGGCGCCTAAGGAGTAATTGCTAATTGCTGTTGGTTATGGAATATCGGATGCTTATTCGAAACGAATGAGGTGTCGTTGCTGATGGTTAGTCGTCGCCCAGGTGATAGAAAAAGAGATCGGATGAAAATAACGGCGCCGGTACACGTAGACGATGGTTTAATGAATGTGACAAAATGGGCTGCAGCCTCAAGCTTCACACCATGCGCATGCGACAACACATGCAAGAATCCTTGGGGTTACAAGTTGATGCAATGCCAATTCATCTCAGGGACCGGGATTGTAACAGTGCCTATCCCTTATCGCCTATCGCGCGGGTGACCTAATTTTGAAACCTTAAATTTCAAGCTTTCGGTTCTTACGTGATGTGGCTAGTGTATGTGTGATTTTCCACACAGCCACATATGGAGGGGCATTTTCGTAAAGTGGGATATAGGGCTGATGAAAGTTGGAGGAGGGGCAGGTTAAGTTCGATTTATTTTAAGGAAACAGCGATCCTTTTACAGATGACAGATGCATCTGCCTAAGCAAGCTCTGGCTAGGGGTTGGAGAAAGTCAATTCTAACTTACACTCTCACATCTCATTTCAAATTCTTACACTAGTTCAATGTCTACCTACACCACCCCGTAGACTTAATCACAATGTCAGAACAACCACTCGACACAGCTCGTCACATCCGCTACTGGCAACGATGTCTTCGTTCCATACTTCCTCACCACTACGTGACTAATGACAGTATCCGATTAACACTAGGATTCTTTATAGTCGCAGCTCTCGACCTTCTCTCTTCATCATCATCCTACTCTGAGCCGCCGAGCAACCCAGTTAAAGCCTCACTCATAACTTTAGAAGACCGCAAACGCCTACGAGCCTGGGTCTTATCACTACAACATCCATACGGCGGTTTCTGCGGATCACCACACCATGTCCTCCCAGAGATATATACCACCAAATGGGACCCTATAAACCAAGTAGAATCTGCACGCGACCCAGCCAATGCGAATTTAGCTGCCACGTACTTTGCCCTACTTCTGCTAGGTGTCTTAGCCGAAGATGATGGCACCAATGCGTTTGAGGGCGTTCATCGGATAAAGACGCTTCGGTGGCTTAAGACGTTGCAAAGGGACGATGGAAGCTTCGGCGAGCTAATCGACGAGGATGGTTATGTAGCGGGAGGGAGGGATATGCGGTATTGCTATTTGGCCGCTACCATTAGATGGGCTCTGGGTGGGGCGGAGGCAGGGGAAGACTTCAACGTCGATGCTCTTGTGGCGCATATTCGACGAGGACAGACTTTTGACGGTGGTATGGGAGAGAGCTCTACGCACGAGAGTCATGCTGGCTACGTATACTGCGCCGTGGCCGCGTTGTCCCTTCTAGATCTCGCGAACCCCAACACTGCTACAGAACCTAATCGATATATCAATGCCGGCGTCCCTTCTATACCTTCCCTGGTACACTTTCTCGCGTGTCGCCAATTCGATTACCTCGATCCCGATTCTAACGACGAGAATGAGGATTCCGATAACCACCCATTACCGGATCTATCTGCTCTAGCCTTGTCAGACACACCTCAACTATCTGGTTTCAATGGTCGTTTGAATAAGGTTGCAGACACGTGCTACACGTGGTGGGTCGCCGGTACGCTAGCGATGCTCGGTCATGGCAAAGTCATAGACAGAGAACCTGCAAGAAAGTTCATACTAGAGAAGACCCAGCACATGATCGGCGGGTTCGCTAAGCATCCCGGCGGCCCCCCAGATGTATACCACGCCTACCTCGGGCTGGCTGCTTTGGGCACATTAGGTGCCCAAGCAGCTGACGGGAAGGAACCAGGGTTAGGTAAATTCGACCCACGACTATGCATAGGTGTCGAAGCATCCGAGCGGCTCACTAAGGCACGGGAGGCGTTGTTAAACCCCCGTGATGACGGTCACAACGACGATGACCTGCTGGAGGACATGGAGGAGATGAAGAAGGAGCTCGATTGGGATAACCTACAAGATAAGATTAAAAGGCTAGAGGCCAAGTACAACGCCGAGGGCAAGAATCCTCTGCTCGAAATGTTCAGGTGGAACCCTAGCCGTCCGCAAAAGTTGGACGACTTGCTTAAGGAAACGTAATGGGGATAACTAAAAAAACCTAGATATTATCGTCCAAGTAAACTTTGATACCCCCTACCTTCCTATGCATACATAATCTTGATTTATCAACTAGGCATTGTAAAACATAAGGATCTCTAGATGTTGTAGGGAGAGTATCCATGATGACTCAGCCACTTAGTCATCAAATACATTACGTAATGGATCTAATTACATAAGCTTATTAATAAATATAAAGCAGAGTATCTAAACACTATTTAGATTTCTCATTCAATGTACACGATGCATACTTAGATCGAAACACGTTTATTTGATATAGTAACAAGCAAGCTGATTTAAGCTAAGCTAAACTAGCAAGTATCATAACATTCACCCTGACTAAGTAGGTCAGACACCTCCCTACCCCTAAGCTAGCCCAGCATCAATCAAGCAACAGTCCTCCCCTCCTCTCCAGCTCCCCTCAATCGTTCCACATCTAACACCAATGGTCCGCCACTAGGTCCACTTGCGTCCAGGCTGAGGGTAACACGTGCTCTATCCGCGATAACCCGAACCGTTTCGCCTAAATTCCTCACGTCTGTCTCGAAGTGCACGCCTGGACCTGCTCCCCCGTCCACAGGTGATCCGACACTGTCTTCGTACGGTCTGACTTCCCTGATTTCTACGCTGGGGTACGGCAGCCAGCCCTCGCGTAGTGGGACGAAGAGGATAGGGATCTCGGCTTCAGTGTCGGCGGTGCTTTCGTAGTCTACTTTTACGCTTGCTCCGGTTCCGGTGGCGGAAGGAGGTAGTGAGGATGGGGCTGGGATAACGAAGTGGCCTTTGCGTCTTCCGCCTAGAAGCCAGGTGTCTTGGGGAGCGGCGAGCTCGTAGCTAAATTCGAGGTCGTTTTGTTCGGCAGGGGGTGTGGTTGTGTCCCATACACGCGTCCATTTTAGATGTAGGACTGCGGGTAGTAGTTGATTCGTGCAGACGGTGGGCGTGGGAGAATTGGGAAGAGTGGAAAGTGCTGACGAGGATGATGATTTCTGCGGAGATTGTTGGAGCCGGATATCTGCCGTGTGGACAATTGTTAGGGAGGGTATATCTACAGGGATCAGGATCGATCTCGGTTCTGCGGGGATCGAGGATGTTTCGAGCTCCAATTTAGGATTCGCAGCCTGCCAACTTCGGAGGAAGGACACGAGAGCTTTGGAGTAATCGGTACCATCGGGTGCTTTGCCCAGCCCAACGAAGTACTTAGCCCAGTTGACCGAGGACAAGAACGTCGTGGGTACCGATCCAAGAAGAACCGCGCGCTCTAGATCATGTCCCGTGAGGCCGTGTCGAACGTGAGGGATGATTGTTGAGCATATCAGCCGAGAGAAAGGACGCAACGGCTTATCTTCCAAGGATTCAGTTATGGAATCCTCGATTAGGGATTCGATTTCTTCCTGCAACATGCTGTAACGCAGTCTAAGGTACATGGTCTTTTTCGTCTTTGGGTTGATCTTCACATCCACTTTACGTGTGATCTTGTACAATAGACTGGCTGGCTGCTTCGGGAAGATGATAACGGGAGCACTAGGCGGTACTCCGAACTCTGATTCGAAAGCTTCTGAGCCTACAAGCTCACTTGTGAATAAACGTAGAGGGCTCTGACTCGCTGTAGATACGGTAAATCTAGAAAACAGAGCTTTGTGCTTAAAAACATCCTGGACATTAACCCCGAGTGCCAAAGCGGTTTCGACGACAGGAGTTTTAGAGAAGAAAAATGAGCCATCGCCGGTTGAATAAGATACCTCAATGCGTATGGATATACTGAGAGTCTCTTGCTCTACAGTGTACGGAAACCGGATGCGCACGGTATTATTCCGTGGTATGGCCGCGAAACAAAATAGGCCACCCTCTGGCTTTTTTGAGAAGTTAATGGATGAGTTGATACACTTTGCCTCGCTTGTGAGCAGTCTGAGGCCTCCCGTAGCAGCCTTGACTCGAATCTCGGCGTTAAGCAGGTCATTCCAGCCAGAATCCAAATCGATATCCACTGTATTGTTTCGATCTAATTGAATATGTTTCGATGCGCGCAGTTTTACATCTAACGTCTCAGATCGGTGATAAATGGCAAGATAGGGAGACTGAAGGGTATCGCTGGCCTTGTCTACAGGTTGACCTGCTTCACGTTCATGGTGCAGGTGTATGTTGCTAGCCTTGAAATCGACCTTATCGATCTCGTAGGAACCTGGGATCGCCGACTGTTATAGTTAGCATGGCTCTATTCAAGAAGCCAGTCGGATAGACTTACGTTACTATTTAGTTTGAGCTTATTTCTGCCGGGCTTAATCGTTGTCGGCTCGGCAAGCTCAAACCATATATCTTTCGACGATTTATTGACAGCACTAACAACCCGTACTCTCACACCTTCAACTCGGAAGCTATCCGCAAGCAAGCTATTCACCTTCAGATTGAGGGAAATACCATCTCGACCTTGGTGGTATTCGGGAGGGCCGTCAACTTCCACAATAGAAATAAAGCTAGAAAGGGATATCCGTAGTTCATTTGGTAGAGTCTTTGTCGCAGCAAGTAGATCATCCAGGAACCCCTTAATAGCTTCGCTATCAGGGTAATCAACATCTTCCTGCTTCCCTAATCGAAACCCTGATTTTTGTCGTAGACGGTCTCTTTCGGCCGCGGCCGCCTTGGTCAAAAGCTTCAACATAACTTTGATGTACTCATCCTTCCGCTGGAGCTGCTTGAGACACCTCGAACACATGACCAACATGGATAGTTCCAGGAGACTCCAGCCACTTTCTCCAAAGAAAGGGATAGTCTCCCAAAAGTAGGAAGAAGCAGCCGCGTAGTCGCAAAGGTGATATTTCAACACGGCGATATCCGCCATGCTAGTCTTTACCGAATGGGTGTGATCCGCTACGGTATAATGCCGCAAGGCTTTATCGGTAAGTGTTTCGTAAAGACGGTAAAAATCGTCTTTGCTATCGAGGGCCGTCTTGAGCAACTTGCTATCGACGCCAGAGATGGAGACTACAGTTTCACGACTGGCGGAAGTCTCCTCGTCTTCAGCCTCTGCTTTTTCGTCACCATCACCATTGTCATTATCATCGTCACCGTCATCGTCATCATCATTAAGGTCGATATCGACCATTTCGACCATGGTTGACTCCCCTATGACGGGTACACTATCCCAGCCATCAGCCCATCCACGTTTTTTTCCGCACTCCGCGAGGATATTCCTCGACAACATGTAGAGCTCAGCTCTCCTAGCAGCGAGCTCTTCCAGTCCAGCTTTAAGAAACGATGATTGGGCTTGATCATCCGCACCACTCGGTCGGCGTCCAGGAAAGATATTTGGACTAGGAAGTGGACGACCAACACTGGCGCCACGCTCGGTCCGTATCGATAACGAGGTATTTCTCGCTGGGTGCATCATCGTTTTAGGTTCGGGTATCGCAGCCTTTTGTTCGTTTGCACCTTGCGATGCTAGGGATGACGGTGGTATCGGTAAAGCTTTAGTCGAAGTCTGAGCTAGAATCTGCTGGGCGATAGAAAACGCAAATGAGGCAACCAAGTTCTCAACCACTTCTTCGACCGTGGGATCTGCTTGTGATGGTTTTGAGGTATCATCTCCATCCGCTTTCGCCATATCCGAGAGAGCGGCAAAAACATCATTTCTCATAACCTGGGATACCGTAGGTATGAATTCTAATGTTCGTCGGCAGATCTCAGCGAGCATGGTTAAATCCTCGTGCTCATTTTCTTTTTGTTTTGGGGGTGGCGCACGGGGTGCGACGCCATGCAGGACTGACTCTTGCTGCTCTTTGAGTTTTGCTAGCAACTCTTCCCGTGTTGAGCACGCATTTCCGAGCCGAAGCAACAGGGATATTTGCCTAGCGAATATATAGCACCTAAAGTCAAAAACAGATACATTATTCGCAACAATTAAATCGCGGTAGGGCTTCTTAGTGGAGCTGATAGGAATGTCATCATATATATCCTTGGGTTGAGCACCCTCAGCTTGGGACTGTAGATCAACCATTTCATCCTCGTCTTCATACTCGGAACCGGTAATCGTAGCTCTAGCCTGAAGAGCGATTTGTTTTAACTCGGCGGTATAGCTCAAAAGCGCATTCGTGGCGGATCTCGATCCTGTCGAGGTCTGATCTTTGACGATCATATCCAGCCCTACACTTAGTTCATCATATCCGACCAATGCATCTTCTACTAGACCTACGCTCTCAAAGCCGCGAGCGAGACCTTCCTTGAGAATGAAGAAAGTGCAAAAATTCCATCCAGGCAAAGTCCTCTGAGAGTCCTTCTCCCTGATATCTTCCTCGTATTGGCTCACACGCAGATCAAAACTAGACAAAATGAGGCTGCGAAATTTGGAAACGAGATCCGTCCACGAATTTTCAGTCTCCTGCTCTGTCTCAGAATAGCCACTAGGCACAGCCGGCACAACTCGAGGCAAAATATCGTACGGGACATCGTTGACGCCAATACGAATTTGGGCGATTCGGTCCACCCCTCCTTTACTAGACGTATTAAAATCGGATCTAAGCTTCTCAAAGAGTGTGCTTGATCCTGGTCTCCACTTAGAGACGGCCGAGGTCTTCTCTGGGGCCGAACCCGAGTCTCGAGGCTGTGTGGCGGCGACTGTATTCGGTATTATGACGTGGATAATGAGCCATTCGAAGGCATCGTGGTTTTCGGCAGTATTCCTCTTCGAGCCGGACGGAGGCGTGTTGGTCTTAATCCAATCACGTATATCCTGCCTTACATGCCCCTTATAAGAGTCATTATCATCACACCGAACAAGTAGCACCTTCAAGTATGGTGTCCTCCTTAGACCAGGAATCTGGTGTCGCCGTGCAGGTGCACTGTTTCGGTTCGCAGTCTGATCGAGACCATCGGAGGATAGTTTAGCTCCTATCTGGGTTTGGAAGCCATCATCACGGCTAACGACAGTATCCAAATGATTTCCAGAAGCATGTGGGGAAGGAACTGGAGAGGTAACGGAGGTCTTGTCGCCGGCTGAGAGAAGCTCGATATGAAGGGTATCGATAGAGCGAAGGGGTCCGGCATGCGATTGCCAATGAAGGTTGCGCAAGGGAAGTCGAGGCACTAATCCCGGCGCGAGAAGCTTGAAGACGTCATGAGGGTCGAAGTACTCGACTTGGCGATGTTAGAAATGACGGCGCATAAGGTAAAGGGAAATCAATGTAAGTACCTGTAACTTTAGATGTAGAATACGACTGTTCCATGGCGAACAGCTAGGGTAGTTGCTTCCTACTTCATGATTAGTGTGCAAATTGAACGCCTAAAATGTCGCAAGCCGTTATAAACAGTTTCTAAAGACACGTGTCGGGTTTAAAACGAGGTTCGAGATATTTAAGGTGGAAGTTTGAAGTTGTAGGTTCGATCGTCAACAAATGCACGTCACAGATGCCAAAGCTTAGCTACTAGGAAGGTATGGACCCTGAGACCTGGCAGCGACGGCCGCATACAGCCGGTAGCAAGCCAGGATTCAGGGGTAATGCCGTCCTAAAGCGGTGAAGGCCACGCTTCACAACGATTGGCTATTGATAATTCTAAATGATTACATAATAAACTATTTTATGGCGGGGTCTGGCAGAATTCCTGACGCCATTGTAAGTACCTGCGTACCTTGAGAGAATTGACGATAAGTTTGCGATGGCGAAAGTTCCCGATCAACTATTTTAGATGCAAATCTCATATATAATCAAAAGATTCATATTGTAATTCTCACATAAAATAAGATTGATATAAGAAAAGATGGCCAATCTTCAAGCAATTCGATATTCGCGGGGCAAATTAGAAGTTCTCGATCAGCTGAAACTGCCCCACGAACATCATTACGATGAAGTCTCGACAAGTGAAGAGGCATTTGATAGCATTAAGTCTATGAGAGTAAGAGGTATGACAATAGCACAGTATGGCAACTCATAAATATTATTAAATGCTCATTTGTTCTACAGGTGCACCGGCAATAGCTATTGTAGCAGCGTTAGGTCACGGAGTCGAACTACACAATGGGAGTTGCAGTTAGTAATTCCTCATTCACTCATACAGAAACGGCCTGCTACACTCGGCCAACAATGGTACAAAACTAACTCCACCGTAGCGGCCTCCTCTTCAGAAGAGACGATCTCTTACATCGAATCGCGCCTAGATTATCTCAAGCAATCACGGCCGACAGCCGTGGATCTTACTAACGCCATTACGCACCTCAAAAACACCGTCCGATCTATCGATGCACAGAATAATGGCACAGTTGGTCGTGATGCTATTATCTCTGCGTACGTTGCTGCTGCAGAAGAGATTTTCCGCAAGGACACTGAGACAAACCTCTCAATTGGTGAACATGGAAGCAAGTGGCTTCTCGAGAATGCGCCGACGAAGTCCGCCGACGGCAAGGTCTCTGTTTTGACACACTGCAACACAGGATCACTTGCCACGTCAGGCCACGGAACAGCGCTTGGTATCATCCGTTCCTTGCATTCAGGTGGTCACCTACACCACGCATTCTGTACCGAAACCCGGCCCTACAACCAAGGAAGCCGACTCACTGCTTTTGAGCTAGTGTATGAGGGGATCCCCTCTACACTCATCACGGACTCGATGGCAGGTGCCTTATTCGCCACTAAGAAGACCGAGAAAAATATCGCCGCAGTGATTGTAGGCGCAGATCGAGTTGTGCGCAACGGGGATACCGCTAACAAGATTGGGACTTACGCTCTCGCTGTACTAGCCAAATATCACGGAGTGAAGTTCATCGTAGCAGCGCCTACGACAAGCATTGACCTGCAGACTGAAACTGGCGCTGGAATCAAAATCGAGGAGCGCAAAGCCGAAGAGCTGACACAGATCACCGGAGCCGTAGTAGGAAAAGACGGGAAGGTAGACGTTACTCGTACTGAGCGCGTGGCGACAGCACATCAAGGGATCGCTGTCTGGAACCCCGCATTCGACGTCACGCCGGCAGAGCTGATTGATGCTGTGGTTACGGAACGAGGTGTTGTCGTAAAGGGCGCAGATGGAGTCTTTGACTTCAAAGATATCATGCCAGAAAGATGGGCGAATGTTGTTGGAAAGTAGGAGTTTAACCCTAAGGAATAAAAAGGGAAATAGAGAGCTGGTTTGGAAAATTAGATAGCGTAATCTCGACGGTCAAGCGTAGGACATCTCATCTGTGGGGTATCTCCTATGATATTTAATCAGCAATCATGAAGAAAGAGAACACGCTAAAACTATGTAATTCTCAAATGCAAACCGCTTAGCTCTCAAGAGCATGTAGGATGAGCTTCTTGTAATCTTCCACGGCTGTCTCCAGGTCTCCCAGCTTGATCGCCTCGTCAGGTCCGTGAGCTACAAAAATGGTTCCCGGTCCGTACAGGTATCGTGTGTGGTTACCCTCCAAATTGTGTACGTCCGTTCCGTAGTTGACGGTGGTAGTTTCAAAACCTGTGCTGAATGTTAGCTTAGTTGGAACAGAGTAGAAATATTCTTAGGTAAATATTCACCTTCAACATCGCAGTCGCACTTGACAACGCCATATCCATAGTTGCAGTCAAACTCAAACGCCTCATCATCCACGCTTCGCATCACTTCTATCAATCGATCAGAAGCAATCTTAGCTCCGTCAAGCTCGGGGCCAATCGCTACGCGTACAGCAAGACGGGCCGTCGCTCTTTCGGGAATCACATTGGCAGCGACACCACCTTCGATTAAACCAATGTTGACAGTCGTGTTGCCGAACTCCTCGCTACTGCCCAGATCCGTTTCTAGGACGCGAACAAGCCCACGCATCAACACCTCTGTCGCGCTCTTTCCTAGCCACGGGTACCCGCTGTGTCCGGCGTGGCCATGTGCAGTGATATTGCAGCCAAAGATGCCCTTGTGACCGCATACCAAGCGACCCTCAGTCGGCTCGCCAAAAATAGCAGCCTTGAACTCTGGGGCCGGATCCAGATTTCCGTGCGATTCTGAGAAATGTCGCATCCCCACACCCGATGTTTCCTCTCCAACAACATATAGCAGCATGATAGAGCCATCCTCATCGTCAACAGCGCCAGTGTCTAATAGTGACTCTAGAGCAATTATCTGCGCGGCTACGCTAGCCTTAGCGTCTACACTGCCGCGACCTGCGATCAATGTATCGGGGTTGAGGGAGGAATCGTTTATCGAGTACGGAATGAAAGGAGGGACTGTATCTATATGACTCGACACAAGAATCTTCGGCGAAGGGTGAGGATTTGAACCGGGCCAAGCAAGAACATTGAAGCTGGGCTTGTTGTCGGAGTCGGGTGAGGAAGGAATGGAATCGCATTGGACGGTATAGCCGCGGGCAGTGAGGTAGTCAACTAGAAAAGTGCCGACCTCATTTTCGTTGCCGCTAATCGAAGAAATCTCGACGAGAGATTTGTGTAAGGACACCAGATTATCTCGGTATGAAGGCGATTCATCGGAGGACTTGTAGGACGGTGAGTTAACGAGAGGCTTCTGAAGATCGGATCCGAGAGCTCCGCAGCTGCTAAGAAGCAGGACAGAAAGGGACAGGAGCTTCATGTCAATGAAACTTTAGCGATGAACTATTCGGATTGAGCTGTTCTGGTGTCCAAATGATATCCCCTCAATTGAATGTTACCTAGTAAATATTGCTGAAGTTGTCATTTGAAGCTCTATGATGTTAGTAAAGAATTAGTAACAAGAACTTGATACCACTCTGGGGGCGGGGATATAATGTGGATCCAATGTGGGGTCTTGCTATTGTTAAGAAGGTGCGAGCCTAGATAAGTACTATTCCACACTATCTATATGAAGAGATACATACTAACTAACCCCTTGAGCTCAACTTACCTACTCCTTCATATGAATGGTGGTATACTTCATGAAGTATGTATTTCAATTTTATAATTAGGTAGTGGACACATACAAGAGGACTTCGTAGCAATGGAATTCAACATGCAATACAGATCGGCGATAGGCTTGACAGCCAACCTAGAAGGTCAATAGGGGGAAGTCTTCCCCCTATTCTTTGACTTATCATGCCTTTCCTCAGTATCATCTCTGGTAAAAAGAGTAGGGAAGATCGACAAACTTCTAAGAAAAAGGACACTATCCCTTTCTCTATGTTGAATTCTTTGTTCCTGGATAAATCTTCCGAGTATAATGAATTGTCCCTACATGACCGTTAGGAGTCTGATGTTAAGAATTGGGTTCGTAATCGAATACTGCTACTGCCCTTACCACTTTTTCGAAATTTTGAGCCCCTTAAATGTTTGTCTGTATAGCTTACACGGAATACAGAGAAGGCGCTGTCGCATCGTTTCTCCTTACAAGCCTCTGGCATCTGCGAATACTTTCAACTATACGCCAATGCATTGAAGACAATGAGAAAGAAAGATATAAATAGAGGATGTCTCGATGACCTACCTATACTATACCGACGAAGTCATTAACAGGCATCAAAGTTAATACAATAGTCAGATAGCAACGTGAAGTGGCATGCTTTGCAACCATCTAACTTATTCTACAACTGTGCCCCTATGTCGAGGTGTGCTAAGATAAGTAGGACTATACGAGACTCCGCCCCCAAGGAAGCGAAGGTCAGCACTATAACTTCGTGATGCATATTCCGACTGTATCGTGCGATCTACCAAGAAATCCAGACTATCCGACCGCATTTCCGCTATTCGGTTTAATACTCATAGATCTATAAAACAAGCCTTATGAGGCGTAGTCGATATGGCAGCAAGAGTCATACGGTGACCTCGCGCCGCGGTCGGGGAAAAAAAGACACAAGGCGAGTGAGCTGGTCAGGGCTGGAATCACTGTGCCGCAAAATTAAATTTCTTACCCAGAAGAGTGGACCGGTTATAAGTCTCTTTGGCCAGCGAATCTAGCACGCGGCTCGAGTCTAAAGCTTGGCGTCAGGACGACGTTACATAGTTAATTTCAGCTAGGGCTAGGAGCTGCCTAGTTCTAGGCGTCGCCCCGTAAGGCGACCCCATGGGCTTTTAATCCGCTTGCTGGGATCGGAATCTCGCGATCCTCGCTTCCTGAGTTGCGGACTTCTATGCGATTTGTGCATTGAACAATTCGGTCCTCTTGTATGCGTTCCTAGTATAAAAGGACCGAGATGTCTTCGAGAACTCATGATGGCATCTCTTCCCACCCACCCCGACAACTCGTTTCTCTACTCTCCTAGTAGCACCACATTCGCTCGCTCCTATTAACAATGCGTTCATTCATCTTAACTTTGTCGGCAGCAGTCGCCGTGACGGCTCTTCCTGATGTCACCGTCGTTCGCAAGGAGCTCACTTGCAGCAACTGGCCGTTCTATCGTCAAATGAACAGCGTTGCGGGACCATTCAGTCTCTTCGCCGACTCTACTGGCAACGCCGATATTGACGGCAACAGGGCTTCCTACGTCACCATAAGCGACTCATCAATTGCATCAGGCTGGGTATGTAACACCTCCTACAACATATCTCCACGAATACCTAACTAATCCACTCTTAAGATTGGCATAACATCCCAGAAGGGAGTAGCAGTTCCCTACATCCAATGCCAAGCCTTTGGTAGCGCTGAGATGCTCGCCGTGAACTACAACAACGTATACCAGCCCCTGAGCATTTCGGAGTACTTCTACCATGAGTACGACGGCCTGGTATTCATGAAGACCACCGCAAGGGGCGCCCCGATTGAACCACACTGGCACTACTACCCCAACGGAACGCGCCAGGCCGGCACATTCCTAGGGTTCAACAACTCGACGACGTGGGCGTACCTCCTCGACAGCACGTCGGGGAAATACCGAATCCGTCTCCTGACCGATACCTCCAAGCCGTTACTTAGTGGGGAGTTTACCGGTTTCGTGCGAGCTGGTGACCCGAGTGTGTCTGACTAAAGATGACGAAGGTATAATGATGAATCTAGGCAGGATGACAAGAAACGTATGATAATGTCTAATGTATATCTATCTGCTAGATAATCAAATTACTATTGCTCTTCGAATGAGAGTAAACTTACATCTGATCTGCTGTATCTGAAATTCAGTGTTCCGCACTGCTTAGCTTCTCACCAACCATCTAAAAAAAGAAGAGAATCAAACAATAGGTAGGGTAGATATTACATGATTAGCTTACTTGATATAAGAATGAAGGACATAGAACGTACCTATATATCTTTCGAAATTTGATTCAGTCTAGGTAGAGAGCATCCAGAATGGAATATCCGGCAATCTAGAAGCACGGGTACCTATTTCACCCCTAAATGCCATAAACCCCATCGACCCATAAACCCCAGACAGATACCATTACGATTAGAATTACCGTTTCCCCAACCTAGTTCTGTACCTATCCATTCACATCTCGCCATCTCACACAAACGCGATTCTCAGCAGCACAACACATCCTTCAAACTATCTTGACTTTGATCTAGTACAGCACAGCACATACAATACAGCCTAGCCAGCTGCATCTCAGCACAGCAATCACTCACACCATCTGATATATAACCTTCCCTCATCCCATTCTTCCCTTTCAAAAAGCCCCTCCGGTATCAACAGCAACCAATCATACAACAACAACAAGCCACCACGAAATTTAAACCACGCCTCGGCATTTCGACGTGCGAACCAAACAAAACAAAAAACCAACTAGATGTCCATACAGACATCCATGTACCAATATATATATAAATATAACAACACGTCTTGCTGGACGTATCGGAAGAACATAGCTCGCTCCGCTGCAATGCATCCATCTCATCTCGTCTCATCTCCGTTTCGGGGTATCAAGTTAAGTCCTCCCTTCTCTCAATGGCTAGCTTCGGTTGGCGACATATTTTTAGCTTCCCCTTCCCCCTCGTATATCTCTTCGACTTTCTCCCCAGGGACCTGCGTAATTGGGCTGAACTGGTCTACCTCCTCGATGTCTTCGTCGAGCTCGATATCACCGATTGCTTCTTCCGCGTCCTCGTCTTCTTCCTGAATCGTGATCTCGCCGCTCCTTCTTGCCAATCCACTTGCGCTCGCGCTCCGGCTGTGGCCGCCGGAGCTGGTACCGCTGCGAGGTGGGTTACCGATAGAGAGCATAGGTCCCTTAAATAAATTGCGCTTGCGTTTCGCAAATAGGACTGAGGGACTATTTGATAAAAATGGATTGGGAGATCCGGGAGGATTTTGCGACGAGGGTTTAGAGGGCATGCCTTCGTTGAAGTTCAGCGAAAGTGCTGGACCGCGGACGAGACGAATGTTGGATGGAAATGACGTGCTCGTTGGCGTGGCCGGAAGGACCTTAACCGAGTGATGGGGCGAGCGTCCAGGAGTCTTCGTAGTCGACACTGACCCGGTAGAGCTGGTTGAGCTAGCTTTTGAATGTGAGTGATGGTGATGTGGCATTGTTCGAATGGAGGAAAGAGAAGATGAGGTTGACTTTCGTCCCCGGAGACCAATAGACGAACGACGGATCGTAGAGCGTGGCGTTAAAGGTACAGGCGACAGAGATTGACGCTTATATGACGAGGCGCCGGATGGCATACGACGTGGTCCCGGATTAGAAGCCATTGAAAGCGGCGCCGGTACAGGCTTCCTTGTCGGATTACCACCACCAGCACTAGAGATCTTCACAATGCCGTTAGGTAGCGGCGAAGTCCCACCACTCGATGCGGTAGTGCCCTGTGTAGAGTGTGGATACTTAGATGTATGAGGCCGAGGGCTCTGGTCTTTCGGGTTCTTGTTACCACCAGAATGGCCATCTTTGGCGGCTAGGTTGGGTGTTGACATACTACCTCGTTTATTAGGTCTATGCCGCCTCGTACTCTCGACGATCCAGTGAGTCCAATTCTTCCACGTTGCAACGATTGCCTGGGACGGCTTCTTTCTAACTTTGGGGGGAGGATTCGTTTCTTGTCCCTCATTTCTGTTTAGCGCATCTGAAGTAGTTACGAGGTGAAGCGTCGAACCTCTAGATCGTGCACTTCGAAGGATCCCTTCTTTTGGGGGAGGTATGGGACGCTGGTGACGGGACGAGCTGACTGATCGCACGGAGTCTTTATCAATAGGAGGCGGCGGTGTGTTAGTATCAGGGCTTAAATGGTTCTTAACCAGAGACTCGGGCAAGTCAGGTAGCTCTGGGACTTGGTAGTCGTTGTATTGAGCACTCCTTCTTTCTGAACGTCCTCTGACCTTAGGTAAGGGTGGTTCCCCTAAAAAACCAGAGCCACTAGGATCTTCATCCAGAATCGGAGCCATTCGCTCGAGCTTGCTAGATGCTGCTGAGAATCGACGCGAATTTCGATTCTCAGATTCCTTTTCCTTCCTCCTCCTCTCGCGTCGGCGAGCTTTCCTCTCTTCCTTCTCCAGCAACAATGTCCACCAACCAGCTAACGCATCGCACTTCTGGGCCAGAACACTCTCGATGACAGCATCGATATCTACGCCCGCGCTGCGCATCCTTTGTAAACAGTCCTTCTCTAGATGTGTCGCAAAAGGAGGGGGCTGGTGTAGCTTAAGGATCGCTTGTTGCTGAGGGGCATATTCTGAGAGGAAAGTATGAGAAAGAATCTCGGGAAGTGTAGGTCTTAGTAGCGGTCGTTTCGAGAGGAGGAGCTTAATTAAGGAAACTGCGTCAGGGGGCAAATGTTCTGGATATTTCGGCTCGTCCGAGAGGATCATGGTTCTTGTGGTATTATCGTCGTCGTCGTCGAACGGCAGCTCGCCGCATAATAGCGCATAAAGAATCACACCTAAGCTCCACACGTCAATTTTTTCACCAGCGTACTTCTCCCCTTTCAGCATCTCCGGTGCCGAGTAACAGATTGTACCACAGAATGTCTGCAAATAGTTTGCTTTGCCTTCGTATTCTCGCGTAAACCCAAAGTCGACCAATTTCACGTTCTCGTGTTTATCTAGCAAGATATTTTCAAGCTTCAGGTCGCGATGGACGCAGGACTGTTGGTGGACGTAGGAAACTGCGCCGACGAGTTGGGTGAATATCCTCTGAACCTTTTCGGCCGGTAGACGGCCATGTTTAAGGAGGTAATTATAGAGCTCATCGCCTAAAGCCGGTCAGCAAGGGTCTGGGATTATAATATACTGCCACCGTAACGTACCTGGGCAATACTCCAAAACAAGCCATACGAGGGTTTCTGTCACTATTATTTCGTATAAACGCGCAATATGGGGATGGACGAATTGACGGTGGTGGTGGATCTCTCTCGCGAGATTCGCGTCATCCTTGTTGGCTGACTTGAGGACGACCTGCTACGATTAGGAGGGTTGTCTTAGGGATATCGAGTAGAAGCTTGGAAGCCCAGCAAGACCAACCTTGGAGCCATTCGTGAGTTTGTGGGTTGCGAGATAGACCTTGCCGAAGGAACCCTTCCCTATAAGCTTCCCTAAGGTGTAGTTCCCGACATTCTTAAGATCCTTGTTCGAGAATTCACTGTCAGGGGTAAGAGATATCAGCACCAAAGCCCTTCAAAACTGCGCAAACAATGACTCTAACTTACTCGAGTAGCTCCTGATACGAGTTCGCGAGCTAGATATACGTAATAAATAATCGTCAGCACTGGAGCTTTCTCAACGTATCGTATCGGTTGTGGTCTGCACTACTAACTTTCGCCTTTCGTCCCAGCGCCTCGGCCTTGGCTTTATTTGTCTGCATATCCCTCTACTACTCTTCTTCAGAGCCACCCGCTCCCTCCGAAACGACGCTGGATATAATGTATTGGTGCCCCAAGATATAATGTCGACTGGGTTGCGGGTTTAAGGAATGATCCGAGACCGCGGGTTACGGCTCGGGAATGGCGATCGGCGCCCGACCGAATTCGAAGGCTCATGAATAAACTTGATGGCTACGTTACGAGACAGGAGGTTCGTAGCTACTCCGATGTAGCCACGATGTAGACAAATAGAATATATAACAGACGGGATTGGTGCGAAAATGGGAGGTTGAATATATAGTTGTTCAGGGGTTCTCGATTCTCGTCGGTATCGTTCTCGCGTCGTGGCAATTGATGTATGTCTTAATTAACCAACTTTCGATGATGCAGTTTGACAGGTACGGAGGTTCGTAGATGGTTGTCGGAAATATACAATTCTACCTAATCTAACACGTATGTTCCTCTTTCTTCCTCAATAATTGAGGCAGAAGATTTCCTCGAGGCAATGATGATTGAAAGCGGCACAGGTTTATTACAATTAAGTCAAGATTTAAGAATAATAATTGGGAAAACTTTCTAATCCCATCTTTCCCTCTCTCGAGCCGGCCGAAGGCAGGGACGGGCAAGGATCGCCATCACCCCGACCAAAATGCATAAGAACGGGGCTGCCCGAGCTCGACAGCTGACATTAGGGACATTAGGGACATAGCAACTGCGCGATCATCTCATGCAGGGGGTGGTTTTAGAGTACTAGAGTACCTAGATACAATTATTTGGGGGAAGCTCGTTATCGATACGCAGTTTCTTATTCAACCGTTCATTGGAGGATGACCAATTATGGTCTTACGAAAACCCTGCTTCCCCACTCCCCTGCAATTACTTAAATTGAAGCTAAGCCAGAATCGAAACACTGACGTCTATTCATCTTCAAAATAATTCTGTCCTAATATTCCTCAGTGTTGAACAATTAACACCTAGAATAACGCTTAAATGTCTCGTTAGAATACCCTAGACTTTGCTTTGCACCTTGCGACAATGACGAATAATGAGTTCGCATATATTAGCATCATACATCACGATCTCAAATATTCGCACACGCTTTTACCCCATCGTACGCCACCCTTATAAATCCACATCCCCGGAGCATTTCCACTTTTAAGCCCTTCGATGGCATCAGCTAGTTCCGGTCCGAGTCCTTCTGCCTTCATGTCCTTGACAGGGTATAGATAGGTCTTGAAAGAGAATAGAATAGCTCTCGTCTTGGGCATTCGTGTCAGCGTCTGTAATTCCATTCTAACCCAGGCCTATTTGACGTTAGTGGGTGCTAGATTTTTACTGTCATCCCAGCAGACTCACCTTCTCAATATCAATATCCATATTCTCCTCTACTTTGTCTCCTTCGTGGACGTGGTTGGTAGAGATGTTAAACAGCTCGGAATTTGTCGTCACCGACCACTACGCACTCATGTCAGCGATTTGATGATGATGCCGCCGTACCTAACCGAAAGCGAAACTCACATTGACCCGGGAAGCACCTTTGCCAACTTCTAAACGGCTGAAATATCTCTCCATGCTTGGGCCGATCTTTTCATATGATGGAACAGGTTGGTGGATATCTACCAGTAATTTGCCTATTTTGGCCGCTGGATCAAATCCGCTGGGACAACAACACACGAAAGCGATGCATTGATGGCCCTCCGGTGTTTCACGTAGGAAGAACATATCATCCTCGACCGTCTGGCCGAGGCTTCGGAGCGCCGTTATCGGGTCTTCGGGGGGTAAGAGCGGGAGAGTAGCGCCGGTAACGCTGTTCCGAAAGGATTTCTCGTCCCTCGTGAAGAGAGTAGGATATCTCGTGGGGAGATACTCCCCTAGGAGGTACGTGTATACCTCTTGAACAGCCTCGACACCATACGGCATACAACCAAGAGTATGGTTCTTATGCTTTTCCATTACCACTTGGCGATCCCGTAGACGAGATTGATAGTTCTGGTCGATTATTATGAGCTCGGACGGAGTTGTCGACCGGAGTGCTATGCTGAGTATTAGTATCATAGGGTCGCTATCAAGTTCCAACCGCTTCAGCGGCATACCTACCCATGGTTATGTAGTAGATTGGTTTGAATGGTCGGAATTTCTGTGGCTCCGTAGTCTCCCAGTTGAACGCTGCAAGGGGCTTGATGTTGGGGTTTGATTGAAGCCCCTGGCTATTCTTCTTAGGGGACACGGTAACGGTTTTCTAGATGGCATTCGATTAGTCCTCATCCATTTATTGAGCATCTACCTAGGTAAGTAAGTCAAATATAACGGCGTTGCTTGCCTTCGTGTAAAGTGTCCATATCCATGTAATAGCCGCCAAAAGGCTTAGAAAAGCTAACACAAACACAAATAACATAGTTCCCTTCAAGTTCAAGCGTCGATTAAGATATTTAAAACTAACACGTTCAAGTTAGATTTATTGTTATATGATTATTATCACAGCGGTGATACTTATGAGAGGTGCTTGCCGATTTATACCCGGCCTACTATGTAGGTCGATAAGGCGCTATATAGAACCCCCGCAATCGTGATGCGGAGATATGGAGCTACAGATAACAAGCTTTGATTACCTATGACATTATGAAAATAGATCAGCTATGCCGATGCCGGGCGATTCAAAGCTGATCTTATTCAAGGACCTATCCTAAGGTTGGCTGAGTCTTGGATTATTTCATCAGATTTCTCTAGGGTATCTAAAGGGATGAATCTAGTATATGGGAAGTGTACGGCATTTTAAGGGGTAATAAATAGGGGTTCATGTCATGAATATTGACCACGATATTCTTAGTAAGAGTCATTTCTAACATACGATAGCAAAGTATCTTCGGTTTCCTATTCCAAGAAATGGCACATATTGTTAGATATATACCTACTTATATACCAGGTAGGCCGAAGAGAAAAATATCCATCACAACTCCTCTCTTCAACGACGAGGAAATTAAAGCGGCGACCAGTACACCTAACCCTGACATCTTACTAATACCTTATCCTTGAGGCTTATCGTTACCCGGATTATCCTTCGCAGTCGACATCATACCATGCTCCTGGGATGCTAAGAATTGGGTCCTCAACCATATTCCAGAAGTCCCCCGCAAATTCATCCGTAGGCTCGTTCCATAACACTTTCCAGTCGTCCACATCGGGTCCAAATTGAAAGCTTATCAACCTCAGGTAGCCCAGCCAGCTGAACTCGGACATATCAAGATTCTTCCGAAAATAAAGCCGTTTAAATATGGCGAGATATTTGAGGTTATTAGTGCAGAGAATCCTCATCTCTTCGCGTCCATACTCGATGAGATCTGTGCCAATTGTTTTTAGGAAAGAAAACCAATGTCGAAGATCCGTTTTCAACAAACGTTCAAATTGTTTCTTACCACCAAACAACGCGTGATGGCCCCCAGATAGAATTATGTATAATAGAGGCGTCAGTTGTATAGTACCGTTAATTTTCAAATACTTGAATTTTCCTGCGTCTAGAGCCATGGATGAAAGGCTGTTTATGTTTGATCCACGATAAATACTAGAAGCAAAATTAATCCACTTTTCAATCTCGCCTTCCTGGGTTTTGGTCATAGTCGGTTGTATATCGAGGGCCGAAATAATATTTGCTATAATGTGACTTAGCCGTGTGGGATAACTGTCGAAATCGTACACTGCGTCGAGATCCTTGTCGAGATCTAGACCGAGGATATATTGAAACGTTTCGAATTTAAATTGAGCTCTCAATTTTATTGAAAATACCTCCACTCTAAATAGTCGAGTATAGAATGGCGTTTCATCGTGAGCTGGGCAGGTGATGGACTGTAGTTTTCGGAAATCATCCGCATTTGCTACAGGTATGCATCTACAATATCCTCGATAATCTTCAACATCTCGCGTCATGAAGAGTTCGGACGACATTAACGAAATATACTCCGACCACATATGAGGATCACTAGGAATCGTGTAGTTTACAACCCAAGGAATGTAGTCTATCGCGAGACTTTATAGTGGGTTTTCATATTAGCTAGGAAAGGTTGGTCAGGATAGTATGGCATAGACTTACCAACTTTCGCCATCTTGGCAGTCTATATCAAGGCTCATCTCTTTCAGGAATCTGATTACATTTACTGACATTGTTTGTACAGCGATCTGTGCAGGTATTCCTTAGTTGGTGTAACAAATAAAAGGTACATCAGATAGCTTACATGTAAGATACTTGATCCAATCTCGTTGCGATCAAATGGTGAAGCGTCCCCTGTGCGAAACATAGCTTGAAGCTTCTCTGTATCGTCCCAGCGTACAACGTCGAAAATCAATGATTCATTTGGCCTGATAGGATAGCTTTGTAAGTGGAATTTCCAGCCCGAATATGATTTGACGATATTGAAAGACCACGCGTCCAGTATACCCGTAAGCCACCAAGGGGGTTGGATATCAACGGCGACGCCATCTGATGTTGATGCAATGTCGACAACGCCAAATACAGGTGATTCTTTCCAGACCCTTAATCTTCCCTTCTTTAAAGGAGGCGCAGCCTCTATACTCCGGGGACTCCAGTCAGTGGAGCGATGTTGATGCTTCGTTTCCTTATCGTTCATTTCTGTGTCATTGGCACACAGGCTATTCGGGCGCCGGACTGTATCTAATTGTAACATAAGTTTGGAAGCAATAATGTCGGGTTGGAGTTTCACAAGTGTTCTAGGACCTATTAGAAGCTGGACGTGTGGAGATATGAGCATAGGACTTACACAAGGTATCCTTGTTGAGCAAGCTGAAGCAATCTCACAGCACTTTCCAAGCGCCTTTCAAGATCTCGAAGCCTATCCTTTTTTAATAAGACTTTGACGCGTGATATTCCACGTTCGGCTCGCCTTTTTGAGTTGATTTGTGAAGCTAAATCGTCAGCAACGTCTGTGAGCTTCCGCAGAGCCTTGCGACAGTATTTCGCGCTTCGGATCGCGGCTGTGTCGTTCCAGAGACAAGGAGAAAGCTGATTTTGGATAAAGTGCTGCTCGGCTTCCCAAAGCGCCGGATCTAGACAATCGATCTGTTCCATCAAGTCCGCTACATTTTCGGGGATATCCTGTACCTCATCCCATAGTCGTTTGAGCTTTATAACTGTGCCTGCAGCCTTGCCAGCTACTTGGGCAACGGCAATGCTACTAGCAATTACACCCAAAGCCTCAGCCATGAGATGTGATTATGTGTTTAGTAAGCATACTATAGGTAATCAGAGACACTTACGGGAGTTAGATGTTGGTCATGTGTAACCAGATGATTTCTATACTAGAAATTAGTGGTAGCGCAGGGGTGGGATTGATGTGGCGAAGTAAATGAGGAGAGGGAAAGCAAGAGGGCTATGCTTTAGGTAGGTACCTATACATTGATAAGTCACCAGGGCGTTTTAATAATTTGGGTCATTGTTATTGGCCGCATGGAATATTTGGCCTTTTTCGATCGGCTGACTTCTAAGTTGCCTGCTACTGTTTGAAGAGGATCATAGAGTGGGCAATAAGAACAAATCCGCCAACCCATCAATTCAATTAATGCATTGAGTATAATACGGTATAATACAGTACAGTCCAATACATATTCCACACGGTGCCTTCAATTTTACAGTGGGTCATAGCGCTATAGGGCTCTCAAAGCCCTGTAACTTATAAGCTTCATAGCGCATTAGCTCCTTATAACTTATAGGTGGCTTTTAGGTATGTAAAAGCCCTGAAACTAGCGCTATAACCTTCTAAAGTTATTATTAATATTTCAACCTTTTCGAAGTGAATTAAATTAATTGATTGATCTGATTTAATCGATTAATTCGATACAGTTGAATGCGTAATAGGTAGGTAAGTAAATAAAGATATACGCGTAATAGTTCAAAACGAGGGGTTTATGTGAGCCTTATTAAGGAGCCCTGGAGGTATGTAAAAGGCTATACGCTATAAACCTTATAAACTACAGGGGTTTCCAGCGCCTTGTAGTGCTATAACCCACTGTAAGATTTAGGGAAAATAGAAGCGTGGAGATATTATGGCTATAATAGCAGTGAAAATAGTTATTAATTAGTAGGTAAATACCTAATACCTAGTAGTAAAGCTTACGCTCTAATCCATGTACCTACTTTGATACAAAGGTTTAAATCATAGCTACTAGGTAAGTATGCAAGTGTTTATCAATCCTATTTATTAAATAAGTAAAATATATTCATTCGTACTTTTGCTATTTACTACTATATAATTAAACCATTTCGAACCTTTAGGGGGCAATTAAAAGTTGTATTAAATATAATGTGTCAGCCAAATTGTCGTTGTTTTAAAGTTCTATGGATAGATTTTAGGTACTGTAAGGCGCTGCATTGGAACAAATTTAGGTCACTTTAGGGGGAACTTACCTACTAGGTAAGTACCTAGGTAACCACCTAGGCAGCATGTAAGGACCCGCAACCATACCCGGACCTGCCTAGGTACCTATGTAGGTGCCTACCTTGGCTGAATTCCCCCTATTCGCATTTTTAAATATCTTCAATCTTCGCATCTTAAATCATTCTTTCTCATGAATAGACCCTAAACTTTCTCCATTATATTGTTCAACCGATTAACATTATATAGGTAAAAATAAAATTAAAAAGGAATTTAGCAGGACTTGTTTCCCTAGGTTGAAGAGTTGTATATTGCGCGCCTTTTTTTATGGCGTTAAAGTGAGGATAGTAGAGCAAGCGTACCTATAATCCTAACCCCAACCCCAACCATCGGCCTGAGAAACCCAAACTTACCTACCCACGAATGGAAGGAGATATATAGGTAAATAGTTCCGGGTATACGCAATCTTAGTAAAGGAAAATGATGACAGTAATTGTCCAAGAGGTAGGTAAGTACATTGGTACCGAATGTTTTTAAAACATTCTCATCAATTCCAAAAATATCGTGACAATAGGGGTACCCACCCACTTAGTAAATCTACAAATAAACGCATCTGCAATAACTGGGTAGATAGGTAGGTGCCCACCTAGGTATCTAATCTTAAAAAATTAGGTAACCGGGGATTGAATAAGGAATAGCTCCCAAGAGAAGATGAGAAACAATAATTACCAAAATATTACCCAAGTCTAAACAGGAAAATTGAAATCATTCGAAGGATCGTCAAAAGGTGATCACTTGAGGGTGCTCTATTTTGAGAAATTGCGGGAAATGCAGGTCGCTAGGTAGTTATGAACAAAAATTCAATAAATCTAAAGCAAAATGACTTATCAAGTTCAATACAAGCAGCGTAATGGTCGCGCCTAACGATATACTTGCCTACCTAGGCAGTAGGCAAACCGTAATCATCGTTGCAATTTTTTATCAGATCATCTTATCAGCTTGGCAGGATGCATCCATATCCGCATTCAGAACCAGAACCGGAGCGGGAGAAGGTGGGACGACCAGGTATTTACGTAAATGGGGACGAATTATACAGAGCCAGCATCGACGAAGATCGGGCGTAGGGTCTCATTAAGCAAACAAGCCGGCATTTCTCCACTATAGATAGTTATCAGATCCGAATGATTTGCGTCTAGCGACGGCAAGCTAGTTCTGTAGTTACATTCGTATATTAGGTAGAGAACGCCCAGTAAGTGCCAAGGGATCTTGGCTATTGCTAGATGAAAAATTTCTAGCCGGTTGCGGGTTGCGCTAGCCACGATGTGCCAGTCCCTACTGCTAACTTTTTTCCCTCCCGCCTTATACTAATCGCTTAGGGGCAGCCGCAGCCTTAAAGATTCGTCCCGAACGACTTGACAACATGTGTGGTTGTGATCTTCAATCTACTGTCTTGGGAGACATCGTAAATCATGGCAGTGGACAACACCGACGGTAATAGTCGGGCCAACAAGTCCACGGAAGAACCAACAGTGAGTCTTGTTTCGACTCTATTTCCTCCTACTACTTCTGACTGTTATACTCCTGGCGCAAATTCTAATTCATCGCGAGTAGAGATGGCAAAAAGCTCTTACCTTCTTCCGGCTCCTTCTCTGCACGGAACCGACATGGCTCGATGTGACTCTCATGGTCGCCGGCTTTATCTTCGCGATCGCAGCTGGTGTCCCGTATCCGCTCATCGCCATTCAATTTGGCAGGCTTGTCGATAATCTCAACGGGGCGGCGTGCGACGTACAATCGAACATCGACGCGACTGAGTATCAAGGAACTATTGCCAGTGTCCTCACACAGCTCGTAGCCATTGCAGCTGCCCAATTCGTCCTTGTTTACCTACACTCTGTCTGTTGGAACATCCAGTCCCAGCGTTTGATGCACCGACTGAGGGATCGTTACCTCCGACACCTCCTCCGCCAGGAACCTGGGTTTTTCGACAACAAACACGCTGGTGAGCTGAGTGCTCGACTAGACGAGGAGTTCACTGCCATACAAACTGGGACGAGTGAGAAGGTTGGCCGGCTTATCGGTCAACTAAGTTTCTTCGTTACTGCCTACATCGTCGCATTCATAAGGCAGCCCGTACTGGCCGGTATCCTCGTATCACTTGTTCCCGCCTTTCTGCTATTGACTGTTGCCGGAAGCTATTACTTTAAGAGATTTGCTGGTAAATCAGCGGTATCATTCGCCGCGGGTGGTTCCATCGCATCGGAAGCCCTCTCCCACATCTCCGTCGTCCAAGCATTCGGCGCTGGGCCGAGACTAGAAGCCAAGTTTTCGAGGCACATGGCACTTGCGCGCAAATTTGGTATTAAGAAGGCGCTCGTAGCCGGCGTACAGGCAGGCTTATTGTATTTCATCTCTTATAGCTCGAATGCTCTCGCGTACTGGCAAGGGAGCCGAATGATTGCCGACTCCCTGAACGGAAAAGGTAGTGCGACATTTGGTCAAATATACAGTGTCGTGTTCTTACTCGTCGATGCTTGTATAATAATTGGTGGTCTCGCTCCGTTATTCCCCATCTTTGGGGCCGCGTCTTCGGCTTATGAGCGAATAAAGGCGGACATGGACCATCGCTCGTCTATCGAATGCGATACTGGAATTAATCTGCCCTGGGATACAGCTGGTCGCATAGAATTACGCGATGTGTCCTTCTCGTACCCATCCAGACCCGAAACCTTGGCTCTGAAAAATGTGGATTTGACCTTTGAGCCTGGAAAATATACAGCAATCGTTGGCCAATCAGGGAGTGGGAAGTCTACGATCGCAGCCCTACTAGGACGACTCTACAATCCGATAGATGGCGAAATGTTTTTTGATGGAGCTGAATATAAGTCGCTAAACGTACGCAATCTACGAGGTTTTGTGAGTCTCGTCCAACAGGAATCTGAGCTTTTCGATCGCTCCATATTCGAAAACATCGCTCTTGGACTTGTAAATTCTCCTCGACCCGAACACGAGAGCCTCCGGTCTGTGGTCGCGGGAAATGAATTACAGAACTTCGTGTCTAGTTGCAAGGATGATCTATTGAACGAAGCGGCGCGCACAGGGGGGGCAATTGCGGAGGTGGCAGTCTTGGTCCAGAAAGCGGCTAACTTAGCTGACCTTTCCTTTATCGATCGTCTCGAGCAGGGCTATAGTACAAGAGTCGGTGTTGGTGGAAAGCTAGTAAGCGGTGGGCAGCGGCAACGCATCGCCCTAGCAAGAGCACTCATCCGCGACCCCAAGATATTGGTTCTCGATGAAGCAACGGCATCGCTCGACTCAGCGACTGAGAAACGAATCCAGGCGGCAATTGATCGCGTAGCCCTCGACAGCAGCCGGACCATCGTCTCTATCGCGCACCGACTCTCCACGATTAAGCACGCCGACAACGTTATCGTGATGCAAGATGGTGAAGTGGTTGAACAGGGTACCTATCACGAGCTTCTAGAGAAAGGGGGAGCTTTCACCCGCCTAGCTACGCTGCAAGGGTTAGACAAATCAACAGGAAAGACATCTTCGGAGATATCATCACTCAATACTACGGACGTGGAATCCCTGAGCGACATAAATGAAAAATCCGGGTCAATCTTGTCAGACACAACTAAAGAGGTCGAATCCGAGAAGACTGATCTGGTCCAGGTAAATATCCAAGGTGCATCGAACACAGCCGCCCCAGGAGGTATTGATGACGCTCTTCCTTCAAAGGCCATAATCTCCGGCATAAACAAACTCATCAGACCGGACTACAGCTGGTTTGTTCTGGCTGTGCCTGCTGCTGTCGTAGTTGGCTGTACATTCACCGCTATGGGTTTGATATTCGGCCACACCGTCAGTGCTCTCAGCGCCTGCAACGCCACTATATCTGACATCCTTTACTACGGTCGCTTCTTCGGGGGGCTCGTATTCATGTTGGCAGTAGTCGAGTTCTTTGCTAATTTGGGCAGCTGGTCGGCGTTCGGTCGGCTATCGGAGAATCTGGTTTATCGAATTCGTGTGCTTAGCTTCCGGACATTGATGGAGCAGAGCGTTGAGTGGCACAGCTCAGGGAGCCGACTTGGAGTTATAACAAAAGATGGTGCCTCATTAGCAGCGTTCAGCGGTAGCATCATCGCTACAACTTTCTCGATTGTGATCAATTTCTTCGTGGCTATTATTGTCAGCCATGCCTTCGCATGGAAGATCGCCATTGTAGGCCTGGCCTTGGTGCCTCTCCTACTTGCAGCAGGAATTCTTCAGGTCCGAGCCACTTCACGGCATTTGGAACGAAGCCACAAGGCATTTGTGGACGCTATAGGAATCACAGTTGAGGCGGTCAACCAAATCAAGACCATTGCAAGCTTCTCACTCGAGGACGAAGTCGTCAATAGATACCGGAGTGCTTTAGAAGGACCAAGGGCTACCATGATTCGAGAGTCCTTACACACTTGCATATATCTGTCTATCTCGACTAGCACAGGCTTCTTCATATATGCTTTGTCTTATTGGTGGGGGTCGCAGCTTATCATACGCGGCGAATACGACCAGACAAAATTCTATGTGGTCCAAGTAAGTCTTCTCGTTTCCGCTTCGCTCTGGGGTCAGATGTTTTCTCTGGCGCCCGAATTTGCTCGCGCGAAGAGTGCAGCGTCGAGGACGCTAAGTCTCATCAAACTTGGGTCCGATAAAAGGCTCGCCAAGCCTTCCGAAATTCTCGGCGCGAAGGACGATAAAGAAAATCGCGACATCGAGGCCGAAGCAGAGAGCAAGCCCTCATGGGCAAAATCAACGAGTTCCAAGGGTGTGAGTGTCGCATTCCGAGATGTCCACTTTGCCTATCCCTCCCGGCAGGACCAACCGATTCTCAGAGGCCTTTCCTTCGCGATTCAACCTGGACAATTTGTTGGGCTCGTCGGGCCCTCGGGAGCGGGCAAGTCGACAATCATGGGGCTGATCGAACGACAATACTCGCCACAAAATGGGCAAATTGAGGTTGCTGGAATAAACATCGCCGCCAACGATAGTACCAATTTCCGCGACAACATCGCAGTAGTGCCACAAGACAATGCCCTATTCAATGGAAGCATCAAGTTTAACGTCGGCCTCGGCGCCCGCCCTGGCCATGAAGCCACGGATGCCGAGATCGAAGAGGCTTGTCGTACGGCAAATATCCACGATACGATAATGGGGCTCCCACAAGGTTATGACACGGAATGTGGACCTAATGGATCACGACTTTCAGGCGGTCAACGACAGCGCCTCTCGATTGCACGCGCGTTGGTGCGCCAACCTAGCCTGTTACTTTTAGATGAGAGTACTAGCGCACTGGATGCTGAGAGCGAACGGGCGGTGCAGGTCGGGCTTGAGAAAATCGCGCGGCGAATCACGGTTATCGCCATTACACACCGCCTACATACCGTTCAGAAGGCTGACGTGATTTTCATGATCGAAGGCGGGAAGATCCTGGACAAAGGCAACCATGGAGAATTGATGGAACGTAACGAGAGCTATCGGATTAATGCTCTACAACAGATGTTGCAGTAATTTGCTGACCGCATATATATGTATAATAATAGATTCGTATTAATTGAGAAGATATCTCCAACAGCCGACTCACGAATATTGTTCTATGCGCCGGGCTATACGGGCAGATCTCCGCGTCCCGTCAACCCGGCGTGGCCTTGAAATTGGTTCTTTCGGTTTGCTTGAAACAGAAGTTGAACTTGGGGATCCTGCGCGTCGTTTCTGTGGATAGGGGGTCTCCCCACGCGCCAGTATATCGACAAAGGCAGCAATCCTTTTTTCACGTCCGGCTTGGGTCTTCATAGCGTTGAGGCGATAATAAATAAGGAAACGGTTTTGTCGCGATAGGGTGTCGTATTTCGCCTGAGCTGCAGGTACAGCTGCAACAGCAGCGAGGAATTCTGGGGGTGGTTCTGCTGTCGCTTGTCCTGCATAGGCAGCTTCCCAGCGACCATCTGCTTTTGCGATCTCGATAGCGCGACGCCCAGCCTCCGTGACACGGCCCTCTCGCTCTAGCCTAGCTATGTGCTCCACGTTACGCTTAGACCAGGAACTACGCGCTGCTCGTGGTGTGAATCGTTGTAAGTAGGACGAATCGGCGTTGCTGCCCTCGCTCTTGCGAGCTTGCCCGTCAATCCATCCATGGCATAGTGCTTCATCGAGAGCCTGTGCATAAGTGAGTGATGTCGGTAGTGTTGCGCCTTTCTTCGACAGTGTTAGCCAGATACCTTTGGAGGTGGTACCACTACAGAATAACCAATTAGACCACGCAGTTGCGTCGACAAAGGTGAGGAGCGGTAGGTCGACAGGCATGGCTTATGTCAGAACTTAATAAGCGAATTAAGATGACTAACATCGCGAAGTGACTCGGATAATAGCAGCTTAGGTAATGGATGACAACACCTGGCATCCGCGGGTGGTTAGTATTTGTAGTAGGTAGTCTCCAAGATGTTATTCATTGAATATACTACGAAAATCATCGCGTATATAGGTACATGTTCATAAGTAGATATTCAATGCGTAATAATTTTAAGGGATGTTAGATAGAAAATAGTAAGAGGAAGAAGGTTTAGATGGTGATCAAGATTACTCTTCAATTTTAGAACTAGGCAGATTGGCTTACCTCATCCGCTCTCGAAAGTCACGTGGATTCATGCTAATGCTGACTAACCAATTAACCCCTATTTCCATATTACTAATCGATCTAAACAGTCGCGAATCTCTACCATTCTCCCTAGGTAGCCATTGAGATAGATCACTTTTAACTCTTATAGGGATTTTTATAGTGCTATCACAATTCCAATATGTCGTAATATTTCTTATACCTAGGTACTAAGTAGAACTTAAGATGAGGAATAGAAAAAGATCGGCCCTTCTCAAGCCAGCCATAAATCTCTACCCCTGCCCTACGAAGCATCCGCGTTGTTAATAACTACCTATCTCAATAGAAAATTATCCTCTTACCATATCATCACTTAAGGTCAACTAAGAACTCTTCCCACAATCTATCATTAGCAAAATCGAAGAATGGCGCCATGTAGTCCTGGTCTGATACTGTGACTTCCGCTCCGATTCCAGACGGAGCATTCCTATATGCAAAAGGGGGTTCTTCCGCCCCCCCCCTTCTGGAGTAATCCTAGCAGTAGCCCGTATTCTAAAAGTTCGCATCAGCCCAGCAACCTGAGCAAATAAGTTATCATTAGCCTTCCATATTCGCGGCCTGCCTGCTCTAGTAGTTCGGCAGTACGGTCGATCACCGTATGTAGGTCTACCGTATCACGAACAGCTTTGTGATCCCACGCCGGATTCTCTAGCGTAGATAAACGGTAATGAATCACAATATACCGCGCCTGCTGGGCCCAGAAAGGGAACGAAAGAGGTGAAAGTTCCAATGGTGACAAGGTGAAGGATATATCTGGCCATGATTTAATCACATTGAAAGATCGCCATAAACATTCCAAACGTTGGAACCCGGATATGTGGCTGTTTTCACTAACGTGAGGCATAATCAGAAGGAGCGCATTGGAGTTTGCGGTGTGTGCTGCTTCATTTATGCAGAGATTGACATAATGTACTTGTGCCAGTAGGATATATATTATTTAGAGAGTAGTTAATGTATGAGTGTTCAAGATGTGCCCTGATAAGACTTTCAAAGATTCCAATTTCAGTATTAGGTCTGACTTACTAGGTATGTAATTCAACACTAGGCAATATTGAAACTCTGAGCTCCTGCAATTGACCCTACAGCGCATTGAAATAGATAGATGATGGAAGAGGTGCTGCAATTGAATTAGAGTAATTTGCTTCTTGCTGTTCTCGAAGATGCACTGTTCTCCGAGCGAGCAACTGTAGGCGAACTTGTAGTGCAAATCCTTCGTCGGTAGAAGATTCTTTGTTGGACTAAATTGCACGAAGCCCTTCCTCCATCTGAGATGTCCAGCACATGGACGAAAAGGGGTCAAGGAAGAGACACGGAATCTACGGAACTAAAATCCCAATTGATCTTTAGTCCGTATCTACATCATCGAAGTTTAACCACTAAAACACGACAGCATCCATCTTTTTCTCGACATAACCGGTCGGCCCGGAGGAGCGGTAAGGGGACTCCGCCGACCTCCATTGATCCTCTAGGTTTCAACTCCGACCATCTTCGATAGCACGCTTATCGTAGAAAACTATGTAGGCGCTGAGCTTATACATACCTTGAGAATATGTACCATATCTAGTAGGCGAACCGATCAGAATAATGCAGCCAGGGCCAGCCAATTTGAGCCTAGTGAAATATAGTTTGGTGATTGTGGCTGCAGGCCTAAGAATGCCCACTAAGTCCGACATATCCGACCTGGCTGGTACTTGTGAATACCTCCATAGGTAATCTGTAGCTCGAGATAAAGCGACGGCTTGTGGCGCATTAGCCATGATCTGACTCCTGCTGCAAGCCGTAGATATGCATCATTGCGGCATATGTATTATGTCGCAAGGTTGATGCCATATACACTACTGGGTGTATGTGTAACGGCGCCATGTTGGTGGCGCGCCAACTAAACGGGTCGTTTGCAGTATGGCGGCACGAAACCAAAAACTTGTGAGACACACGTCATGTCCTACCCCAGTATCTACCAACCTAGCTGCCTAGGTAGATAGGGATCGCATACCCGCTGTCGGAGTACCTATGATTGGTAAAGCGAAGTTTGGATTGCCAAAGAAGGACATCAATGATCAACCCTCTTATCGACCTCTGGATTAGAAAGAAGTGAAGATGAAGAATAAAAATAAGGTTCTTTGTTTAACAACGCGAAAGGAAAATGTGGGGAATTATAACGTGATCAGGTGACCACCTAGAACCCGACCGACGCTATTATTATCTAGATCAAACAAGGTAGGTACTTACTCTTCCACCTTTTCATTTTATACCCTTGTAAGCAAGATAGCCAGAATAGCATCAATGAGATGCTCAATGGTAAGATGGGGAAAGTATAAATGGCATGTATCATATAATAGACTTAACAATTGAGCTACAATAACACAACCATTTTCTTCGCCGACACCCCTTTCTTCTGCAGATCCATTGGCCCTTGGATCTTTTCAAGCCCCCTTCCACCACCAAAGCCTCCGGTGCAGGGATGAACTATCGCACCTCCAACGCCTTCGGCAAGAAGTCACGGAACACCAAACGACTACCCACATTATCAGGTTGACAGATATCCTCACCCTCGACGAACTTAGTCCGCACGCCCGTGAAGCAAGACACGAGCGCCCTCTGCGCAAACCAGAGAACCAAGCCTCCCAGGCGGAACTATAGATCCGGCGAAAGCAATAAACTTGTTATTAACAGACCCGCCCAATCGACGCAATACCTTAGTACAATCCTCAGCAACTCCATCTCCGACGACGAAAGCTCCAGCCACCGTCTTCATCCCCTATAGCGCAGCGACCATATCGTCCACTACGGTAGCGCTGTGGTAGTCGAATACTTTTGTAGCTCCCAATTTCTCGACGTAGGCGAAGTTCTTAGGCGACGCTGTTGAGTAGACCTGGTACCCGGCTGAAACAGCAAGCTGTACGGCGTTGCTTCCGACGCTAGATGCGCCGCCTGCGACGATTACGGCTTTGTTGGCGTTAGGTGGGGTAGCTGGAACCGTAGGTGGGTCTAGCACTAGGAAGTCTTGGTGGAAGAGTCCGCAGGCCGCGGTCAATAGCGCCAAAGGCAATACAACCGCCTCCTGGTATGGCATGAAGTCCGGGATTGCGGCCGCCAGATGCTCACGTATGAGCGTGTAGTGTTGGCAGGCCCTTTCAGCCGGATTATTAGACGTAGGGGCACAAGCGGCTGCTTGGCCTATTACGCGGTTTCTGATTTGGAATGTCTTTACGTCCGGGCCGACCTCAACTACTTCCCCAGCTACGTCGCCCCCGAGAATAAAGGGATACTTGATGTAACTCAATATCGCATTGCCGGCTGACTACTTGATCCAGTCAACGGGGTTAATCGCCACGGCGTAGTTTCTGATCACAATCTCGCCCGCCTTCGGTGGCGTGTAAGAAGCCGATCCGATCTGGAGGGGTTTCACACACTTATCAGGCAGCTATGCTGCATAATTTTCAGAAGACTTGTTTTCAAGGCGGGGTTTCGTGTCACAGATGTAATGTCGAACAGGGAAGAAATCACACAGCCTGTAAGTTAGTTATTTCATTGTCACTCCGTTTCGTATCTTCAGATGAGAATTTCTTGCCAACGGTTTTAAATCAATCGGACTTGGGATGGAGATGAAGTAATGGCGACCAGAACTCGGAGTCCGTTCTTGAGGTTGAACCTCGGTAGGTAGGTACGGAGTACGGAGGTGAGCCCGTTCCTCTTTCCTATCTCAGTAGTTCCCGCAACCAGAAAGAGCACCATAGAAGGTAATAGGCTTAGGTACCTACCAAGTATCCATTAAAATATCTTCATTAGAACTTACCTACGTACCTAGGTATAAATTGCATAGCAAAAGCCTCGACACATCAAATTACAATACCTACCTCTTGTCTCATCCATTTAATTGAGATAATTATAATATGGGAGCGGATAAAGCATCAGCTTACCAAATCTAGTAGGGATACATAAATGGCTAGGAGAACACCTTACTTTGCACAACCCACACTCTGAGACATTTGAATGAGGAGGGCGACCGATAATCCGAGCCTGTCGAGTCCACTAAAGCAAGGTTGTGGCGTTCAACAACCGAGACATCGTTCCTCTTCAATTCCTCTACTCGACAGCATTCCTCTGTTCGATATCGTTAGTGTCCTGTGGCGGTGGGTTGGTACCTATATTAGACGCTGCCGGCAGATCATGTCCACGCGAAGCTATTCATTAATCGGGCTATTTTGAGCCAGCCTTGAGATGACGGAGTGGCCGAGGTGCCGCTCTCTGTGGAGGCCTTTGATTAGATATGAGAAGGTGGAAGAAATTGATGAGAAATAAGAGGTGTGGCAGGTATGCATAGAATAGAAGAAATCGGTTATAATAAAATTGTATGATTGATATTCCTAAATCGCTAATAGTAGGTAGCTAGGGCCGCGATGCTTAGCTGTAGACAACTACCAGGACTCTGTGAGCAACCACCTCCTGGTTTATCGTTACATTATTGTAAAGCCTCACGCAATTTCTGCGGCACTGACATTTTTACTAGCCTGTGAAGAATGCCGACGGCGGAAAGCACGATGTGACCGCGTACGACCCCATTGTGGTACCTGCGTTGAAATAGGCATTGAGTGCATCGTTAACGACAAGAGGCCACGACGGGGACCGAAGAAGGGACAACTTAAAGCATTGAGATATAGGGTTGGTAAGTCTTCACTGCGCCAATAGCCGAAGCCGAATAGGCAGCTTCATATTGATAGTTGTGAACCATGGAATTATTGCTCTAATCATACACGTTCGCGCGTAGGAATACTTGAGCGCCAACTCAAGGACCAGCTGAATAATAACCTTGCACCTCCTGCAGTTGAAATCGATTGCGAGCCCATGGAGACAGTCGCCATAGTATCAGAGTCGGCGGTGTTAGATGATATCGAGCAAGATATAAGTATGAGTACCTATGAATATAAAGACAGGCAAAAGTTATGTTATACCATTAACACTTATATCTACCTATAGTTCACAATCTTATTCCCAACACCGCGGAATGGCATGATACCGGAATGACGACCACTGGAATCGCGGCACCAAGTGTAGATCTAGATTTCAATGCAATGGATGCTACCGAAGGCTTAGACATCTCTGACTTGGTATGGGCGGATTTGTATGTCTCTCCTATCGTCATTTGCCCAGTTTACTAACATCTAACCTAATGAAAACTACAGAGACCTACTCTATTTTGATCGAGTACACCCAGTTCTGCCGATAATACATAAACGGCGTTGTTTCGCGTGGTCTAACGAAGAAGTCCTCACTCCCGCCCGCCTCTCCTTGCGATTAGCTATGGGGGCTCTCGCTGCTGCCTTGTCAACTCAGTTCCCTGGTCTCAGTAATATTCTATACACCTCAACGCGCCGTATACTAGAGACCTCACACAATACTGAGCAAGACCCGTCATCGACGGCGGGACATGTCCCCTTAGAGGAGATCCAAGCATGGCTACTCGTTGCCCATTATGAACTCATGTGCGTACACGAAAACCGAGCTATGATCACAGCCGGACGTGCTTTCCGCCTGGTCCAACTGTCACGATTACACGATATCGATATCATAGACATATCACCCGTCAATATTATAGAAACACCATCTACGCCTACTTCTCTCGCCCAAGACGAGAGTTTTGGTATAGTAGAGGAGAGAAGACGGACATTTTGGCTGGCATTTTCTTTAGACCGCTTTCTCAGCACACGTAACCAATGGCCGTTAACACTACATGAAGAAATAGTGAGTTCCCCCATATCTACCTAGGTACCTAGGTATGTTCGGGCTAATATCAATGATGTGTTAGATCCGCTCCCGTCTACCATCCCCCGAGACACATTTCCAAAACAATATGCCAGTTCAGGTGGATTTTCTACCAGACATCCTAACAAATAGCGATCGGGGTGTCCACTCATCATTTACAGAGTGTATCATATTGGCAACCCTCTATGGGCGTTGTATGGAACATCGGCGGCTGTCGCTTGCATCCTCTCTTTCTACCAATAAGTCACACGAATTTTGGACACGTCACGAACGACTCGCTTCTATTTTGGAGAAACAGGTCCAGATACTAATCTGTTACCCAGCAAATATGTTAAATCTCGACAATCGCAACCCCATGCTAACCTTTTCCCAAATACTGGTCCACAGCGCGATAATCCATCTTTGCATCACTATTGAGATCTATCCTGCTGGAATATTAGGTGGCTGGAAGTCTACGCCCTGTACTTAAAGGGTATATATGTACTGTCTACGAACCATTACTTAGAACTAGTAACTTAACCAATTAATTAATATTTATAATACTCATAATTTGCATTTATTTCAATAGGTTATAAGCCTAGAAGTTTTTAACTATTAATTAAAAACCTTTATTATTATAATAAAATTCCCGAATTAATAAAAAAGTATAAATATAAAATATTAAAAAATAATTATTATAATTTTTATTACGTAAAAAATTCGAAAAAATATAAGTCATTATTATATTTATTAAACACTTATATAATATTTAAAGAAAATTTATAATAATTTTATTATAATATAATATATTAAAACGCCGGTAAGTTTTAAAGTTTAATTAATAAAATTATATTTTAAAGTTTAAATAATAAAAAGTTTATTAAAACGAGTTGTAAACATTAATAAAAATTACGAAATTACGGTATTAAATTATAAACTTTAACGTACTTAAAATTTTAAACCGTAAATTTTAATAAAACCACGGAATGTTTTAAACATTAAAACCACTCACGTAATACGGCGTTTTATTAAAACTTAATAACGTTAAAATTAATTAAAATAATATTAATATTAATAAAATAAATTTATTACGATATTTTTAAATAATTTTTTAATAAATTTTAAAATTATTATTTAATAAAATTATTATTATTTTATTCCGGTTTTTTAAATAATAAAAGAAAATAAATAAATATAGCGATAACGTTAAAATTAATAAAGAATTTAAAATATAACTTTCGAAAAAAATTAATTTAAAAACTACTTTTTATTAAATTTTTTAACGAAATAAATTTTTTTTACTTTATTCGTTAAATTAAAAAGTTAAAAAATAATTATTTAAATTTTTTTAAAAAAAAAAATTATTTTTTAAATTTCGATTATTTACTTATTTTACGCTTTTTCGAATTTAAATTACTTTTTTTTAACGAAATTATATTACTTTCACTTATTAAAAACTTTAAAATTAACTATTTCGATTTTAAAGTTATTACTTTTTTATTTTCGTTAAACTTATTCGAAGAATTTTTTTTAAAAAAAAACACTTTTAATTTAAATAAAAATATTAATATAATTTTACATATTAAATTTCCGGGATTTATAACGATTTTAATCCGTTTTAAAACCGAGTTTAATTTACGTTTTATCGTAAAATTTTCTTAATTATTTAAACTTTTAAAACGATTTAATAATATTTAATAATAATAAAATTATTAAATTTATAATGGAAAAAATAATTACTTTACATTTCTTAAATAAATGGATTTAATTTAACCGGGAAATTTTTAACTTTTTAAAAATCTTCGGGTACGAAAAATTACTCCTTAACGAAATAAAAACGGAACTTTTAATAACGGAATATTTTGATTTTATAAAGTTAACGGTTAACGAATTAAAAAAAAAAATAAAAGTTTAAAACGATAAAAACGATAAATGTATAAACATTATTAAATATAAATTAAAAGAAAACCTTAAAAATATAATTAAAAATTATAAAATTATTTCCATTATATAATAAACCTTAGAAAAAGAATATAAACTTAAAAGAAATGTTATTTTTTAAAATTTAATTTATTAATAAAAATACGTTATTTTAAAGTTTAAAAAAATTATTATTATTTTTTTAATTAAATTACGTTAAATATAAAGTGATTTTAAAAAACTTAACGAAACTTGTGTAATTTTTAAATTTTATTTAATTAATAAATTCTTTTATTTATTTAGTTTTAATTATAATATTTTTTTAACTTTTTTTTTTTAAAATTATAATATTATTTTTAAATGAAATAAAAACGGGATTATTAAAAAAGTTATTATTATTATTAATAACGTTATTAAGTTTATTTAATATAAAAAATAAAGCTTAAAAATTCGAAATTAAAACGAAAAATATGTTTTTTTTTCCGTTAAAAATAATAAACGGAAAATTAAAACTATTTATACTTATTATATAAAAGTTAAACGTAAAATCACGTTTTATAAATTTAAAAAATGTTATTTTAAATATTTTAATTAAACATTTAAAAACTAAAAAAATAAATGTTAAAAAACCTCGAAAACATTAATTATAATAAGTTTTATTATTATTAAACTTAATAAACCGGGCGTATACGTAATAACTTTTTTAATTTTTAAACTTTTTAACGATAATAAATTAATTACTTTCGTAAAACTTAATATATTTTTATAAATTTTTAATGGATGTTTTTTCGGAAAAAACTTTATTATATAATTTATATTAAATTTATTAACGAATAATATAACTTTTAAGCTTATTAACGTTATTATTTAACTTATTTTAAAAAATATTTTAAAACATTTAATATTAAAAGTTATTTTAAAATTATTTAAATTTATGGCATTTTTTCGGGAAAAAAAAAACGAAATAGTTAAATTATTAAAAAAAATTATAATATTAAATAACGAATATAATTAAATTATTTATTGTAATTAAAATTTATTTATTAAATTCGATTTTTACATTAAATTATTAATAATTAAAATTAAAGGGAAAATAATAAAAGTGGATTATTAAAAAACGGCCGTATTTCGAATTATTATAAATAATAAACTTAAAAATGTGAAAATTACAATTATTATTTATTATTTTAATGTAGCTTGTAATTTTTTTTTAATTTTTTAACTCGTTTAAAAAAGTGTTAAATTTTTATTTAAAAAAAATATAACTTACGAGGTAATAAAGGAAAACATTTTTTTAATTATTTTAATAAAAGGTAACGTATATATAATAAATTAAAAAAATAACGATATTAATTTAATAAGTTTTAACGTGGCATTTTACTTTTATTCGATTTTTAATTTTTTATTAAAAGTTTAATATAAATAAATAAAATATTTAAATAACTAAAACCTAAAAAAATTAATAAAAATGTTTATAAATATTATTTATTAAAACGAACATTACTTATACGAATAATGTATATAAAGTACGATAAAAAAAAATCGTATAAAAATAACTTTTAAAAAGATATTTATAAATTAAAATTTTTACATTTAAACGAAATTAAAATATTTATTAATATTAAAAATTATAACGATTATAAAAAATAACTTGTTATAATTTATAACTTTTTTTACATAAATTAAATAATTTCTTTATAATAATTAAAAGATTAATTATTAATTTTTAAAGAATTTTTAAATCGTTAAGAAAAGTTTAAAAAACGTTACTATTTAATTATTTTAAATAAGTTAAGATTTTATATTAATTATAAGTTTTAATAATATTATCGTTAAAAAAAAATAATTATATATTATTTCATTATAAATTAACATTAATAAAATAACGTTTTAAAAAATATTATTAATAAATTTAAAAATAAAACTCGAATTATATTTATATAAATTTAAAATAATGGCGTTTTTAATAAATATTAATTTATTATTATTAATATAATAATTTACATTATAAATAAATCTTTTAATTACTCGTTAAATAAAACTTTTTATAAAGTTTAATACGGTAATTTATTTAATTTAATATATATAATTATAATAAATTTAAACGGTTATTATTTTTTAAATAAAAAAGTAAACATATTAAAAAAACGGACGGTAAATTATAAAATGTTTAATTACGAAAATAATAACGTAAATTATAAAATTTTACGTTTAAATAATAACATTATAACGAACGTTAATAACGTAATGTTTAAAAAAAATTACTTATATATTTTTATAAGTAACTTTATAACGTTAAAAAAACGTTAAAAGTTAAAATTTTTTTTATTTTAATTTATAATAATTCGATATAAAAAAATAAACTTACTTTATAAACATTTTATATAAGAAATCTTTTAAAACCGTAATCGTGAATTATTTTTTAAAGTCGATAAATTTTTTAATAATTTAAAATTAAAATTTATTATTCCGGTTTTAACCGTTTCGGCATTAATTAACCCGGGCTTAATAAATTTAAAACCCGATTTAAATTTTAATTTAAAATTTAATTTCATTTTTAATTTTACTTTTAATTTAACATTTAACTTTATTTTAATTATAACGTTTATAACTTTAAACTTATTAAAATAAAAAATTTTTATTAAAAACGAAATAAAAATCTTAAGTTTTTTTATATTATAATCATTAATTTATAATTTTAAACTTTACACTTAATACATTTAATTTATTAAATATTAATTAAAAGTTATTTTAATTTTTTATATAATAATAATAACGTTTTATATAATAAATTTATTATTTATAATAATAAAACTTAAAAATTATAAGTAAACTTTATTAAACTTTAAAAAATTCGAATGAAAAAAAGTTATAAATTTAAAATATAAATTATTAATTAATAATTAAACTTAAGTATTTTATGAATTTTTTAAAAGGAAAAATTTTTCTTTAAATAATAAATTTACAAAGTAAAATAAAACTTTAACGGTAAAATTACACGTTATAAAATTAAATAAATAATTAAAAAATTCGAATAAATAAAAAAATTAAATTTTACGAATATTTTCGCTTTAATAATAAAATTTATAAATTATAAAGTAATTTTCGTTATAATTATTACTTTAAACTTTAAACTAAAATAAATAAACGTTGTTATTATTTTTTTTTACGAAAAAATAAGCGAAAATATTTATATGGAATAACCCTTAAGTTTTAATAATGAAATACGAAAAATTTACAAGTTAAATAAAATATTATATAATTTAAAATAAACCTTTAAAATTTAATATAATACTTTATTTAAATATTTTAAAACTTTAAATTTTTTATTTTTCGAATTAAATATTAAAGTTTTTATTAAAAATTATATATATATCGTTATTTACGTTAATAACTTTTTAATTATTAAATTTAATAAAAAAAAAATAATTAATTTTAAAAAAAAATTAACCGATAAATTTAAAATAATAAACTTAAAATTTTACATTTATTACTTAAAAATAATTATAAAAAAAGACCGCATTAATAAAATAATTACGTTAAACTAAAAAGTTTATTTAAAACGAATTATTAAAGAATTTAAGTAGTAAAATATTAATTTACATGTAACTTTTATCGAAATTAAAAAAATATTTAAACTTTTAAATAATTATAAAGCTTTTTTAATAAACGTTAAATAATACGTTAAAGTTATAAAATATTTAATATACGTTATAATAAATATTAAACTTAATATCGTTTATATTATTTCTTATTTAAATCGATATATAAAAAATTCCACCATAATTTATTTAACCGCCGTTTAAAAAGTTTTAAAATATTTAAAAAAAACCTTTAATTATAAGTTAATTTATTAAAGTAAACTTAAGGATTTTATAAAATAAACGGACGTAAATTACGTTAATTATATTTAAAACCGTAAATTTATTTTAAAATATATTTTTAACGTTAATAATAATATTATAAGTTAATTTTTTAAATATTAATTTATAATAATTACGTTTATTTATAAATTAAAATTTAAAAGCATAATAAACGCCACGAAGGAAATTATATAATTACGAGTTTTATTAAATAAGTTTAATAAAAATAAAAAAATTTTAAAAATTATTATAATTTAAAAAAATAATTAAAAAGCTTTAATATTTATAAAAAATCCTTAATTTTATATTTAAATTAAATATATTAAAATTAATATTTACTTCGTATAGAAAAGGTAAATTATTAAAAAAGTTAATTTTCGATACGTTAATATATAAAATTAAATAACGGATAAATTTACGAAACCATTCCTTAAAAATGCTTTTATACGTTTTAAAAATGCTTTAAGTTTACGTTTATAAAACGAAATAAAAGAAAAAAGTTTATTAATTTTAATTTTTTCGTTTTAAATAATTATTTACTTTAATTAAATTAATTATAAATTTTTTATAAAATACACGCCACGAAATAATAAAAATTTTATAAAATAATAAAAACATTATAAATAATGAAAACTTTAAGAATTTTTAAAAGAAAAAAATGTTATAAAATAAAAAATTATATAATAAAAATTAATAAACATAAATCCCTTCGTATAATTTAAATAAAAATATTAAAATATTAAATAATTAAAAGTTTACGCTTTATATTTAAAAAGTATATATATATTATTTACGAACCACTACTTAAAACTAGTAACTTAACTAATTAATTAATACTTATAATACTTATAACCTGCATTTATTTCAACATATCCTTGGCAAGATGCAAATTATCAGGTGATGGCGAGAGCGTACGAAGAACGTGCATGTCAAGCAGCAACAGAGATAGCGCACCAAGTTAAGACCATGCCTAAATTGTGCTACTTCAAGGTGATTACGTTAATCCATGAACTATCGCTTAACTAACCCCAGTGTAGGCTCATCCTTTCCTACCAAATGCTCTTTCAGATGCTGCTACATTTCTCATGGCACGTACTAAGACACATATTAAGAGCGATGAAGTTGAGGAATTATTAAGTGCCTTGAGGAATCTAAAGGATATCAATAATTTGGCCCGGGATCTTCTGGTTAAACTAGAAAAGGACAACGTGCATAGTATACCAGGATTGCCTTTTCCCGCACCAATAGGACATCCTGAAGGTTACAATACGTAAATGTCAATCCGAGAGAGAAAAACACACACTAGATTCAGATTTCACAGAGCGATCGAGCGAATAGTTTAAAGTAGCCATTCAACAATATGTCATGCTGCTGGTAGTGAACATCGAGTCTCACGAAACTACCTGCTGCCATACTCCATATAAGGATTATTGTAAATGTCCTTAATTTTAGCCCCTTCGAAGAAGCAGAGACACGTAACAGTGTTCCTTCCAGTATCATCCCTTCCAAGCTGCTCGCACGTAGTATCCAGATTCAGTGTTTTTTGCCCACTGACACGACCGAATGCATCCCTAGGCTGTCTCCCAATTTCTACGTTGTCAGTCTGAAGCAAGCGGATGCACTATCAAGTTTCGTACCATATTTTCTTTTGACAGCTCAGTGGGTTTCCCCGTCAAGTACCCTAAATTCAATAGATCCGTCACCATTAAACGTTACCTAAATGTAGAAGCAAAGAGTGTTTCTGACGAGCAGGCAATTGAGGCTTGTCATGGTCTGTAAGTGAAGCCACTGATTTACTAGGTAGGTAGATTTTCAGGGGGAGAGTTAAGTCTCGGGGTGCTCGAACTCCCTATCCGCAACATATTCCCATAAAGTCATTACCTTAATTCAACCCTAGACGGATTGTAAACGATTTGATTCTGACCGCATTTCCAAACAACCAGGTAAACAATCCTTGAGGCAACATTTCCTCTTTTCTTCGTATTTAGGATCATCATCCATACGAAAAGTAAAAGCTAACTTCACATGGCCTAGTGTATTTGAGAGGCGACTTGTTAATATTAAATTTCCCACGGCGACGACGAGTGCGTAAATATCTAATACACGTCCGGAATCTCCCTGATCCGATATACTTACCTACATAAGACAGGAATGGAGCCATGATTAACTAGACACATATTTAGTTGGTGTTGACTAGTCCCGTTTTGATTCAAATAGTATCTACGACCATCATTTACATAAAGGGACCTCGACTACATAAAGGAGAATTTATTAAATTAATGCATGTGATTAATTTCCCGATACATTTACCTTTTTCACCACACATTTTGATATCATAGCATGGCTGTTTGCTCTGATAAAGACGTTCCATGCTACATCCCTCTCATGAAACTTGTAGCGAAGATACCAGTTTCTATCTGTCACACGATGATTGGGAAAATATTCGTGCATGGCTCGGTAAGAGGTCTACTCGGGCCGTAGTTGGTATGGTTCGGACCGTTAGAGCTCGGACCGTTAATAGGGGATGAACTGTTTAGAATATGTTCTAGGGCAGCGTATATAGACCAAAAGATCGACCTAATTGTAAATCATCATCCTAGATAGGTACCTGGTAGTTAGGTCTAGAGCTTCTTACATCCCTAGTAGGTACCTAATAGCATCGTTGTTATAGCATCTACAAGGACCGCATTGCGACACTTTTGAAGAGCCGCAAACGAATCGCACCACATTCGAAAGAGTAATCATAGTCTGGTTGCTAGACAATGCCAGCATTTAGAGTGTTATACCGTGATAACATTCCCAATGAGGAAGAGGTCTGTGGGGAACTCGAGCATAAACCCCTAAATATAACGACCCGTGAAATTGGTAAATTCACGAAAAAATAATCCTCGTTTACAAGGTCAGGGGGATGACTAAGTCCGTGACGAAGCCCTTGTAATCGTACAACAGATTCAGCATCTACCGAGTTACCCCTGAAATTACAGACTTTTTATCCTGAGAGAGATGAGATTAAAGCGATTTTTAAGATGTACCCACAACCTATGAATCATGATGGTGTCACTACTGCTAAACGTAAACAGAACTATCATGCTCTGGGTTTATCGTCGATCCAGGGGTTATTATCCACATCTGGAATCTTTAACCGTGACCAATATACCGCGAATACCCACGTAAAGTTTTATTCTGAGAATCTCGCTACAAACACGCGACGACTAGGGGGTAAAACTCCAGTCGCTCAATCGTGGTTGGTACAGTGCCAACCTCGATATGATTCATTCCATGGATGCGTTCCAGGAGTGACGTTAGAAAATTTCGGACATCTCGAACAATCCGAGCTCCCTACGATCTTCAAAATACCCAATACCATGAACCGCCAATACTCATCTGCGAATCCTGAAAATCTGAAAATCAGATCCCTAAGAAGTTTATCTCGTGAACAGACAGACCGATCAAGTGCGAATATTGGATATGATATTTTTGATTAATAATCTAACTTAATCCCCACAAACGCGCTCTATCCAATGGAGCTTAATTCCACGGGCGGACCTGTTAATATTTTTGGTACCATTATTTTGCGTTGTGAGGTGAAGAGTCAGGCCAAGCTGTGATGTTGCCCCGATCATTCAATGGCTGGCAACGACTCGACGAACTCGATGACCTTGTGGTCATCTAAAGCCGCAGCGTGCCGTACGGCCATGGCGTGAACGCACTCCTTTGGTTGCATCTCGTAAGGGCACATAATCCAGCCTATGCCTACTAGGAAGGACTTCTTGTATTCCGCTAAAACATCCTCGTCTTTGCTTGAGAAAGTCGGCGTTCCGTACTTCGCTATCGTAGCCAGGTAGTGGTCAAGCAGCTCGAACTCGTGAGCTCTCCTGTCCTCGATTGTAAGAGCACTGGCGATGAAATATGACACATCGTGGAAGGATGATCCGATATGGATCATCTGCCAATCGAGGAACCTAGGAGCGCCCTTGTCGAGGTATGTGTTGCCAGCGTGGGCGTCTCCGTGTAATAGACATCGGAATTTAGGGTTTCTCGAGCCGTAATGCTTCTTGAGGACGGCGGTGATTCGTTCTTGGTCTTTTAGGTATTCGTGGATGACTGGTCGTCCTTCGCTTTTGACGACGGCGTCGTATGTCTTCATTAGAGTGAGAATGGCTTGGTCGTAGTCGGAGGTGAGCCAAGGGTAGTCTTCGGGCTTGACGTTCCACGTCTTGGCGTGCAGTGCGGCGAGCTGCTCAAGACCGGCGCGGACCCGCGAGACTGGCCAAGTCTCGGTGGGATCACCGAACTGGCACCCCTGAGAGGCCAGGTCGTCCATAATCACTATGCCTTGCTTGGCATTCTGACCGGCCCACCAGGACTTGGGGAGCTCCATGTGATCAAGTGTCGGAGCCACCTGGTTGAAGAACTCAACCTCACGTTGATAAATCATGACGACCCAGGGCAATTGTTCGATAAAGGCGGGGTTAAAGCCGCCTTTGACGCAGAGATCGGTTGGTCTCGTCTTGTCGGAGTTTGCATCCTCGTATTCAACGGTAACGCAGATCTTGCTAGCGGTTCCAGGCATCGTCTTCGTGACATTGATCGATTTAACTTTTGTCCCTAGCACTTCGGTGAGCCACGAAGCCGTGACCTCTTCCGGGACCGTGGGAAGTACTTTCTCTGCCATTTTCTGAATTTTGCTGTATGAATCTGTCAAAGGATAGACTGAGGGAAATCAGACGACAAGCTTATCTAATTGAACTCGGCAGCAAGGTATTTAAACTTAATATTAGGGAGCTCAGTGTATCTCAATAGCGTATTCATGCTTGCCCTTCATTCATGCAGAATTTACTGAATTCGTGTTTGCACATCCCAAACGGGCATGAGTGCATACACCGTAAGTCTCTAGGAAGGGGGTCTCTCCAACTTCTTCTGATACATCTCGTAGAGATAACTAATGGAAAAATTCCCGCTGTGTAGGTAAGGTTACAGATCATAAGCTGAGGCGGGGGCTGATGTCGCGATGCTAACTAGGTACTAGGATAGACAGAAGTCAGCGATTCCCCACCAACATCTTTTCCTCACAGACAACACGTCTGAACAGGGGGTTAGCAATATGTATGTAGATGATGTACAGGGCCATGATAAGTCAGCTCATGGTTGTATGATTGCAGGTAAAGTATTGGTGCACGTATACCTCCCTGGTTGTTGCAGTCTCCCTAATCACACGATGATCTTGCCGATCATCGCCGGATTTCGCTTATCTACAAAGGTACTCAGCCGCTTTAAGGGGGCCACGGAAAATTACCACCACGTCAGACGAAAGCCGGAGAAGAATAGAGCGACGAGTCCTTTACTTAGAGGTTGAATATAATAGTTCTAGACCTAGCTAGCCGGAATAGCGTCAAAGGAAGACCCATATTAACCACTCTTTACCAAGAGAAATGGTACGGTTAATCGTTGCTTAACGATATTATGCCAGCATAAAATAACCCTATTTTTACCATCCACTTCAACTTCCATTTCTTACTCGTCTATGGTAGACTTAGTCATTAAATTAGCACGCGGGAATAGTCGGTCTACATAATAGATGACCACAAATGTGCGAGACTACTGCATACATATGCTGATATGTACGTATGTGTACATATGTGTATGTGAAGTGAATCACTAGTGGCTGGCTGCCGTGCCGTCTACATGCAGATACCAAAAATAACAAACAGTTAAGCCTTTAAGGCCGTTTAGGGCTTTGAGCTAACCCTCATTGAGGAGTAGTTTTGGCTATTATGGTGACATTTAAGGTAATATTTAGGGTAACATTTAGGGTAACATTTACCCCCTGCGGATGGTGACATTTACCCTTGTCCGTACATGTAGCCTCATTACATTCTGGTGATTGCATCTATGTACCGTAGCATCGAAGGCTTTCTGAACGAATCGCAGTCCCCCATTAGCCACAAATTATTCAATAACAAAAAAGATTTTCGCGCTAAGAAATATTTCTCATGGTCTTCTAACGGTCCCTTGAGGATAAACATTCCTTTTCCACCTACAATTTGATATCCAAGCATCCGAATATGTACTATGGTATGAAGCATTCAAGCTATCATGCCTAAGGTTACGTTGCTAGTAATGTTTCCAATCACGAGGAATCTATCTTCGCTGATAACCGACGCCGGACATTTTCACCTACCGTTCTAGAAAACTGGCTGCCGACGCCTTGTCACCCACACTTCTCCATAAGAAGGAAAGTAGCGGTACTCAAGCGGCGCATTTCGTGAGAGGCGTAGATTTTGGAACCTAGGGTAGGTATGTAAGTTACAATTGTTACAACCAACGCATTTGAATTCTTGATGTTTGTGAGCAGTATATAATCGAAGCTGATGTATATCGGATTTTCTTTGTACCTGTCTTACGAAGTATTCTTTCCCAATCACATCCGTACAAGGTACTTGGCATGATTACGATTCTTAAGAGGGAAAGGTGAATCTGACTTGTCATATTTTGTCGTCCCATATTTCTGTTGAGGACCAGGGTCTTCGTACGCTTATGTATGCACATATTTGCATATGTACATGTATCGGACGAAGAAAAAAGAAAAGAAAAAAAAAAGTAAGCACTTACCGTATTCCACATGGACGGTGAGCTACCCTCGCAGCCTCGCTTGTCTTAAATTGTCACTCTATCAAATCATGTTTCTTCCCGACATCCGCCTTTACCTGTGTCCTAGTTTGGTGATTGTGTACCATGACATGGGTGGCTACACGGGTGGCTGCAGCGTCGTTCGTCCATACCAAGCTTCTCCAGGGCTGTCATTGGGTGACGCTAATATAAAAAGCCTTTAGACCCGGGGAAAAAAACCCTAGCCGCTGATCTAAAAGGCGGATAGCCCCGCATTGTAGAAGTTGAATGACATCTTGGCAACAGGGGCGACGACGACGCGACGGGGAATGATATCCGCCCATCACCCTTCTTAAGCGGTAGAGCGGTAGAGGTGTGCGTTCATGCATCTAAACCCTGAAGACATGTTTGAGCAGGGATTGTGTTCGGCAAGGGTTGAGGTTGGTGGAAGCTAGGTATGTATTTCAATATTCCATATACGTACGACTCGGTTAAATATGTAAACATACTGACCTCTTCATATTTCCCTTGAAATTGTCGGAATAGGATTGTCACTTGGATACGAGTTTCAAAAACACTCGCTCCCCAGTGAACGAATTTGAGGGAAATGTAACGTATAAATTTATACCCCTTACTAGAAGAAGTATTCGAGAACGCGCTACACATGGAATGGGGTTAACACGAGAGTCCCGGCTCGATGGTTGACCTTCCGTCATCCTTACTTGGTACCCTAATAGGTAGCTTGACAGGTCCAGCAAATAATCGTGTAGCATTCTAATGACCTAGAAACCATCACGTGCCGAGTCAGGGGCTTTCCCGGGTTCTACATACAATTCGATGCATGAATGTTTCGACCAGATAAGGACCGCAAAGATCAACTCCAGGTCCGTTCGGTATTATAGTTGAGCTATCTCAGCTACTACATGCTAAGTACCGTAGGATCTCCAGGGCTGATTACACCGTGTAAAAAATTGCGAAATGCCTTGTAAATAACCGGCCAGGTAGCTAGGCATTTCCAAATCTACGGCTGACAAGGCCGTCGAACGTTGTCTGATCGACGAACCATCTTCCCTTGTTCTTCTCATTCAGGAGAACTCTTATGTTTAGGATATTGGGATAATATTAGCTATTACTTAAGTACGTGATCACGCTGTGCCTCAATATCTCGTGAGAATTCCCTCGAATACAATTGCTTCCTTACACTCCTTTATCAACACTTGGTCTATCATCAACCTTGGTCTGGTCTCGACCATCATATGCAAAGATGTGGGCTCGCGACAGTTTACCCCCGGCGATGATCGTCTTCCTCGTACTGGATATCATTGCAGTTGGCCTCCGAATATTCGTTCGAACGCACATGAGCAAATCTTTCGGTTACGATGATTGGGCTATGTCTATCGCCCTGGTAAGGAGCATATGGAACTATGCAGTGGGCTTTTTTCACAAGCTAACTAATTATGCAGGCGGGCTACATCGTTCTCTGTGCCCTCACATTCATATCGCTAGAGAATGGTTACGGGGCGGACACAGTCGAGCCTGGGTGGGACGTTCAGAAGGGAGTCAAGGTGAGAAATCGCCGCTAGTTGCGAGAGCCGGATACAGGCATTAGCTCACGCTACGGGTAGTTCTTTGTCGCCTCAACATTAGCGTATGTCATTGTGGTCTTCATCGCCAAGGTCAGCGTGGCCCTGGTTCTGTACCGAATTGCCGTCACAAACAAGCCAATCCGAGCGCTTCTTATCGCTTCAATCGTCATATTAACGCTATGGACCATCGTAACGACCCTCATTGTCGCCTTCCAATGCACACCCCTCTCAGTCGCCTGGGGTGAGGCCACCGGAACCTGCCTACCGGCGTATGTCTTAGCAAATACCGGCTACTCCATTTCCGCCATGGATATCGCATCTAGTTTCTTATATGCGGTTAGATACCCCGGGCAGTCCGCCCCGCTCGCCCAGTTTTACTAATAGTGTTGTTAAAGGGTCTCCCCATACTTCTGTTGAAGGGAGTGCAACTTAGTGACCGGATGAAGGCATCGGTCATCATCGTCCTCGGATTGGGCATTGTGTAAGAAGATTCTTCCATTTACCTCGTCAATTTAAGTACTAACGGCCATGCAGGAGCTCCATCGCTACCGTCATTCGACTGAAGTATCTCCTCGACGTGGGCAAACTGAAGTCCGCCACAGGTGTCGAAGCAGCCAACGCTTATCTGACCACATTCGTCTAGTATGTTGTACATGTCACCGTCGATGTAACGATACTGACCAGTTCTTAGCTCGGTAACGGAACTAGGGTTGACCTTGTTCACTGCGTCGCTTGCTGCGTTGCGGCCGTTGTTGAAGTACGTTCCCTTTGGAAACGACACGACGCAAGGATACTCGCAGTCGAAGAAGACGAAGAAGTCGGAGCTGCGCTCAAACATGGGACCTGCTGTCAAGCTCGACGACTTAGATACTACGCCCAGTCAGGAGCATATCATACCGCAAAAGGGTATTCAGAAGGAGACTCAATACCGTGTCGAATACACGAATGTCTAGAATATGACCGACTGGTGACCCTTTTTGTCTTGTATTAATATTTCACAAGTCTTCAAATAGAGCTCTAGTTGAGTTGAATAGGTAAGCGATGGACCTAAACGTGTCTGGAGCAATACCAGACCGATCTTTTTACTCAATAAAAATACCTAGAAGTAAAGCCGTTACTAACAGCTACGTCAGCTTTAATGCATCCAGTCGTTTCATAACTCGCGAGGTAGATTTTTAAGCGTACGAGTAATATACCTAAGCATTCTAAGATGTATAATATTAGTCCTTCTAGGTAGGAGTGCTTTAGCGGTAAGAATCAATTAAATCAGATCTTTCTGTTAGATAATTTTCTTAGGTATACCGACCTTTCATGAGGTGCGTCACAATTCAAGCCAAGTGCTTATTGTGACATCGATTGAATAATAGTAATACTATTCTCAAAAAAAAAACTGTTCGCGTTACGACGTGTAGCTCATTAAACGATGTGAGTCTGGGTTCCTCCACTCTAATAAGTATTCCCCTTTCCGGATTCATGTCCCTCCCTCCTACCTAATTACGCGCCCGCCTTCCGCTACGGATCTGGATTATACCGTGGACAGGTCGCGCTCCAGAAACAGTTTCCTCCCAGCATGAGTCCCATCGCCTCCACATATCTTACCATCCTCGGCGTATCCCCAGTTCTTTTCAGGACTTCCAGACCTAGTCTTCGAGTTTCTTGCTCGTGATACACTATCAATCCTCTTAAGTAGATGGTAGCATCCCTCTCGGTCATGTTGTATTGTCTCATGATGATTGGTACCGCATTCCATTGTCGATCTGCGGATTCTGTTCGTTCGACGGTCCACGAGTACAGGTCATTGGTCAGGCCCATTACGCGCCCACTGGAGAGATAATAATCCCGAGTGGCCTCGACCTCGGTCTGGTCAAGGTGGATATCCAGGGTCCACTGCATGAAGCCCTCCATAATCCTAGAGTAGAGTTAGAGCGCCGGGCAAACGGGATGGGAAATGCATGAGAGAAACGAACCCAAACCCAACATTCAACCTCCTAAACTCGGTGTATTCTTCTATCGTAACCAGTGGGTTCTTTTGGCTGTCATAATTTTCAAGGTAAGACTTTATTGTGTCTATGACACGTGGTGCCCCTTTTTCATCCATTTTTGCTACGCGCTGACCAAAGTCCTTGAATAGGCTAGCCATATGACGCTTGGAGCTCGATTTGCCCTTTTCGGGCACTCCGACCAAAGAATCTCGGACTTGAGCGTGAGCTTCCTGGGCCCCGCTATGTGGAATTTCTTCAATGACATCTGACGCGTCATTAATATGTGAAAACTCTTCAAGTGATTCTTTTCACTTACCGTCGTACAGCCATAGCGTCTCGATAATCTCTGTACCTAGTTTCACCCTATCCATCCTACTTTCAGGCCAACATGTAGCGAAGAAGTTGCCGTGAGGTCCTGCGGAGTGAGGTCGAGTTTCGGCATCTGGAAGAAGATTCTTGAAGTTGCCCCGGGCGTCGAGCGCACCTTGGGATATTTCAGCGTCATCTTTGTGTACACGAACTGGGAATGTAGTAATGCATTGAGGAGATGAGGTGGTGTCGACTTTGACTGATGATGTCGATGAGACGGAAGACTGGCTTGATGAAGATTTGTGTCCGGGAATAAAGTTATAAAGACTGCTAAAGTCTGGCTTCTTAAGACTAAATCTGAAACGTAAAGTAGTAGTCTTGGACATTGTGATAGGTGATAGGTGATAAGATGGAGTTGCCACGGAATGGAACTGGAATGCTACACTGCAGCTGTACGAAATTAAGCTGTACCGATTACTCTATTGCCTATTTCTATTCGGGACGCAGGCGAAGGCCATAACATTTGTACTTGAGCAATCTGGTCTCAAAAGCATTCCAAGGTCTCTTCACTACCTATTCATGACTGGCTCGGACGATCAGTCGTCGTTACAGCCGACGAGAAGTCGACTCCAGGTGCATATCCCGTTATGCGGAAAACCATGCCCACACTCCTCGGGATGTATTAACGCCCAACAGTGGGGAAAGAACCATTATTCTGGGTCGTGAAGGCATATGTTTCCAACTTGGCGGTTCGAGCATTTCTATCCTAACAACGCATCACACCTCATCACACCTTACCATGAGCTTACCGATTGTAACATCGGACGTGAAGTCAAGGGATATCCTAGTTGTCAACTACAACAACTCTGGGACTCGCTCAACGATCCTACTACGACTACTGCGCCGTATGGGTCAGATGGTCGTGGCTGGGTAAGAAGCCAACGATAAAGGGCCGGTTCGATAGCGTTGAACATCTACCCACATTGTCACCTCACAGGTCGATTAGGCGCCCGAAATTCTTCGCCGTGATTCGGAATGTTTCGGTGATCCTCTAGTCCCGGTTGCCTAGTTGATTCCTCACCTCTAGGCTTCCGGATCCATAGTACTATCTCATCCTCTAGTCCTTAGGATTGTGATATCCATATTAATAAGGCCATTTCTCAGACTACCTACCTATGAGCACATCGTCAATCATGTAAGTGGTGGATATCTTATCAATAGCAAGACGCATGACTGGCTAGCCAGCGTCATTCCTTCTTGCCAAGAATATAACCAACGACACAGATCTGTAAGTACTGATTAGCTCTACAGGGGTAAAATATGCCTGTTGAGTCTGTGGAGGCTTACTGCCGAGTTCCAAGTTGAAGAAGGTTAGTCTTTGGCACTTATCTGCCAGCTCAACGACTACTCGTACCGGCTCGTACGAATATCATCTTTAGATGTTGTGGTGGAATGGAGAGTGTATTTTTGGATGTGCGGAGATTTTCCGCAGTTCTTGGTTCTCTTGGTTGAACATCATGCGGAATGACTTGCTCACCACCTAGCAACTCAATTCCACGCATTGGTTGGGCTAAGCTTTATGTGTTGCAGATCTAGGCTTGATATGTCAATTGACCTTATGAATAAATTACAGCACTTTTCTCCCCGTTGACCAAGGCCAAGCAATGACCTCATGGCGTAGCATTACATATATGGTAGGTCGTGACGAAAGTCAAATGACTGACTTTCACGTTCAGGGGTTGATACTTAATTACACCATGTTTTCCCAACCCATAATATTTCCCATAATTAAGAAAACTTTATATTCAAGGTTAACGACCTCCACCTCCACGATTGGACTGCAGATGCAACAGATGCAACAGCATTTCCCTTCCCCCAACCAAATTATCTGCAATAACTCCATTGATAATCATTTTTTTCATTTATTAACGTCGATAGGACTCAACCCGTTGTCCGCCGGTTCGACCGCAAAGTTTTCTATACATGACGTTGTACTCACAAATATCCCTTATCGACGAAACAATGAATAAAATTTGGGAGTAGTATAACATTATATGTCTCAATGTAACATTGTACTGATTACGCAGTCTAGTATTATGGATGTACTAGGTATGTAGGTAGTTACTCAAGTATTTCGTACCGTTAATACAGCGGACCCACAAAATGCACCAAGTACTATGTACCATGAACTTACCAATGCGCCGGAACACGAACCCCGCGTCGATCTCCACTCTCAACCCAATCAACGATCACACTCAATCAGCCCTACAGTTAAGCTTTCCTTCAGCCCTAGATAATAAATAGGAACCTAGTGCTTCTCAATTAATACCTTGTACCTACCGAGCTCTGCATGTCCCACGTTCCACAACATGCACTAATAAGTTCACACCCCATTTCGTCGGAAACCTATCATCGTTTCTCTTTTACCTATCAACCTATCAACCATATCATCCTCTTACGATCCAACAACACGGCGCCAAGATGGACACAAACCCAGAGCGCACCAACGCCACCAACACGGTCGCACATCCATTCATCGTGACGGACCTTAGTCAACCAGACTTGACAGAATTGCGATATGGCAATCTACTTCCGAAAAGACGCGTCAAACGCGAAGTTGGATTTGACGAATGGATGGACAATTGGAAGAAAGAGTTCATCAGACTAAACTTCAATTTTCACAACCGCCGACATGTATTTGATGTCGCCTATGCGTTTAACCTGGCGGAGGTATCGCGCCATACGATAAGTAATGAAAAACCGGATGTTATTGCCGATCTATACCTAGGAAGCGAAGAGGTCGAGATTGGCCTGCGTATGGCCGTGGCAGAGACAGGAGCTTGGGTTCCGACAGGCGATCTTCTAACAGACGACGCACCAGCGTTTTACGCGCCACGCCCAATGTTTTCGAAAGACCGCGCCGCTGTCACCGATTACCGTTACATGGTTTTTCCCGTTCACAGTGGACGTCTTAACCACTGGACTCTTCTCGTTTACGACAATTCGACACGTGTGGCTATGACATAGGATGCATATCCATCCGGTCGTGATACTAGAAGACTAAACCTCCAAGCTAACTTCCTCAGTTTCCTTGACCGCAACCGAATCAATGCCCAGGGCGTTACGTTCCATCCGAAGGAAATCCCTGATCAAGTCGGTAGGGTTAGCTGCGGCTGGATCTGTTTGGAGTCCGCTCGCGCATATCTCCATGAGGGACTGGATGATTGGACGAAGTCCACATTGTACCGCGACTTTATCGGGGCCGATCGGAGCATCGCCCTAGAAAAGGCGGCGGTCACCAACTGGGCAAATTGGGGTGCGGTCTGGGTAAGTGAAATTCGATCTTTTATCTTTCTCTCTAGTCTATCTCAAAATTTATTAAGGTGTCGTCGCTCTCGACACATAACTCAACTCCATAAACTCCGTATCGAAGACTATGATTACTAATACTTTTAACAGTGGCGCGGTAGCAAGGAGACGTTCTACCCCGTACAGCCAGCACAGTCACAACTAGTTGTCAACCAAGCACAACAAGTCCAAGAGACGCCAGCAGAGCAAGCCATTCAAGCCCACGCATCAACCTCTGGGACCCAGACACTTCCACCCCAACTCCCACCTGCAACCTCAGCCGTAGAGGGAACTGAATCTCCTGGTTCTCCCTCCACGCTTGTGCGCGTTGTCCGTGATGAATTGAAAGGAGAGAAAGTATCCAGAGAACAAGCATATACTCTCTTCGAATTCATTAACTACTGTCATCGCTTGAGTACTCAACTTCCTAAATATATCAATGTTCGAGAATATCACTCGATCCTATCAAGCAACGGGGGCGATTTCAAGAAAGCAGGCGATGAAGTACTACGACGCTTACCTGAGGAGTGAACTGTTTATCAACGGAAAGGATTCAGATATTTGGTGTATCCATTGAGGGCTCGTATGGACGTTGATATTTTGGGCGTTTGAGGTTGAAAAAGTTTGGGCTTGTACTTGTTTTGATTTCTTTTGATATTTCCTTTCCTTTTGTTGACTGGTAACTAGTTTTGACTAGTTTCGGTGAGTGGCCAACACTGCAACCATTGGTGGTACTCATCTCTGTTTGATATAAATGATATGGGATTGGGCTCTAAATGGGCTGGATTTTTTCAGATTGTCAGAATACAAGTCTTGAGTTTATTCTATTCCTATTATTGATTCTATCGTGACACATATTACAGGACCTCGACCCATACATAACTTCTACTAAATCAATCATCGCGGAGCTGCGTTCCCAAGGTTGACAGGAAGTACTCTCTGATATCCCGCCCCTCTATGCTTTCCTCGTGCTCCTTAGACAACAGACACACATCCCCTGGCCCGCGAATACGCGCTTCGCCCATTTTCTTTTCCTCTTCGACACGTTCTAGCCATGCTTCTTTCGTGAGAGCTGGCTTGGTATAAGTCAGCTTGATATTAAGCTGGCGACAAGAATCCCTCACTCGATCTAGGCGATCCCACGGGTACCCGTCTTCTATTCTATATCCCCAATAATCAGGATCAAAGATAATGTGAATCTTCTTGAGTGGGTTCGGCTGCGACGCCGCGATTTTCGCGAATTGATGTAGCCATAGTTCCTCCTTCTCGCCGATGGCATCCCACGATTCGCAGTGCTGATCGTAGACGCTAAAGCTCCAGGTAAATTTCTCTAGATTTGGCGCAAGCAAACGTTTCGCGTCGGTAACACAAGACTTGAGGTCATCTGTGAAAGAGTACCTGGAAAGGGTGAGAGATTTGAGGTCTCTGAACTGGGTGAGGTCGATAATCTTGCCCTTGCTACCGACTGACAGATAGCCGATGTAGATATCTTCGAGGACCTCCTTATGAACCGAAAGCCAGGTGCCGAACATGGTCAGATCCATGTAATGTCGGTTATTGTAAAAGCTTTCGAAATGGAAGCGCCGGAGTTTCCTAGGCCACCGGATTAGAGCAGCTGTGGCTCTGGCGTTCTCTTCATAATCCGAGAGTTCAAGTTCGGTGAAAGAAGCAGGCCCAAATAGCCCTCTCGGTGCCTCTTTCGACTCCGATACTCCATGGATTGTCAATCTTTTGAGTGTCAAGCTTTGTACATACTTCTTCACCCGTGGGAGCAAAAGCCCCCAATACTGTCGATTGAGAGAGAGGTGCTGGAGAGATGGCATGCTTGCCAACAATTTGGTAGTAAGAGGCCATAGCTCCAGGCCGTGCCTTGTAAATCCTCCATGCATAACAAGAGTTCGTGTACTCGAGAACTTGGAGAGAAATTCGGTAGTAGTTACCCAATCTTCATCACTCATCGTACCATGCATATCCGAGCAATTGATGTGTATTTCGCGACAATAAGATGCGTTCAGGGAGTCCATGCGCATTAATCCATTGGAATGTTTAGAGAAAGGTAATTGGAAGTGTATATATTTGTAGAGAAATGGCGTTGCTAAGCGGTTTAGGCGACGGCAAGTCATGATCAGCGCTAAAGCAGCGCGATGGTCTGGCACCTCCGATGATGGGAATGCGAATTCTAAGATGGCCTGAATCAATTCATCGGGTAGCCTATCAAATGGTTTGTCGCGAAGTATCTTGCCGCCATCTTGAATTGGTAAATCCACGATCTTCAAGGTGCCGTTAACTGATGATCCAAGATGTAATTGACGACCGAACATCGGTGAAGTCCAAACAAAGCTTCTCTGCGCCATCATGTCTTAATAGGAAGTAAGGATATTTCCAATGCTGTCCATATCGATATGTAGTAGTATAACGGGAATTGAGTAGGTCGTGGAGAACAAAAGGAAGAGGTCGATCTATTTATTGAAGGATCGAGAAATAGTTGTTGTCATCTTGCGGTGGACACTTGGAAGTGTCACTGGCCTAACTTAACGCGTGACATCTGGCAGACAGCTGCCAGTTGATACCTTCGTAATGTTAATCAACCTAAGCAACATTTTTATGAGTGATTGGCCACTATATTTTGTTAAAGGAAAAAATAAAATGTTCTAATGGTCACGAGACAGTGTTTTTTTAAGAGATACTTCATGATTTGTTCTTTATTAATGGTCGTGGTCAAAAACACTGTCCGAACAACACAGTCTAAGCCGTGGGGCGGATACTGTACCATGGGGTCTCCTCCACTAGTTGAAAAGGGGAAACAGAAATACATGTTTCCAGAAATGACAATTGGGTAAATACGTCGTGAATCATCGTCACTATAACAGCGGAATGCGCATACATCGCTTTAAATGGTAGAGTAAAGGATAAGTAGGTAAGTGATTGAAAATCTGTTCCCAGCGCTGCAGATGTGTTATTTCAGTCTCCATAGCTAACTAGTAGTTAGAAATAGTTTTAGAGGCTGATCATTCCAATTGTTCAAGGTGTCTTATCCATGTTTACCTACCTAGGTAGTATATAGAAAGCGGATTCGATACAGGGCGAACTAGAATAGTTTTCGGTATACTTTCGGAGATATCCTGATAATCGGAGTCTACCGACAGAAATAAACCTGATCCCTTTCTCAAACCCCACTATAGCATTGGCAATGAGAACATGTTTATAATGTATCAAGAAGGTATGCTTTCCTAACATTAAAATTTATCCCTTTTAGACAGACCTCGGCTTTGCGACTACCATAAGATGACTACAACAAAACATATCCAGCGTCTAAGACGGAGTGAAGGTACGGAGAAGTTCATCCAAGCACTAGAGCGGGATGGTGGAGTTATAATTGAAGATTTCGCGGATCTTGCGACTATCGAACAGGCAAATGCCGAGGTAAAACCATGGATTGAGGAGCAGAAGAATTCGCAAGGGGCGCAAGTTGGTGGTAAGTCACATACGTCTGCCCCTATTTGCTTGTGACTCAGTCAACATGTTTTCTGGATAACAATTATCAGAGGATGAGGCTAACTGGTCTTCATCCATATAGCACTTGGAGGGAAAACTAGGACAGTTACTCGTCTGATCATGCGATCTCCAACAGTACGAGACAAGTTCTTCGCAGACCCCCTACATCAAGCTTTATGTGAGCACTTCCTAGCACTTGAGACAACGACATGGTACGGTGAAAAGGCACAAGTGAACACTTCGCACCCATTATTAAGCATCTCAATTGCATTTGACATTCCGCCCGGCACATCAGCGCAAGGGCTTCATCGTGATGATAAAAATCACCATGCACGCCACTCTCAAACATCCCAGTACACTCGAAATCGCGATATGCTCCTAGGACTCTTTGTGCCAGGGTGCGATACTATGCGAGCAAACGGGGCCACGCGGGTCATTCCGGGTTCGCACTTATGGGGAGATGATAAACCCGACTTTGGATCCGACGGGAAAAAAGACGTACTCGACGCAGAACTGAAGAAAGGGGAGGCATTCATCATGCTGGGAAGCTTGTACCATGGCGGTGGCGCATACGAAAAGCCAATAACAAGCAATCCAGAAACCGAAAGCCGCACGGTATATGCTATGTTTTCATGTACTGGCGTCCATAGACAAGAGGAGATCAGCTTCTTGTCCTATCCCGTAGAGGAGGTCAAGAAGTACTCCAAGATTGTACAGGAAAGATTAGGCTGGAAACAAAGTGAACCAAACCTGGGTTGGGTGGACCTAAGAAGCCCGGAGTTCCTACTCCAGTAGTGAACAGGCGAAGCGATCTCTACCAATAATCATTGTTTCTAATATGTCTTGTCGGCTTGGTTTAGTTTCTAGGTATGTCTAAAGCCCCCCTATTTCCACTGATTAGTAATCTTTAGATGGGAAAGGGGTATGTTACACAAACCCAGGTAGATAGAATCTGTAGGAAGAATGCTGATGTTTCCTTGTGGGATATAGGTGTGGCAGTGATGAGTCGGTAATAGATTTTTGCGCATTAAATTCGACCTTTGCACATGGGATTTTAATATGAATTTGTTATTCGTGTGTTGCTTGTGTGTTGGGCACCCTGTTATGGATGCTGAAAGAATCCGAATGGGGGCCAAAAGCCCCTATAAGAGCCAATAATTCCGGTAAGCCCCGCACCGCAATTCCCCCTTTATTCCACATTGCCAGCATCCCACATCCGCCCGAATGATCTTTCGATATTCTTTAACTCGGGAGCTCTAGAACTCGGTGATAAATGTCGTTCGGGAGTTAAGATGGTCTCTTGCGTCAATTCGTCTCCTATCTTTTTCACCTTGGTCTCGATTAACTCCACAGAAATCACCTACTAGGTATCCTACCAGTCTTCGTACCACCGCGAAATGAACTTCTCGTTTCGTCAAACACCCAATTATTCTGCCTTAGCGGAGGTAGCGGCGCGATCGGAGGGTTAGTTGGGGGTACACAACAGATAGCGCAAGAGCGTGGATCAAGGGAGTGCGAGCTAGGATGGTGAGGATTCTAAGGACGCGCTTCAGCATGCAAATTTGAGGGCAATTAATGAAAGGAAATGAATTCAAATCGAATAAATAGCGAGGACCTGATAAATAAAGCTACGATGGTCTAAAACTTCCGAAGAACCCGAATGGGAACCGGGGAAGGACCGGCTTATCGTCCGCGCTTCCCCCGATCGAGCCCGAGACATCTCACAGAATCATGACGTCATGTACTCCGGTCAAGCCGGAATAGTCAACTTCATTGTCTTATTTATTAAACCAACTGCGCTGCTATCTGAGCATAAGTGGGATTCTAAGAAAATCGTATTTTCGATAGAGATATTCATTATAGAAAAAATTGCGTCTCGAAGACAATTGACGCTCGCTTCCCTGCTATTCTCTTCGTTCTGGCGCTGAGTAATCGACCGCGTGTATACGGTGAAACATAAAACCACTTAGATCGCGTCCATATCTCCCATTTTTCTTAGTTCCTCTCATATCTATTTAATATTATATTAGCGAATGCTTTCATAATGAGTTCGTCAAACATAACGCCCACCTTCCAGGGCGGAGACTACGTCAAGTTCTTCGGCGCCGGAGCTCTCGCAGCAACGCTTACTCATGGCGTAAGTACCTTATCACCTCAAATAATTTTACTCCAAATGGCAGGTATCACTAACCAGAGCGAAAAGGCCGCGACTCCTATAGACGTGGTGAAGACGAGGATTCAAGTAGACGATGCGATGAAGGGTCTTAACATGGTTAAGGCCGGACGGTCAATTGTAGCCAAAGAAGGCGCCTCGGCTCTACTTACAGGCTTCGGTCCCACAGCTGTCGGATATCTAGTGCAAGGAGGAGGGAAATTCGCCGGCTACGAGTTCTTTAAGAAGAAGTTTATCGACTTGACGGGGTCCCAGGAGAAGGCCACGCAACGACGTACAGCGATTTACCTTGGGGCTAGCGCGACGGCAGAGTTCTTCGCCGACATCGCACTATGTCCTCTCGAAGCCACCCGCATCCGTCTCGTGTCACAGCGCGGCTTCGCTACGGGCCTTACGTCAGGTTTCATGCGTTTGGCTAGAGAAGAGGGCCTAAGGGGGTTCTACTCAGGGTTCGTACCGCTGCTGTTTAAACAGGTGCCATACGCGGTTGGACAATTCTCAGTACACGAAGCTGCTGTCGAGGTGATATATCGCACTATGGGCCCCGAGAAGAAGGCGAAATTGACGCAGCTGCAATCGACGGGTGTGGAATTAAGTTCCGGTATCGTGGCTGGTGTGGCCGCGGCGGTGCTTTCTCATCCAGCAGATACGTTGTTATCGGCTATAAATAAGGGAGCAGGAGACCCGAAGCAAGCTGTAACAAGTAGGATGTTCTCGCTTGCGCGCGAGTTCGGTCCTCGAAGGTTACTCCTAGCTGGCCTAGGCCCACGTATTTTGATGACGTGTGGTTTAGTTTCGGGGCAATTCGTGATTTATGCTCAATGCAAGGCGCTTGTTGGTGCTCCTCCGGGGATAGAGATTCATAAGGAGAAATCCTTAGCATAGAATTAGTTATACTGGGTTAGCATATATTAATAGACTATTAATGCTAGACAATCAGCGCGCGTACGCATATGAACGTTTTCTCTTCCAGAACTCCGGTAGGTAACTAGTACTTATCTGATCCGTCCCTGTGTTGGCAAAATGCCCATTTTCTGCCAAAATCCCCTACCGTCCAATGCCCGACCTACAGAAGATGTGTCCCTCGGAAGTGCCCGTACACCTTCTTCTACCATGAGCTCGCTGACCCAAACTAGCAGTTCCTCTTGCCTCTGGAACTTATCGACAGGGACCTTGAGATCACCACTCTTGACACCTTGCAGTGTCTGAATTGCCCAGTCCTGTGCCAAGTCCCACCAATCATAGACATGCATATCGCTAAGGAGCCAGCGCTTCCCCGGCGTGAAGTTCCGATGAAGTGCAACGATGGCTCTAGCGACGTCTTCTCCGTGAATTACGTGCAGCGCACCTTTAGCCTTCAGCTCGGCCTTTGACTTAATCACACGGTCTACCCAGTCGCGTGGTTGCCGAGATGCTCCGTATAAGCCTGCGAGATTTAACACGGCGCCCTGGGAAAACTCTATGAGCTCATCCTCTGCAATGGCACGAACGTTAGTACGATCGTATGGGGAGTTTTCGTCATGCCAAGTAGGCTCTGTCCAGATACTTGTAGCACCTAGTTGTACGAAGTTCGGTTTGTATTGTTCGGAGATTTGGTGGGTGGACTCATACATCCGCACTAAGTGTTTTGATTGACCCTGGCCACGGAGAGGGAAAGTGATCAATACGGTGTCAGCACTTGGCAGGGTTTTGAAAGGTGCCGAGTCGCGGGATTCCGGATCGAATCGGAAATGGATTGTACCATCCCTACCATCTGTAGTTGTAGCCGCATACTTAATACCCTCGCGCGTTAGGAGCGGGATGAGAAACGTCGATGTCCAACCTGCTCCAAGAATGAGCAAGCCAACATGACGATTGTTACTTTCGGATCCGGGTTCTACTATCTGCATATTGAATTGTCCGCTGTTGATGATATGAGATTGTCGATGACCGGTCGATGTTGTGAATAACTTGTGATCTACGATTCTGTGGTCGCAATTCGAGTTTTTCTGTATTATGTAACCGAGTCTATTATTACATAAGCATACTTATGTAAATATGCTTATGTAAGTACGTATGATTACATAATTAATTACTCATAATGGAGTTGCATCAACTGCTTACATAATGAAGTTTTTGCTTATGTAATATAATATTATGTAATGATGGGCTTACATAACAGGAAACGGTGCCAGGTGACTTCCAAGTTCCATCCTACTACGAACATCATGACATATCCATGACTTAAAAGATATACATGTACCTTGCAGTAGTAAGAACTACCTACACATTCACACAATAATAAGTCATATTATTGACCTTCTACTAGCTGACTTACCACATAAATCGAGTACTGGGTTATTATAGTACTTACCTATTTAACCTAATTCTTTTCGTTATCTAGGTAGGTAAGAGCGCAGGCCAAGTCATTCAAGCCATAGAGGCAGTATCTGAGATCAAAGATATCATAGAACTTGTGGAAAATCAGTAAGACATTTATTTCACTTTTGAAATTTCCGATAACCGTACCCATGCTCACTACTTTGAAGATAAACAGTGACCTTAGGTATTTGTCGCGGTAACTGCGCAGAGTTCTATGTGGATAAGGCATCGTGATGAGACAAGCCGGAAAAAGGCATGGAGAGTACCATGGGGGACGTACCCACGGGCCACCCCCTCACGGGCCACCCCATCTCTCATTAAAACACTTTATTTTTACTTATATTAAGATTTATTATTATTGAATTAATTTAAATAAAACCTTACGTATATATAGTTTCGAAAACGGGTTATATAATAATGTTTTTTTATAATTTATATAATTTTATTAAAAAAAGTTATAAAATTACGAAATAATAAATTAAAAAACGATTTTTTAAATTTTTTTAAATTTTTATTTTAACGAAAATTTTAATTTATTATATAACGTATAAAAATTATTATAATTAAATAATTTAATAATATAATATATTAAATATTAATTATTTATTAATATAATTTATATTATTAAAAATAACGTTATTATTTAAATATAAATTTAAGTATATATTATTTTTTTTCGAATTTTTAAAGTTCGAATTAAAAATTAACTTATTTTTAAAATAATTTATACGTTTTTAAAATAAAAATAATTATTATTTAATCGATTTTAAATTTTTATTATAAAGTTTTATAAATATTAAATATAATTATAATAATAAAATTAAAAAAAATTAAATTTTTAAAAGTTTAATTAACGGTTTTAAAAAAGAAAGTTTTTAATTTAAACGTTAAAATTTTAAAAATTAATAAAATATTAAATAAATTATATAAAATATTACTTTAATTTTAATTTACTCGTTATTAAAAAAATCGTATATATATATTAATATATATTTTAATTTAATTTTTAAAGATTTTTCGATTAGTTTTATTTACATAATTTCATATAATTTACTGATTTAAATATGAATATTTAAAGATAAGGTGTTTTGGTGGGAAATGGGGTGGCCCGTGGGGGGGTGGCCCGTGGGTGCGTCCCCCATGGTAATGCTGATACATATTAACAAGCCCATATTCATGATGCTTTTTTAATTACGCCAATTTGTATCACCAGAAGTTGAATGTCACTGCTATTAATTTGTTATTGCTTATGGTAGTACCACGGATTGCCGGGGTCTCAGCCATTACGACCAGCCAAGGCAAAAAGAGACTAGGTAAATACGCCACTAAATATTACATCTCGATAGCCTGTTTGTAACCTTTTTGTAGAATACTTGGGCTTGTCTCTTATGGGCAACTCCTTGCAATACTTCAGTACTCACAAGTTGATGTACTTTCCACAGCACCTAGGTTGGGCGAATTTGTTTCACTTCTCGGTGTAACTGCAGATACGATTTTGAAAATTACCTAAAGTAACGACGAAATAGTGGAAAAACAGCTAGTTTTCTTCAGGGGTGTCACAAAACAAGTCTACTGGGTGAGGAAAGAGTGACTTTATTGTGTGAGAAGTTCTAAACAGGTACCTACTCCCACTAATGAACGTGGTATATAGCACGAAGTGTTCTTTGGAATTTTCCAGTGTCAGACGCCTCTCCCGAATTCCCACGATTTCCTATAATTAGAAGAAAAGAAACACGGAGATAATAACCCTTCAAAAGCGTAAGGAGTGAATAACGTGCGGTATGAGCTCGCTAAAGAGAACTACCATTGCACGAGAGAAAATAAGAATATTATCGTAGGCTGCCGGAAGCGATTCTTAGAAGCGTAATAACGTTTGGGTCACGCCAGTAAGCCATTGTTGGATGTCTCTGTATCTTCGGCCCCCTAGTTGCAGGTGTCGCTTGATCCCGCTCCCTCATTGTCACATCCGTCTTCACAATACTCTACAAACGGCACGTCGTCTGGCCCTTTGCAAAGGAACAAGGAATTTTCGACATGATCCTCATCAGTTGGTTCTTCGGCATCCTCCAAAGCCCCGATGATATCTGCGTAGTAATCACCTAGGATTGGCATGTTAATATTTGCAATCTTGGCCAAGAATCTTGGATTAATAGAGGTACCTTTGCTGAGGAGATTGGAGCCGCAGTAGTAGTAACCTACGCCGCAGTTTCTGGCAGTGGCGATTCCAGATAGAGCAGCGCTAAGAGCGATTGTAATGAGGTAACGGTTGACCATTTTGATTAAATGTCGATTTATTTTTGGTGACAAGTTTGGTAGAAAGTGAATCTGATGACGGAAAAGCTTTGGATCTCATCTGTGGTAGAGGATGAAGAAAAGAGCTTCAATCACAAGAGAAATGTCAAGACTTATATACAAAATGGCCAAGTAAGGCAGATGGAATTCCTAAGGTAGTTACTTTTGTGTCTCGAGCCAACTTTGGATGATAAACCCTCGGCTTCCTCTTTGGTACATATACAGTAACGCCGTGTCTCGACGCCTCTTCGTCCGGAGAATAAAACTCGCCTTCAAGAAGTAGCCGGAGCTTTGAACCAGGAAAGCTAACGAGTCTCCAGGAATTTGCAGGGAGTCATTTGGAGGCTCATGTTTGCATTGGGCACTGTTTCACAGGATTAATTACTATGTACCTAGCTACGAAGTCGGCATAAGCTTACCTAGTTATACTTCGCGATATGGCTAGTACCTAGGCAATATAAGTAAAAGCAGAACGCCACTGAAGGTAACACGACATCACACTCTTCCCCCCTATAAGCACACGGAAGAGGGGTTGAGGAAGTGAGGGAGGCGGAAACTATTTCACTATAGTTTATAAGATGGTAGTGAGTACGATATCCAGAAGGAATAATGCCTAGGTAGCTGGGAAGTTGATATCATATCCTAAGACTTAAGTAAACCTCTTATATGGTGGTTGGTTGGTTGCGAGTGGGAACTCTTCAAGAGCTTAGAGCAGGTGAGTGGGCGTGTTATTTCCACTCTATAGTAGGTAGAGAGAGCATAATTTGATTATTCCTGTTATTGTCATTTATCACGGACCAAAAGTCACTGAATATGCATTTGGGAGAAGCATCAGTTCTAACGTGAAAAACATCACACTCGGTTTCTCATCAGTTAAGCTAACGTAACTGAGGGCTGATATTGAGTTGTCAGTCCGACATACTGGTAGGGTTTATCGAAGGCACTTAAAGTATGACATCCCTGTGTCCTGCCCGCTTTAGATTAACCAAATGCTCCTAATCGCCATAAGCCGAAGTACCATTATGACTATTTCTCGGATTGGCCGGATTTAAAAGTTGTGGCTAGCTGCAAGGCAGCTTCCTTGCGGCCACTGTATATCGCATCTACAAGCATTGCTATGTGAGCACAGTCGTCTCGGAGGGATTCGGTTTGGTTTTTGATTTTGTCTTCGCATCCTATGCGCTTTTCTACTGCCGCCAACAACCGGTCAAGCTGTTCCCTTTTGTGATCGGATCTAATTGTGGCGCGTTAGGACTTCGCGATTCTAAGACAGATATATGGGGGAATGTTTTTAGCGGTGAGATGTGACCAGATGGAAGCTTGTTCCATCGCCCGTCAACCGCTACTTAAACATCGTGTCATGGGAATGAGTTGGTGGTGTTGTTATATCTTACATCATCTGGGTCTCATGATGGTAGTGAGCCTTGATTTTATTCTTCAGTGCAGTCAATTTGTCAGTATAATCCTTGTCGATGCCCTTCCGGATATCAGTTCTCTTCGATTTCCATTTGTCCTGTAAAATCGAAGCCTATATCAGTAAATTTTGGATTATACACAGACAACATTCGTGGATAAGAGATGATCGTACAATGCTTTCCATAGCCTGGGGTATGCTCGCACTTAGTTGATACTGAAAGTCGGGTTTCGGTTCTACGTCAGAGACTGAGTCGACTTCAGTCAGGCTTTGTTCTCTGCGACGAGATGGCATGACTGCTAGGTACCTAGTTACCTATGCGATTTAGGTACACTTCTGGCTGATAGAAGATTGTATGTGCTCAATCGAATCCTATGAGTAGTGTATGTTAGAGGGTTTTGATTGATAATCGTAGTCGTGCCCTTGAGTTCACACATTTTAGACATCTCGTTAAGTAAATGAATAGAGTTATATTTAAGCTACTAGCATAGAATTAGGCCGTGACTTCCTAAAGAAAAAAGTGATGTCGCACTTTCTCTTCCAATTCTGGGTTTCCAATTGTCGAACCTTCAATGTTGGTGAATGTGGAAGGGTAGAGTACGAAATACGAAGTACGAAGTACCTACCCCAGAATTGAAATGCGGGACTAGCCGCTTCACGGAATTTCATTCGGCCGACCCGAAGCTTAACACGGTGGGTATTACCTAAGAGGTACGAAGTACATGCACCTAGGTATGTACATACCTTTCTAAATTTTACCGTTCGAAAATTATTGAAAATCGGACCCCACTAGCCGAAGTAAAGTAAAATCATCTCTAAATTCTACTTGCAATTTTGACTCTCGAAGACCAATTTCGCTGCCATGGGTCTCTCAGGGCCTAGGAAGTATGCTAATTCCAATACATGTCCTCTCATTGATCTGTCGCTGACATCAAACTTTCTCAAGCCGTCGGAAAATCCAACACGATCCAAATAACACTAAATGGAGTCGCGACGAGACGACCTTCGGCCAGAGGATTCTGCGAGCGCAGGGCTGGGAACCTGGAAAATTCCTAGGCGCACAGGATGCCTCTCACTCCCACCTACATTCCGCTGCGAGCGCCGCCCCCATAAATGTTCTCATGAAAGATGATACCCTAGGATTGGGTGCGAAGCCCAAGCATAAGCAAAATACCGAATGCACCGGTCTCGACGTTTTCAAGGATCTGCTTGGTAGACTCAACGGGAAGTCTGAGGAGGTAATTGAGAAAGAGAGAGAAGTCAGATCAGGCATCAAGACAAACTTGTATGTGGAGAAGAAATATGGCCTTATGAGATTTGTCTCTGGCGGATTTCTGGTTGGTGATCAAATGAACGAATTGACCAGCACGAATATCAAGACTCCCACTTCTGAGGAATCAGGCGACGATAAATCGACTATCAAGTTGGAGAATTCTACGAGTCTACTCGCGAAGAAGGAGAAGAAAGAGAAGAGAGAAAAGAAGTCTAAGAAGCGAAAAGCTGAGGACTCCGAGTCCACGGATAGCTTCGACGCTATCTCCGAGAAGAAGCGCAAGAAGCGATCGAAAGACAAGGTCCCGGCAGATGATTTAGCAGATACTCCAGAAGTCGGGGAGTCTAGCAAGAAGTCCAAGAAGTCTAAACGAAAAGATAACGAGGAGATCGAGTCAACTGGATCGGACAAGAAGAAGAGGAAGAGTAAGAAATCAAGGAAAGATTCTGAGGGCGGGACCAAGGACAATGGCACCTCTAGTGTGTCTGAAGACGTTCAGTTGGAAAAGTCACTATCAAAAGAAGAGAAGAGGGCAAGGAAGAAGGAGAAGAAAGCAAAGAAGCAAAAACAATTGGAAACCCCAGATTCCTCGACAGAAGCCGCTGGCTCAACAGATACCTCAACCCCTATTCCCCTTATCACCCCTCAAGAAAGCGGTGCCTCAACACCAGTTGGCACGGGCACTTCAACTCCCCAGGCGCTCTCTGCACGGCATTATGCTCGATCACGTCATATAGCATCGAAACGAATGGCTATGGCCGATATGGCAGCATTGAACCAAGTACGTTTTAACGTGGGCTACTGGCTCTTAGAATATGCACTAATCATCGAGTAGATTTTCATGGTAAAGCCAGTTTAATAGGGGGAGTAATGCGATGGGCGGATCGGCTCTGTATATGAGAGCGCCTATGATACCCGATAGAACACGAGCCTTTGAATTGAGGATTGTTTTACTTATATGAACTTGAATAGACCTCGTAACAAACTCCATCGAAGAAACTGATGAAAGTCAACCACACGACTTAATACATGCGCGGACAAGGTATTCGTACACATATGAAGAACATCCACAGTGCCGACAAGAATACCTACCTCGCAGTCTACATAGGTAGATAATGATGCGTTACGCTGCATGGCTCGACCCGCATATCATCCGGTCTCTTTGGTGACCAGGCTACTGAGCCAACCACCCCGACCCCTGTTCATCTTATGGTGTCCCACGATCTATGGCTGTTACCCCTTCTGGAGTATCTACTCATCTTCGTTTACTTACCTAGTCCATGCTTCAAAATATCCTGTTAAGGCATCGATGAGGTCTTGAAAACTACCTAGGTATCCAGCGAAAGCGAGTCGCGTGAAGACATACCACGAACGTGAAACATGATGGACGAGCGGCCGAGGCTATGACCGAACCAGTTTATCTCCGCTTGAGATCAATAGTACCTAATATTCAGATCAGCATGAAAATAATTATCTACGCCACTTTACTTACATCTTCCCGCTTAAGGCCAACCTTGGGTATGTTTTATAGCTACTAGGTAGACCAGAAGAGCTTTCTAGAGAAAGCATAATTTCCTCACATTAAATTAAGGATATACTCAAGTAAGTAGACTTTAGCTCAGGCGGCGCCGAATACTCGATTCCTCCCTTATTCAAGATCAATGCCAAGGTGTTATCGCCCATATCAAATTTCAGATTGGATAGGTACGCTAGTCATTTAGGAGAGGACGACAAGAAGGGGTATGACGAACTCTTGAGCGGTAAAGTGCTCCAATTCATCCCTACCTAGGTATTTTAAATACTAGGTCGCACCTAATATTGACAGCCCACGGTGTTGATATCGATATTTCTCTTAGAATGCTCGGGGAGAGTGTCATGGAACGTTTTTGAGACTGTCAAAATATTTCACGTATCCCAATCGTATACTTTGAAGACATATATTATTAGTACGGAAAAGAATAATATTATTTACCTAGGTAGATAAACTTTCGACATCGTATTGCTCGAGTACTAATTAGGCCATCAGACTGAGGTTTCACAGATCCTATCCATCACTAATGCAGATAAAAACGAATTCGCAAAGCCACCCGCCGCCGCCGAGATAAATAAAACTCCGTCGGGGTTATACCGACATTTAAGTCAATGCATGGACCCGAAACCAACCCGTGTAACTATTCACCCTCCTAGGTAGTCGACGTGTAGCTCTTCTCATAACATGTAGTCGGATACCCAGCATCCCATTCCGGAGTGATCGATCCGTATGATTACAGGGTACCGGAAGAATGGGACAGAAAAAGTAAAGATAGCGGTATTGATCTACACAACAAGCAAGCACTGCATTTTCTTTCCTTTTCTACTACGCTCATTTGACGATAAAATGCCGACGGCGGGAAAGTTCTGGGCTGCAATTCAGAGCCTAGTTGAGGTAGGCGCCGTACACAACCCCTAATTACACTAGTAGGTAAAATACCGATTTTATTGGACCCGTCCTCAACGAACAAGAACGTCAAGGCAGGCTACTAGCGTATAGAATTACGTATATCCTCAGAGATCGATCCTTAGGTGGTCTCCTCGGGTAATACAATCCTTCTAGGGCATCCTATCGCACGATTCGTCCTCTGTCAAGACTAAGGCCGAGATGCCCAATGGTCGGGTTTGGGCTTGGTCACAACTCGTCATAGCCCTCATCTAAGCATCACCACCGCAGAATCATTGATGAGAATAAGGATGAAACTAGTAAGTCATACACCGATGTCTCTTTTATCCTTACTGATGTGTGTATAACTGCGAAGATCCCGCCTCGAAAGTCGGTGTTAACCGTCAGTTAGAGGTGGACCAATTGCCTACAGAAGACCTACTCTCCAACTCCGTCATATAGCCCCATGGAGCTCGTAGTGTTGATGAGCCCAAGCCTACTCCAAGACTCCACAGAGACGTGTTCGAGGATCGATGGCATTACCCCGACTACCTCAAGGGACTTGTAAGTGTCCTTCCACTACGTCAAATTTATAGTCTGGATCTATCTGATACGAGCCGATCTCAGGAGAAGCAGATTACTACGAATAGGTCGGATCGCTCGCATCAGCTCCGCATCGCCCTTTTCAGACAGGAGGTCGCAGTAATCAACCGGGTAATTACGTCACAGCTGAGATTTATAGACAGTCATGACGCCCCTTTAGGAGCCCGGGTTGGGTGATCAGACCCGCTAGGAAGGGGAAATGCTGGAGAGGGTGCGAGGAGGATCACAAGCCGAGGCAAACAGGACGTGATCGCGACCCTACGAAGGCACCATATACGTGGATAGGGTAGAAGCCTACGAAAGTAGCAACCCCCGTTACCAGAGGAGCGTATCATGTTTGGCCGCGGTGCTGCTCGATCCGGTCCGAGATCTGGATGTTTTCTCTCAGTAAGCTAGCGTCAACAGACCCCAGCAGGACTCGCGAGCTCCTTAGTCGCGAATGCAGGTCCTGGTTGGAGCGCAGGGATAGCGAGTTCTTATGAGCTTGACATTGGAGTGTCGAGGATTGAGGATGTTGGAAACGATGCTTTAAGATGTAGCAAATAGCAGACAGTGAAGCGTCAACTCTCGACCCTCCCGCAGAACACCAGCATAGTCGAAGCAACCAAACACCAGCAAAAAGTAGCGGTCTACACCCTCACCATATCTTCGCCACTACGTACCATCAACTCTATCTTCGGCATAGACTCGAACAGCATGCGTGACATGGACCTAGGGCGGAGGGTAGATTGGGCAGCAGCCCTACCTACAACGGTCGCGGTCATCATCACGGGGATCTGGTGGATGGGAGAATTGGATAGGCGACTCGGACGATTGGATGCGCGGGCTCCCTCCTCGGCGGGACAGAGGTTATGCACGAGTGTGTGCTCCGGCTGCAAACGGCGTCATACACCATCTCCAGGCAGCGTCCCCGGGAATACCTAGAAGCTTAGCTGATAAGACCATATACATACATACATACCTACATGCCTACCTATTTACCTACTAGCCGGGAAACACCGGGGCCGCCGGTGCCGCGGACGCCTTGGCTGTATTGGTGTTTTTATTTTTTCTCCTTCCTGTTTTTTACGGGCTCGATTTCGTACTTTCCTATCTAGATCAAGCTCGACATTACATTCCACGCGGCCACGTCGCGCAAGGTCCGCCTCACTTACTTGTGCTTGAGTCGCGAGTCAGGTGGCGTTTGGTTCTGATAGCATCCGCATTGCTTCTTCTGTAGATCATTGCACCAGACGCACGCACGCATGCATGCTGGTGTCCGTCCGCCGTGCATGACATCTCATCTCTCCTCCCTCCCTCTCTTTCGTTCTGGCGCGGGAACGGGCGCAGCGTTAGGTCGCGATAGGATCCAGAAGTCCGTCCTATCGCGTCGTGCCACTCAGCCGGTAGCCTGCTGATAGACCTCCTATTCGCCAATGGGGGGACCCGGTAGCGCAGAAAATCTGTCAGCGCTGTAGTGTCGTATCGGCACGCATCCGTGATTGGGCGGCCGGGTCCCCCTCCCCCCTCCCACTCCCGACGAAGGTGAACCTAGGCTGGCTGGGCTGGCTCGGCTCACATCTTGTTGGGGATTGTGGCTGCAGTGAGAAAAGCAAAGTATGCTTGATCCAGCTTAACTCCCCCCCGCGCTCGTAAGGAATCGAGATTTGGGGGTCCCCCCCCAACCAAGGACCCTGAGTTTCCTTCAGTCCCTCTCGGTCCCTCAGCCTCGACAGCCGTTGTGGAACCTTCTACTTACTTCTAACGAGAATGGGTTACTCAAGTCAAGCTTCGCAGCTTTGTGCCGGCAGCGACAGAGCTAAGGATTTGGCGTAGGTGGGATAATGCTACATGGCTTACATACGCTACGTCATCAGATCTTGGATCTTTCGTGCTGGGAGTGATATCTTACAACCAAAGTCAGCTATGTAGCGTCATTCCCACTTTATATGATCGGTCTCGATATGCGAATAATTGTAGGCAAGGCGTAGTAATGTTTAATCGTATAGGTACTAGAAACCCGTCTCGTCACGTAACCCGAATTCACTAGTCAGTTTCACGGGTTTTGCATAGAAATATGACGGTATGCTGTTGTGTTTCTGATAGGTCTATACTTTGTGTAACCGTCAACAAAGGTTTCGGAAATATCACGAAACTTGGGATTTAGAAGATATCCATGTCCTGTGTTCGAGACTCAACTTGTCCTGTTACTCTACTACTCAGTCGTGAAACAACATGTTTTACCTTCCAGCTGATTTTCATGCCCAAGAACCTAACTGTCGACCCGAGTAATACCCAGGCAGAAAATATGCTACAATAGCCTCGTAGGACAACCATGCTGTAGCCCTGCCTCAGCATGACTCAGATATTGATTATTCTATTGCTATTTATGTAATTAATGATTGGTTGTCTTTTATTTTTCGCGATTACACGTCGACTCTAACACTGAGAGTGTAGTACATGTATTAAGAATTTCAAGAATTTTCTCAATACATCTTTAGGTAAAATATTTCGAAGACCAAATATAGCAAAGAATCATTAAATAAAACAGCTATCGTACTTCATAGAATAACTGGATGAGTAGGTGCCTACTTGTGTTTGAAAATCTCCTAAATTATCCCCCGAAACCCCCTTTTTGTCCTGCCCCTTTTAGCTTCAACTATCTTCTCAATCAACCTACCCTCTTTTCAACAAGACTCTAATCATCACAAACAATATGTGTATGTAGAGTAATTTCAATTACAAGAATCGATACTTTCATATCAACTAAGTTCAACACTATTCTTGTTACCATATAATTTACTCGGCACTCGGTCATCAAGTTGGAGGTTTGCTGCGCACACGTGATGGTATTGTAAGCCAACACATCGCTTCCAAAACAAGATACAGATTTGTTTGTTCGACACTCGCTGTCAAAGATTCAAGGCAGACCGTGTTTGGCAAGAACTTAGACAGATGACGTTGTATTTCAATGATGATTGTTTTCATATCATGCCGTGCAACTTTCCCCAAAACCTTCTTTCTTCCAAGTAACTCATTGAACTTGGATAACTTGCGAAAATGTACCGGCAGGAATCCTTCTAGAACAGGTTACCAAGTTCTTGATTGAATGCTGAAGGTTCACGAGATTCCTGTTCGGTCACGAAGGGTGTAAGGGAGATGATCATGCCAGGGAGGGCAGTTGAGCCGGTGAAGTTGTAGGTGTAGGTTTTTAGGTGTAGTTGAAATCCTGTCTGCCAACTAAATCTGACAGCCAAGGGTCCCAGGATGTTGACGTTATGGTGTATTCAAATCAAGGATTGAAAGAGACTAGTTAAGCGGCTCGATCTAAAAGTTGGGTTAGGTAAGAGTTGATCGCGAACAGCGTGGACCTCGTATATAGATTTTGTCGCAAGGGGTATATTCCGTGAAACGTTTCTCAAAATAGTACCTAGGTAAAAGATAGATAACCATAAGTGTTCTCGACATTACCTATACACCGCTTTACACCTGCTGTTATTTGGTTACGCCAAGAATCATTCTCTTTCTATGTCACGGAGTTACCTACAGCAAGTACGTTGATGTTTTCGTATGCCGTTACGAGAAAATACCCATATAACGGGTAAAATGGGGAGAGATAGGACAAGTAATAGTATTCGCATATCAATAAAGAAAATCAAATAAAAACAAAGATGTCCTAAATGGTGTTGATGATGCTGTTCAGAAATCTGGATGGTCGACCCTTGACCCACCCCCCCTTAATAAAGTCCCGTAAAGCTGCAAGCCAATGTCGACGTGTGCAGGTTGCCCGTGATACCATCATCATTCACCCCTGTAGACCGTGGTCTCACAACATCCGGGAATACAAGATTGTGGCGAAAGGGTTGGCAGCCCAAGCGGCCCCGAGGTCATGATGATGTTGCCACGGGATGAGCGTTGGGCTCGTGTTAATTGATTTTAGTTGTTATTAGTTGATGTTAGTGTGCTACTGAAACAAACCGCCTTGAATGTTTGAAAAGTACTTAACATCTTGATATTTCCCGCCCTGTTTCCTTCGACTCCACGAGTTCTCTATCTTAGAAGCGATACTAGGAAGAACTGCTTAAGAACTGTTTATTGGGGTAGATTCTAGAACCTGTTCTTTTAGTCGTACTAAGTTCCATCATATTCTCCAACTGTTCAGAGTTCAAACTCTATTCTGGCCACTCACCTGCCATTCTCCAAGCCATCTTCCAAGTCTGCGCCCGCTCTGCCACTTACAGCGCCCACTTACACTGCCCCCCTGTCCCCGGCCAAAGCCGAAACCCTGCAGACACGACCTTATCGATAAATTAGCGTCACCAAAATCGAACGAGAATCCGGTTTAGATAGCCGTAGACTTCTGTGACGTAAGGGACATCGCGATCACCACCCTGTCTCGTCACTTCCATATCTAGATCCTCATCCCCGCCATGTGGTATTACACTTCTACAGGTTAGCTTTTCTATTATTTCTCAACCATCAACCATAAAAAGAACTTAACGCTTTATCCGCCCATATATTCCATCTCCATCCAATAGCATACCTGCATCAATATTATCTATTGCATCTATTGCTTCCATCGCACCTATTGCATTGCATCAAAAGGCCTAACAAGATGTCAACCTATTACGTAGCACCCCGCGAGAAGCGCTATCACAAATACAAGAAGGTGCTATACCTAGAACCACCTATCAACGGAAGCAAAACCGTCCGCACGCGAGTCACCACTATTGTTCCTCCTCCGGCACCCGCACCAATACCATCACCGCCTCCTGTCCGAGTGCTGCCTGAACCCAGACACACACCACCACCGCCTGTCATCGTCGAGCCTCTCCCACCTCCACCACCAGCACCCGCGCCAATGCCAATGCCAGCGCCGATGCCCTGTCTGCCCTACCCAGAGTCCGAGCACGACACGGAGATCGACGTCATCGCAGTCGACGTAGACGCGGACCAAGAATCCACCGTATACTCCAAATCATCTAAATCATCGACCAAGAGCTCGCGGTCAAAGAGCTCATCTCGAAGCTCCAAGTCCTCCCACAGCAGCGGCCGCAGACATAGCCACGAGCGCGAGGTGTACATTGAGCGAGAGCGTCTCGTGCCCGTCCGCGTCCCCGTGCCGTATCACGTGCACCACGTCGAGATCGAGCAGCCCCAGCAGCAGGACAGCTTCCGGTATATCGAGGCACCAAGACGGTACGAGCCCCCGAGGCGACGGAGCGAGGACCACGAGATCGTCATTGAAGATCACCGACACCGGAAGTATATCCGAGACGGCTGAACAATCGGTTTTCCATTGATTCGGCTTGTGACAATATACTTCCTATCTACTACTTGTTCGAATCTTGTTTAAATATACACGGGAAGGAGTTTTTGAGACGCTTTGTTAAGATTGACATGAAACTATGAGGATGGACGACGGCGCACCGAGATGACGAGACATGTATAAGGCAAGGCGACTTGGGTCACAGAAGGGTTAATGGAAACGCGGAGTTTGGAATACATTTTTGGTTCATCTGTACACATCTATGAACATACTGATTTTGGGGCAGAGCGGAGCGGAGTTTCCTACTAGGTAATATTCCTAATGTATATTACGGAGCAACCTTACCATCTAGGATATCGTGGTGGGAGTTGTTGCTCTGTGGTCAAGGCTAAGGCTACTTAGGTAGTATTGGTGGTTTCTAATAATCAGTCAATCCCTGACTTGTTCTAACAAACAAATTATACACATCCACAACTTTTCTATTGGTGATACAAGCCACGAAATAGCACCCATCTAAATCATGGAAATAGATGCACTTTCCTACGAACCAAGATCTAAAACAATAGATCATGACACACTTCAGCCATCCAGAAGAACACACAATCACCACGAGAGCCAAGTCCTATCATCTCAACTATGCCGACAATTAAGTATATTCGGTACTACTAATTTTAATATCGCGGAGTTTTAACGTAGTATTCTACACAAGAATCAGAGCTGGATGGGTATTCCAAAAACCGCCCACGGAACGAGCGCCGTATACATCGTCCCCATCGTACGGTACGGTTCGTCTATATCTCTAACATGCATTCCTCCCATATATATCCTCTAACTATATCCATTACGCATCCAACACATTCATATCCTTTCAACATGATAGATATTATCGATCAAGAGCCTGGCTCTGGCACTATAATTACGAAACCGATTAGCACACATATATCAGAGGGGGAATAATAGTAGGGGCGAACTTACCATATGCCAATAAACGCCCTTCTTCCTCAGTAGCTCAACATGGCTCCCCTTCTCCAACACCTTACCCTCACCCAACACGAAGATAATATCAGCATTCTGCACTGTCGCCAGCCTATGCGCCACAACAACCATCGTGCGTCCCGCAGCCGCACGTTCAAAAGCGCTTTGAACCAGCTTCTCGCTCTCAGAGTCAAGACTACTCGTCGCCTCATCAAGCAGCAGTACATCCGGGTGTCGAATAAGCGCGCGAGCAATAGCAATCCGTTGCTTCTGTCCGCCCGAAAGCGAAACCCCGCGACTGCCAATCTCGGTATTATACCCATCGGGCAGAGACACGATGAAGTCGTGAATACTCGCATCGCGACACGCAGCATGTAACTCCGCGTCGGTAACCACATTTGGGTCCACGCCCAACAGAACATTATCCCGAAGCGTGCCCTGGAAAAGAGTCGGTTCCTGCGCGACGAGGGATAAGTGGCGGCGATAATCGTACACATTGACGCCGGTGATATCCGTGCCGTTCGCGAGGATCTGCCCGCGGTGGACGTCGTAGAACCTCTCTAATAAAGAAATAATGCTCGTCTTACCGCACCCGGATGCGCCGACGAGGGCGGCGAATTGGCCTTTTTCGATAGTGAGGTTTAGGCCTTTGAAGATCGATACGTTGCGCGATGGGTACTTGAAGTGCACGTCCCGTAGCTCGATCTTGATACCCCCGCGCGTGTCGGCGATCTGCGCTTTCTTTTCCCCAAGGTCCCGCGTTCGCGATTCGCGGATGCTGAGGATGCGGTTTGCGGCGGCGGAGGCTTGCGCTGCGTTGGGGCCGAAGCTAAAGCCTTGGCCAGCGGCTTCGGCGCCGTTGATTACTGTGGGCGGTTAGCGGGCATTTTTTTTCCGTGGGGAGGGTGGTTGTGGCGAGTGGTGTGTGACTTACCAGCCATATAGCAGACCAGGAACTGCAGGACGTTGTACTCCCGCGAGGCCAGCAGCGTGCCTCCGTACCATAATATGAGAGCCTGACAGGCCATACTAACGCTGTCCGAGAAAGCGAACACCAGCGTTCTCCATATCGACTTCTTATAGGCATGCGAAACGTGGTGGTTGAGCAGGCCGTCGTATCGGGTGCAGATCGTGTCCTCGAGGGTGAGCGAAGAGACGGTGCGGAAGGCGGCGATGGCTTCGGCGGCGAATTTCGACGACTCGGCGAAAACTTCAGCGTACATCTGCTCGAACTCCAATTCGTACTTGAACCGAAAATAGCCGGCAATGAGTCCGATCGGCATCGTCACACATGTGGCGACGAGGGCGAGCTTCCAGCCGAAGGCGAATGATATAGCTAAAGACCCGATGAGGGTGAAGAACCTATATATCTCCAAGTTAATAATGCGGTCGGTGCAGTTGGTAAGAAATAAACAAAGGGTATACGTACGAGTTATACACCATAGCCATGTTTAAGCCCAGGAGTTCCTCCAATTGTTTCGGATCACCCCCGACACGCGCTGTCAGCGAACCGGTTGAGTTCTGCTCCTCATCAAAGAATGAAGTTTTCTGGTAGATGATACCCTCAAAATATTGCTGTCGGTATATATTGGAGATATACTGTATTCAGATGGTTACAACGATTGTATGTTAAGCTAGTAAAGGGGTAGGGTACTTACGAAAGCCAAGTTGCTCGCGACGTACCCGAGGACGAAATAAGCAAGACCTGTAGCTATGGCGAGTACCACCCACATCAAGGACCAGAAATTAGCTTCGGATGTGAATTTAGGTAAGTCGTCGACATAGGTGAAGATGACAATGATCTGTCCGAAGAGGTACGCTTGCATTGGGGTTGAAGCTGGTGTCAATAGTTAGACTAACGTTCAACATGACCAAGGGTATGTTAGAACAACTTACCGGCCGTACACATAGCAGCCAAAATCGTAACTGCATAGAATGGGAAGCGAGACCGTTGCTCGTACAGCAGCCGTCCGAAACTTCCAAAGAGCCCCTGCTTCTTATAGCCCGGCGGCCCTGGCGCGTTAGCCACGGTATCAGAGTAGGCAACGCTCTTCTCGCGAGTAAGAATCGCTGCCATGTCCTCTTCTTCCGGCTCATCAGAGTCGCCAGCTTCCGTGGGCTCACCGAGCGAAAGCTGTTGTGCGTGGACGAGACCATAGTAGACTCCCATATCATCCTCCAGGAGGGATTCATGGGTGCCCTTCTCAACGACCTTGCCTCTTTGTAGGACCACGATAGTATCTGCTTTCTTAATGGTCGAGAGTCGATGGGCGATAGTAATCGTCGTTCGGCCCTGGGACACCTTATCAAGAGCTGCTTGAACAATACGTTCGCCTCGGACATCGATCGCGGATGTAGCCTCGTCGAGGATAAGAATCTTCGGCCTCTTGATGACCGCTCGAGCAATACAAATTCGTTGACGTTGTCCTCCAGAAAGTTTTGTGCCGTTTTCGCCGACAAGAGTTTCGTAACGGTCCGGGAGTCGATCGATGAATTCGTCGGCGAACGCCTCTTTACAAGCCTCTCTCACTAGCTCTTTTTTGCGTTCTTCCGACTCGTGTTCGAATTCAGATCCTATCAACCCATGTGCGACGTTATTGTAGATGGTATCATTGAATAGAAAAGGCTCTTGTTGTACGAGCCCGATCTGAGACCTCCACCATCTCAAATGGATCTCGTCTAGCTCGTGGCCACTCGTCGATATCGATCCCCTTAACTTTACAATCGGACCAGTTTCAACTTCGGCGGGGGCTTCATCATCTGAGTCATCGCTCTTCTTCTTCTTTTTGCCTTTATTCTTCTTCTTCGCCTCTTGCTTCTTTTTCTCATCTTTCTCGATAGCCTTTGCGATGATGTATTGGTCGCGTAGAGTGTACCATCGTTCTATTAGTCCGATTATTGTACTCTTACCTGATCCCGAAGGTCCAACAATAGCCGTGATTTTCCCAGCCTCGATCCTAAGGTTGAGTTGATCCAGAACTCGAACATGTGGCCGACTCGGGTATGCGAAATCCACCCCCTTAAATACAATGTCGTCGGTCGCAGAAACATCCGGCTCGGTAAGCTTGCCAATATTCGGTCGAGGGGCATCGATAACTGTGAAGAACTCGCAGGCAGCCACCGTAGCCTTGCCGATTGCGATGAGCGGCGTCGAGATACGTTCGATAGAAATAACCATCATCATGACCGACATAAGCACGACGATGATAGTCCCCACATCATGAAGCCGACCTTCAACATACGATTTAGACCCGTACCAAAACGCAAGACCAAAAGCAGCATTGAACGCGAAGAAGATCAGGGAAAATTGCGCGGCCAGAAGGGGCGTCGTCCTCTGCCCATGTTTCTTCGCCGCTTCGGCCCAGATGGAGAATTTCTTAGCAACTTGAGACTCAGCACCGCATGCGACGACCATACGGATAGCCGAGAAAGCTTCGCTAGCGATAGAGGACGATTTAGTTTCGGCCTTGGTAACCCTGCTCGTTCCTTTGACGTAAAATGGGATTATGATGCCCACGGTAAGCATAATGAAGAGGATGACGGAACACGTAACTAGAGCCAGGGCCCAATTGTACACGAAAGCGATGACGGTAGCAGCAATTATCATCACGACAAATTCGACAAAGGTACCGAGCTTCTCTGAAATACCCAATTGCAGCGTGTTCGCCGTGGTTGTAATCGTCCCTGCGGCCGCACCAGGGGGCATCGAGTCAAGAACATGAATCGTTTGGCCAAACAGGCAGCGGAGGTAGTCAAGTCTGATTCCAGCGGACATCCGAATACCAATTAAACGATAACAAAACTGCGTCCATGAGTAGATATCCTAGGTGTAAGTAGCAGTTTGGAAGGTGTGATACCTTATTAATGTAAGTCAAGACGAATCTCCCGATAAACAGGTAGAATACGTATAATCTTGTTATCCGAGACATCAGCGGCCCATACAGAAGAACGATCCTTGCTTAGACTTACGCATTTTTATTAAGAGATGCCCGAAATTCGGCTTCGGATAGAGAAGAGACGGGAAGAAAGTAGCCACTGAAGTTGCCGACCAATGCGCCTGATGATTGATGAGCATATAAGTACTGGGTATCTTAGTTAAGGTCTTACCGAATACAACATTCATCAACGGAAGAGTCTTTGGGATGGGCAAGTTGTTAGTCTATCAGTCTTTCATGGGGAGTGATATAACAAGAACACATACGACACCCGAACCGGCGGCTGCCAGGACCGCGGCCACGAGAAGAACGAAGTCCCACGGCTTAGCATATTTAAAGACTCTCTATCCCGACGTCAGCAATGTCTTCATATGTAGGTAGGTATAGTTCCGAAGACAACTAACGATATAGTCACCAAAAGCGGCCTCCCTCTCCGGACGGACTTTGGCGTCGCGTCTCGCCTTTTCTTCTTCGCTTATAGGCGGCTTTTCGCTGAAGCCGCCGGGGCTCATGACCCCATTTGGCTCTTTCGAATCTGACTTCATGCTGAACAGGATGCCATATAGCGACGAGTTTTGTTTACCTGCGACGGTATCCCGACAACAAAAACTCAAAGAGGACTTCTTTTTTTAATGTATGGTCTTCAATTCAGCAGCCTTAGAAAGACAAAGGGCGCCAAGTGATGCCTCAGGAGCAAGACGTAGTTGAAACGGCAGGCAGCAAGATTAACGTTATCTTATACACATAATCATACAGTAGCAGCCTCATCCATTACGTCGATCGGAAAACCTTGAATGGCAGAATGTCATCGGCCGTGGTGTGCTTAGGCCAAGAATGCGGAATCGAAGCAACGCGAAGACAAGACAAGAAAGACAGGAGACGGGATAGAATTACCAGAGAACATCCATGATATTTCAATTTCTGGTAACGGTTTACCCGATCAACAACAAACCCCCCGTAGAGATCAGTGATTTCCTAGATCTATCCAAAAGTCCAGACCAATCATCGTGTTTCCGTTTCGTATTTGCTTATGCGAATACGGCGCATTTAAGGATGGGGCGACGTTTTAACTCGGGGGCATCTAAGGGTCCGAGACCCTGGTATAACTGCTACCTAGCAGCCTACCTAGAACGCTGTAATTTAGCTGGCCAGGCTCTTACATACCTGGTAAGGCAGACATTATTATCCTCATTCGTAAGGAACTAACTGCAACCAACCCCTGCACTAATGTCCCGGGCGAAGATTTGTAGATCTGGACCTTATGCAAGCTTGATAACTTAATCAGGCATCAAGATCAGGAATCCCTACGCGATGGATATCCATAGGGATCTCTATTCAGCCTCATATATCCCTTTGTTTTTTTGTTGTTGGTTTTTTCTTCAATTGGAGAAGTTGATGTCTTAATTGTTGAACAATCTACAAATAGGAAAACGAAAGAGACTTAGTCTAGTATTCCAAACAGGCAATAGTGAGACGCAACACATTACAGTTCAGCTCGAACCCACTGTCGTTTATGAATAACCTAATTTGAACAAACGTTATTATTATTACATACCGCCTCGCTTCGCTAGTACTTCCTTCCACACACCTAAGGATCAAGCCACATCGGACCCGCGCCGTGGGGTTGCAGAATCTCACAGGTAGGAAGGTAGGACGAAGCGCAACTTGATTAAAAAAAAGAAGATAGGTCCTTACAGTGAGTCAGAACCTTGGAAGTTGTGTCATAAGATCGGGAGCCTATCAGCACAGTTATAAATGCGCACATGGGCGGCGTATGGCTCCCGAGACACTACCCCCATTAACCGTATATTAAGTGCCGATACATACATACAGGTGTCTCTACTTGACGCATACGCCGTATCCAGCCTGCATCCCGGTGCGCCCCCCGCTAGCATTTCAAGTGTGGCTCACCTACGTCGCCAAGAGTATGTAGGACTGTATTATGATTTTCAGGGAGTCATGGTACCTAGTCTACTAGTGCACCGCAACATCGATTAGAAAGCGAAGTGACAATACGTGGAATTCTATAGCAATTGAGAGAAGTGCTCGAACTCCATGCTCTTGCATACGTCAATTATGGAAGTTCGATCGCTCGCAATGTTACGAAACCGGCAATTTTTCGCGATCATGCACACCGGGCTATTAGTATGGTTATCTTGGTTCTGGGTATGTAATTCGTCGATCACCCGCTATCAGGGGGGAAAGTTGGAGAACCTCGCTTCGTCGACACAAGATTGTAGAAGAAACACAAATCGCAATTCGGCAGGCTATAATTATAACTCGAAGGGAATATCATTGCTTTTCTATCATGATATAGGTAGCAGAGTTCATCAATAATCCGGCGCCCCCCAATCCGTGGTTCCCAGCAATGAAGACTAAGAAAGAGACCTTATTTTCGTTCCATGTGCCGAGCTCGGCATTCTGACATGCCCCTCGCCCGTAGTCTAAGAAGTAAGATCACGCATGTCGACGGATATCGTCGGTGAAATATCAAAATCAGCTAGTAACGGAGGATATCAGTTATTATCCTATGTAAATCTACCACCAACGCTGCCTTGATACCTGTTGTCGCTAAATCACTATGCTGATATCTACTTACAACTTGTTAGGGGGAGCGGCCGACGTCATCGGCCACTGGTAACCTGTCGCGTCGCTAAACTTGTACCCATAAGACGACGTGAAGTCATCTAGGACAGCCGGTCCTCGAGATCCTAAGAGGAAAGTCAGCACGTGTTTTACGATTCATACGATACTCGGGTCTTCCAACTCACCATAGGGGTACTCCATCGGGATAATTTCCTTGTTATCATCAAGGTAGTGTAATAGTGGTGTGAAGATTCTCCAGCTAGCGTCGAGTTCGTCGTCTCTGACAAAGTTGGAGTGGTCGCCCTTGAGGGCATCCAAGATCAGCGATTCGTAGGCCTCGGGGATCTTAAGATCCGAGAATCGTCGCCTGTAAGTCAAGTCGAGCTCCGTCACGACCGTCTGCATGCTTAATCCGGGTAGCTTAGAGTTCATTTTAATATAAACACTCTCGTTTGGTTGGATACGCATGACCAATTCGTTCCGAGGAATGTCCTTGAAGATACCACTAGTAACATCCTTGAACTGAATTCGGATCTCGGTCTTTTGTTCGTTCAGAGCTTTTCCAGCCTTCATGATGAATGGTACACCATCCCATCGCTCATTCTTTATGTATGCGACTAGAGCGCAAAAGGTCGGGCAGCGCGAATCCTTGGGAACGGTGTCATCCTCCTTGTAAGAAGGCTTGCTGCCATCGAGAGATTTTCCGTACTGACCGATAATAACATTCTTCGGCTCGATAGCAGGGATACCTCGAAGTACACGGACCTTCTCATCACGAATATCTTCGGCCGAGAAAGAGATAGGTCGCTCCATAGCCAAAAGCGTCAAAACCTGGAGTAAATGGTTTTGCATAACATCTCGAATGATACCAAACTCGTCGAAGTACCCACCACGACCCTCGGTACCAAAAGGCTCTTTGAAGGTGATTTGAACATTGTCGATGTGGTGTCGGTTCCAGGTAGCGCCGAAGAATTCGTTACCGAACCGAAGAATAAGAATATTCTTCACCATCTCCTTACCAAGGTAGTGGTCGATACGGAAGAGCTCATCCTCTTTCCAGTCCGGCTCCAAAGACCTCTGTAGCTCACGAGAGCTGGCAAGATCCTTTCCGAAAGGCTTCTCGACCTAGTTACAAAAGAAAAATCAAAGTTAACGAGATATACTTTCAATACCGGGCACAGGGCACAATGTCGCCTTACAATAACTCGCGCAATGCCTCTAGATGGGTAGCAGCATCTCTTTAGGTGCTGGGAGACGATAGTGAAGACGCTCGGGGGAAGAGCCATGTAGAACAGGCGATGTGTCTCTTTTCGGCCGTCTTCGAGCTTTTCGAGATGCGCATTGAGGTTCAAGAAAGAGTCGTCCTGGTCATATTGACCAGACACATAACTGCAGTGTGCACAGAACTCTGCTAGCTGCTTCTCTAGATCCTTAGTAGGAGTCTTGATGTATGACTTGACTCTCTTGAGGTATTCCTCGTGGTCCATCTTCGTTCGCGCATATCCGACGATCTTGACATCTTTCGGCAGGAATTGATTGCGGTACTTGAGGGATTGTTAGTTCTCGAGCTGCTAGGTATCTAAGTAAGTAGGTTAGATCAAGCATGTGTACTCACAAGGCCAAAAAGTGCAGGGAACTATAAAATATTTGTTAGCTACTGAAACATCAAAGGCAGCAAGGTCGGCGAAGGAATGGTAATGGATGGCATGTGATTCCTACATACCGTCTTCTTCTTTGCAAGATCTCCCGAAGCACCGAGGACCACGATAACCGTGTTATCCTTAAGCTCCATGGAACTGTTAAGAGGTCTGTTAGTATGGTAAACGACAAGTGTTTGATCCAATCCCCCTTTCTGCACGCGATTCTTGGGCCTCTTGGGCTTTCCAGCGAAAACCGGAGCTCGCTCAACAAAAGCTCTCGAAAAAAGCGCGAGCTTGATAGTTGGGAAATGACGATGAATAGCGGGGCTGGCGCGGGGTATTAAGAGCTTACCTTGCTGCTGAATCCATTGTGTGAAGTTCGCCTATGAGCTGAGAAATAGTTGCAAAAGAAGAAAGGCGAGAACAATAAATGGGAAAGAGAGAGAAAAAGGTAAGTAAGGGGAAGTAATATGGAAAGAGATCAGGTGAAGGTAAAGTGACCAGGTCGTTGGAAGAACCTTGGAAGTTTGGGGGTATGAACGGGACGGACGGAGTTGAAGGCGCTGGTCGCTGGTCGCTGCAAGTAGGTCGTTGTTAAGACCGATCTGAGATGGGCTTGGCTACACAAGCTACCCAGGCTACACAGATCCTGACTGGCTGGTCTGGTTGATGTGGGTAAGACCTAAGCTCCAAAAGGAGTTAACAATCTTATTCCTACAGTCTGATTTATAAGAACCCGCGGGATTCTCTAAACTCTTTTCGGATACCAATGGCTTTGAATTCCATATAAGGTTATAGAAACTTCACCTGTCAGCTCTGTGTAGCTCTTGCTGTCTGAGATGCTTTTTAGCTTCAATATTTCTAGCTGAGACAATAATTAAGCATAATTTGAGTTTTATAGGTACAATCTTATAACAGGCTACATAAGGAGGTAGGCACTCATGTATCACGTACGTATGTCTTTTAGACAATATGACGGATGTGATGGCTAACTCCATGCATAGTCTTCAAGTAACGCACGTAACTAACTACACACAGCTTTAATTTATTTATTGTCAAGATGTATTAATAGGAATGACCCAGGGCCAATAGACATCTAAGATAGAAAGGGAAATGCCTAATCAGGGTTGAAAGTTGAAACTGACTGTAGCAATAGCAAACTACTGTACCCACACAAGTTAAATGGCCGAATACAGTATCATATTCCTTAGTGGAGGGGCTTACTCAGACCACTCCCTTCCAAAGTTCAGTCCCTTGCGGCGGCTTGGACGAGCAGCATGAGCTATCTGAGCATTACGTAGAAGCTTGCCTTTAATAGCGACGGGAAGCAAACTTATTGGCGGAGAGAAGGTCAAGGTTGCGCCGACCGCGGGGTAATTCATTGGACTTAGTGAACGACCCAACCGAGCTCGGGAGAATGAGCGCACCGCCTCTTGTTTAGAAACCGTGCCTGGAGGATGACCTTGGCACTCAGTAGGTAGGTTAGTAGCTACCTAGGTTTTCCCTTCTCACATTTTAACTTGTTCTTTATTTACTTAGGTATCTACTTAGCCAATGATAAAAGCCTATTTTTCTCTTCCAGGTATAACTCTTTGTCTTCTTTCGTATTTTCCGGCTTTTCCAAAAGAGATGAGAATTTGAAATTATCAGGTATAGTAACGGTTACAGTGGGATGGTAGATAATAGTTGCAGACCGAACGCCCACACCCACACAAATTGTGTGAGGGATTATTGATCGACTAGTAATGAGACAGGAAAAGAATCCGCCCCGTGCCGCCGTCGTCACACAGCAGCCGCGGCACAGCTATTTACAGGGTGATTTGTGGTAATACATGCAAATCAGTAACGAAGATGAACGTGGCATTAAATAGTCTTCGCTAATGTCTAAAGACTTTTTTGCCTCTCGGGATTCGGTACGAATGATACAAGAGTCTGTATATGCCCGAATATAGCCGCTAAGTAGGTACCTTTTAAACAGAAGTGACAGGATCGTATATAGCACTGTTGAAGAATAGAATCAATATAAGATATTTACTTGCATATTATAAAGGATCAACCATAAACGCCGGGTCTTCCCTGCGCGTCAGCCGGAACTCGTTGCTTCTGTGTAAGGGCGAGATGGATAGATATTTCTAGAAAAACAGGCTAAGATATGCGGTAAGGATGCCTACCTAAGATCTCAACCAGCTTACATCCAGGAGCCGTAGACGTGCAGTATCGTTGTGGGGTTAAGAACCTTGAAAGTCGCTTCAGAAAGCTTAGACTAGGGGATTGACTTAACTCCGACTTAGAGATAATTGATCAGGAGTATAAATATCCCCTACACAATGCAACTTTCAGCTTCGCTCTCATCTGAAAGAATCCTATGTCAGATGCATGATGGGTTTGCGTTCCAAAGAGGAGGTAATATTGAGTTGTCTATGCAATCCATGAGACCATCAACATTAATATGTAGAATCTAGATGAAGTTTTGTTTATTCGGCTTTTTGACTCAGCCAAGCCGATCTAATTTGAGTTGTAGGTGATATTGTTAATGCCTATCCATTGGACTTGCTTTCTGGCTTCACCTTTTGATTTCCAAGCTCCATCCAGTCTTTCCGAATTTCTTACTAAGGCTATCATCTCCGCTTATCGGCGGTGCTTATCTAAGACTTTTATCGGGTCCTCTTGACCCCCATAAAATAGACCCCCACATTACAAGTTGGAGTTCTATCTTCCAAGCCACAGGTGGCTACCAATCAAAAATCCACTTCTCAGCCACCGCACCAAAATAAAAATTGATTTTTTATTCTGTGGTGCCCCGTGCAGTAACAGGGCTCGCTTAACCCTTTCACACCAATCCACTACTCCAACCAACGTCCATCATCAAGCCGAACCCACTCTAAGATTTGGCCATCACAACCATCGACGACAGAAATTCGCCCAGCGCCCATAGGTCTTTTACTGCGAAAGACTTCTCCCGGATCCCAATACCCCTTTGGATTTCTGAGAGTAGTGGAACAAATCAACCAAGATGCCTTCTGAAGCAGGTCACAGATGTGAGTATCACCGTCTTCTACCAATTTAATCCGCCCGAATCGCAGTCGCGTTAAGCTCATTATTCGCGCCTCGCTTCCTTCCTTCGCATGTTTTACTCGGAAACAGACTGTATTCGTATATTTCATCATTTGCTAACTAGATTGTCTACAGTATACGTCAAGTGAGTAGCCTATGAATTATATGTCATTTACCGACTCTTCCGCGCATACAATCGAATTTCTCCGATAGCACGATTATTTTCTATCAGGATTCACGAGAGGAAACACCGAATTTGAAATGGGGTCATTCTTGAAGACGAGAGCTAGGACTAACTGGAATTGAATTTTAGGGGACGTCACCTAAGCTACCAACGTAGCCGACACACCACCCACCCTAAGACGAGTCTGATCAAGATCGAGGGTGTCGATGACACCAACGCTGCCAAGTACGTTTAGAGAATGAGCACACAATCTATCCCGTATTCTAACTATCAATCTAGCTTCTACCTTGGCAAGAAGATCGCATACGTCTACAAGGGCCAGAAGGAGATCCGAGGAACCAAGATCCGCGTGATCTGGGGCAAGGTCACCAGGCCTCACGGTACGTCTTTCCATCATTCCGTTGTTTTATTCTCGAGCGGTTACCTAATTAATAAATTCACAGGCAACTCCGGTGTTGTCCGAGCCAAGTTCGCCACCCCTCTTCCTTCCAAGTCTTTCGGCGCGTCTGTTCGTATCATGCTTTACCCCTCGTCGATATAAGATGGGTTAGGGCCGGAGTTGGTAGTGTGGAACGGTTCTCATGATTGGCTGCATATGGGTTAGGCAAGGTATAAGGCTTAAGCCTTGCGTCTAGCATCGACAAATCAAGAAAGAATACCAAAAAGAATTGCGCGGGACGTTGCGGTGAATTGCTAATTTGACACGATCTTCACATCATGAGGGAACGATCTTCCGATCCGCTATTGCTGGGGACGATTACCTCGGACTTCTCAGATAATACCTCGATTATCCAACGATCTCCTGAGGGAAAGTCCCAGGCCGGGTGGCATCGACGATTGAACTCGAAAGATGAAATAGAAGATCAGGATACTGGTGGCATACCCAATACAGAGGCACTCTTCTCATATTTACACGAAATTATGAAAAAGTGATGAACAAAAGGTCCAGTGTCCAAGCATATTGTGTGATCATGCTAGAAATCCTTCATCTATGGCCTAATAGGGTCGGTAATCTACAAAGGCAGATGGACACTAGTTGGACGCGATTTCGGTCCCTGCGGTCTCGGAACGACTTAACTTGGTTTCTCATCCCGTCTTTTGTAGTACCTAGAGTAAGCTTATATTTGGGCCATTACTAATACCACTACAGATAACCTTGGATGCATCTAATAGGTACCATGCCAGAATGAAACATTGGGAGCCTCGTGGTATCTCGAGTTCCACGTTGTATACGGTGATGAGACAGCCTCGGCGGTCATCACTTTGCCATCTGATCTCTATTAATAGGTATCATTATCTTGCTCATACAAGGCTCCGTGTTAGAATACAATCTTAGGGGCGCTTTTTTAATATATCCCAGGCAAGCCAAAGCGCCTGTCCTCCCCTTTTCACGCCCTCCACGCCCACTATTAGATAGCAAAAAAAAATCACGAGGATAAGTAACATTCATATAGCACCTACGGAGGTATGAGATAGGAAGTAGAAAGTACGCCGAGGCGTCGTTGAAACTAAATCCGAGAGACGCCGCCGTCGGGTAACTTCGAGACTAAGACCCCGACCCGGTTACGTGCAGCGGGAACGGGCGTCCTCGACGAGAACACAGAAAGGGTGTGGGAGGTTGTACCACCTTAGGTGGTTACCCGATGTCACGGGTCCGGGGTTTATGATATTGTCTTTACCTATATATCGTACCTATCTACCTACCTATCTACATATGTAGATACCTACCTACACATGCATATCAATGAGTTATTTTTATGAATGAAGTCATTGTCCCATGCCTTATATCTCATTATTAATGACACTCGTGATTATTTTTATATGCCTATCGTATCTATTTTTCGCTCTCAGACTCAATGGCCGCCTCGAGGGTGTGGATCATTTCATCGTAGAGTTTGCCTACGGCTTCAGGAGAGCTTTCAGTCCCTGTCCAGATTACCCCATCTCGTAGGGGAAATAGAATATCGCGTAGAGATTCAGCTAGAGGTTTCAGGGGATTAAATTCGGGCATAAATTCTTCCAATATATACTGAAAGCTATCCTGATCCATATCAAGGAATTTTCTTGCTGCCAGTTCGTCCCAGCTGCCCTTGCTCCATTGTCGAAGCTTGCTATTCTCTGGGGGACTCCCTTTATGGTTCGTTATGATCGTCCATAAGAAAACATATAGGAAAGACTCTAGGTCATGTCGATAAGTATGGTGTTCACTCTTCAAAACGCCAATGGCCATGAATGGTCTGGTGCCGATAATCCATGGCTCTGTTTTGTCAAGCTCTATTGCGGAATCGAGGTCGATCAGGATCCCCTTGGGCTTCCCTTCGTCTTGGCTATCTAGAATGATTATGTTCCCCGGTGATATATCTTGATGAAGGATCTCGGCGTCAAAATAGAGTGATCGGTGACATTTGATGGCATCACGGAAAACTTGGAGCAACTCTAATAGAGACCGAAAAGTGCGTAAGGGTCTGCCGACGGGAGAGGTAATAATACAAGCAAGGATGTGATTTTTAAAGAAGTCGTCGGTTTCTTCGGTATGTTCGACAAGTCCACCGCTATTACGAGTAACTTCCTCTTGATGCTCTTCTGTGCTTCCACTTCTCTTCATATTGGAGAACTTTCTGTGTGTCCCCCAACGAAGACTTCGACGTAGGTGTGCCGTACTTTCAACCTCTTTGTAGTAATCAAGAGAGATAGCACCCCAGACGCATTTATCCTTGACTAGCTTTAGAAGTTCATCCTCCGGACGGTCGCTGGCCCAACGCCATTTGAACTTCAAAACATAATCCCATCGATTCGAATTAGGAGCTCTAGCCCGGTAGCAAGTTGTCCCGGTACCAACAAGCCGTTCATGGGACGCAATTGGCTGACTTTCGAGATAGAGCTTCCTCAAAGGGGGCATCACCGCATCATCAAGTATGATATAGTTACCATCTCCATCCGTCTCAATCATGTTGAGTTTCCCTAGGTCCTGATCCGTCATCCATTGATAAGTGGGAATGATCGAAAGAAATTGAATAAAGTCTTTCTGGATATCGAACACATCGCTACAATATAAGCCAGATCGATCAAAGACCCAAAGTTCAATTAGCGAACCGCGTATGTAAAAGCCATGTAGGAAGAGCCGCGTAGGCTGGTTGGCGAAGACCTGATATGCGGACTGGCAGAGCCGTAATAATCCATTTCGGTAACCAACATCACTATGTTGGTAGAACTGGCCAATGACCTGAACATAGTCCCATCTTGTCTGTAAGCTGGAGGCTAGCGAAGTAGGCATAGTCAAGAGAAGACTTGCACTGTCGTTCGTACTCTCGTGCTCGGATACTGTATTACTGCTAGATATCCGCCAGGAGCCTCGAGTGTGGCCATGTTCCTCTAACACATAGTTGGAAAACCATTGTATGAAATTTTCAGGTGATGGGGCAACTGATGGAACATCATAGCGGCCATGAACCCTCCCAGCTCGCTGAATTTCTAATGAGCCATCTTGATGGACATATTTGAAGTCACCGAAGAATTTCCTGATAAACCCGCTCATAGGACCATGCATCCGTCCGTCTATGTTATCAAGGATATCTTGATCGTCCATAGTAGAGGATGATAGAGCTGCCGGATGGCTCACCGCCGCGTGACTCTCCATGGTAAGTGGAATCACATAGGTACTATTACGTAGAATGGTGGTTGGTTATCAAGGGTGAGGACTTCTAGGTACGCTCAAAGTTTGGTGTGTAGGTAAAATCAACGTTATCGATCCGTTCCAATTGAATCCCCGACATTGAAGTTATAATATTTGAATTGGAATAGGAATATTACAACTTGTCTACAAAAAAGCAAGCAAACAGGGGTAGCTTTATGCCTGACCATAGGGCTCACGCTAACCGAAACAGTTTGCTATACAACTGTTGGAACTTACCTGTATGCACAATCTATATAATATCCAATGGCCATATCAAGACGTATGTAAGGGGAAAACACAAGATTAAATATTTAGATACTATAAGGAGCTCTGGCGATTATTATGCAGCTAGTAGGTAGTATCTGAATAGTAATCATGTACACAAAGGACTATACTTGTAGGTACCTACCAGCCTATCATTTCGTCGTTGTAGAGAGGGACAACTCGTTAGGGGTTTGTATCTGTAAGATAATCGCATACGTACCGACCTCCGGGCTGCACATATACGAGACTTACGTTCATACGTGTTTATCGTCCCAGGACCGGCGGGGACGGATGGAAGCTTTATGATTAGCTGTGAGAGCTGCGGCCTCTTCGAGTTTAGAGGTGCGATAACGTCTGTGGCTTCGCGGATCCGTAGATAAGTACCCGAATTGGTCTCATCTTCCAATTGTCTTGCATTGGCCGTTGCTTGTTTTTTTCCCAGACGATCTTGGATAGAGTCGTATTGGGGGTTGCCGCGCGGCCAATCTATACCGCTTGCCCTCCCACAGGCGTAGGTGATGTAGGTGATGCTTCCAAGAAAAAGAGAGATGAGGCTGCAGATTGCTATGGTTAAACAGGCATGGGCTGAAAATAGTATGCGCTATCTGCGATAATCTTTTGTCTATCGGTATTTTTTAAAGCGAATCCGGTCTGGTGCACCGTCGAGCGCACATGCATCCCAATGGAATTGCTCATGTATCTATATACATGTATTGAAACCTTAGGTACGTTGATGAAACAATCGTGTGGCTTATGATCGCGGGTATGATCGTGTCCAATTCTCGCTGTGCATGAGCAGCTAGGATTGATCGTAGAGACAAATTCAAGTTCGAGCTTGTTCGATTTTCGACAAACCCTTTTTTGGGGGGAAGAAAAAAAAGAGAGACATCCGGGAGGGACGGATGTGTATGCGACCTACCTAGGGCTACAATGCAAGCTGTATGCAGTAGTACGAGACACCTGCAGCCGAAGTTTGGTTCTAAAACTCGGCCAGCCGATGTCTTTAGAGGGACTAGACCTCTTACAAATAAGCAGTGCCCGAGGTCGTTGCACGCACCATCCCTCACTGCCCAGCCATAAATCACACGAATACGATCTGTGATTTTGAACCGAATCTCTGGAGAACAAGGCGCCTATTTGGATCTAAGTTGACGTTGGTCGCAACATAATTATTGTGCTTTCAATAGTTGTAGATGCTCAGGTACGGATTAATGCTGTGGTGGCCATAAGACGATACAATTGGCGTATTTCCGCAGGTGCATCTTGGCGATAAGTTTGGACGTATGCGATATGCATTGCTGGTTTTGCCCTGGCGATGATCTCTGCGTGGTAGTGGAGGCCACCAAGCTCTTTTGGGAACGATGACAGGTCGGTGATGGTGTCCATTCGTAATCCTCCCTAAAAAAGTCGAGGTCGAGACTCACCAACCGCAGTCGGATTTGTTGGTTTTCTTCGTATGTTCCCAGAAGCACAGTTGTTTGCGATGTACGTAGATCCAATCGGCACTCCTTTTATAGTATTTCGGCGCCGAGCGTTAGTAATCCGCACCAAATCGTTTAGTTGTCTTCTTGTCTTCATAGTGAAAGTCCGTCTTTTTCGAGACCCTCATATGTTAAAGCCATCCGTAGATTTGATAGGTCCAATGTTTGTAAAACGTTGATAGATTGAAATTTTGGTAAAGAAAAAAGAGCCGCCGCTATGGATGCTATGGGTAATCGGAAAGTTTATTCAACTTGCGCCACACGGGAAGAGAAAATCGAATTTTTAGCAAGTGCCATCCTGTAGTTTAACACGTGTAGACGCATTCCAATTCGTATTCCCCCATGTTGCCCATGCTGATGATGGTACAATGGGAAGGAACCAGGGGCAGTGCTATATTCCCCACCTCCGCTTTTAGGCAAGGACAGTTCAAGATCGGTCGATCACGGCAAGGCTAGCGCTCATCTTAAAGCTGTACTGCAGCAGGCTCTTTAGCGTTGCCGTAGCGTTACTGGTGTGTTGGCTAGGGGATAGATAGATTGAATTTTAGGAAGTACCCGCTTTGCTGATAAGTATGCTAAAAGGTACATGAAGTTACATTTCGCGGTCGGAAGTGGAGTGAGATAAAGTGAGACCCGCGTATGAGAGATGTACTTGCATGTAGTTTCATTATACGGTCGCAGGGTCGGGGAGTTGAGATAACCGACAATGTACTATGTATCATCGAAGCTTGCCATATGCTGCTATGACAACAAAGAATCGATGAATTTGCCATTCGCCTGTTCGCCTTGATGTGTCAAAGTCCCAAGTCCAAAGCCTAGCAATGGCATCCCTAGCTTCCTCCTCATATGATGAATAAAGAGTATTTAAGCTGTTAAGGTGATCTTATTGAGTGGATGATGAAATGATCTACGTGGAAACGAACAATAAATTCGAAGCCACAAAGATGTTGCAAAAGCCGAATGAGAATCCTTGATTAGTGGATGAGGATGTTTGAATGATGATATCTGCCCAGCCATTATCCCTGTCCGAGCTATCGATACGAGGAGTGAGCGATACCCACATTATGGTCGAAGTATCTAGTAAGTACTTTTTCTAACTAAACCTTAGCACATTGACATTCATCACCCCTTGTCACGCCACATTGGCCACACTGGACCATACTGACCATAAGAAAAAAAAGCTGACATGCATCTTTTGCATCTTCGCCTCCATGTCTTTCAATCAATTGATGTCAGGATCACAGGTACCAAGTCACAGGTACTGTACCAAACAGTACCGAGAGTTCCTAAAAGAGAGTAACGGAGTAATAGGAATTTGGAAGATTCCGTCGGACTGGGACGAGTGGACGAGATCGGTTGCTTAATGCGATTCATATCTCAACATTACCGACATAGACATTTCTTCTTTTCAACTCACTATTCTTCCCAACCGTTGTGTCTTATCTCCATTTTCTCTATCCCACTCACTCACTTTATACTCGCTCGCTTTGATCTGAACGCAATTAAAATTCATTCGTCTTCCTAGTCGGCCTTACGGAGTACTTAAAACATATTAATTATCTAATGAATTAATTCAGTATAACGCAGAGACCCAATCGGCGATCTACCTTGCTGGGGGCTTGCAGCACTTCAAACTAAACAAGCCATTGAATTCATAGCGTTGTTACAACCTGACAACGGCCACCCGATCCGCTGTCTCCAGTTTCCAGCTTGCCCACAGCTTGATCTGTTCCCAGTTAAAGACTCAAGCAGTCAAAGCCAGCCAACCGGTAAAAGAGAAAACAAGCACGCAAGGATAAGACGAATCCTTACGACGTTCGTTTCTGAAACATCAATCATTTTAAAAGTAACGAGCGGCGGAGAATCATCAATTGACGTCACCACACACTCATACTAGGTACCAGCTATCAGGCCTACTTACGTGTAAGCCGTCTCAACATTGAGAGTCAAACAAACGGTCTGATCCGAATTACCTGAACATTGAATAACCTGAATTACCTACCCTAAGTACACAGTCCAGGTTAACTCACAGTGGTTACAAATTCAATTTCAGAGAAGACCGAAAGACCAAGGCTGCAAAGCAAAGGAATCAAAGAGTTCAATCTGAACAATCAACTCATTTAACTCGCGCCATCACAAATTCACAAATTCACAAATACACAAATATACCACAAATGCACCACATCCCACATTGGGCTTCTTGAATGTTACTTGGCTACTTAGGTACCTTGATACCCGCCTACATACATACAAAGAGATCGCCAAGACCTCGGAGTTGTTGATACGGTATTGTGAAATACGACCGCAGCTGGACTTGTCGAGACTTGTGGTTCGGTCCAGGTCCTACTTTTTACTGGAGCCTTTTTTTCTTCCAGGCGATAGACGAGACAGGCGAGTGACAAGGCAACGTAACTGCTGGCGCTGCCCGAAAAGTTCAAATACCTACCTACCTAGGCTGCTAGGCCAAAGAAGCGCTTCTTTGTCACCCTTGTCCTTGTATTCGCATCCCAGCCACGCGAAACCACACCTCCCTGGACCTGCCCCATTCTGAGACGACTAATAAGCTTGGATGCTTGGTGGATGTACCTAATCCGCCGGCCGACCCTCGTTGATACAGAACAGATACATCCATTCCTAGCAACCCGCTAGAAGAAAATAGCAACCGGCGCCTGATTTTACATACCACGATTTTAAAAAGTCGTACGTAGGTTGGACAGCGCCACACACACGCACACGCAGTCAAATTTGGAGACGGGTTCACCTCTAGTAATCATCATATCCATCACCTCCATCACAAGAAGACTGCCATCCTTCTTTCCCAATTATCCCAATTTCATGATACCCTCTTCCTTTCGGATACCAGCAGCACACAGTTCTGGTTTAAGTCTTCAAAGACGTTTCTAATAGATTCCCGGGGAATCCCGCGCGAAACTACTGTACCTTGTTCCATGCAAGGATAGGCGCTTCTTATCACAAAGTACCTACATACATACATTCAGCAGCCAGCCAGCAGGTTGGAACCCAGAAAACCACATAGTAAATCCGAGCTTTCCCAAATCAAATCAAATCAAATCCACAGCTTTCGAGATAAGGTAAAGACCGCCATATTTCCACGGGATTGCCTCCCACGATCGCTTCCTTGCATATCATAATCGAAGGACGATCCACTCTACCGTCATTCTAGCTTCTCATACTCCACCATCAGCCTGTCCTTTCCAGGTTCTTTCCAGGGATCTACGGCGATAAAACACACGGCCTCTGTCCGTTTTAGACAATATGGCGTCCGCAAACTACAATTCTCACCCATTGCCTGCACCGCCGCAGCAAGGGCAAAATTACAACGAATCTTATCAACAGCCCGTTCCTCCGCAGCAAAACTATCTACAGCAGCAGCGACAGCAACGCCAGAGACAAGCGCCGCCGCCACAAGCCCCCGAACCGCAGCGACCCGAGCGGGTCCGACCGAAGTCGAGAGCGTTCAGTTTCCGATCGGATAAGAGCCAGAAGAGCGCGAACAACCCTCATCACAAGGTCGATCTTACTGAGACGCACGTTGAGAAGGAGGCGAGAAGACTTCACGGGAAAACCGACCCTACGTTCGCGCTGACCGAGTCGGAACCAGGTATGTTGCGAGTTCTCGTGGTGGAGAATGTGCTTGGAGGGGCTAAGTCTGTATGCTAACGTATGAATTTCAGCTATGGATGCGCAGTCTAAGGGAGGTTTCGGACAGGCTCCTTTACGATCTTTTCAACACAAGGATGTTTATGGCAATCCTATTAGTACGTAGTTATTTTTTTCCTATTTTATTTTATCTACATGAATGTTCATGCTAACCTACACTCAAGCTGATCCCGACCGATCGAATCCCACTCGAAGTCGATTAGAGAGGCCCCTCGACACAATTCGGGGATTTGAGGCCGCTATTGATGGCGGATACAACCGCAATTCTATTCTCAGATCAGATTCGGAGTCGGTAGCGAATTGGAGCAGACGAGGAAGCTATTATGGAAGTAAGTAATCTATTTCTTCAACTATTGTGTCTTAGTAAGCACCATCTCACATAAGAAACCATTAGACAACCAACCTCGTTTCCCTCAAGAGAGCTATTATGGAGGACGATCAAATCCCGCGCTCCGACCTGAGAGTGTGATGATGGATCCTAGACAATCTGCGATGAATGGCCCGCGAGAGAGTTATTATGAAGGACCCGATGGTGGTCAATATGGTCGTAACAATGCGGCACCGAGAATTAGATATTCACGGATGCAGTCAGACCCGTATGCGAATGGCAACGGTCGTGGGGTTCCCGATAGGAACGTTTACCCCATGCCTAACAACCATCGATCCTATGAGACGGTTGCGTCTGGTTCTGGTAGTGGCAGTCTAGGCGAACCGAATGGATATCAGACAGATCCGACAAGCAGCGACAACAGTTCGATTGATCGTCGCTCACCACCCAAGCGTCAAGAGCCTGTTAATGACTATGGTATCAGCTTCGGTCAAGCACCGCAGACCCCAAGCCTTGGCCTGGGCGCTTCAGGCGGACCGCAGGCCGTTCCGCGAAAAGAGAATGGAACTCTATTACGAAAGCCTTCCAAAGCCGCCGTGTCTAAGGAACAGGCGGAACCGCGTCCGGGTATAGAGAAGCGAAAGAGTTGGTTCAAGCGATTTAGTAAATCCTGAGTCTACTGACGGCGGGCGAATCGGCGGCGTATGCGATGAATTATTTTCACACCACTTAAATCTCGAGATACCCCTCATCTCTACCGTTTCCGACATCCTCATCGATTCTTTGTTTCATACGCAATCGGGAAATTATCCTAGGCGACACAGTTTTTTGACGATTATCATTGGACCGAATACCACCAGTTGATTCACATACGTCTTCCGAGTGAAGGTTTTTAGTTTACGATCACGACCACTATGTACATACGAGGCCTTGTACCTAGGTTTTGGTGCAGGGCACCCTACTCGATATCCATTCACACCGGGCGGATATGGGGAGTAGGTTTTAGTGGATCATGATAGGGTAGCATCAGGTGGGGAGTTAGCATCGCAGGACGGTTATGTTCATGAGGTTAAGAATATACGGAGAACGGAGGAACGAGCAGGTCTGCTAGTCATATACCCTATTGCCTATCCTTAATACCCCTCTTCTCTCATCATCCCCCCAAGGGGAAACTTCTGGCCCTTGGGAGGTAGTGATGTTGGAAGAGATCGGAGAGGCGCGTGGATTGACTCGTCGATGGCTCGGATAAATAACCATTTGCTAGGTAGCAATGTCACGCCCGGTTGGCACATTTTGATTTGTTGAAAGCCCACTAAGTATCCATAGCTCTTTTCCGCGTGAAATTGTGTCTCGAGTATGAAGTATTTTGTGTGACGTAAAAACCGGATAGACGGGAATTTAGGGCGATTTTTTCTTTTTGGGCATATTTATCGTGGATATAATTACATGATGGCATTCATATGCCATACCTATACTACCTAGGTAAGTATGCTAATATCAACATAGGCACCTAGATATAAATCTCCAAGCTGTATGATATTCATGGGACCTAGACGGAAGCATTTACTGGTGCCTTTTCAGCATTCTAACATCTTGTACCTTGTCAAACCCATAGTCTATACTCATCCAAGGCGTAGGTTCCTATAGGGAAATACCTTGGAGCAAAGCCTTTGAATCTCTTTTAATTACTCTTTCTTACTTCCTTTCTTCTTTGCCTCAAGTTGGTCTGACTGATCTTCGTTCATAGCTACGACCACGTAACCTACGAGGACCACGTTGGCCATGATGGCCGCTAAACCACCCGCATATGTCGAATTTCCTATTTCGGTTATTAGTAACTTCGAAACGTACGGCTTGATATGAAACACGGCCGAAAGACGGCTAGGAGGACGTTGGTTTATACCTTTGAAAATGGTGTTCACCGTTAAGAAGTAGGAGCCAATTGGCAGCACTACCATGGCAAGGGTGAAAGCTAGGAGTTTTAGAATTACATCCCTGGTTATGATGTTAGATGAGGTCAAATCTAGATATTTTCACTTTAATGGAGAAAACGGATGATTATAAGAAGTGAAGAGATTGAATAAGGCTAGGGAGGATGGTGATTTAACTCTCGGAGCTTTTCACGTACATGGGAACAGCCGGCGCTGTGCTACTGGACTGTTGGCCAGCAGGACCAACATTGTCATCATCATCTTTGTCAAGGATGGTCTTCTCAGTAGATATGATACGGCGAGTTGCCATTATGAGCTTTTGTTGTTTTCTTTGGGTTTGATAATGAAATTGATAAAGGTTGACTGTATTACGGTTTGTGCTCAGGTTCGATGAGGCTCAAAGAATCAATGAACGGAAGTGGAGAGGGTGGATCTGTGTATGTACTCATGTATACCAAGTACTTCAATTAAGTGGCCTGTATTTATAAGAAGCTGTTTTCTCAATGCGCATATGGATGGAATAGTTGAAAGGAAGCTTCTTTGATATGATTAGCTATTATCAGAACGAACACATGCATTGTCTGCCCTAATGTCTGCTTAGGGGAAGTTATGTAGGCGTTTTATGCTTTATGCAGATACATAGGTACATAAGTACATATGTATCTTTTTCATCCCTTTAGCCCTTGTACCTTCTACTCAGTATTGGCTGGAGAAAAGCCACATAGAAAACTCTGCCATTGAATATTTTCTATTTACTTAATCATATATAGGTAACTATCCTTAAACAATTATCATTCTTTCAAATTCTATTTAGCTCACGATTCAACTTGTTGGAAGCTACTAGCATTTGGTTCCTCATGATACCTAGGTACCTAGTCCGATCAATTAAACGTTTCCCCACGTCAGCTGATAGCGCGCTCTGGAAGTGCCCCACATAGTTCATTTTTCCCGCGTTGAAGCGCGTTCCCACCCCTGCGCCCCTGCTGTCAACCTCGAGAAAAAAAGATTTCGGCACGCAAATTGCTAATTATCCTTTACACATCTTTCACCAATTTATTCGATCGATAGCCTTCACGATTTCGCTTTAGACAAGAAAACTTGCTCGCTCATTTCTATCTGGAAACCTTTCCCTACTTCTTGCTTTTGAATGTAGCCAGCCATCGGAACCAATTTTTACGTGCGATAAGGAATCCTCTCCCTTCCTGGGTCCCAAGTTGAAGCTGTTAAGCTGTCTTTGCGACTCTTGACCACTACTACCACCCACCCTTATCCAAACTTATTAATCCATAATTCATTAATAATGGGACGGACAACCTCGCCGTTCCCAAGTAGAGGCTCAGCCTCAATTCCCGGTACTCCGGGGTTGAGTCGTAATAACCAATCTAATGGTCGAACACAGACCTCTAAGGCTGCGTGTATCGAGATAGAGGATGACGAAATTGATGAGCTTGAGGATGGCAGCGTTCCATGTTCCTCACCCTACTTTACCCAACCGACGCAAATAGTAAACCGAGCCACCCAGCCTACCCAAATAGTGAACCGCACAACACTAAGGGAGCCGTCTTCACCTCCAGTGCCGGGTACGCCAACTGCCGTAATTGAAGTTCCTGCTTCATCGCCCTTCCAACCAAAGAGTCAGACGAAACCTCCAGCTGTCAAAGAGAAGAAGCTTGGCGTAGCAAGTAGAGTTGGGTCGCTAATGGCTCCGGCGGGAACTGCATTTAGACCGCCTACGATGCAGAAAGCATCGCGCGTAGCTAAGGGCTCTACTGGGAAGAAAGACTACTTGGAAATATCCGACGATGAACTGTTGGAGGATTATAAGAAGCATGACAGTTCTGATGATGACACGCCTGCTAGGGGAGATATACGGCCTTCTTCTTTCGTAAAGAAGGAGAACAACCTACTCTCATTATCGAATTCCGGGGCTAAATACCTGGAGAACATGGATATCTCTCTTAAAGATATTCGTGATGTTAGGTTGCGACACTTGACCAACCAAGTTTATAAAATTGTGCAGAAAGCCGTACCTGGAATTACTATCCGGAAGTGTAGGGAAGCGTTGCAGAAGGATGTCAGTTGGCAGGTTTCCAAGGCTGTTGACTTGCTGACGGGCAGGCCTACAAAAACTCTATTATTGTCAAGACCGTCGGAGGCTAGTGATGCATCACTTGGTGCTGATACTAACCCCACGACTGATGACAATACCAAAACATCAACAACTCTCACCAAAGGAAAAATTGCCCCTCCACCAAATTCTATACACACTTTCCTGAAAAAAAATCCATCTACTTCGAATTCAAGTAACTCTTCTTCTCAAACATCTTCACAGTCATCACGTACACAAACTTCTTCTAGTTCCTCCAATTCAATTCGCTCTACAGTTACTAAGGATAGTTTACCTCGTCGACGACTTGTCCAAGGTCGACATAAATCAACAACCCCATCTGCAATTTTTTCTACACCCTCATCCCCCACCTCATCCTTAACAAGTCTTACGGAGTCAAGAGAACCATCTATTTCAATTGATTCAACAATGGCTCCAACAGACACTACCATCAACCTCGACCCTGAGCCGGATGACGTTCCCCGCCGTCGCCGAAGACTTGTACGTGGTCGTCGCGAAGCGTCACCACCCGTTATCACCATCCCCTCCGATTCGGACCATGACACACCACCCCCAAGCAAAAAGAGAAAACTTCTGTCGGCCAAAGAGGGCAAAGAGGCCAAAGAAGTTGAACCCGCATGCAAGCCAGTTAAGTCCAAGAAGCGCAAGGCCGAGGAACAACTCGAACGCGAAGTTGAGCCTGAGCCTCAACACGAACCTGCATCCGAATCTTTAACCGACCAGGGCAGTGATAACGGCTATGAAGACACTAATTCTCCAGAGCCAAGCGAGCAAGAAGCGAACGTTCTCAAGTATCTAAACACGTGCACGGTTGAAGCACTTGGTCACATGCTTGGGTCTGGACCGAACGCAAAGATCATGGTATCTGCACGACCTTTCAAAAACATCACCGCCGCCCAGAAGGTCTCGCGAGTAGAGAAGGGCAAATCCAAGAACAAGAATAAGAGTAGGACAGTGGCAATTGGCGAGGACATTGTCGAAAAGCTGACCTCTTGGATGGAAGCTTGTGAAGCAGCCACCGCTGTGATCAATGAATGCGATAGAAGAGGCGCAGACATTAACCTCTCTATGTCTAAGTGGTCCACCGACAAGAATGGACTGTCCCGAACTGATTCAGAGGATCTTGAAGAACTTCCTATCAAGAGCAAGCCGGAGTTAATGAGTGAATCGCTCAAGCTGAAGTCATACCAACTCGTCGGTTTAAATTGGATGAACTTGTTACATTCCAAAGGCTACAGCGGCATCCTTGCCGATGACATGGGTCTTGGCAAGACTTGTCAAGTAATATCATTTATCGCTCACCTAGTAGGATCGGAGCGAGAGGAAGGTGCCGGAGTTCCTGTATGTAACATCCCGAATTCTTCTTTTCCCTTTCTAGTATCATTTTTTTGCTCTCTTGGGGTTAATCACTCCCGAGACATGCACTAAATGAGTTAGTACCCTTTCTAGACAAGCAATTACTGACTCCTGTTGTTATAGTGGCCAAATCTGATCGTGGTGCCCCCTAGCACTTACGAGAACTGGATCGCAGAATTTGAAAAATTCGCCCCTGAGATTAACATCATCACCTACTCAGGAAAAAGCCGACGGGATATTCACCCACGAGATGCCCGAGATTTCCATGTAATCCTCACCACCTATCCCCAGATCGAGCGTCAACCAGAAGACCTAGCATTCCTTCGAAAGGTCAAACTACATGTAAGTGAACCTACTCTTTCATTATATCCTTCCTTCTTTTCTACAAGATTTATTAACCAATGTCTAGGCTGCGATTTTCGACGAGGGCCACAGGTTGAAGAATTCGGACAACAATATTTACAAGCAGATGATGCAAGTCCCTTCCGAGTGGCGACTTGTGCTTAGCGGCACTCCCGTGCAGAATAACTTGAAGGAACTCCTCACGGTGCTCCGAATCCTTGAGCCTAGCATATTCGAAGAGGCGTCTTTCGAGACCCTGAGTAAAATCTTCAATACTAAGGTTACTAACCAAGATGTCCTAAACTTCGCAGCGTTGGCCTCGGAACGCGTTGATCGCGCACGATCAGTAATGGCTCCTTTTATTCTGCAACGACGCAAGGAAGACGTCCTCGATCTCCCTAAGAAGACGGATCGTCTTGAGATCGTAGGGATGCACGATATCCAGAAGAAGATCTACGACTCTATCAAGGGTAAATACTTCCTGTCGAACGGTGTTAAGTCCAAAGGATCTCACCCTTGGATGCAACTACGAAAAGCAGCTATTCATCACCAACTATTCCGAGACCATTTCACCGATAGCAAGGTCGAGAAGATGGTAGATATACTATGGAAAAAATGTTCTGAAGAAGAACTTGGTGTTCAGAGCAAACAACCACGCCACAGGGCTCGTCTCCTAGAAGAGCTGATGGGAAAATCTGACTTCCAGCTACATCTTTGGTGCAAGGACTTCGAACAGTATATCGGTCACTTAGATATCCCCGACCGCTCTTGGGAAGATAGCCCGAAGGTTCAGAGGCTTCTTGAAATGGTTCGTGGCTACATGAAGACAGGCGATCGCGTGCTTGTGTTCAGCCGTTTTGAGATGGTGATAGACATCCTACGGGAAACTCTACACCATGCTGGCATCAAGTACTGTTGTTTGACGGGCGCCATGGACACGGCCGCACGATTTCCCGAATGTCAGGAATTCACGAACAATACCGACATTCCCGTATTCCTATTAACCACCGGAGCCGGCGGTACTGGTCTAAACCTGACGGCCGCAAATAAGATCATCATCTTCGACCAATCCGATAATCCACAAGAAGATGTGCAGGCGTCCAACCGAGCCCATCGAATCGGACAGACTCGAGATGTCGAAGTAATCCGACTGATCACGGAGAAGACTGTCGAACGGCTAATATATAATTCTTGTATAAAGAAGCTTGTCCTAGCTGCTCGTGTCGCGGAAGAGTTTGCGGTAGAAGACGAGAACCAAGAATCTGTCGAAGAACAGTGCAAGAAGCTCATGCTTTTGGGAGAGGAGGAAGAGGAAGTCGACCTAGCTGAGGTGGCTCCGGCGAGTCAACAAGTCTAATCCGGGCTGAGCACCGGCGTATACTGAGCGGCAGATTACCCTTCGTGGGCCCTTCGCTAAAACGTATACCGACTACACACACTGCTTATGTCAAAATCCCTCCCACCGACATATGACATATACCGCTTCTACCTGCTCACAACACTTATCCGACTGCCTTTCAACTTTCTATTCGACACACATACCGGTACTATACACCTGCTCGAACCACATCTCGCCTCTCTCGATAGAGACCTATCTACTCTCGAGGATTACACGCTAGAAAACCTTTATATATAAGACAGAATCTCACCAACTCTTGTCTTAAGTCCTTGCAACATATACTTGCACCGACTACAAATACCTGCTTGTCGTGCAGATATACCCATGCCTATTATAGCATACGAACATACGAAGTTCCGCTTGCACCTGACACTACGCCTGTCCGTCAAGCATAGAACTTTTCTTGGAACATTTCCCTTATTTCATTGAAGGCCTTCGGTTGGCCTCACCCCATCTCGGTGTATAAAAAATAGCGCACGCATACCTGATTTTCGGTTGTTTTCTGTTTCCAGTTTCACGCATGGTCAAAGGTCTACGGTCTAGACAGCTGAGCAATCGACAGCACATCAGCATAAGTGAACCAGGCGCATAGCATCAGTCCCTTTAGTCGGCAAAAAGAGGGCATCAGCATTGGGATGGCGTGGCATAGCAATAGCATTTGCAGCGAGCTTATAAATTCATTAGCTAATTGATTCATTACCGAATTTGTGTTTATTTATTTGCATAGTGACTTGCCTGACGTGCTAAATGATCCTATTCCATAAGTACATAACAACTTCGCAATCATATAGCTAAGTATCCCAGAGAAAAAGATCAACGAATTCGTTAACGCTCATCATCCCCATTATACACAGGTAAATAAACCCGACCTAAACCATTCATTCATCCATTCATTCCAGACCGCCCCTTCGCGATCTCTAGACCTTATACATACACCCCCACAATTATTGCTCTTTCTCCTTCTCTTTCTCTCCCCCGTCCTTCTTCAAAACAAACCTCATCTTCCCCTTCCCCTCCAACGCCGTCTTATAAATCTCCGCCTTAACCTGCTCCCAATTCTCGCGTGTCTCAAAGGTAGCCCAATCGGTCTGCCACTTCTTCCCCCACATGTGCTTTTTCGGCGCGAGGAGGAGGGTTTCCGTGTCCCTTAAGGTGAAGCCTAGGAGGCCCGTCATGCCGACGTGGTCGGTTTGGATGCCGGTGATGTCTTGTGGGACGACGCGGAGGAAGGGTCTTTCGGGAACGCGGTCGCCGAACCACGGCGGGCCGTGGCCTTTCGCTACGGCCATTGCGATGTCGAAGCCCGCGCGCATAGCGGGGATTACGCCGAGCCCGGTGTAACTTGGTCCGGCGACGGAGAGGCGGCCTTTGAATGATATCATGAGATCCTCGTGTGCGTCGGCCATGCGCTTGCCGTGGCCGACGAGGTGCTGTGGCATGCAGTCGCGGCAGAGCTTCGCAGAGGCGAACACGGGCTCTGCGGGATCGAGATTGAGGTGTCGGCGCACGGCGTCCTTGGCCATCGCGGCGCCCATCTCCGCCGACGGCAGCTGCTCCCAGCCGTCCCAGTGGTGACCGCCGAGCATGGCGGTGACTTTGGTCCCCGGAATGGGGTCGGGCACGGTCTGGATGTCGGAGTCGAAGAGCACGCCGAGCAGACACTCATCATTGTCCGGTGTCGTGGACGGCACTAGGTACCCAAATCCATGGTTGTTGGCTAGGATATCCGGGTTCGGAAACCACATGTTGACGACCATCATGCTGACAGCGGGGGCGTCTTCTAGCGCGAGTAGGAGACCGGGTTGGACGAGCGAGGCTAGGTGCTTTGAGAAGAGGGTGCTGATTACCTGGTCGTATTGCTTCGGGGACTTGTCCTTAGTTTTTATCTAGGCGATGATGGTGATGTTAGCATGCACAACTACTTCCTTACACGGGACTAGATAGAATATTTACCGAGACTTTGTCTTTTTCGTAGGCTATAGCCGTGACCGGGTGATCGGTTTTAATAGTTACGTTCTTCTGTGTCTTTAAATCATTGACTAGTCCATCGACAAGGGTGTCGAGGCCGTCGTCGAATGCCATGATATCAGCGTCCCTAGCTTCATCAAGCATCATAGCAAGATAGAGGGAGTTCTCGCTATTTATCATATCACGGAACATGATGAAATCCTTAGCCTCCGTATAAATATGACGACCTGACAAGTTTAAGGGACTCTTGCTCTTGCGCCACATCTCGCCGAAGATGGAATACTTGGCGCTCAATTTGTATATGTCGCCGCCGGAGATGCCATGGATCATGCCGGAAATTACGTTATTGGTGATTCGGTCGTCTCCTTCGAACATCCTATCGAAATATTGGCCAATAGATTCGTCTTGGGCTAACGGTTTGTAATCTGTGGGTTGCTCAGATGCGAAGTCCGTAAAATACGCCGCGAGACCGGACTTAATACCTCCGGCCCATATGGGTTCGGTAAGGAGGCTGTTGAAGGTCGCGAGAAAGTTGTCTAGGGTTCTTTCGCGTGACGGCATCTTAACTAGGTGGTCCGGGTAGTATAAGTAACGAGAATGATCTTTTTTGGAAATAAAGCGAAGCGATAGGTATAAATTTAGATTAGTGAGCTACAGAAAAGAGAATTCCTATTAGCAAGGTCCTCAAGGTTTTTTAAGTAACCGAGGCCAGAGAATACAACGTATACACACCACGTCATATAAGACCATTTCGTCGTACTTTACAGACGTTGTATAAGGCCTAAGTATTCGTGGACCACGCTGGAACCGGACCTTATCATTCTCCCCGTCGCCTACACGGAGAGTTTCTGATTGTACCCAACCGCCCAGTCTCGAAGACCCTTCGTACAGCGTGATATGTGCGTTCTTCGCGTTGCGAGCTAGGTAATGAGCGGCAGTGAGCCCTGTGATGCCACCGCCGAGAACGGCGATTTCCCGCTGGGCATTCTGGGTTCTAGTAGTCGAGAATGTCTTCTTCTGGGATCTGGGAAGCTTCTCGGTTCGGGTATAGGTCAATTGGCGACCAATTGACGGGTTAAGAGTCGTATTCCGACTTTCCAAGGAGCTCAGCCGCCGCGAGGTGGGAAATCTCGAAAGTCTGGTGCGAACGCCATGTCGCGCATTGCAGTACGCAGACCTTAGAAGACCAATATAGACATGTTGGAAAGTCATTTCACGTAAAACAGAACCAGCTGTAGCGGTGGAGATTACATATTGAGCAATTATTAAAAAATCAATGGAGGAATTTGTAAAGTGGCGTTGTTCTTCAATGCTAAGTTGAGCTCCGTACCTGGTAGGTAAGTATATGTACATATACAGTAAGGGTCCAAATTAATCCGGGCCACCTCCAAAAACACACCAAAAATAGCCATTTTGCTACTTTTTCAATATGCGATAATTCCACAAATATAATTCGTAAAATTATATAGTTTTCTTTTTGATATAGAAAATTACTATATCTATAATTTATATACCGAAATAATTTTATATACTTTAAGATTGAAGAAGTTATAGCAGGATAAAGTCAACGTAAGGTGGGATTTCATGAGTTCCCCATACAAACCGTAAATTTTTGTATGGGACATTTGAAAAACCTAACTTACTCCCACTTAAGCCTGTAATAACTCTTTCAATCTTACGATATCTACAATTACTTCAGTATAAGAATTATAGATTAAATAATCGTCTACCTAAAATAATAAACCATATAATTCTGCGAATTTTGTTGCTCAAGTTATCATAAAGTAAAAAGGTAGAGTTTTGGTGTAAAATGGGGGGTGGCCCGGATTCATTTGGACCCTTACTGTATAAATAGCGGGGTAAACATCGGTGCATACATGTATCTACATGTATCTACATATACAGAGTATGCATAATTCTATTTCATAAATATACCACCTGGCATAGTATAATCACTTCACGAAGCATCAAAGTCGATACCTTCATTTGGCAAATCACAAAATGCATCGGGTATATTGCACTGCTGCTCGAAGTTCCTTGAGAAAGCCCTTGAGTTTCCTTTTCCTATCACCAACCTAACGCCTGCAGCAATACCAAGTCTAGAATTGTGAGCCCTTCACAACCCCCTATTCCCTTCCCTAGGAACCACTGATCCATCGTCACCTTTTGTGCCCTCAGTACACGATCGTAAATTCCATCCATACCTTTCGTATCGAGATCCCCCTATGCTGTACCTTCCTCCATCGCTGTTGGCTCTTGAGCCGCGACTGTCTCTCCGCCCGGTACGATAAGCTCCTCTAGACCATCCCCATCTACAAACTTGCGTTCGCTAACGTGACCTCCCGCGCCGCCGGCTGTCCATACTTTGTCCTGGAACGTTCCGCGTTGGCCCTCCTCATGTTTGTAAGGACAGAATCGGTTGGTACAAGGTGAGAACTTGCACATGGTCTGGAGATGCGTGAACTTGCAACCTTCCACAACACAGTCGCCTCCATTCCGGCAAGGAGGCATGTCTGGGTGCTTAAACGGACAGTTCATGTTGGCGCAATTGGGGAAGAACTTGCACTCTTGTTCGTTCTGGTGTGCTCGCCTGGTTGCTGGGGACGGATGACGACCGACGCACTTGCGGTTTTTGCACGCGGCGCCGTATGTGCATACGTCCGAGATGTCAACCGTGGTATTGGGCGGTGCCGCAGGGGATTGGTGAGCAAATTTGCAATCTTTATTCGTGCAGGCCAAGTTGTACTTGCAAACCGTTGTGTCGGGGTTAGGCGGGTCGCGTCTAGCCTGAGCCATGTCGATGTCCTCATCACCTGTGGCTCCGTTAGAGCTTGCGGGATCTGTCTGGTGCGGGCGATGTCCATTGGCATGCCCTCCTCGTCTACCTCCTCGCGGGCTTTGCACGCGATCGAAGAGAGACCGTCCGTGGGGTCGGCCACCCGCAGTCTGGGTTTGTTGGTTCAATTGTTGTTGCATTTGCTGCATCATCTGATTCTGTTGTTGAATCATCTGGAATAGCTGATCCTGGGCGCCGGGTATCATCCAACTCATATCACCCATGCCATTCATTGCGGGAGGAGGACCTTGCATCTGAGGAGACATGTTTCCAACGGCTTGGTTAAGGTGCGCGGCAAATCCAGCACCACGATTGCTAGTCATGCGAGGATTTCCGCGCCCGAAACCGCCGCCTCTTGGTCCGGTAGGTGGCGCTCGATGAGTATTGATACGTTCGTTGCCGTTGGCTCGGACACGGTGCAAGACGTTATCATGGCTACGGTCCATAGCCTTAGCCATTTGACCAAGCATCCTTTTCTCTCGGCCACCTCGCGCACCGCCATTCCTCATAGATCTAGGTCCTGTGGGACTAGTTGATGTTAGCTAACTCAAGAAAATGCAAGGCAATCTATCAGTGGTAACTTACGCGTTTAGCTCGGGACCGTCGAGTGACATCGTTATGTCCGCGTCCTGGTCTGCGGAAGGAGCAGGGTTCTGCAAAGCCTCGCTAGTGGCACTTTCCAATTGACCCGAACCCCCGTTCAGTTGAGAGTTAAGAGACTCAATCTCGTCAAAGAGCCACTTCGCAAAATCTCGAGCACCTGGGTCATCAGGACCAAGGCTTAGAAGATCTCCAGCAAGTTCAGCAGCGATTTGATCTTGCGTCTTTCTATTGACCAGCATCAAAATGATATATTCGGATAACGCGCCATCTTCAGCGCCGCCTGATGCCCATCCTACTTCTACCAACTTCGGCTGTATGGCCATGTTAAGCGCATCCGCCAACGGCGTGTTCATGACTACTTCGACAGCCATTATGAAATAAAACGGATTTCGACGTAAATCGTAGAGGTTGGAATGGTAGTAGCAAATCTTTCTCGAAGTTGTCAAGAGAGTATAGGGCGGATGCGATGTGCGCGTCGTCAATTTTTAACCGCGATGGGGGATAGCGATGGCGGTGGCAAAACACGACAGTGGGGCACACAACAAGGCCTCAGTCGTCTTGCAATTTTTTCGGATGATCGGAAATCAACTGAATTCGTGATTGTCAATAGGAACTTCAGGACGAGAGATGTTTGACAAGTTGAACGTTGATTTCGGAAAAAAAGAATGACGTTGTTGAAGTTGAGAAGATCTAGAGACGACCGGAATCTGGGAGAGTAACTTCCATTGTTAATGGTAAGCACCGCCACAAATTTGATTGGACAGGTACCTAGGTACCTAGTACAAACAGCCGAAAACCGTGCAGATTGAATAAGTACGCTAGTGACAGCCACCGCATTTATTATTTGGCGGTCCGTGCTTAGATTTAGCCCAGTGACCATTTGCTTTGTAATGATCCGTACCTGCATTCTACTTTTCACATTTTTCTCACGCTGCTCTAACCCAGCGATTTGCGACACAAACATCTATTCGATACCCTTAAAACAGCAAAATCTTACAACTCTGAATCCAGCGCCTACTACTAACCTAATCATAACACACTTTGCAAAATCCCTGATGTCACTGTTTAACCTGGATTGGACAAGGCAAGAGCCCCTATGCCCCCTATGCATGGCACCCATCCGATGATTGTATTAAAGAGTCAAAAGATGGCCTAGATTCTGGGCAGCAGCATGGCTGAGGCTTTGGAATAACAACGATTAGGTCCCATCTTAGTGAAAATAATACTGGCCGTCGTTTTCCGTGGTCTCATGTCTGTAAGCAGGTACTCCGTCGTCGTTCAATAAAAAATAATACAACTCGAAAGCCTCGACCTTGCGATAGCCTTCATAAAGGAAACATGGGTGAGGATACAGACCTTGCAGGTTAGGAGACCATGTAAACACCGCACTGGCTCGTACTGGATCCAAATCTGCATTTATCTGTTCATTGCATAGAGCAACTAGTTCGACTCATATTATAACAAGTGCTCCAAGAGATGTTGTTATCTCAATAATAATAGAGCTCAACGACATAGTAGCACAAGGGCGCTTAGGCACTCATCTGCTTAGGTTAAAGGACAGAATTCATTCACACACAGCGATGATACCAGTTAGGAGAGGTTTGAGAGTGTAAGAACCGTTACCTAACGCTATACATGAGAAGCTCAAGACTGAATATTAGCAAAGTGGCATTGGCCACAAGACATCTCATCTGAGCAGAACTTGCATTGGAAACTAAGCAAACGTGCGAGTCGTGAGATTGACGGAGCACATATGTTTCTCCTTTCTCTTACTATCGGAGTGCTCTCCATAAAGAAGTTAAAATCTATATCTTACTTTAAAAGAGCCTCCTAGTTTGCCCTAGTTTTATCATCCCTTGCATTAGGAATGGAGGTACATATGGGCTTAGAGACGGCCGGAACGGTCTCTGATTGCCTTAGGCTATTCTCCTTCAGCCATATTGACCTTATCCATCGCTGTCGTATATCTTCTCTATCAAGCGACGTCGCTGATGACCGAGGAAATGATTGAGGTAAAGGGGATCCGGGCCAAGTCACTTTCTGCGAAACCCAAAGCCAGACAGATTTGGACCGGCATAATGGAGGTATTTTATATCTATTTTAAGCATCAATGATGACTATCACTAATATCTAGAAGGTGGCTATTGGACTCCAATAGCAGAAGACGTCGAAGAGTGGGAGAAAAAGCTCCGAGAATTATCGTGGTCGGAACTGAAATGGGGCGCCATGCCCTTACCTACTAATTTACTTAGTTGATGTTGTTGATACTGTTGAGTTTAATGACGTACGCCGAGGAACGGTCATGCATCTCGGGTTTGAGGATGATTTAACCAACATCAGAAGTCCCGGAGAAGAGGAGTGGTAGGTGTAATTCGGGTAGTGTTATTGGAATGAAGTCGTAGAGAATCAAATTAGCGTATCCCTATTAAATGCACCTAGGCATTTTACGGGTCCAAGATGGCGTGGTGGTACGGCGTTATCCGGACCGGCCAAGCAGATCCGGATCAACGACCCGACCCGGACTAGCGCCCCCACTCGCCCGGGTTACACCTGGCGGGGTGGTTGCACAAGCACGTGTACTTCATCGGGGGAGCGGGGGAATACTCAAACACTCAGATACAGCAGGTGTAACTTGCCTAAAGGCTATCAGCGATGCCGGATTACGCAAGATAATGATGCGGGGAATGCGTATGCATTTGGTCATCACGCTTGCTAACAGCCAATAGATAGATAGGTAGCCAGTTCAGACAAACTTACGTGCTGATATATAACGCGTTCCAACTATACCAACCATGTTGCGTTCCTTTATGAGAGCAACTCGCACAAGTTGGACACTTAACTATCTGAATCGAAACTGTTCATCTCGCCTCATATCTACAATGTCGAACTTAAAAGTTGATCTCACGGCCCCTAACGGCAAGAAATTCACCCTTCCTACCGGCTTATTCATCAACAACGAATTCGTGAAATCAAGCCAGAACCTCAAGATTACGAGTATCAACCCAACGTTAGTAGATCACCCTCTTAAGGCAACCAACCAATATACTAACCAAACCATGTCTAGGAATGAACAAGAGATCTGTACAGTTGAGGCTGCGAGTTCCGAAGACATTGACCGCGCGGTGGCTGCTGCTAGGGCCGCATTAAATCATGAATCATGGCGCGATATCACCGGAACTGAACGCGGTAGGATGATGTTCAAATTTGCGGACTTGATCGAACAGGAGAAAGAGATCCTAGCCACCATCGAGACATGGGATAATGGCAAACCATTTAGTTCCTCTATGGGTGACCTAGAAAGCGTCATCGAGACAATTAGGTATTACGCTGGTTACGCCGATAAGATTCACGGTGAAACTATTCCTACGATAAGTCAGAAATTTGTCTACACGTTGAAACAACCCATCGGCGTTTGCGCTCAGATCATCCCAGTAAGTGGGCTTACACGTTGACTCTCACCTCCCTATGATCAAAGTTTAGAATGCGGGTGAGCACTGACACCAGGGGTTACGTAGTGGAACTACCCTCTGGGTATGGCTTCTTGGAAACTTGGACCTGCACTGTCCTGTGGAAATACTATCGTTATGAAACCTGCAGAGCAAACCCCATTATCCATTCTGTACCTAGCGAACCTCATCGTCAAGGCAGGGTTTCCTCCCGGAGTTGTCAATATAACCAACGGATATGGCCGAGATGCTGGTCATACATTAGCCAGTCATCTAGGCGTTGACAAGATCGCCTTCACCGGTTCAACCGGGACCGGAAAGCAGATCATGAAGACTGCTAGCATCAACATGAAGAACATCACACTTGAGACTGGAGGAAAATCGCCGTTATTGGTCTTCGGAGATGCTGATATTGAACAAGCAGCGAAATGGGCTCACGGTGGAATTATGAGCAACATGGGACAAATCTGCACAGCAACTTCGCGACTGCTCGTCCAAGACACCGTATATGAAAAGTTCGTGAACGTGTTCCGAGAGGTAGTTAAAACAACTAGCAAAGTCGGAGATCCCTTTGCGGAAGACACCTTCCAAGGCCCCCAGGTAACGAAATCACAGTACGACAGGATCTTGGATTTCGTGGAATCGGGTAAGACAGAAGGCGCCACACTGACGGCCGGAGGTATCCCTTGCCCGCTGAATGGGAAGGGCTATTTCATTGAACCCACCATCTTCACTAACGTAAAGGAAAATATGAAGATTTACCGAGAAGAAGTATTCGGCCCATTCGTTGTCATCGTGCCCTTCAAGACGGAAAAGGAAGCAATCGCGATGGCGAACGATACCACATATGGGCTTGGTGCGGCCGTTCACACAAAGGATATCGAGCTTGCCCACCGCGTAGCCGCGCGCATCGAAGCAGGTATGGTCTGGATCAATTCGTCGAACGACTCCGATTTCCGCGTACCGTTCGGAGGCGTGAAGCAGAGTGGTATCGGCCGAGAGTTGGGAGAGGCCGGTCTAGCGGCGTACACGCAAACTAAGGCTATTTATGTGAACTTGGGTCAGAAGATTTAAATTTTAGAATTATTCGGTTCCGGGATTGTACGATAATGTTACTATTTGTGCCTGATGAGATGACGATCTTATCTTGTTCGTCGTGTTACGTTAGCAATAGAAGCATGACGGAAGGAATATGTAATCCCTCAAATTTTACTCTGTAGGTAGTTAGCAGTTACCTGCCTATTCCTAGGAAGTTGAAGGGATCAACATCCATCGTCTGGCTCACGTGTCTGACAGGTCCATGGTGTTTTGATTTCGGCTCCTTCCCGAATGTAGGCAGGTAGGGTATGATTGTGGCATCATCAATTGGCTTTTAACAGAACATCGTTGTGTCCTTTTGGAATCCCGGCAGATAACTGCAAGTCAGCAATTATGATCGCCTAAGCGCGTTAATATACAGAGTACAACAATATGGATACATTCCTAAGCCCTAGGCCAATTTTTAAGTTTTATTTTTCTCTTTTTGTCGCATCAATCTAATAACGTGCATTCCTTCCATGCATTGATGATTTTATTAGTGTTGATTGAGTTTATTAGCTGCGTTCCCTTCCCGTCAGTTGGATTTTTAAGTTCGCGGCACTTGAAGACACATCGTTGATTCCCGAAGAACGGTCTGACAGGACGCTAAGTACCGGTAGCTGTTAGGTAATTTTAATACTTTAAGCCGTGTAACCATAAGATATGTGCATGAGAGACTTTGATACTTTCATGGATGTATTTATTAAAAATGTTAATAAGATGTCACCTCGTACAAGCTCGTACAAACAAAACCACCTTTGCCTAGTGCCTAGTAGCAACTTAGGCTTTTCCAATTCTTCAATGGTTGGTTCAACTTGGTTGGCATGCGGCAAGACATCGTGCCATCTTGCTTGTCAACAAACAGCCAATCGGTTTAGTCCAAATATGGTAAATCATGGGGTGAAGATCACTTCCCTATTCTCATAAGTCCATCCCACACTAAAAGCAAAAGGGCTTCCTATTGCTCGCCGTGCCTGTGCTTGCTAGGCCTGCTGCTTGCCGGGTCTCCTGGCAGCCTGGGCTTTGCTGAGCTTTGCTGAGCCAGAAATATCCAGAAATAACAGCCATGAGATCCGCAAAAGGATCAACTGCCAGGGTTGCCTTAGGATTTTATTTTAATGAGCAACCCGAAAACAGATTTGCCCCTGTCCTCATTCATACATCATCGTTCAATGGGGGCTAGAATTAGCCGAATGAGACTGTGAGATTGATTGAGTATTCAGGCATTCATTCTCGATCCTTTAGATGAGAGAGGACCTGCATTAATTGACTGGCCAATCAGCTCAATCAATCTCATCAAGAACCAGATCTCTTGTCTTTCCTTCAGCAGCCACCAGGTCCGCAAGAACAGAAAATAGAAAAAAAAAAAAAAAAAAAAAGGGCAAACACCGAGGGAAACAATAAAACGTGCCCCTCCACTGCCCTACAGCTTAGGAGCAACCACACTCGTTCAAACGATCTACCCGTCCAAGCGGCTGTCAGTGCTTATCGCCTTTTTTTATCACGAACCTGTCAACCCAGACGACGGCGTGGTTTAGATATAAATAAAGTAACGTTGCGACGCGCTAGTAGGCGGATAGAGAGGGAAGGAGATCAAGGAGACCCGGATCTTGGGGCAGCTTTGGCCTATTCTTGAGCCTCCCACCCGTCCAACTTTCCGGCACCTGGCTGTCTACTAGCTGCCTATTACGGGAGTAGCTGCGCCTCTATCTAGATTCTAGATAGGACGTCTTCGGTCTTCCAACTTCTAGTTCGCCTTGCCACGAGGTCACAAACCCAGCAAACCCAGCAACTGCAGTTGGAGTTGTCGGAGACGAACAACCCACCTTGGCGCCGAATCAGCCGGCTTATTGTTGCACTTCTAAGACGCGTGCACGCCGAGGACCACTAGAGAAGATCCTAATAAGAATTCGGCATCCCGCTCCTAGACATTCATTAATACCTACATACTACGCCCTTCTCTTCGTTCTGCTTCTTGCCTCTTGTTTTTTCTTGTCCCCTTCGCCTTCGTGTTTCCCCACTCGACGCCACCATGTTGTCGAACGTCATTCTTTCATTTTTCTTGCTTACCGCCACGTCCGTTCACGCAATTTGGCCAATTCCCACAACCGTGAGCACGGGTAACTCTACTCTATGGATAGGAGAGCACCTTGCTGTTACCTATAACGGAGACCATGTATGCCTATTTTATTCCATTTCTAATAAGCGTTTCCGCTCGACCATGCCTCAAATACTAACGTAGACGTACCAGATCCCTTGGACTCGGGATTATGTAGCTTCCAAGTTCACCAGTAAAGAGATTGTAAAGGGAGGTGTATCACGTGCGCTCAAGAGCATCTTGGACTACAACTTTGTCCCGTGGAAGTTATACCCACGCATGCAACTTGAGAAGACGGAACCGCAAATCTGGAAGCCAAAGACTTACGTGTCCTGCCTCGACATCATTCAGAATGGGACAGACACGGCAAAGACGTTCAAGCCCCTTGCTGGTGATGTCGACGAGTCATACAGCTTGACCCTTGGAACTGATGGGAAGGCTAAGATCACGGCTGTATCTTCCACGGGCATTCTTCGGGGTTTGGAGACCTTCTCGCAACTGTTTTTCGAGCACTCTCAGGGTCCGATTTACACGAACTTGGCGCCCGTGCAAATAACAGATGCTCCCGAGTACGACCATCGAGGCCTTCTTCTTGACGTCTCAAGGAACTACCTTCCTCTTGATGCCATCTATCGAACTATCGACGCTCTTTCCTGGAACAAGATGAACCGGATCCACATCCATGCGACAGATTCTCAATCTTGGCCTCTAGAGATCCCTTCTCTCCCAGAGCTCCACCAGAAGGGCGCGTATGCTCGTGGAAAGACGTACTCGCCCACGGCTGTGACTGCTATCCAAACGTATGCGATCCAGCGTGGTATCGAGGTTATTTTTGAGATTGATTCTCCCGGACATTTCGGCGTAGCGGCTCTTTCGCATCCGGAGATAGTTACTGGCTGGGGTGCAGCTCCGTGGTCGTCGTATTGCGCCGAACCTCCCTGTGGCCAGATTAGACTTAACGACTCCAACGTGGACCCCTTCCTCGACGAGCTGATGGATGATCTCCTGCCTAGAGTTGCGCCATACTCGGCCTACTTCCACACAGGTGGTGATGAGGTGAACTTCAATGAATACAACCTTGACCCTTCAGTTGGCACAAACAATTCGGCAGTAGTCGTGCCTCTCCTACAGAGTTTCATCGACAAGCATCACGCAAGAGTTCGCAAAGCCGGTTTGGTACCGATGGTTTGGGAAGAGATTCCGGCTAGTTATAACGTCACCGTCGGGGACGATGTTGTGATCCAGTCCTGGCTCGGAGATGCGGCCATTAACAAGCTCACCGCCCAAGGCCACAAGGTTATTACCAGCAATTACAACTACTGGGTAAGCTTGTCTAGTTCAGGCTGTGCACTTACAACGAGTGTATTTGACTAACATCGCTTCCGTAGTATCTCGACTGTGGTCGCGGACAGTGGCTTAACTTTGCCGAGGACGCGTTTGACGAAGGCTTCCCGTTCAATGACTGGTGCACGCCATACAAGAACTGGCGATTGATCTACTCATACGACCCTCGTGGGGGCCTTACAGATGAGCAGGCGGAGCTAGTAATAGGCGGCGAGGTCGGTGCATGGGCTGAGACGATCGACGAGATTAACTTAGACAGCATCTTATGGCCGCGTGGTAGTGCGGCGGGCGAGGTGCTATGGTCTGGAAGAGTCGACGCCGCGGGAGAGAATCGCACGCAACTCGACGCCGCACCGCGCTTAGCTGAGTTCCGAGAACGCTTGGTGGCTCGAGGCATCAATGCTGAAGCTGTGCAGATGACATACTGCACACAGGGACAAGATCCCCACACGTGCGAGTTCGTATAAGGGAATTCCTCTTGTAAGGGGGACGTTAACACACTCATCATCATCATCCTTCCCAGGAGATACATAAATTGTTAGGGTCACTTAAGAACACATAGGATCCTGCCACCGCCTCATATTTGGCGACTTTCTTGTACATATTTAGACATTTTGGGTCATCAGAAAAACAGGTAAAATATGGAGGGCGAACGGATCTGGAAAGATCTAGGGCTAATAATACAGCGGCATTGCACCTCGGCTTAACGTTGCTACTTGGTTGTTTCAGCTTGGGAGTGAAACTTGGAAAGGGTGAGATTATAGCGGTGTGATATCTTACGTTCAGCACGCCGCGTAAGGGATGCGTTGATTTAAAGTTGTTGGACTAATACGTAACACGTATCGGAACCGTCCGGATAGTGTCATCAACGACGAAAGATGGTATAGCCGAAGCTATACTATACAGCTAGAGTGCCGGCATCCTACGTAAGAACTTTATGTCCACTCTATCCCTATAGATGAAGCCATGTAAGTGCTTCATGAGACGCCGGACTTGCGGGGATGACTAAAGCACGATCTACACTGCCAGGTCAAAAGTTTGAATCCGTATTGTTAAGCCTGAAGTCGCAACAAACTGTGCCAAGCCAACTATGCTAAATCGAGATAGCTCAAAGCTCCTACCACATAACGACCGTCATTAGCACTTTCATGGCTGTATACTCAAATAACTTCTTGAATATATCTTTGTTCGAACTGTAATGAGTATCAATATGTAGCTATTGACTGTAAGAATAATATGAATTTAGTTGCATTCATTTGAAAGCATTACAACCCGAGTTATAACGTGTTGAAATAAAGATGAGCCTTTTTTACACTAATCGAAAAGGGGCTGTAGTAAACCACCAGATTCCTGCCCTTTGGAAGGTTTCAAAGCGGTGCAACTTGATTTATTAGATATTATACAACTTAATATATCAATATATATAATTGTAAAAGATTTGATTCAATATTCATGAAGTTATTCAAGATATAAGAAAATTGGAAGATATTAGCTAGGATCATGAGGCTTTCAAGGTGCTAGCTCATATTGGAAATAGTGGCTTGGCGTAACGGAAGTGTGACTTCAGGCTTAACAATACGGATTCAAACTTTTGACCCGGCAGTGTAGGACTGAGTTACTCAATGGTAGTTCCCTGCTAATCAGCCGAACATGCATTAGTCCATTCGTATCCTTCCGTACCTACATGTTCCTTGTGGAGCATCGCCGGAGCCGGACTGTTTCTATCGCCCGGCTTGGCGTTTTGCCTTGAATGTTAGTCCGACGGATGTACTTTCCGCAGATTCGCACCTTGGTATGGAGCTGACATTGTGGCTAGCTAATTCTTTATCATGGCAGTAACACAAATGTAAAACATGCGTAATAGTTGCGTAGTTGAAATTTCATAAGGTGTACAGGTTCCGGCTGTTAAAATTTTCAGCTGAATATAAGCAGAACAACCAAAATGTCTATCCGAAATGCCTAACTACCTATAAGATGAAATCAATGAATATCAAGGTCGACATACAGGAATTTACGATTATGTAAGATCCTGGAGATACTAGGTAGGGTCCACGCGTTGTCCAGGTGGGCAATTATACGCCACTGGCGTCATATGCCTCTCATTCGATGCTATTCCTGGCATAACATGTAACTCACCCCGCATGATATGCACCGCCATCTTGAGCGCCTCGGTAATCCCTTTTTGGGGAACCGCTCAGTCGCTGCGAAGAATCTTCCAAGCACACTGGCATGGACATCAGCTTCTGCTGCATAATGAGCAGTCTGTGACTGGCCAAGCTTATGTTGGTTGGTGAACTTCACCACGCTAAACAACGACGGACCACTCTCCGCGGCTATAGGAGGAACCATGTCAGGCCAGAGTAACATCGCGTGAGCGGCAGAGGTGGACTCCGAATTTTCGGTACCCCGGTCTGCCGTATTATGCCACTTCCCCGACTTGATGGGCGAGCTTGCCGACACTTATCTACCTCGCTGCCCGCGGATTGCCTAGCTTCGTTGTATTCTTTATAGCATTTGCATCTCCGGGAAATGTCATGGCAAATGATGAGATAGGTGAATGTGATATATAGGTAGTCTCAATCTCATATCTCTGGATTCTTGCCCCAGAGGAAGTCGACGACTACATCCCTCTTGATATCACCATGGGGTTAATCGAAACAGCGCTGGACTATGTGTCCATTAAATCCATTCTCATCATCCTCGGGTCCATTCTGGCACTATGGATGATTTATGCCGAGATCAACGACAATATTCGACTACGCCGGCTAGGTGCGCGCGGATCAACAAGAATCAAATCCGTCCTCCCATTCGGTGCGTACTCCTACCCCCCCACCCCCCTCACTTTCCCCTATCCCAATCCTTGACACACTCTAACGAACAAAAACAGGCCTAGACGTAATCTACGAACAGATCAAATCGACGATGAAGCACAAGAACTACGAGGTCTTCGTCAAGCTCCTCAACAACGCACCCTTTTACACGGCGGAAGGCCGGCTCCTCCGGCGTCATATCGTCATGACCGCCGACCCGGAGAACATCAAAGCCATATTAGCGACGCAGTTCGCCGACTTCGGAAAAGGCGAGCAATTCCACAAGGAATGGAACGAGTTCCTCGGCGACAGCATCTTCGCGACCGACGGGCACTTATGGCATGGAAGCCGGCAGCTCCTGCGGCCGCAGTTCTCGAGAGAGCGGATCAGCGATCTACACTGTTTCGAGTCGCATCTAGAGACGTTTTTCAAAGCGATAGCGAATGGGGGCGTGTTAAATGGTGAGGAGCAGGTCGTTGATGTCGAGGCGGGGAACGGCAAGCCTTTCGATATTAGCGAGTTGTTGTTCCGGTATACGTTGGATGTCGCAACAGACTTTTTGCTGGGTATGGATACGCAGTCGCTCACGTAAGACCCCTATTCCACTTACCACCTTCATCCCATCCCTTCCCCCACTCTCAGGGGATATACCTATACAAACAGCCTATTAACACACACCCCAGCACCCCCCGCCAACCCTTCGCCGACGCATTCAACGAAGTCCAGCGCGTGCAAAACATCATTGCCCGCGCAGGTCCCCTGCGACACCTCGTGCCCATGGCCTCCTTCCGCGCCGGCCTAAAAGTTGTCAACGAATTCTGCAACCTGTATATCGAACGCGCATTACGCCTCTCCCCCGAAGAGCTCGCCTCCAAGACGAAATCCGACTCCGGGTACACCTTCCTGCACGAACTTGCCTCCTTCACACGGGACCGCAAAGTCCTTCGGGACCAAGTAATAGCCGTGCTTCTCGCAGGCCGAGACACCACCGCCGCAACGCTCAGCTTCGTTTTTTACGAACTAGGACGCCACCCCGAATTCGTGCGTAAACTCCGCCGGGAGATCGAGGGGCAAGTAGGCTGGCACAGGACGCCTACGTACGAGGACCTAAAGAGCATGAAGTACGTGCAGAACGTGATAAACGAGACATTACGGCTATACCCCGCGGTTCCGTTCAACGTACGCACAGCACTGAAAGACACCACTCTCCCGCGCGGAGGCGGGCCAGACGGCTCTCTACCCCTGGCGGTGCTGAAGGATACCGCGATAGCGTACTCCACGCTAACAATGCAACGACGACCCGACCTCTACCCCTCCTCCTCCCCCTTCTCTGAAAAGTCGGAGCTAGCGGACCCGCAGACGTTCAACCCGGACCGGTGGACGAACTGGCAGCCGAAGCCGTGGCAGTACATCCCATTTAACGGGGGCCCGCGGATCTGTATCGGCCAGCAGTTCGCGCTGACGGAGATGGCGTACGTGCTGACGCGGATATTCCAGCGGTACGAGAGGGTTGAGAGCTTTATGGTTGGCGAGCCGAAGCTTAAGGCGGAGATTGTGATTCAGCCTGGCGATGGTGTTACGGTTGCGCTTTGGGAGGCTAGAAAGGGGGAGTAAGGGGTGGTATACTAACGGAGGGGGTAAGGTATGGGCTCTTGTATTATGATGACACGACACGGATATGTATGGTTTTAGATGTAAATACTTACTTAGGTAGGTATATATGGCTTAAATTTATGGATATATTATATGTATGTTGATAGGTTCCTAACAATATCATGAAAATGGACAGATATAGATCATATCCAGTTTGAGGGAAACGGTCAAATACAAGAATATTATAAAGAGGTAAACACAAATTGATTCAAACTTTTCCGTTACTAAATGGCTAGTTATAGTAGTAGGTACCTAACAGATATCCCAGTAATGCCAGTATACCATAACACACTCCAAAGCTCCCCAGTATCTCTAAATTAGCTAGTGTCCGACTCGAACCTATTACCGACCTACCTCAAACCCACGAGTCGCATAATATGACCCGGCAAACACCATTTTATTCATCCCCACGTAGTAACCATCCGTTCCCCTTGCCCTATGCAAGAATATCACTTTCTATGTTTCCTGAGTGGTATATGGCAATTATCTGCGAGCCTGCCGCTAACGAGGGTTGAGACACACTGTGTTTAATATGGCGGAGAGTGAAAAAAAAGAGGATAAAAAAATAATAACCAGCCGTCATAGAATCATGAAATCGTGTAGAACTGGTGGGGTGCTGTTCCTGTGTATGGGGCTTCGATGATAAGTCTAGATCGCGATATTTCGCGTTTTGGGTAAACTTACGGTAAAGAAAGGCTCCGGTAATCACCGCCCGAGGTGAATTTCCTTCTCATGAACTGAAGCAAATATGGTCTCGTGCTCACATCTTTCTCTCTCTGAGATCCAGCGGGCCCCTGCGTGCCCGAAGAAACTACCGATCATGGCTGCGCAGCATGCCCATGGCACTATCCCCAGCGTAATTCTATTAGCGCTAGCTCCTATCCCCCATCCGATACAGATAGCCCAGACAAGCCATACTACGAAGACGATAACCTGATACCGGTCTCGATCTCGACGCCGGTGAACATACGAGGAAAGACAGCATCCTAGCACAAGGCAGGAGCCGAGCGCCAGTCCTGGAGACACGTGTCTCGGGAAATAGAATCGTATTATATGAAATAGAAACTCGGCGTTACCCTGGAAACCCGACATGTATCCTGTCAGCATGGAGGTTGACCAGCAATTAGGGAAGAGCGGCAGGTACGGACATCGGTATTTGTAGCGAGATCGTCTCGCGATGATTCTACCTGGTCGATGTAGCAGGTGGTGACAAGACTACAAGCAGTGGCTGGAAGTAGCTCGGCTAGTTGGGATAGTGGTGATTCTTTTAACGATCGGGAGTTTGACTTGAGACAGACCTGGTCTCCGAAGAGTTCGAAAGAGTGACATGATGCTGAGTACATCTGCGTAATTGAGGAAATAGGATGACGGAAAAAAAGCAATAGCTTTCATACGTCAAATATCTTGTTCGGTGGTCGCAATAGGGCGGGGGAAAACCACTGGCAACGGTCTGCATATCCGGATCCTTATAGCTTGAAAAGTGAGCTACGGTGATCTGCCCCTATGCTCGAATCCAAGCCAATGAGTACGTAGGACGTCTCTGTATCTCGTAGCGGAATCCTAGGAAAGCAGGCTATCGGTAAAGCCAGCTTGACGTAGCTTAGATCACACCACCATATCTTATTGAAAATGTAATGTTACCATGCGTCGTATCAGTCGGGCCCCGAGGGGCGCAGTGATTTGCATCTGTATGAACCTACGCCCCGATGCTAGGCTAATTGTGAGGCAGTACGATGCCTTGCCCAATAAGGTGCTTACGATACCCCATGAAATATTTCGGTGAATCGCGTTTCGGTGAGCACATACTGGAGAACAAAAGTTAGGCGAACTATGTGAACTAAATTCATTAGCAAGAGCATATAACGCGTGCACCGCCCTAGGTTGTTTAAGAGCCCTCCTGTGGCACAACAGCAGAGACTGCCCTAGGCTTTGGGCTGCCATGCAGCAGCGCTCGTTAATACCGTCGAAGCAGGCTCCCCAGATCGGTCCTCTGTAGAAGCTGCTCATATTGGGTAACGGCTGGTAAGAGAATAGCAGTGCCTATTATAAAGTCTTGGGGCAGCACTTTGCTGATGCGCTCAAGTCTAGTCTTATTCATTCGAGGCTGGTTGCTCCTATTCGCTCGTTGTTTCCTTATTCATGATACACATTAACGGGAGACGCTCATCATATTCCTCTAGTACTCTGTGCTTTCAATATGGCTGACACACGCAGCCTCATGTTCGTTTGGGAATGGTTAGCCGCCACTGATACCAAACTTGGGCATCTGTGCAGAGTTCTGTCTCGGGGCTTCATGATAGGCACGGCTATTCTCTTACCAGTCGTTACCCAATATGAGAACAGTTTCTACAGATTTCTGTAGGGTGCCTCGCTCTTTGTCGCTAAAGTTGAGTTCTGCTGACGGAGTCAGAGTTTCATGTATTTTTATGGTTGCGACGTTTGCCCACTTTGCTTTTAACTGGGAAGGGGTCAAAAGGCAGGTACTACACCACATCATAACTTCAGACGCAGGGCTTATGAGTCACCAGATATGCCCTCTTTGCCCTGGCTACAATGTTCTTGTCTGGACTCGCCACAGTACCCTTTTCCAAGGCTTCGGTACCTTTGCTGCTTGATCGTCTTCCGATCTTGATCATGATGACGGGTCTCTGGATCGAAGAAATTCCTAGGTTCGTACGTCACTCAGCAGTCAGAAGGCTTCCTGATATCTCATGCTGGGTAGGTTATTCAAACGCTTAATGACAGATCCTCGATTTGTGCCACCGGACGTGGGCTCCGAACCTGACAGAGACCCGGTCCTCCCCACACTCGATCATGATAAGGAACTATTCGCTCATATGGATGGTGCTGAGAGGGAGCAATTTAATACACTGAGTCAGGTCTCTTCGGATATATCCCTATCGCATGTTGGATCTGGGAAGCTTCCATCATCCTGTGATACGATGACGCGTGCCTTCTGGCCTGATCTACTGGACCGGAGCGACAAACGCAGAGAGAGCGACGGGGATGAGGACGAAGGTTAATGTTATTGGAAATTGCCCTTTTCTTGCTGATGATTCAACGTCGTCTTTTAGAGCATTTCGACAAGATTCGCTAAACGGGATGACTGACGCTGCCCCAGCTGTCTCAACCCAACGGAAATACGGAAATGCATCGGATGACATAGGCCATACCATAGAATGATCTGCTGTGAGTTTAATTCATACACATCCGAGATATTTGCTGCCTATTGTTAAGGACAGCTAGCTTATGTGTCTTTGGATGCTGCGCTAAGCATTCGATAGAGCAAATTCTAAGGCGAAACACCATCTATATTCAAGTGCGTGCCAGGATCAACTTTCTTCGGTCTCAGCTAGTTGATTATACTCGACCGTTTGATTGTCTTCGGCAGAGATGGTGTTGAAGGGCCATGCAACAAACATCTCGAGAAACCGATATATGTTGTAGGGAAAGGCCTGAGATGTTTAAAGATACAGTATTAAACCTGACTCGTTTTAAGCCGAGTATTTTGTGTACCTAGGTAGATAGACTGCTAGGTATTTTGTTGTTGTTGATGCTACCTCTACCATGGAAGTAAGAGAAGCTTGTACTTAGTAAGGACTCACGCGACGTCGATCTCTTCGGACGGGGTCTTCGCGATGCCTTGGATAATAGTACGAATTAGGTAGTGATAGAGAGCAAATGAAAGGGGCGGAGAGAATGAAGAGATGACGTTAGTTTAATATCAATAGCCTTTCTCAGATCTCGATAAGAACTTTACGTGATCGTACCTTCCCGGCCGAGCCCAAAACATCGGTTTCAATTCCCAGGCAGTCGGCTCACGGCATCTTGCTTCAGCCTCCAGCCACCACTAAAGGAAAAAGAAAAAAACTTCCCAGCCACATTATTTGTCCGGTACTAATGTCCGGACCCATTATACGTTTGCTCTAAACCGTATTAAGTAGGAGCTAGCTATGCCAGCCACTCATCTTGGCGTTTAATTGCGACCACTGACAGGCTCATTTAAATCGAATTGACTTTGAAGTGGGGCGTCACCAATGACATTTCAACATTACAACGGTAAAACCGCCAACTTATCATGCCCAGCGTGCCATGGAAACACCCATCTCACCTACTTGACCTACCGCACACCTTGCTTTGGCCAGCACACACTTACATCTCGTATTCCAGTGCCTGACCTTGTCATCCCACTTCGTTCTATTACTTGGCAGTAGCTTTTTTTTCTTGTAGCTCGAGATGACGACGATACGTCAACGTAGGGTGGCACATGGGCCATATGTGCACCATCATATATTAGGTGGTTGGACTACACCTGAACTCCAACCCTTTCCCCGAGCTTCTTATTACCCTTAGCAGCTACCTGCATGACTTTTGTAACCTTAGAATATATCTCTTACCTTTTTTGTAATTATTTTTGTGCCTCATAGCATTGTACATACAGATACAACATACTGGCAGATCACTCCCGATCTGTGTGATTCTACCCGAGACCTTGCTTCTGCATCAGTGTAACGATCTACTCCGAGTATCGAGTCGGGGTTTAGGAATTCACGCCTCTGCACCCGCATCTTCCTATCTATACTATTTTGATATCCCTACAGATGCATATCCGAACAATGATGGCTTCGCCATTGAAGTATGTCGCAGTCGCGGCAGCTCTACTTTCAGGTAGAGCTATAGCCCAGACATACTCGTCTTGCAATCCTCTATCGAGCTCATGTAAGTTGATTCTTCCCTATCCCCTCATTGGTAGCTTTTCAATGGCTTACCCCTCTTAGCTTGTCCGGCGGATACTGCCCTTGGTATGGCTATCGATGTCGACTTTACGCAAGGGGAGGTAAACTCGTTCACATCCTCGGGCGGCACACCAACATACGGCTCGGACGGCGTAACATTCACAGTTAGCAAGAGTGGCGACTCACCACAGCTTGCCTCTGTCTTCTACATCATGTTTGGCCGTGTCGAAGTAGTACTAAAATCGGCCCCGGGCGCCGGTATCGTATCGTCTTTCGTGCTCCAATCCGACGACCTAGACGAGATCGACTGCGAATGGTTAGGCGCGGACGCCACCGAGATGCAATCCAACTATTTCGGAAAGGGACAAACCACCTCTTATAACCGCGGACAGTTCCACGAGATGGGGAATAACCAAGATGGCTTCGTTACATACATAATAGATTGGACAAGTGAAAGGATCGTCTGGACTATTGACGGGACGGTGGTGCGGACACTTACATCGTCGGATGCCGAGACGAACCAATACCCTCAGACACCGATGAAGATCAAGTTCGGCGCATGGTCCGGTGGCGATTCGAGCAATGCCGCAGGCACGATATCATGGGCACGTGGTCCTACCGATTACACCAAGGGGCCATTTAGCATGAGCGTGAAGACTCTAAAGGTTACGGATTACAGCACGGGCTCGTCCTATAGCTACGGCGATACATCCGGCGCCTGGACGTCAATTAAGTCTAACGGAGGTTCGATCAACGGTAACTTGGGGAATGCCGGTACTCTGACCACCACCGCGGTTGCTAGCGGCTCAACCTCGACCGGGTCGGCTAGTGTTCCCGCGGGGGGTATTGGCGGTACAAGCACCAACACCGCTAACTCCAACCTACCTTCAGGTTGGAGGATGACGCCGGAGGGGAAGATAGTGCCGTCTAGTTCGACTTCTTTACGTAGGTTGCAGCCATTCCCTTGTTCTAGATCTTTTCGCATCTATTTAAATACGGAACTAACGTGCAACTATTTAGGCCCCGTCTTTCCATTCGTCTTCGTCTTCAGCCTCTGTGCTACTCTCGCTGGCCGGAGATTCTGGCCGTGAGGCATCATCTTCATAAGCTTATTAATATGAGTAGCAAGATGCATTTTTCTATCTTGCTATCTTCAGAAATGTCTACCGACATTACACTCGCTCAATTCCGAGTCCCCAGATCGAGTTGTACGATAAGTTAGCCTGTTGTCAAGGATATTGAACATCCTTACATAACTTAGGCGGACCACAGCTTTAAAGAGGACGTTCTACGGGTTACCGACAGCCCGTTTGAGCAAAAAACTGGTGCAACGCTATCACGTCATAGCCCCAAAACGAAGAAAACCGTCTCACTAGCAGTGATAACACTGACTTGGATTGCACCCCACGGAACTTTTGACGAGGCTTGAGATGTCAAATATAGGGCGCACATCTAAGTGCACATTATGGGGTTATATAAAGAGAGGGAACTAATAGATTTGTAATAGATATTAGCCCAGGCATGATAAGGAGTTGTTGGTTGATTTTAGGCAAGACAGCGGCGCATAGCATGGGAGCAAATGTTTGTTGAGAACGAATCTGAACGAGCCATGAGGAACTGAGGAACCACTATAGATAGAGCATGACAAGGTATCATAGATAGGGCGTAGGTGTTTGACATCCGATCACGAAGACACATAGCGTCCATTGCCTCATTATAGACATTCCACACAACGTAACTCTTATCTAATAATTCCCACTTTTGAGTAGACGTGGACGTTGTCAATTGACGAAAGTCGGATATGACGAATATATATTGGCATTCGGTGAGATTTGGGGATAGTTACGAGATAGAAATGCTGAATTCCACACATGACCTAAATGGTAACAGATAGTGTGCAATTGGGCGATGAGATTGGTAGGTCGAGGCCGGCTACAATCGGCCGGGTTTCCACTATCGTTCCCCCGTTATCGCACCGAGGACCCGTGATTACGGGGAACAAAGGGTAGCTGCACCTGGTGCAGTCACAGCTACGTAGCCATTACTGCTTTCAGATTTATATAAGAATTAAGATTTAGACGTATCATAATCAAAATGTACAATATACCGAGGTCTGTCATTTCCAAACAAATACATATACAAAAGACAATAGGGATTAAAAGGGGTTTCCTGTGTAATACAATGGCAACTAGCACACTCTCGTCCTTATCTCAAGTTCACCAGGCTCAAAGTCCTGTACTCACTACCACAACCCGTTCATTCTCCGCCGCCTCTCCGCGTCAGCAACCCTCCAACGTCGGAAATGTGGGACTAGCGGAGCAAGATACCATCGTCAGCCAGCAGGCTCACGAGCCGTTGACCATCAATGGAATCAAGGCGCGGAGAGCGAAGGCCGGGAAGCTGATCGCCCCGACCGCCTCTTACTCGGACAGTGATATGTTCAAGTCTCCCGTGAGACCCGTCTTTCTTTCTCATACCCACCTTGAGAAATATGAGTTATCTCACTAACACGAAATAGCATGCCCTCAGTAAACCCAAAGCAAAACGCTGGGACCGTAAGTGACCTCATCTTACCTACCTAAACTCCCACTCATTCACACCCACCCATTCTAACAACCCCCCCAGACATCCTAACCGAAGAAGCCGTCTCCCGCAAACCCTGCAACCTAAAACAAGCCGCCAAGCACCTCAAAAAACCCGGCCTCATCTCGCTGGGCGGGGGTCTCCCCTCCGCCTCCAACTTCCCCATCGACCACATCAGCATGCACGTCCCGGCGCCCCCCAGCTTCGAAAGCGGGGACTCGGCCACCGCTCATGCGGGGAAATACGACGTCGCGAAGGACGAGAACGGGGGCGTGTACGATCTCGCCATAGCGCTGAACTACGGACAAAGCGTAGGGTCTGCGCAGCTGCTAAGATGGGTCACCGAGCACACGGAGCTGACGCACGCGCCGCCGTACGGGGACTGGAGATGCGCGCTGACGATCGGGAGCACGGGGGCGCTGGAGCAGGCTTTCCGGATGCTGTGTGATCGCCGCAGAGGCGACGCCGTGTTGACGGAGGAATACAGCTTCTCGACCGCGCTGGAGACGGCGGCGCCGTTGGGGATTAAAGTGTTTGGCGCGAAGATGGACGGGGAGGGGTTATTGCCCTCGAGCATGGATGAGATTCTGGGGGGTTGGGATGAGGCGAAGAGAGGCGCGAAACGGCCGACGGTTTTGTACACGGTGCCGTCGGGGCAGAACCCCACTGGGGCGACGCAGAGCGCGCAGAGGAGACGCGAGGTTTATGAGGTTTGTCGGAAGTATGATGTTTATATCCTTGAGGACGAGCCGTATTATTACCTCCAGATGCAGCCGTATACCTCTACCACCCCCCACGATCACACTAGGCCGGCTCGGGTCGATGAGGTCCCGCCGCCTGCGACTATAGAAGAATTCCTCGAGGGTCTGGTTCCTAGCTTACTTAGCATGGATGTAGACGGACGGGTGATGCGGATGGATTCGTTCAGCAAAGTCGTTGTGCCGGGGTCGCGGGTGGGCTGGATCACGGCGAGCGAGCAGATTGTCGAGCGGTATATCCGACACGCGGAGTGCTGCAGCCAGGGCCCCAGCGGGCTCTCGCAGCTTATGATGTACAAACTCGTGGATGAGACCTGGGGGCACGAAGGGTACTTGAAATGGCTCATGCATATACGGCTCGAGTACACGCGTCGGCGGAATACTATCTTAGCCGCGTGTGAAGAGTACCTGCCTCGGGAGATCGTGAGCTGGGTACCGCCGGCCGCCGGCATGTTTGTAAGTCTCGTTTCCTCCTTCTTTAACTCTAGACTCAGCGCTAACACTGCACAGCTCTGGCTCCAAGTGGACCACACCCAACACCCCCAAGCCGCCACAAAATCTATCCTCGAGATCGAGGAAGACATCTTCAACTCCTGCATCGACAAAGGCGTCCTCGCCATCCGCGGGTCCTGGTTCCGCGCGGAGCAGGACGTGCCACCAAGCGGCCTCTTCTTCCGCACAACCTACGCCGCCGCGTCCGAGGACGACATGGCGCGTGCCATCGAGCGGTTCGGCACCGCCGTGCGTGAGAGCTTTGGTCTCGCTTCTCAATAGATTTATCCGGAACGGTATCGGTATCGGTCAACGGGAACTGGAAGTTTTGTCGGGGAAAAAACGGGGGTTGGGGTGGGGGAACTGGGACTCGAAGACCGGACTGGTGGTGGCTGCATTATTTATCGTCCGGGAATCGGGATACAGCATAGCTAGATGAAGTCCATTGGGAGTTGGTGTTAGCATGTTATCGTACATAGCATTTACGCCGCAGGTACCTGAGTTAACAACTAGAGACTTTTGCATAACATCAATAGCTTCTTAATAACTCATTAGCATAGAGTTCGAAGCAAATTTACCTTATACGCTGACGCCCTCTACGATGTCGTGCGACCTGATTAATCTTCTACAGCCAGCCACAATTACCTCATCACTTCCTACCTAAGAGATAGTATGCATGGAAATCACTTCAGCACCTTAGAACGGAATAAACAATGCATCGCTTTGTATTTTTGTCTGCCTTGGATGGTTACATCTCGAGTAAAATCTCAATCCGAACTGTCGCCAATCCGGCCGCTCACACCCCCTAGAATGCACCGCACCGCGCCATGCTGAATACCTGGTCCAATCCGATCATAAATGTTGATCGTGGCAGGTCATGCCGTTTTTTTCTCGCCCCCTCTGTAAATCTTAAGCCCCTCCCCCCGAAATACCTTGCCAACATTTTCTTTTCCCGTCTGGTCTTAAATACTCTAGACGTTAACGATGAACAAGGCGGGTATGTGTTAATACAAGGAATATGGATGATCCAAGACCGCCCTTAAAACTCCCAATGGTCATCATCCTCCACGGACTTAATAGCCCAATTAAACTTCTCACGTAGGGTCTTAGAGAAGAACTTCTCAATAGGAACGTCAAACTTCTTTGCGAAGACTACGGTGAGACGAGGATCAATGTAGTTCTAGGTTAAATGTTAGCTTCGGATGAATCAAGACGTGATTAAGTTGACTTACGATCTTAGAGGTGCCTAGAGCGACCTCCTTGTTACCATCACGGTCGGCGGCCTGGAGTTCTAGTGTTCGTATGCGTTCTTCGATCTTCTGAATGTTTCCTTCAATCTTATCAACTGTGGGGCCTCTTCCTTCGGCTTCGACCTTCTTAGACTTGTTCTCTTTCTTAAATTTCTTCGCAAGGTCATCTGCAACCTGGAGACGCTCCTTAAGTTCCTTATCAGGCATGATCTTCTCTCCGTCCTCTTGACGTTTTTGGTTGTCCTTCTCAAACTTCTTCTGAATCTTCGTTCGTTGCTCTTCGACAAGGAAGCTCTGGTGCTCCAGTATCCAAGCCTCGTCGAGCTCTGCGTCCTGCTGGAAAAAGTCGGCGCCCTTCTTCTTCTTCTGCTTCGGATCGACGTCCAAGAGCATCATCTTGTTACGCCACTTTTGGTACTTAAGACCCTTGATTCGATCACCAAGCTTCTCCATTTGCGCTTCGTGACCCGCGCCCACAGTCCGCTTGTGATTACAAAGAATAGCAACCTCACGATTGCAATCGTTGTACAGCTTGATTTTCTCAGCCATAGTAGCGCTGGAAACCTTCAAATCCCTGAGTAGATTTGACATGGTGTAAGAAGCGTTGTATGTACGGAAAACCTTTGCAGTCAATCCTTGCATGTAAGACGAGAGATGCTTGTTTAACTGAGTGGTAGTGAGACGATCAAAGATATCGTCACCTTCCTTCTTTGGGGGTTTCTTGAAAACTCGCAAGTTCTTGAATACTTGTCGGTCGACAGTAACTTCATCGTAGAACCTGATACTGTCTTTACCTAAGAAGTCGAAGATGACTGTGTTGGGTTCTCGAAGTGTTACGTGTTCGTACTTGAGTGAACAACAACCAACAGTCTCGGCTTCATTCTCAGTATCTTTCTCGTTACCAGCTCTCAAGGCAAACTTATCGATCAAGTACACAGCGGTGGCTCGTTGACGATCAGCCATAGATTCTGCTTTGAGATCCTTGGTGTAATCCTTGCGGATCTTCGCAATGTGCTTTTTCAGTTCTCGAGCTTTCTCGAACTTCTTGAAGTCGCTCTGTCCTTTGACAGCGCTAGTAGCTCCTAGCATGACATACTTGTATGAGCCGTTGATGTTCTCTTGCCACATTGCTAACCATGTAGCCTTGTTATCATGCTGAACGGCCTTCCACTTGTGGCCTTCAGGTGGTGGGGGGACCATCGAATCCTTCCCAATATTGATAGTAATTTGCTCGGGCAAAACACGCTTCTTGACCTTACCGGTCTTGGGGTGTTCACCACGACCACGGAAAAGGCCGGGAGGTTCGACTCTGAAGTTGCCAACTTTCTCTTTACGACCGTCCCATTTGCAGAACATGTAGGGAGCCTCAGCCTTGTCCCTTTCGGCCTTCTCGGCTTTCTTTTCGGCAGCTGGACGTGCTTTCTTGGCCTCATTCTTAGCATGGTAGTATTCGAAGATAGGCTTGAAGTCTAGTTTAGTAAACTCCTTGATGTTAACCTTCTTTCCATGTCGATCCGTCGCGCCGCCCGTTCGATCAAGGATCTCCGTGAAGTCAATAAAGAAGTTCTTCTGGAACGTGGGATTCTCGACGTTGTGGGTCGAGTTAAGCATAGCACCAAAGAAACCGGCTACCTCTTCGGCCTCGACATGAAGATTGACAGGAGTGCCATCATAAATGAGCTTGATGTTCTTCGGTAGAGGTTCATACTCTGGGGGGAAAAGGACACCGTTGTGTTCAAGGGTAGTCCACTTAACGCTGTCATCTTCTTTTTTGGGAGCATCCCACCAGCGGTACTCTGCCTCCTCGTCCTCAGCGTCGCCGTCTCCAGGTTCTTCACTCACTTCCTTCTTAGCCTTCTTGGCAGGAGTCTTCTTGACGGGAGTAGGTTTTTCGGACTTGGCTTTGGTCTTACCGACAGCAGTCTTGACCTTCTTACGAATAGGTTGATCGGAATCAGATTCTTCTTTCTTCATACCGTTCGGCTTGCTCTTTCCGTTAACGCCGTTGGATGGCCGTTTCTTGCCCTTTGCACCCGCTAAAGGCACATCGTCATCCGACTCGTCCTTAACGATCTTCTTAGGAGTAGGCTTCTTCAATTTAGATTCGCTTGCACGGATAGCCTTGGCATCCTTCTCCGCGTTCTTCTCGATGGCCTTTCTCTTGGAAGCAAGTTTTGCATTCAGCGGCTGATCATCATCGGAATCTTCAGCCATGGCAGTTTCATCGGCAGCGGGTGGAAGTTTGACTTTTCGCTTGCTAAGAACTTCGTCATCGGAATCATCGACCTTGACTTTCTTTTGACGCTTCGCCTAACTCGTAAGTTAGCACAGTTTTTCCGGCTCTTCGCGTCACTGACCCGATTAAAAAGAAGGGAAACGTACCAATCGACCGTCTTCAGAATCTGAATCGTCCTTGTAGCTCACATGGTTTATCGAGGCACGCGACTTGCGCTTTCCGTTACCATTCGTGTGTGGAGATGCATCATTGTTAACTGGACCATTGCGAATGGACACGGGGGCGGGCTTCGCTTTGGTGGAGGTACGGCGATCCATAGCTTTGTCTTCGGCTTTCGAGATAGTAGAAGATGAAACTATTAGACGGAAATATATTAGCAAGAGCGAATCCGAGAAAAATATTCAAGGTCATATTGGCTCAAGTTTGCTTGGCACAAAAGGGAAGAAGCGTGAATTTGTCACGTCAAAACGGCGCGAAAAAATGTAGGAAAATGTAGGAACAAAGAAAGTAGATCAAGTATGGAAGAAATAGGGAAAATAAATACTTACGTTGGCCGTTAGTTCTCGCCAGAGGCATATCGTCGTCAGAGTAGTCGGAAGACATGTTGAGCGCGTGAGGTGTGCGAGGTCGGGAGTGATCAAGAGGTAGGTGGTAAGTATGTTAAAGGTTTGGACGGGAAATGGGATTGTTTTCAGTTGAAGTGACGAAGGATGCGAATGAAGGTGGCGCAAAGTTGGATTAAGAAAGAGAGAATGCGATTTTAGAAGTGGTAGAAGGGTGGATTACACCGTAGTGCACCACCCCGATCTATGAGATGGAAGGTACAGACAAGCAGGGAGGATGAAGAAGAGAGAGAAATGGTGAGATTAGAAGGGGAAAAGTCAGAGTCGATGAGTGAAAGACTTGAGAAGAAGAGAAGGCTTCATTGGAAGTCTAGCCGTTAGCCACCAATCGTGTCCGCTGTGGATCCTATTGGCCAGCTATTGTCCTAAATAGTGGAGATTATGTACGAAAATGTACGTATTGGACTGGGTAGGAAGAATCCAAGAAGTCCAAAGAATGCCCCGTTATGCCTGTTGGCCCTGTTGTCCTGTTGCGGTACGCCGGATCGTCTGTTCGCCTGGTTGCCAGGTGGTAGATGGTAGGGGAAAGAAAAATTGTTAGTGAAATGGGTTACTGCTGGGTCTTGGGTTCACTACTAGGTTAGTAGCGCGGTAAAGATAGGTCTTGATTAAGTAATATGAGGTGGGTCAAGTTGAATTTGCCTTTTGACTAATAACGAATCCGTTATCCAACTGGTCCAACTGGCACTGTGGCTGCTGGTTGCGTGGATAACGGGCAGTTACAGGGTGCAGGGTATGTAGTACAGACAGACAAGGTGCTGCGCTACACTGTGCATGGACCACTCTCGGTTGTTGGAATGAAAGAATAGCCGAGGATCTTCCGGTGTGGAAAGTGCAGTTTGGTCCGGAGAATTGGAAGCTTTTGGTGGAGAGAGCGAAAGTGGAAAGTGAGAAGTGAACAATTGAACCTCATTTAATAATTTGATCCTAGAGTCAACCAATTGATTGCGCATTCCCATCGCCTCGCAATCAACTTCCTCCGAGGGCTCCGGGTACAAATTTACCTTCAAATTCTTCCAAGATGCTTTCGAGGGCAGCAAGACCGGCTCTGAGAGCTGGAGCTGCGGCTATTCCTGCTCGGTACGTCGGATCTTTTCGCGAGCTCGTCCTATGAGGCAATTCGCAAAATATCCTCCAAGCTAGCTCCGAAACCCTCCAAGATTATTCATAAGGAATGAGCTTAGGGAATATCATATGCTAATAATTTGAATTGGTTCAGTACCGCCAACAATGGAGCAGCTGCTGGTTATGCTACCCTGCGAGAAATCGAAGGCCGTCTAAAATCTATCCGCAACATCGAGAAGATCACCAAGACCATGAAGATCGTAGCCTCCACAAAGCTGACCCGCGCTACTCGTGCCATGAACGACTCCCGAAAGTACGGTCAGACGTCAAACGAAGTCTTCGAGTCCGCAGAGACCAAACCCCTCGAAGGTGAGGGCAAGAAGGTCCTGTACATCGTCTGCAGTTCCGACAAGGGTCTTTGCGGTGGTGTTCACTCCGGTCTTTCTCGTTACATGCGCCGAAACGTCTTGCTTCCTGGCAGCCAACCCGCCGACCTCATCCTCATTGGCGAGAAGTCGAGGGCCCAGCTGAGTCGTACGAACGCTAAGGACATCGTCCTCAGCTTTTCTGGTGTCGGAAAGGACATCCCCACCTTTGCCGATGCCCAGGCCATCGCCGATCAGGTTACGCAGCTTCCCACAGACTACTCCGATATCAAGATCGTGCACAACAAGTTCATCAATGCTACAAGCTACGAACCCACTATCGTAGAGGCCTTCTCCGAGGAAGCTATTGCCAACTCCCCTAACTTCTCTGCTTTCGAGGTTGATGATGAGGAGTTGCTCGCTAACCTGAGGGAATATACCCTGGCCAACTCTCTCTTCTGGGCCCTTGCCGAGGGTCACGCTTGCGAGATCTCTGCCCGACAACAGGCCATGGACGTGAGTTTTGCCTCCTTTACCTCCATGTTAAATATTAATCTTGACCCGTTTCAACTGTCGTGTCACTAACGATATCTTTGTAGAACGCTTCCAAGAACGCTGGTGAGATGATCAACAAATACCAGATTCTCTTCAACCGTACCCGTCAAGCCGTCATTACCGGAGAACTGGTCGAAATTATCACAGGTGCCACCGCTTCGGAGGATATGTAAAGTGGTTGATAGAAGAATAGATGGGATAGTGAATGGTGAATAATCCAATCGCATCCCTTCCTTTTGTATCAAAGTACCCCAAGCAAAACCTCGGCCTTGCTGCCTTGGATGTATCAATTCCTCAATAAACTAGTTCCTCAGCACTCCCTTATCCCCTTAGCTTTTGTGCCTCATCTGTCACGACTTTTGATTGAGAGTATAGACCCATGCAAGTACGTTGAGGACCGTGTATCCTTTAGTCCCAGTTTGTGGCCAGACAGCTGCATTCCCTTTGCTCGTTAGCTTTGGGCACTGACCAATCCTGCCTTGATTGGCCTTGGATACCTAACCAAGTGGTTACATTGACTAAATGTGACTCTAGGAGACAACCGGTTTCCCACCATCAGACTTCAATGCAGACATTCTTACAAGCATTTCACCTCTGTGAGTATACCCTACAAGATGTATCTGGATTGTTTAAGGCCTAGAACATCTGAATCATTGCTTAGATGAATTTTGATAGTTATACTGCTTGTACCAATAGCAGGTATCATCAAGCGTTAGGAGTTGGACACCTATCAAGACTCTCTTTTAGCTATCTAGTAGGCTGCCTATCGATTTACTCGCACAGCCAAACACAGGGTATGTGTGTGGATTTCCTACTATGATGATTTCTCTAATAGCACCTTCATAGCCCCTGACTCACGGAGTTTCCTATCAAAACTTACTCTGGTGTTATATAGACACCGAGACCGCTATGAAAACCCATATAGCTGCCTTTCGTATCAAAGAACTCTCTCTCCCCCTCTCCCTCTCTCTCTAGGTATATATATATGCCTAGTCAACTCAGCTGAAGGACTCAAAGAATTTCGCACTCTCCTCTCATTCCCTTTCCTTTTTTTCGCTTCTATCTATTTATTGTTGTCGCTTTTTAAAAAGAGAAGAATAGACCCGCCGCATCTAGATACAACCAGGCACACCATGCGCGAAAACTAACAAATACCTGATCCGAGCATGAAGCCGCTTCTCTGGCAAATTATTATGTTTGGTCATGAACGGTCTGTTTCAACCGAGAGAAAATAAATCCGAAGTCTCCAGAGAATTGTTCCCCTGGAACTTCTGCCACATCGCCGTAAAGAAATTTAGTAGGTAGGCATTCTCCAGCCGAACTGGATAACATCTTACTAACAAGTTCCAGAACGAGCTTATTCCGGTGACCCAGCACCCGCTTCTATCAGCGTCAACCCGACACCACTAAAACGCAGCAAGAAACCTCACGGAGCAACAACAGCTCAGTCGTGTGTTATGCCGAACGATCTCTGCCTTAGAACCCAGAACTACGCTGAAGTGAAGGGCGAGGCATACTCGAAAACAACCTGCTCTCGCCGCTGGTGCGAAAACAAAACCAACTGCAATAAGCGATTTATAGGCGCGGTCTATGGAAGATTCCATAACCCAACCGAACTTTTCCACCATGTCGGATATTAAGACAGCAAAGCAAAAGCTCAGCGCTGATACAGAGGTCTATAATATGTACCTCTGCATAGCCACCTACGCATAGATCTAACCATAGCCTCAGAACCACATGTCTAGATTAAGCCAGGATAGCTTATGAGCAGCCACCGCACTGGACTGCGTAGCATGTTGGTATACTACTGGCTTAGCTATGCCTTATAATATTGGCCGGAACCTCCAGTATGTTTTGTACATAATACCTCTATTACCCCAGCTATTACGATGTATGCGGCGGAGAAGTTTAGGATATCCAGATGAAGACCTTTGCAGAAGATCACCGACATCAAGCGAATAATCTCTGCCTTACTTACCTAGCGGTCTCGATTATTAGAGAGGGACCAAGCAACACTTTGGGAAAACGCAGACCCTCAAATAAAAGGGAGATAACATGCTCCGAACTAGAACCTCTATCATAAACACATAAATCACGAATCGCAAACCATTCGCTGAAATTTCTTATTAACTAATGCATGTACATACCGGGCCGAGCCCCGTTCAAACGGAACACTTAGACCCTCATCACACCCTTCAACGCCCCCTTATGACTATTTGCGATGCAAAGCCCTATACGCCGATGCGAGATCCCTATATGTACGTACCAGGGCCTTTGAACGGCATCCTGTGAAGCTTTTGTACAACCCCTTCCATAATAGATATATGTATCCACTTAGTAATTCCATCATATATTCGAAGGAATACAAAGACCACGGGTAATTGTGTTCGAAGGTCATTATTTTAACCCTTCATACCAGTATCAACGTCACTGGCCTCACTCTCGGCATAGTTGTTGACCTTGGCGCGCCTTCTTTCTCTTCCGCTTCCGCTATCGTCAACAGGGCTGCCTTCGTCCCCGAGTACGAGTTTGTGGGTTTTCTCATATTCGGCCTTGATCTCAAGGCATTTCTTATCCCACTCCTTAACTTTAGCGTCCCAGGCCTTCACTGACTCGTTGTACTTTTCCTTGATCTCGGCGGCCTGGTCTTCGAAAGGCTTGCGCTCCTCTTGCGGCGCCTCCTTCCACATCTTGCTTGTCATGACTCGTACTTCGTTAGGGCTCGGCTTACCCTTACCGGGACGGCGGCCTTCTTCGCAGCGCTTGCGTGCCACCTCGAATGAGATCTTGCTATATAGGAGATATGCATTCGCTGCAACCTTTTGTGGTCGCCAGGGCCGCTCCCCGATTTGCGCTGTGATATGTTGGGAAGTAGCGAGCTCATACTCGGCAATGCGAGCTTGCTTGCTAGACCTGGGGGAGAGGGGTAGTGAACCATCGCTGGGCTCTTTTCGCTTCAATCCTCGAGAAGAGAATGCGGAATCCTTCGGTAGTACAAGTGGCGTCGGAACCTCAATCGGACCGAGCATAGTGCCAATCACTTCCGAAGCTGCACGTAAACCGGTTAAGTAGGCACCGTGTACTGTAGCGGGATGGGTGTCGGTTGTATGTTCGCCCGCAAAGAATAGATTGCCAACCGCCTTAGCCATCGTCTGGTAGTCATCTGGACGCATTGAAGGACCGGCAGAAGAATACGATCCTCGAGCGAACTTGTCAGAACCCCAACGTGTAACTATAGAGTGGACCGGTTGAGGGACCTTAGCACCATATACACCCCGAAGGACTTCAGTAGCTTCAGCAACGAGTTCATCATTTCCCGAATGCTCAGTATCAAAGCCGGCGTCTCCAGCCATGAGGCCGATAAGGACCGGGATGCCGCTTGTATTTGATACGTTAAACCATTGGAAGCACCGTCCGCGTTGCGAGGCGTAGTCAGTTTGCTTGACACTGTGACGCGAATTCGGCGTACGGAGACAGCCGAATATGTCTTTAGTCGTATCCCAAAAAGCTTCCGCGTAGACCAAGATAATTTTGTTCAAGATACCATACCCTAGGCGACCAATCGCATCCGTTTTGGAAGACGGTAAAGGAGGGTTAAACTCGACATGGCCGTGCTTCAAAACTCCGAGGGGTATGGTTGAAACGACATAGTCGGCCTCTAGCACAGTTCCATCTTCAGATTCGACTCGAGTGGTTCCCAAGCCCTCAGGGTCGTAGAATATTCGCTTGACATCCGTATTCTTTCGAATGTCTAATCGTGAAGGTGTGTTCGCCAGAGCCCATGGAACACTCTGATAACCGCCAATAACCATCGTGTGCTTTCCTTCCCACTCATTTCCAGCGTCAATGTCCCAACCGCCTATACTGAGCTGGTTGTAATTCGTGGCGTTGCTGTACTCGAGGTTGGCTATATGCCAATTCATGAGTCGAAAATCTTGGGGCGTGAGATCGACTATATCTTTGTATTGTGTAATTGCTTCATCCATGACAGAACCGAGTGTAGCATTAGGAGCCCTGGCTGCTGCGTCAAGACTTAGGTCGTGGTCCTCAGTGACATGGTCTTTGAGTGTCCAGCCCATTAAGCGCGCCTTATACGCTGCCTTGAGAACAGCCGGGGTACCTGGTTCGACATGAGTTTTACCTGTCGCTCGATCTGTAGAAACAGGAACAAGGTTAACTTCAGGCCCTAAACTTTGCTGCGAGACCGGCGGTGCCTGTGGGAGAGCAGCTGTCGCTTCTTCGACCTGGGCTATTGTCCTTTGGCCGTCGGATGAACTATCTCGGCCCTCGTCCATCAAGTCTTTGTTGCCTTCTATGAGTTTCGATGGCGGATTCTTAAACTTGTAATCGCTAACTCTCTCGAGGCAATCATTGTAAAGCTTTTCAACAAGCCGATCACGCTTCTCATCGACAGCCTTACCGTTCGCGTCATAAAGGGTGGTGTCAGGTCGTAAAGAATAGTAGGGTAGCGCCATCTGACCTCTCAATAAAACGTTCAAAGGGTTACCTCTTTCAAATCCAGTGATAATCATCCCTCCGCATTCGACGCTGTGTCGCCGGCCTTTGAATCCTATTAGATGTTGACTCTTGCTGCCGTCAAGTGCACGTGAATACACCCGACCGCCTAGGCGATTTCGACCCTCTAGGACAATCACTTTTGGAGCCTCTTCACCTGATTCTTGGAATTCTGTGGCATATTGTTGGAATAGGGCTTCTAGATGCCTTGCACAACCTAATCCAGCTAGGCCAGCACCGATAACAACCACGGTCTTTCTCTTTTTGCCTAGGCTCATCTTCTTTGATCGCTTCCTAAGCGAGGATATTTCTGCGCACCCGAAGTTGATATACCCGGAGCGATTGAGCCAGTCATAGCATACGTTTGCCGCGTCAAACCATCTAGAATCTTTGGCACATCCGATGGCCTCTTCACGAGAAACACCAATTCGGGGGTTACTCAACCATAATCGCAAAATCCCATTTCGGATGTTTAGATAAGTAGTCACCTGAGCGTGACTGAGATGGTTTCTCAACATCAAGTATTCATCCTGATGTAAAGCGTAAGGGTTAAGTCTAGATGACTCGGCCGCGGCTATGCACTGGTTGGCATAGTCGTGCGGTGCGATATCCGTCGGGATAGATACTCGGGGGCGGACATCGAACGTTCGTCTTTTTGACTTGGTATTAGAGGTAATATTGCCAATCTGGGCTAAGAGTGGCTCCTTGAGCGTGTCCACATCAACCGGTGTCGTCGCTTTGCTTGAGGGCGGCGACGTGGAAGGGGCGGACGTCAGCTCCGAGCGATCAGAGACGGCTGACGGTGGAGACTCGAATGAGTTTCCGGGAGTTCCGTTAATTCTAAGGTGTATCGAGTCTTTTAGTGGTGATTGAGCCCGATGAGGCCTGTTGTTGAGATTAGGACATGGGGGGATAATGTAAGACATATTATGAAGGATACGAGTTGAGATTGTGGGCATATCAACTGAGACTTACGTAGATTCATCCTGTGATACCGTGATTGATGCCATATTGTCAGTATCAATATCTAAATCATCAATTCGTACAATGATTTCGGATTCTGTTCTTGGCGTTTCTCTAGAGGTAGATAACTCAGCGTTGTAAGAAGTGTGCGAATCTGCGAGAAGTGCGGCGGGTAAAGATTTGGTGATATCAGCTGAAGAAGCGAGTATGGATTCTAGATGAAGATCCAATTCTTCTAAATCCATCAAAGGTCCTGAACCGATACAAGTTCCCTCCTCCAACAAGGTCTCCTGAGTGCTTGTCATAGCTAGCGAGCTCAGGTCCCGTGTTGACTAGAGGCATATAGATGCATCGATATATGGGTATGAGCGAAGTCGTCTGGGATTCGTGTATGTCTATGGAGAGCTTTGCTAAGACTCCCATTGAATATAAAGTATCTAAAAAGATCGTCCCAAACTGTGCGCAATTGTCACGGGATGGTCATAATAACTACTCCCGTCGGTAGTTTGGACTCTGGACTCTGAACTCTAGGGGATTTTTGTTAGTTGATATATATGCTGAATCGCCTCATCTGATTTGGAGGGTTGTCTTAAATGGGTATCGAATGATCATGCACAGTGGGGAAAGGCTAGAAACGGTACTGTCCATACCTTTATGGTAACTGGGGATTGGGGATTTCGACTAATTCCCAATTTGATCGATTGCTTGATGATAGTTGGTTACGAAGAGCTTCTTACGGGAGGGTTCGATGTAGGTCAATGAATGAATTAGGAATGAGTATTCTAATTCTCGGTATTCTTCAAGTTAAAGGTTGAAAGTTTCTCGGTTCTAATATCCCGATTCTCTCTCGAGGGGAAGGGTAAGATTGATACGGGGGAGTTATCGAGACATAAGAGTGGGATAGAGAGGAAATGTACATATGTATGTAAGGTGTGTGCGCCTTCAAGTCTTGCATATATGTGCATATATGCAAGCGCTAATCATTTATAACGAGTATTTGAACCGATTGATGCTCCTCTGGCCCACTTAAAGTCAACTTTAGGAAGGGCTTACGGAATCCCCCCCAAAGTATTTAGGTACCTACCACCTATCAGATTCGCCCTCCCCGCCGCTAAGGCACGTGATAAGCGAAGTCTATTAAGATCGTTGTACAACTAGAATCTGTATTCAATTCATCAAGATTACTTCAATATTTCTAACACTGGATGATTGATCACAAGTTTTGCTTCGCCTTTTATCATATATGGGCGTATACAAGTATTAGGTATGTAATAGGATGAGTTACTAGAAACAGTTGATCTGTTCTCATTTTATATCAGCTAACATCTCTGGTCTAGACCTGAAAACCCGTTGACATCGAGATATCGCCGGTAGTCTCCGTTGGGGGCCAACATTCATATATGATATACATGAGTCTGGACTATTTCTATGCAGGAATGGGTGCCAATTATAGTTGTCGTCATCATGCTTGTGGAATAGATAAACCACTAGCCCGTAGATGAAGCGGCTGGCTTAGGTGTTTCCTTTGCAAAAGACTCTTTCTCTATTGCAGCATCCATCATCTTATTCCCGCTAATGATTGATGTCGTGCAGATAACAATATTTCTCCGGGCTAGAAGAATACTATGTTAGTAAAGTTGAATGTCCTTTTTATAGGGGTGGATCCGGAACCGACCTTCTTCCTTCTTCGCGATAAATCGCAGCGCAGCGATCTCGGTGAAGGTGATACCTCCTACGAACACAACAAATACTGTCTTCTTGTCGCCAGCCCCCGATAATAAAGCCCTGGCCTTAACCGCCTTGTCTTCGCCCTTCTGAAGTTCGTCAAATGCTTGGCCTCTTGCATGCTTTACGGCCTCGTCAAATCCCCGCCATCCTTGCGCGCCGCTTCCAGCAGCCGTCCCTGCAGCGGCCCCCGTATTTCCACGTGTGATAGAGAGGATATATTGCTTTTGTAGTATACACTGCACAAGCCGTATAGAAAGTGGCGCATAGCCGCTATAAACGTACGCGATATCATTTGGATCGTGCTCGTTGACTTCATCGACAATTAAGCGAAGTTGTTTGCGTAGGTAGGTATAATTGGTTTTAGTTCCCGTTGCCGTCCCCGAGCCCGGCATTGGAATCATGCTCGCCATAGGCGAAGTGCGAGACAAGAATAGCTGTAGCTTCTCTAAGTTATGTAAAGTCAAGAGATGTTGATAGCCGTAGCCTTCTAATATCAAGCGTCTGAATTGATCAAAATCCTTTGACTTGATACCACCAGATATGCATGAGTATATGCACAGAAGCCTCAGAATTTCCCGTAGTGGTACGTCTCTCGCAATCAGCTCTTCGATGGCATCGAATTGAGAACTCGGATCGGCACCCGCGGCAAGATTTTGCTGCACCTCTAGCATGCGGCTGAACTCATCTGCCCGAGTATGTTTCATAATCTCTTCAGCAAGCCCAGTATGGATCTTCAAGCTCTGGTGTTCAGTTTGATAGCCGGGCAACTTCTTGACAAAGTCTTTAAGTTCCGCAGTCGTCTTAGATGCATGTCGGCTGTCGTAGTCGCTCTGTAGCCTCCTTGCAACTTTGTTGAGGAGAGTACCGACGATGGCAAAGTTCGCATCGCGGAGTCCGTCGTAGAGTTTATCTGAAGAATCTAGTTGGATTTTGCGCTTTCTCGAGGTAGTGCTGGGGGTCGGGGTAGATGCCGTGCTCTGGGAAGCGGCTTGCGACGGAGCTCCCACGATAGTTGAATCAATATCAGCCTGATTATTCTGGATTCCCCAAAGCTCATCGATCAAACCTTCGTACGTCAATTGAGTAAGTAAAGGTGTCACAAAATCTACTTCGCGATCGATTATGATGACACTTTCAATCGTATTGCTTGGAGTAAGCCCGGACCTAGTGCCCTCGTTCGCATCCTCTCCAGCCAATATCTCCTGTCGCATCCTAGTAAGTAGTTCCGCTACGTGCTTTGCATTATCGCCCTTGCCTATGACACGTGGGAAGAGTCCATGTTTCGTTTGAATGTCCATCAAGGCTTTCGCCATTAAGAATGTCGGTGTGGTGTCTTTAAATAGGAAGAGGTCTTGAAAAGAGCTGTCGAGCTCCAGAGATAGGACATCTCGCTCTAGAGGGAAGAAATACAATGGAAGCTCCGCTATATTCACATCACCAAGCACACCAGCTTCCTCGAGTAGTTTGTCGGACACGAGAGTGCGGCGAGGTACCCAAAAAACGTGGAATTCGTGGCCGATCTGGCTTTCACGCTGAAGTCGCTTGATCTGGTCTACATTAAATGTTAGCATGTCATGATGGCGCCTCACACATCCGTTCCAATGGATATTTTCATTTCGGACAAGGTTGAAAATTCAGGTGAAATGGGATAAATGAATTCAAAATGTCCATTGGAAGCCATTGGATCCTTCTACTTAGGTATATCAAGTGGGACACTGGGGAGTGAGAAGGGTTGTGAAGGGGATGACGGACCGGCTATAGACTGAGCATGTCGGGCACACTCTCCTCGCGCCATAAACACGACATTGCGTTGGCTCGTGTCGGCATTTCCGTTTTCCAGGAAGAAGAACTTATCCACTCCATAATCCTGTAAGGTTGATACTTTGACTACGACGCCAATCGGACCAGCCAGACTACGTTCGATGATGAGATTTTTCTTTCCGCGGACCTAAGTGGCACTGTTATTCCTACTGCCCAGACAGCATGAATGAAGGTCCTGGACAGCCTTACTTACGCCTTCGAGGAGATAAAGAAGATCCTTGCGTGCCTTATCTCTGATCTGTTCAGGGTCGAACCCCGCATGAGGAGCCATTATGAGCTCTTCATGGGGGTAGCGCGTTTGGGCGTTAGGCGATTAGGCGAAAAGAAAGGTCTAGGTTGTGAATGGTGTATGGTGTAAAACAAAGGTTCACGAGATGTGAGCTGGAGCTTTCCTAAGAAGTATGTACAAATGAGAAGCTTGGGGGTAGCTTGCGGAGCCCGCCTGGCAGCCTAGGTACTTGGGTAAGGTTAGGCGGGTTCGACCTGCCTGCCTGCTTATCGCTTAACCTATTTTCGGTTAGCGCGCCGGCTTCAGCAGCATATCAGAGACGCGCGACGTCACAGCTCCGCTATGCTTATCGATTTGGATATTTAATGTTTCCAAGTTCTACTTCTACAAACCTCGAGTATTCGTGGTAGATTTATGGTTACCAAGGCGTATGAATAATTTAGTTTACTAAATATATTCTTATTATTAGCATAGCGGCACTAACGTCTTTTTCCGTTGTGACCGTTGATAATATGAAGAAAAAAAGTATCGAATTCGGCATAAAAGCATCCAGTATAGGTGGCATTTACCTACAAAAAAGGTCACTCAGGTCACCAGATGTTGTCAGTCAGAATGTAGAATTCACTCTACTCTCCTAGATATCAATTGCATGAAAACGCACAAAGTATCGGGAAATTTAGTATTATTCGGACATCTTAACTGATGATCGCATACTGCCTATTCGCGCAATGCCCACCAGACCAGACTCATGCTGTTGCTGTTGCTGTTGCTGCTAGTCGTAAAGAATCCCGCGTTCCACAACGAATGACCTAAGTTCTTGGGTGGTCAACTCCAGTTTTCTTCGAAATTCTAGCCTCTGTAATGGCTATGCAAATAGAAACGAGATGTATCAACTCTTAACGCAATGCTATGTTTAGGGCTGCGTCTATGTAGCAGTCCTGTTAGGAAGTACAAACTCGTTAGATACATGACTTCTATACGGTGTTATCGTGATAATAGAAATCGATGTCTCTAGGACGTAGACGATTTCCGCGAACAAATTCCTCGTCGCCAGGGGGTCGCTCGTTCTTGGTGTTTCCGGTCAACATGCTCTGAAGGCTCATGCATACACTCTCTACATTCTGGACTGGGCTCCATCCTTGAGTCCCTAACAGGTCGAGGCATATAATCCCGTTCGAGTAAATATGAGGGTGCATAGGTATCGGTCGGGTATCAAGCTTCACGAAGGTTACCTCGGGAGGTTCTATGATATTCACATTAATTCAACGTCTTCGGGTTGGCGTATAGCCGGAGCGCATACCAATAGGATACTGATTTCCGAACTTGAACTTGAGTCGATAAATCTGGCCGGCATAGATAGGGTTTTGGTCGAGGACTTGGATATCAAGAAACCATTCTTCGAGGTTGTCCGCAGATACCAAGGTGATACCAGGTGGCAGGCTATTTGAAATCTAAGTCGTAGATATTGGCAGTAAGCAATTATGTAACACGAATACAAATCCTTCAACAGGTACTTGGGTAGAAATTAAATATACCTTAGCAAGCTCCTTGGTTAATCTTTTGGGACCTAGGTTGGCCATCTTGGGACAATGGGGACCAGGTATGCAATGTGTAAGTGAACTAATATTTAGAATCGTTGAAAGGCAAAGTGGCGCAGACGCTTTCGTGCTTTCTAATCGTTAAGTTGGTATGGAGGTCGCGGTTTGGGTTGTGCGCCAAACCCAAGAAAGCATTGAAATAGCCTGAAATAATACGAAAAGTCAGATACAGCTAAGAAATGAGGGTGTGCTTATTTCCTAAAGAGCATCTGGGTATGTTTGTCTTCTGAATAAGGTATGGACATCTACAAGTACCAGGTAGACAGATGAATATACAGATTAGTGTAAAGAGTATACTGTACTGATTTAGTGTGTAGATGGATACATTCACGTACCTTAGGTATGGTCGCGAAATCAAATTGAGCTGAACATTTCCGATTTCCGTCCAACCTACTTCCAGGACTGGTGTGAACAAGAAGAAGACAACTGATTGATTTGTTTGAGTTGACAAGTTCCAGGTTGATCACAAGGAAGCGCAAAGAATTGGACTAGGAGTCCCCAGGGTCCAGAGGTAGAATAAAGTTGCCCCGCAAAGTCAACAAAAGCTACTACTATTGCGTCGTACCGCCTGACTGCTAGGTGACGTTGGTATGTACTTATACAGATGGGGCACTGTTATCGATAAAGATCCTTAAAATGGTACTCTCACAGGTGTCCAGGTGCTGCTTCCTTCCATTACTAGGCGCTGAATAAGGTAGTAGGCACCTAACACGGGGTGCACGGGATGTGTGATGTTTCAAGATGGATAAGTGATGAATGGAAGCGACGTTATGGTTCGTAGAAGGAAGTATTCCCCCATATTCTGTACTCCAGATGACGTATTTCTAGAATAGATTATGAATTTAATTTCCTAGAACCAACGACATAAATTCCTACCACTCATATTCCGAATCTATTGAAACCTCGAGTACAGAATATACCTAACTAGTACTTATTGTTACCGGCCATTGTCCGTTTCGAGTTCCGGGGTTGCTGGTCATTCGCATGTGACTCGGCCCGGATCGTCCATAATGGCATAATTTCGTCGCCTGTTTAAGTCTTCAAGTCTCATTTCGCCATGATTCATCTACGAGCTACCAAAGTAAGAGCAAGTGGGAGCCGGTCATCTCCTTTATACTCTTCAATTCATGGTAACACCTTAATAGATGGTACTTAGTAACCGGGCTAAGGCTTGATCATTCGTTCTAGAGGATCGTAAAGCTCAGCCACCGGCTGCCTTGGTGAGGCAACCCAGCTGCCAGGAACAGGTGTGATGGGATGAGCCGACGTTCCGGATTCCGCATGCCGTTCTCAGAAGAGAAGGAAAAAAAACTAGGCCTAGAAGTTGGCTAATGGCTTAGGTACGTACAAGTACAAAAAGAGCAGTGCACTCAATTCGTTGGCAGGGAGTTATTGGTTTGGTTCTGCTCCAATATTGCGGCTGAGCTGCCACCCTAATATCGAGTCACCCAAAGGTCATCAGCAATAATATTGATGAAATCAATGGTGTAGCATTGGTGCATAAGCTGCCGCTCTTGACGGATGCAGTACATCCCCCAGCAAGGCAAGGTACCTTGACAAGGCTTTCTTCCATTTCATTTCATCACGTCGTATCATATCGCATAGTACGGTAAGGTAGGCAGACCAGCTACTAATAAGGAGGTGTTACCTCAGAGCTCAGCCTAGCCATAGCCAGTACATATTGTACAATACTTAGGTTCTGACGGAATCCTATATCGATCTGAGCATCTTCTTTCTCTTCCAGAAACCAAACCCTCTAAAGTTGTCTCTTTTCTTTCTACGCACCTACAACACCTCAATTCATCAATTATCGACGAGAAGCAAATAAAGTCTGCCTACTATCTACCGTATCAAACAACAAAGTTCTTAAGGAGTCGATCGAAATTCAGCTAATAAGAGGAGGGGTCCATTCTAGGGGCTACCCCATAATAGTACATACGTACGACCATACGAATTTGTTATCTAGCGCCCGTCTACAACAGGAATCGTCCTTCAGGCCCCAATTACACCCCCATACACTTCCTCACGTACTACCTAACGGTCATTGTCGACCAGCTGAAGCCTCGTCTTCCGTTCAAGTCTGAACTTCGGCTTGGAATTTAAGTCTTTATTATTGTTATTAACCCTTCGAGAGAGACGATCACTTCAACTTTTAACTATTAGATCTGGCGAAACTTCCACAAATCCAACCAAGGAAGCCCCTCATCTTTTATCACTTCGTGTCGTCGGTCTTACCCCACGTCGCGATGAGTTGTGAGTTATCTTGCTTGCACTTTCAAGGCCCCCCCTGGCTTAGTTCGACATGTATCCCCTCTTTGTTTCGGAGGAAAAGCAACCAAGGTTGTTTCAGTTATTTCTTAGTTAATTCGCTATTTGGCTCAATTCTTTCGAGTTGAATCGTCGAATATACAATATACCCTATTGAAAACTATCATTTGCTAATTTACGATATCTTTAAACTAGTCAACGCAATGTTCAGTAGCCTTCGAGGCCAGCCCGAAAGCTACGAGAAGAAAGCTAAATACAGATTTGGGCGAACGCTAGGTGCGGGCACATACGGTATCGTGCGCGAAGCAGACAGTCCCAACGGCAAAGTTGCTATCAAGATCATCCTCAAGAAAAATGTCAAGGGAAACGAGAAGATGGTTTGGGACGAGCTGGATATGCTCCAACGTCTAAAACATCCTCATATTGTTCGCTTCGTGGATTGGTTCGAGTCTAGGGTACGTCCCTTAACTGGGTAGATGCGAATACACTCGTGGTAACTTGGGCTAACTTTGTTATGTGTAGGACAAGTGGTATATTGTCACTGAACTCGCCACTGGAGGTGAACTCTTCGATCGCATTTGCGAACAAGGAAAATTCACAGAGAAAGATGCTTCCCAGACCATTAAGCAAGTTCTCGGAGCTGTCGATTACCTCCACAATAGAAATGTGGTTCATCGAGGTAGGCATATAGGACATACTCTTAACTAGACATTAGAACATCATCTAACAACGACAAACTAGATCTCAAACCAGAGAACCTCCTGTACCTAAGCAAAGAACCCAGTTCCGACCTAGTCTTAGCAGATTTCGGAATTGCGAAGATGCTCGATACCAAAGACGAGGTTCTTACCACAATGGCGGGCTCCTTCGGTTATGCGGCACCAGAGGTTATGCTGAAAAAGGGTCACGGCAAGCCTGTGGATATGTGGTCTTTGGGCGTCATCACATATACCCTCCTCTGCGGTTACTCTCCTTTCCGCTCGGAGAACCTACAGGACTTGATCGATGAATGCAGTAACGGGAAGGTAGTTTTCCACGAGCGATACTGGAGGGACGTCAGTGATGATGCGAAAGATTTCATCATGCTTCTTCTACAGCCTGACCCAGATGATAGGTGGACTAGCCAGGTATGTGAAATAGGCCATATATTTGTATCCCACCAAATCCCTTGGCATTCGTATTAATATCTCAAATAGCAAGCTTTAAAACACCCCTGGCTCAGCGGCGAGAACGCCACAGACCACAACTTGCTGCCAGAAATCAAGGCATACATTGCCAAGGCACGTCTACGCCGTGGCATCGAGCTCGTCAAACTGGCCAACCGTATCGAAGCGCTCAAGATTCAAGAAGACGACCCAGAGAACCCCGACTTCACCGACAGCACCGTGGCCGCGTCCAGCCAGTCCCGATCGAGCACCGCATCATCGAAAGGCGAGCCGAGCACCGGCAAGGGCAAACTCACGCGCGCAATGAAGGGTGCCATCTTCCGCGAGGTAGTCTTAGCCAAGGTGCGCGAGATGAAGGAGCAAGAGCAGACGCTGAAGGTGAAGGAAGAAGTGGAAAAGGAGGCGAAGCGGAAGAGCTTCCAAAATTAAAAGGAAACCAATCAAAAAAGTAATCGGGAGGAGGGAGGAGGTCGTTGTAGATGATGGTGGTTAGTGTTGGGTTAGATACCCCCTCATTCCTGGAAAGGGCAATGGGAATGGAAGAATTTTTTATGGATGTTTGTTATTAGGGTTCGGCACATAAAAAATGCGTTCATTCGTAACTACTATTTTTTGAGTCACTGCGATGCCTACCATATATGTATGTATGTTTACATACCTACTTGCCTGGTATGTGGCTAGCGAGATGGAAACGGGGTCGGTTATTCGTCTATTCGGTCGAGGAGAAGGGTTCGAGCAAGTACGGTCCTCCGTTATATTCTGTTCTGTTCTGTTCTTTTCCCTTAGGTACTTTTTTTTCCGCTTCCATCAGATATCCGTCTTGCGTTGGGTCAGTAAGGGCCCGTCGAACTACGTACATTCGGTCAGTTGGTGTGTCCGATTCGTTTCGTGTAGCGGTATGAATGACTAAAGTATATATCTTGGAATACTAGATATTACACGTAGCGGTCTATCTTGCCTCGCCCCTATCTACCTACGTACTAGGTAAACACATAAACACAATTACTTCAAGTTCGATATTCACACTGCATAATCTGATGATTGATATCTGATAAAAATTGTATTTATAATGAACTGCATATATACATACGAAGCCGTGACTCGTTATTAAGTAAATCCCTCCCTTCTGCCCACTCCACCTAACAAGGCTGAAGTGCGACAGAAAAGGGAGGATCGTGAGAATAATCTCATGCAATAATGAACAATATGTACATGGACACATAATTATACATTTCGTCGTCGTTTCGTTTTCGTGGACGTTTTCTCGTCTCTTTTCTTCCTCGGCGACTTTTGCTTTTGCTTTTGCGTGTATGTGTGTCATAGGTGTGTGCGCCTCGTCTTTCCCGATCTGGCTCTTTTCCGGTCCTATCCCTTTCGTTTGTCCTTTGGGCGGCCTACTAGCCGGTTGGGTATAATAGATAATAGCTAATACGTAGCTGTAGTAGTTGATAATGACGTCGTATCCAACGAAAAACGGCATTTCGATTTTTTTCCAGTTTGGTTCCATGAGCGCACACTTCCAAACTCCGGTCTTCCTCGCCTCCTTTGTAACCCCCAACTCTCCGTTAATAGGCCATACAGAAATGCGAAGGGAAAATGGTACAATCATGTGCAATATACAAAAAAGATGAAAATGAAAGATGCTGTGATATGTATGTAGGCGATCGGCGAAGCTAACTAGATTGGAACGCAAATATTCATGCATGTAAGCTGACATGCGTCAGAACGTAATCTCTTAGGCACCAAGTTCGCATAAGACTTGTTCTCGTAAGGCCTCGTACCGTCGACTATCGAAGCGCTTTCTTTGCCAGCCACCAGCACGCAGACGCTCGATGCGCTGCTTGAGGGCTTCATCGCCACAACGGATAGTCGAGGCTACAGAGGCTGGTCGGTTAATTGCCTTAGGATTGGGCGAACCAGAAAAACTCTCCCTTGAACCGGGAGTTGTCAATGCTGACGGCTTATCATTCAATCCTCCCAAGTCTAATACTGGAAGCGAGTTTGAGCGAGTAAAACGCGCCTGAAAAAAAGGCGAAGGAGGAACAGGCCAGGCTTCTGTTGGGATTGTAGGCGTCGCCGGTGTCTCGTCGGCTTCGGCAAGCAAGGTTTCGATACCGGTACGATGCCAAGAAACCTGTAGGCGTAAAGCAGAAAGTTGCGCGCAAATCCTGTTCGCGGATTTTGTTTGCAAAAATGTGTCCAAGTCGAATTTGTCGTCCACAGTGTTCGACTCTTCCGTTGGTTGCTGGTCGCTAGTCGCAGAGCACTCGACTACTTCTGGTTGGGTTTCTATCGTTGGTTCAGATTTCGACGATGCTGGTTTAGTCTTCTCCGCCGAAAACTGAGGTGAGTAGGGAGAAGGATTAGAGTGGCGAGGGAAGAAATCCTCTTCCCATCCTAACGTAGGACTGTCGGGGCGAATATATGGCTCGGGCTGAAACTCGATAAGATCATTCAATCCGGAAAAAGAAACCTTCTTCTTAGCTTTAACTGGCCTCGAAGTCGACTTCAGTATTACACCATCTTCAGTTGAACATACCGAGGTCCTCGGTGATGAAAATGTTGTACTCGAGACTGATGATCGTACACTAGACAACCCCGGAGAATTCATACCAGACATAGTCGAGCTCGTCGATATAGATCTCGTTCTTCCGTTTACATTATCCTCTGTATTCTGAATTAACTCTTCAGCCTTGGCATAGTGTACTTGAGCATCGCGAAGTAACCTTGTGCGATAGTTAGACGAATTGGATAAAGGTCGCGCGCAAAGCTCAAACGAAGATGCAGCATAAAAGTGTAAGTAAATCAAATGGAGAGGTTCCACTGTTGATGTATCTTTGACATTTTCTAGAATCTCACAGCACCTTGCCGAACACGCCCGATATTTGCGGTTGAGATATTTGCGCTTCACGTCGTCCATAGCATTCTTCCATTCCCCGGAAGTGAAGGGGATACTCGGGAGCACAGCTGGCAAAGCGAGAGAAGAACGCTTGGGTGTCTTCAGCGAGGGTAAAGATTGTTGTCGCCGATGGACTAAAGATGAGGGCGCGGGTTGCGATGTAGATATCGATACGGAAGCTCTCCGGCCTGCATCGATAGGAGACGAGCTAGGGCTTGATCTATTACTACCGGTAGAAGACGGTAGTAATAACGGTATTAATCCAGTCATGGTTGCCTTTGCTAAATGCGTATGGTTTCGTTGTGGTGATGAACCCGTCGTCTTGGGTTTGGCGTGAGCCCACGTGGTGAAGGTAACGTCCATTGAAGCGTATATATCTTCCCCCCGTCGTCGTCCAATATTGAGTTAATAATGAGACAACAGATGATCCGGTTCCGTGGTAACTTCGGTCGATTATGCAGGCTGCCGAGGATTCATGTAACACATTAGAACATTCCAGTATCTCTCGCAAGATTACACGACAGGTAAGATTTGTGTAATTGTCCGGCGAAGCTAAAGACCGAATTTCCAGTATGACAAGAGACGATTGAAATTCCGGACTGAATGATAGTTGTTGTCGTAAAAGAACAGGGGACTGCTTCAAGTTTGTTCTTCCTTGAGCGCCCTCGCGTCGACTCCAATTGTCGTATGGCGATTCCGAAAAAGCCAAGACCTAAAGCAATGTTTACTTGCTGAACGGGGAAAAATAACCGGGAAATTGATTGAATAGTGGGTATTTCTTTTCGTAATATCTTAATAGCTTAACAAAGCATCTGGGTTATTCCGACGGACGTATATTAAGATAAATTTAGTTCTTGGTTATCGGAACCCCTTCCGTTCCGTTGTGAGGCGGCTGAAAAAAATGAAGTGGTCGATAATCGCAGGCTGGGGAGAGGGTCTGAAACAACGATGCTCACTTTTCAAGTTCTTAATTCGGTCGAGAAAGCAAAAGCGAGAGTTTAAGATGACGACACGGATAAAAACCAAGGTCGCCAAGTTTACGTACTGTACAAAGTATATCTAACAATAGACTCAGACAAGAAGCAAAGAAGCAACGGGTTGCGGACTGCGAGCTGCGGACTGCGGGCAACGGGCAACGGGTAAAAGAAAGAGCAAAGGGGCTGGTCCCTGTTGACGCATATACTGTCAGAAGCAAAAGACAGCCGACGATACCTGGATACCAACCAAGTTTCAAGCGAGATAAAAAAGATAGAGATAACCCATCAAGCAAACCAAAGGGTAAAGATATCCGAGGAAAAATGTCCGGATGTCATGTCTATTAATCTTACAATTTCCGGGTACCCACGAGCTGGAAGTTGATCGCTTCTCCCATTTGAGTCTGGGGTATCGGGCGTAAATTTGCTTCGAGTGAGGTCAAAGCATCGCTGCAGGCATGTTTTCGTCAGGGAGACGATAGATGCTCGAGCGAACCTTGGATTGGCTGAGTTTATGAGAGGAAATTGATCGACACCGGCATGGGGAATTAGCAATCCCTTGAAAAGCCCGGGGTTTTTCGAGACCACCTACGTCCTAGGCTGCTCCAGGGCTAGGTATGCTAGGATATGTACCTAGACTGCCTGACTGCCCGTTGCCCAGGTGTCTACTAGCTGGAGGACCCAACCTAAAGACCTAGAGACACCAAGTTGGACCTAGCAAAGGCTGCAAAGCAAGTTTGACAAGCAACTTTCTTAGCCTCCTAGGTCATTAATTCTCAGTCTTTGCCATTTTGGTCGATTTTGTTTCGTTTCCCACCCACTTCTACCACCCACTCTATTGCCCACTCTTTTATGCACTCTGCGGTGTGTTATACATGTTGATATGGAACTCCAAAAGCACGATACCCGCGGTTGGAGCAAGACCATTCTCGTTGTAGAATGGAGTTCTGCTACTGCCGCATCTGCATCTGCATCTAGATGGGGTTGAAGAATCAATGGAGTTCATGACGGACCAATTGGTGTTACATGTTTGAGGCGGTAGAGATCTGAGCGTTGGGCGGAGGATGAACAAGGCATGCTGGGGGGAAGCATGTAGCTGGCATGGTGCAAGGGATGAGATGAAATTCGAAATTTGTGGCGAGTGAAGTTGGTGAAACGGTGTGTGCCCCATATTGAAAGTGGCAGAGTGGCAGGGCAATAGCGGACAATGGCAGAAACTTTAGCAGAGACAGGCAGGCAAGGCAATAACGAATTAAGGCAATAGGTGGCGGGTCGCGCAGTGGCAGTGGTGGCAAGCGGTGGCAGCAAGCGGTGCCTGCCGCGGATGACGCTAGGTATTTTACGGACTCCAGAGTCCGTTCCATCCCTGTTTTACGTTGGCCAAGCACCAAGATGTAAGGCAATGTGGTTCGCGGTGACCGCTCCCCTTGCAGAAAATCCTAAAAAATGAGGGTAAGAACGAGGGTGAGAACCCTGAATCCCTGCCGAAGTTCTTGTGCGATGTAACATTGTAGCAGAGTACCGAACAATAAGCTTCCGTAGATTAGGATTTTAATATTGGCCGCAGGTGCGCAATCGAACTCTTCTCTCTCTCCTATTTCCCCATTTTCACATATTTCCATCACGACATCTTACCCAACCACATAAATTTTATTCAAATAATTCAAAAATATTCAATAGTCAATTCTCCACTCTATTATACCTGGACACATACATCAGAGACTTATACGCTTAGTATAATTATTTATACATACCACTGAGCACCTAGGATGTACTACGAAATTATGTAAACAACTGAACCCCTAATAAACAACGGCGCACGGACGAGGACGTGAGCAAAAGAGAGTAACATCGTGCTTTTGATGGTAGATACATGACCACTATGTGGTCCGAGTCACAGTTATGTCCTTCTTGATAGGACAAAGTCCCTTCTAGGTCTTGGCTAAAATGTCTAAGCTCCTGCTGCAATGGTACGCTATTGCAGGAAACATTGCAAGAAACATCTCGAGATCATTACAAGTGACAACATTAAGCATGACAGGCATCTGCAACCGGAAGCTCCAACAACTCGCTCTCGCCTACGACCTCGCAACGAGCGCCGGGAGATTGCTCGCGTGGTCTGTTCGCCACGAGCAAATAGAAGACCCCCTAATGGCTCGCATTATCATCTCCTCCGTTCCCGTCTCCTCAAAAATCATCACCAACCCAGCAGCCCAGTACTCAACCTGGCCCTCGTGGGATTTCAATACGTAATGACGAGGAGGGGTTATCAGTGCCGACATGCTCAAACTGCATGCGGGGTTGGAAGTCCTCTTCTTGGCGGCGTCGTGATGGCTTCATCAGACTCTAGTTCACATAATCCATGGACATCATCCCCGTCGTCTATGATAAAATGCATAACATCTACATAGTTTACCTGGTTCTTTGTTTTATCTTGATTTCATCAAACATCTTAGTGGATGCTACTGGGTTTATTCACTCCTATCGTCATGGACTCTCAGTCGTTTACTCGTGCGCTCTGGTCTGCTATAGAGTTAATTGACTGCTATAGGATGCCGAAAACCGAAAGTCAAGAGTCTATCTTAACAGGAGACCTTCCTACGAGAAGATCGTCAAGCGAATACCACGTCAAGGTCTACTACATATTATATCACATCACGAAAACGAGCCCGGCGGGATGGTAAAAGGTAGGCAATGATCTGTTCCTATGTTACGGCGTGACCAGCGAATGAGGTCGTCCCGTAGAATATGGATCTTGCTTTATGTAAGATTACTGTCCGATGAAGAGTTCGCAGCCTTAGTGTCTTGTCGTCTCTACTCGCGACCCCCATACGGCCTAAGTCCACTTTAGGTGAAGAATCACCATGGCTCTACTACCTTGAGTGGAGCGTCGGAATATTTATATGCAATATTTGTGTCTACTATGTATGCAGATTCCTCGGACAACGGACATTATACCTCTAACAGTAGACCGCTTTGACATCGTGAGGCTAGTAAATCATAGCGTGAAGGATTCCGAAACATTGTTGAGAAGTTGACTTCTATTACATAGTACCTTTATTACTCATCCCGTTATCCCGGAGATTGGTATCGCTTTCACAGCTCGAACCGAATTAGGAACAAGTCTCGTCGAATATACGCATAGTACATCATGTTAGACGACGACACCCGGCACTACCGAGTACCGTTCCCGTGGTTCCTACGGCACTGCCGATGTGTCATTGCCGTCGTCGTCGTCGTCGTCGTTATTGAGGCCGCGCGCAACTCTTAAAGCCTCTATTAGCCGCGTCATTTTCTTACACGTACATAGTAGATCTTTTTTTTTCTGGCAATATTTGATCGAGCTATTATACGACGTCACTAGGATCGATAACATCATCTCCTATTTCATACATACACAAGACTTGCCTCCAAGAGCCACATCCCCAATATTAACCTTAGGTTACGCAACTATATCTCCATTTAGAATCAAGGTGGACGGGCCGCCGTCAACATCGTTGACATCGGTGATTTGAATTAACTTAATAGTATTAGCTCTGCTTCAAATTCAGTTCTTGACCTACATATGTATCATCACACTTTTGGTTAGCTTTTCGTGGTGTGTCAGAATATGTCCGGGCATGCAGGAACCTTGATACCGGATTCCTTCGGCAACACACAGACGTACATGGATTATTTGACTTCGACTGCTGGAATCTTTGTAGTTGGACGTTATCATTTCGGTGTTAGACTCGTTACTTCCGTACCTTCGTCAAGTTAGTTCTTCGTTGTTATGACTTTGCTTCTTCATGGCTCGACCAACACGAAGAGATTTTCGCTCAAAATACGAAGTTGTTATACGAGCCCCTAGTAGAGTACGAAATCCAACGACCGATCTCCATGGAGATCATGAATAGTATGTTTCCCCCATGGGTGCCGGTAAAACTTCAATAACTAATTAAGTTTACCTACCTATGATAGTCCCCTATTCCTCCAGGACGATCCTGTAAACAACATGTGTCTCGATATAACTTCTTTCCAAGCCCGATACAAACGAGACAGTATGATACGACGATACTGAATAGATCGATATGACACGTAATCATTAAGACGGGCTAAAGGACTTGTTCTGTCATATCCCATGCCAACAAGCCTTTACACATCTTTTAGTTTGCATTAAGATACTCTCCACCTCATGATCACCCGTTGTCTGATTCAATTTCTCTAACGACTATCTCTAGGTTGTTTGCCTCCCTATACTCTTTGTGTGGATCTGTGGATATCAGTTTATTGCCCTTACGGACTATACCCAGTAACTATCTCGGTGGATAGTTGGCAGCAACCTAGCAAAACATATCGCACTTGTTTGCATTGCCGCGCACCAAGCTCGAATATACCTTCCTAAACCAGGGCATAAGAGATCTCCATCGGATGCCGTGCACGGTAACGACCTCGGCATCTATAGCATAGGATCGGAGATTGGTGCTGTCAACACCACGCTAGCAGAGCTCTCGCATATAACCCTTGTTCAGAATTGCTTCATCTGCGGTGTGATAACATTTCATGTTCCGCATCTTGGTTCCTATCAAATCGATCTGCGGACGGGACGGCAACGTTAAGGCGCATGGGGCCAGTCTCAACTCCTAGCTCCATATATCGACTGGTAGAAGAAGCTCGTCACCCTTGGCAGCCTTGCTAGGTTTATATTCGACTTAATCACCCTGATCAGTCCAGGGCCGGCATATGTGGGATCTAGACCGGAGTATAGCTTGTCTGCAAGGCTACTAGGTAACTACCTAGGTATGCTATCACCGAAGGGCGCCGATTTGATTGGCTACACACCGTAGTCGTTGGTTGTTATACAGGGACTGTTGACTCCGTCTTTGTTAATTATGTAATGCATTTTACTTCACTAACTTCAATTTAACCCCTTCATTTTACCCCTCTTCGACAGCATTTACATGGGTTAACTGGACTAATACCGGGAATACGCAAACCGGAGGGGTAAAACCGCTCTGCGGTAGGGATAATGAGGCTTCAATTTTCCTGGCGATGAAACTTGGCAAGCTCGAAACATCGAGATCACTTGAGGCTCGAAGAGTACCTATCGGCAAAATGGAACTACATGATCCCCTACGACAACCAGGTATGGTGACATCCTAAGGCGGACTAAACCTCCTCGTCAGATAACTCTGTTCCGCTGTCAAGGACCCCTTCCGCCCCTCAAGTACGTAATCACTCTGAATCACACTTGGCATGGAAAGCTTGGGCAGTAGGGTGTATTCTCTGCCAAGTTAACAATCCATCATACATGAATTGAGAATTCCCCCCCTCCTCGGCCCATGAACAACCACCGAGCGTCTATACTTGACAAGGGCTTCAAAATGAATAATCATGCGATGTTGTCTTCGTCACCTTGACTGGCACACGACTACAAATCCCTTGTAAGTGATAGAGATTTGGATGGCTTGCGCCGTTCTCAATTGGCGAATTATCTTTTCGGGCATTTGGCTTGTATCAACACACAGGAAGGGTTCTCTGAGTTAATATGTCGTTAATTAATGGACAGCAGAATCTTGTTGAGATTTCAGGGGTTAATAGCAAATTGCTCAAGGAGATAAAAACCAGTATAATTTGCCAGCAACAGTTATGCAGCCCGTAGATGAAAGCGTTACAGAAAAAAGCAGTCAGTTATTAAATAGAAATATGATAGTCGTCATTAAATTTGTTGCACCTGCAGTGCGATAGAAACCACAACATTCCCCCTTAACTAAAAGACGAATTTCCAAACATACGTCTAGAAAACATACCTACCTACTACTACCTACCTACATAGTCCCTCAATTCCACTCAATCAAATGATCACATCTATTCCAGCTTAATAATTCATTTAGTGTAAGCGCCCAGCACACGATCCAACTAGTATAAATTTCGACACTAGACCGCGGCTGGAGCCTAGCTCACGTCTTCTGGCGCCGACTATTCGAGCGAATAACCTCATCTAGGATAGTATCCGATCAGCCCCGCGCCACACTAATCTGCTTCCGTATGTTTACTCCTTGAATAGCTGTGACTTATATGCAGATAATAGCTAAAGCCTCCTTCTTGTCGTCTCTAATAGGGTCTGGCCAGATGATATGGATACCGAATATGGAGTGTGGCTTGAGAACAACCGACAGTCCGGATGGACAACCAACCTAGTCCAGCGCAAATCCGCCGTCTCTAGATTCCACGTGGTTATGTGCTTCTAAGGCCCAGATTCATTCGAGACAATCTGTGACGGCGTTTCTAAATATTCAAGCGTAGCCCTAAGGTTACGCCTAGCTCGATCAAGATCTCTAACGGTTTCTGGGGAGCTCGACCTGTCTTAGAACGACGCCTACTGCAGTTCAGCTTTTCATGCCTCTAGACAATAAACACACACAGAGAGAAAAAGACGAACCGTCCAGCCCTATCTCGCTAGCTTGCCCCGACATCAGGCCATGGTTGTATAGCTAGAGCGTTCTTTCCAGCTGGCCAGAGCTTCCGATTAGAACTATCGACACAATTATATCACATTTCTCGATTATTCATCCAATGATAGACATCAACCAAGCTTAAGATAGGTGAAGCAATCATTTGTGACTACGCGTCATTCAACTAGCTGCTGCGCCATGCATATACTAAGGGGCTTCATGAAGCTGATTACTATCATTTTGCCCTGTCTATGCTCGAAGAGGATAGAGAACTGGAGAAGTGGTTCGAGTGATGAGATAGATGTCGTGAACGCCTTCATCGGGGTCGCCGAGGTAGCTCGAGTGCGAGATGTCTAAGAGCTATGGGAGCTCACGATGATTTCTGTGTATGAAGAAGTTATGAAGAAAGAATATAAAGTTAGCTCTCATCCGTCTTTCATTTCTGATCCAACAACTCTCAAACACAGACAAACCTCGAAGATACCCAGCTCCAGCGCCTTCTTTTCATCTTGACTTTTCGTGCTTCATACTCAAATCATACTCTAATCAACCTCTTTAATCCTCCACAATGGCTGTTCTAACTGCCGCTGAGACCGTAGAGGCCATCGCCATCAAGGTGCAAGACATTGATGCTCAGGCAGTATCAATTAACGCTGCCCTCAACAAGATCACAACCACTATCGCGGGTGTCTGGGATCTGGAAACGAACAAGAAGGATGAAGTTGATACCAGCAGAGCAGTCTTCATCCCTCACAAGAATCCAGGCTCGGAGTCCGTCGTGGAGGGCGATGACCGCAAACTCGTAGACCCCCTGCATTTTGCCCCTGGTGGTAAATACCGATGTCAGTACCGATAACAATCAAAACAGTCTGTCATATCACGACACTAACATCAGGATGTAGCAATTCTCAAGCTCTTCATCAAATACGAAAACCTAGGCGACAACAAGTTCGCCCACGGAACCGGCTGGCTGATCCGCCCCGACGTGATGATCACCGCCGGTCACAATGTCTTCACATGGCGAGCCAACGGCGGAAGAGCCCGCGAGATAATCGCCTACGCCGGATACAACGGCTCTTCCAGCATCAATGACGCCACCGTCGAAATTCGCAAAGCAAAGCGAGTTGTTACGACCTCGCAGTGGTTGTCCAATCGTGGCTCCATGGCCCACGACTTCGCGATGGTTATGTTCGACGAGCCCTTCACTAACGTCACACCGTTCCCCTACATCGAGACCCCGGCGAAAGATAAGCTAGAGCTCGGCGTTGTCGGCTATCCCGCCGACAAGATTGACGAGAGAAACGGCGAGAGGGGAGGCAGGATGTACGAGCTGTTCGAGACCACGGAGTTCAATCTCATGGAACAGAAGGATACCATGCTTCAGCACTTCATCGACTCCGAAGGAGGTAAGTAAAAACAACCGCTTATCCCATGAGCATCGCTAACAAACTACAGGAAACTCCGGTGGCCCGGTACTAAGAGGCTCTGATCTCTGCGCTATCGCTACACACGTTTACGGTGGCGACGCCAACACCGCATCGGTTCTCGGCCGCTATGGAAACCCTGTACAGGACTACATCGCGGCCTTCGATCTCCCCCTAGCGAACCCCGGACAGATCAACCTAGTCCCAGTCAACAGCGACGTCATCTCGCAAGCCGACGCCGCCACCGGACACCAAGTGGGTGAGATCGCTAAGCTCGGCGACAACGTCGTGACCCCTGTGAGCGAGAAGACTGGCAAGACCGAGTTTTGGATCTTCGAGGGTGTCGACGAGATCTTCCGCCTAACGAAGGACATCGCGGAGACCCTTGGCCCCGTCATCGCCGGACCCATCGGCGCCGCGATTCTGCCTACTATCGTGCAAGGAATCAAACTCGCGCAGCCTGAAGGCCACTTCGACAGTACGTAACACCTTATATTCACTTACCCCTCATCCCATGTTACATTTCCCTTACTAACGTCAACATTAACAGTGGACGCCGCTCTCCGCCGCGCCCTGCTAGCCAACAGCACCTTCCTAGTCGCCCAACAACGCAACGCCAAGGAAGAAGGCTTCTTCGACGGCCTCCTCGATACCATCAGCGGGCCGATCCTAAAGCAAATCCCCGTCCTCGGTCCCATCGCAAGTCCTGTGGTCCGGGTCCAGTTCTCGGATATCATGACCGCGATCGGCCTGGTCGGCGACGCAGCCGACAGGCTCGTCAACGACGTCGCAAGCGAAATAACCCGGGGCCTCGTCACGCGCGCGCAGATCCCGATTCTGGATCTGATGAACATCGTTTCTAAGGCAGAGAGCGCTATGGATGTCGATTCCGCGGCACCTACAAACGGCAACGCGAGCGAGAACGAGGCTGCGTTTATCCAGCAGCTCGCCCAGACTATTTCCGCCAAGAGCAGCGGAGCTCAAGAGGAAGGCTGGCTCGACGACGTCGGCGGGTTCTTCCAGGGTGCGGCGCGATCTGTCGGGGATGTAGTATCGGATGGCGCGAAGCTAGTCGGCAAGGCCACGCTCGACGGTGTAGGATTCGCCGTCGATACCGTGAACGACGGGATTAACACCGTGTCCAAGGTTCCTGTTGTCGGTGACGTATTCGGCAACATGATCCGAGACGATCCTGCTTACATGATACTGACAATGCTCGGCACGGCAGCTAAGGAGGCGCGAATCGAGAGCGCCATCGACGGTGAAGTCGCTAACAGGGAGAGTAAGCCCGAGGGCCTATTCGACGATCTGACTCGGGAGATCGGAAAGGTGGCGCAGGCGTTAGTCTTGCACCAGGTGCTTGCGGACCGGTTCCTGACGGTGCAGATGGCGAGACCGGTGACGCAGCTTAAGGAGGAGGGATTCTTCGACGATGTGGGTGATTTCTTCAAGGATGGTAAGAACATCATGGCCATTGGTGGCGGGATTAACGCTGCTGCGGCGGTCACACCTTTCGTGCCTGTTGTAGGCCCCATGGTTGGGCTTGGGCTCTTGGGCGTTGGCACTGGTGTGGCTTTTGTTGGCGCCGCCATGGAGGGGTAATCTGGTGGCTTTTTTCTCGGTGAGCTATGCTGGCATGGCGGCGGCTTTGGGATTGGGTTTGTAATGGGAGTTGTTATTTATTATGAGCGATTTTGAATACATGAATTCTACCTTTAAATGAAACAGCATTGTCCATGTCAGATGTATTTGTAGAAGGCACTGACAAGCCCAATAGGAGTTAAACCTAAACCTCTATCTATTCCACTTCCCAGTGTCTCCTTCCACAACCTTCTTTTCTACGACCGTTTATATCCGCCATGATGTACCTACCCGTCGCTGCCCACGCTGGTCCGTCAATCCTCCAACGAGTTGAAAAAGCGACATAAAAACTTAAAATAAAAACATGCTCATTCGTTTATATTTGTATAAGCCATCTATATGTATAGCCAGGCACCCCAGTCTAACTCTAAGTCTATTCCACCCCCTTCTTCGCATCCTCAACCAACTTCTTAATAAAATTATCATGTATGCCCTTCCAATTATTATCGACCTGCGCCTTCACAATCGCCAGCAACAACTTCGAGCAACTAATCTCCACATCCTCCAGCAACTCCAACTCCCCTGTCCCCTCTCCCTCCCCATCCGCCACCACCCGCTCCCTAACCGTCCACCTCGTCTCCATGACCACAGCAAGCGGACTCCTTATCCGAACCCAAAGGCCATCCTTCAAATCCACAAACTCCTCTTTACTAACCACGCTGGAGCTCCACACCGGATTCGGCACGTGGTCGACGACCTCGTAGAGCTTGACCTTCGGGGTCCCCAGGGGCTCCAGCTCAGGCGGTAAGTCGTAGGTTTCGCGAACGGCTGCTATGTCGTCTCCGACGTCTTTGTCGGCGGTTAACACGCGGTGCGAGACGTAGTGCGGCTCGGTCTTGAGAAAGAAGTCGTGGTTGTGCAGGAGCGCCAGGGCGGCCTCTTTAGTGATTTTGCCGCCGCCCTCGATGGCCGGGATGGCCGAGGTGTTGGAGAGCTTGGTTACACCTGTGAAGACTATTTCATGTGATTGAATGTTAGTGAATTATTTCTCCGGCTACATGTGTACTTTATGTATTTAGGTACATCTAGGTAGTCTGCGAATAGTTACGTTGGTATCGAGAACGTGAGTGCATGTCTTTAGACCGCTTATCTATGCCGACAGGAAGCTACGGGAAACGCGAATAGGAGGGGTCCTGAACTTACACGACATCTTGCCTGAGCCTACAACTCTACTACTCCGTTCGCCCTGATCTGATCTAGAAAAGCCAACAAAGTCGTTTCCGCGACCCGAAATACGAAATCTATTGTATAACGTCAAGTATGTCCCAATCGCCCAATGGATATCGACAATTGCCTAATCCACGATAACAATCTAGCAGCGAGAACTCGTTGGTCGATTTCCCTGACATCATAAGACTAAAAGGGGGGCATCGCACCCGCACCTTCTGCTCCCGAGGTTGCATTGATAGTGCCTGGATTAGGTATAACCTACGCGAGCTACAGGGCTCCTACAGCACGGTCCGATGCCGCGAAACTGATCTAGGTAACGTTGGCGCAGGTGGTCAGCTACTCAAAACTCGATCTTGTTTCACCGAAAGGGGTAGCAAGATTGCTGCTCAACAGCCCCCTCCTCCTCCTTGATAAGACTTATAGAGATTTAATATTTATGTATTAGCTATCTCTGTCCCATAGTCGATAGCCAGGCGACTCGGGAAGCCTTTCATCGTATCCACAATGACAGCACTCGCCCAGTACTGCACAGCAACTGGGCGTAAATAAAACAAACAGCCTTGACGAAGTATCATTACTAATAAGTTCATGGCAGCCTTCATTGCGTTAAGCAATGTGAGGTTATTTTCTTTCCCCCGTTCGCCCAGCTTATCCTGTTTCCTAAGGGTATCTCAAGTATGACCGACGTCCCCGACTTACAACATCGCATTCTCTCTTGAGCCTTTTTTTTGTCGCATACCTGCCGCTTCCCTGCGCCACAACTTATTCCTAATCATCCAGAACCACCACTTGCCCCGCCTGTGGTCGAGCCCTGCTGGCCGCCATCGTCTTATGATACACGGCCTGAGCTTGGCTTCTAGGTTGCATTTGCGGCTTAGGTTGATTCTGCTTCACCACCGTTGGTGACTGCATAGCGAGCCGTCTTACCGCTTCGTCGATGGCCTTAACTAAGTCACCTACACGATGATCCGTCTTACTGGCAGCCGAGTCGCCTAGGGATCTCCACACCTTGCCATCGGCATTGTAAACCTTTTCAAGCACTTGCTTGAACTCGTCGTCCGGTTTTGCTATTTTGCCGGGTTCGACACGAGTTATTTCCCACTCGACGCCCTCGCGGCGGTTTTGAAGTCGAACTTGCAGCGTCAGACGCCGTGTGGTATGAGGGCTTCTGTTTGGGCCGGGGAGATGGTATCGGATGTCGAACCAGTCTAAATACGGCGCAAATATCTCAACTCGGCCTCGATTATTCATTTCAAGACTCTCCCAAGCATCCTCGACCGATTCTAGAGCACGGTGGATGGGTAGTGTGCTCGATAAGTAAAATGGCAGTTTGCCACAGCGAAGACTTGAGTTGACGAGACGTTGAAATTGATCGAGGGCGCGTAGCTGTGGATTGCCTTTTCCGAGCTTCAGTTCGATCTTCTCTCGGCCTAGTTCTAGCGTTGCCTTCCAACGATCGCCATGGGGTTGGATTGTTGCATCGCCATCCAACTTTGGCTGATCAGTATATGTAACCACAACTTTGTTGAGTGTGATTTCTTCGCATTTGATATCCCTGTCGCTCCGGCGTATTGCGTCTATGCAGTCCGCTAGTTTGTCGATAGCTTCCAGGCGATTTGCAAGCATATCTAACATGGTGCTCCCGACGTTGGCTTCTAAGCGAAGGACGAAAACTCCAATAGCTTTACTAAACGCCACATCACGTTCAACATGACCCTTGAGGAGCCCGAACCTATCTGGGTCGGACACCTTAATCCGAGCGTCAAAAAATGTTTGCAACAACTCCTTTTGTTGTTCTGTGCCTCCACTAGTCTCGTTGGTGTCGGGTTTCTCGCCACTCAATATACGCGGACGTGTAGATAAATTGCGTACCCCCTTGAAGGTGATTTCTACAAAATCATGTGCCCAGCGTGCGATTCGCTTATTTGGCTCATCTGATTGTGGCTGTCTCAAGATGTCGGAAAGTCTAATGAAGATAGAAGGTACCTTCATATTCGCGGGGAGAGAATAATTAACCCCAACATGCGACATCTGCTTTATCCGTCGTTTGTGTAGAGCAATCAGATCCGTGCGGTGCGAGATCAAGGCGGCGGTAAATATAGTCAAGTTAGAGAAGAATTTATCTTCGAGATTTGGCGCAGATGAGCTGAGCGATAGTTTGGTGTATGATGCAATTTGGCCCTCCCCATTCGGGTGAGTATTGCTATTGTCACGGTGTCAGCCATCAGTAGTTTAGAAAAGGGGCATGCTCAAAACCTACACTTCCATCAAATACCATTTGTCGCCGCTCAAACTCAGGTTGACCATCAAATGCCACTGGTCCGGCCAACCACGTCGCCTTAGCCACATAAGCTGGCCCGTTTCACGTCCAGTCAAGACCTCTTTCACTAGTTCTGCTTTCAAAGGTGCTTTGCAAACACTCCAGCCCATGCATTTTCCACGCCGGATGATTTCGTCCACCACGTGATGACATCGCAGACCTTCCAGACAATTGGCGCCGTCCTGGATAGGATCTTTCGAGACGTAGTTTAGCCTGTGCTCTCCTTTCCATGTCATGTTAGACTGTGGTTTCATGGAGAACATTCCCGATACAGGGTTGATACCGACAGCCACGTAATGGCTATGACTTAATTGCATCTTAAGCGTCGGCTGCGTCGAGTGGTCGGTCGGAATTTCTAGAAGGAGGCCGGCTTCCCTCTTGGTGAATCGCCCGTTTGACTTTAGCTTAGAGTGAATCGACGAGAGGATATATTCGACGTGCTTGCTAATGACACGATGTAAGAGTTCCTCCGAGGAAATATTGGCGTCGTCAAATGGGATATCGAATTCTTTTACTTCCCGATTGTCTCTAAACCAACGTAAGGTAAGATGGCTTGATTCTAGAACCGAGGAGCCGTTTCCTTTCTTGCCGCTATGTACACCTAAGATAATCCAGCTCTTTGGACCATCTGGTTGGTAACGGCCGACCCAATATTGAATAGACATGGCTCGATTAAGTCGTTCTACCTTGAGCATATCCACCCAGCGACTCTTGCTCAGTTCGAATGCCTGTCGCACGTACTCGGTGATCTTCTGGGTTAATACCAATTCGTGGAGGAACTTATAGCAACCAGGGAGGCCATCCTTCTCTAATATTTCGTTGATTTTGCTCTCCAAGTGCATTCTCAAGGTGTCCGACAATTCGGACGGCGCAGGGGTAAAATCGAATCGAAAGTCAATGAACCAGAACTGCTTATCGAAATCCTCATCTGCTATCGTAAGGTCGACCTCAAACTCGCCGGGAACCTTGAAGGTGACGCGACCAGAACCAATAGTGTAATTCTGAAATTGGTACGGAATATTCTCGTAATCTTCCAAGTTGAGACGGATCGAGAGTAATGTGTTCAGGTTTTCGATCCATTGTAACTTGTCTTTAGCAGATAGGGGGGGCATATCGAGATAGTTGAGATCTGGCATCCAGGGGGCAGTGCCAGTTGAAAGTACATGAAGAGCGGTGCGAAGATCGGGATTTGGGAGTCGTGCGTGCGCTAGAGAGATCTTCGTATTTGCGAGAACATCTATGGTGTTCTTATATATCATCCGCTGGTCGTGTAGGAGATTCGACAAGTCGATAAGTTTGCTGACGTTATTAGCGTTCCTACTCCATCTCGCAATCACCGTTGCCTTGACCCATTCGGTATGTCTCTCCTGGGCGAAATTTAGTAACCGAGCCTTCTTGTTTATATTTTCGGGTGAGTTATCATCCACAGCTCCGCTAACGTGTCCCGAATTGCCATTCATAGCAGGCGTTGACACCGGCATCTTAGCCAGGGCAACAATCTCGTCTACTAATTGGTTATGTGTCTTCTGCGCGAGGCGCGCCAGAAGGGTTCCCAAAGGAACGAATCCCTCCGTAATGTGTCTGATCTCCTCGGGGAGGTCATTCATACGCGATGCACTCTGTGATTGCGCTAAGATCGCGCCCTCGGCGCCCTCGCCTCCATTCGCCATACTATTCACTCCGTTACTGCCTCCAGTTCCAGCTCCAGCGAGACCACCATTCGAGTGAGGTGCAAGGCTACCATTGCCGTTGACGAACTGGCCGTGATCTCTGTCGTGATTTGTGGGTAATTGTGGTCGAACGCCGTTCTCCATCATGACGACACCAGGCATCATATGCCTCGAACCCCCTTCCGCCGGCGCGGCGCGAGACTTGAGTTGGGCTCACCAAGGCGTTTAGGATATCGGCCGATGGAAAAGATAGAGACGGAGGTGCGAAAATGCTCCGAGGCATGTGAAATATAAGTGAGAAGCTGATCGGGCGAAAGTATGTTGAGATTGTTCCGATGCGGTTTGGTTTTACTAGTGACTTCGTCTGGTTCGCACCGGGTTCGGTATTTTAAGTGAGGTGTAGGAAGTCGAGGGATGCGAGGAATCTAGAATAATGCCTCTTATCTTTGGTTGTCAATGAATGGTATTCGATAATACGAAGTAAAAGGGTGTGCGCAAAGTGATGGCGGATGTTGTATGCAACATAAAGAGAAAGACGAGACGCGATGCTTGGGAAAAAGTCACAGGTACAAAGAATGGCGAGAGGTGGAATGAGTTCATGCGTAGGTAAAGAAAATCGTCGAGGCGAGGCAGGCAAAGGCGGGTACGGATGACGGACAGAACAACAAGCGACCGGCTCCTTCCTCTTGCCTGAATGTGTCTTGGCGTAACCTGGACCTGCTGTTACTATATGTTACTGCTAGTGACTGCTAAGTTTATAAGTTGCTTGGTGTAGTTGCACTAATTCTAGGTACCTAACTGCACTAGCTGCACGCTAGAGTGTATGCTTCAGCGTGGAAGGTACATACCTCCAACAGGTACGATGGATGGACGATACCGTACCTCTCCAACTTTTTTTTAACTTGCAAGGATCCAAGAACATTTCAAGGTTTAGAACCAATCCGAGCCATCGTCCATGGTTAGAAGTACCTATGTACTGAAACAGTGAAGCACTAGCCACATACGGTACCACTCTACCTTCCTACTTTAGCACGGCAGCCACGATTAATAGACCTGTACAAGTTTACAAGTGTAAAAATTGGTGGATTTTTCCTAAATAAAACTGGAACGGCTGCATCACTATACTTGAATACTTCCCATGCACCTAGTATTTCCCACAACCTCCGCCATTCTACAGCGTATACTGTAGCAAGCAGCAGTCCATCTTCTTGTTTGTCAGTTTTCCTGTAGGATGAACACGTAGTTGGGTAGTGACTCACTTAAAGCAGCCATCCACGATACATAAAACAAATTGGGACAAGTCAAACTATCGAATTCACCTCCATCCATGATTATGTCTCACATCTAGTTATTAGGAGTATCACCTACCTAGGTACCTACAAAATTCGACATCCTACATACTTCCAGTTCTCTTCTCTTCTTCCTTTTAATTCTACTATAAAGACTGTACCTAGTATATGGTATTAGTTTTAATGGCCCACCCTTCTTATCATTGTGTTTCGCAGGATTAAGGTCACGGTCTGCTGGCCGACTTGGTCAACCAACAGAGATGGCTCTCGGGCGGCCTATAGGAATCCACCCGTGGCCGGGAGTCGCTACATGCTTAGATTGAATTCTCACTATTATATCCTTACGTATCTGCTGCAGATGCGATATACACCCCCAGTTCAATGTTCCAAGGTTGTCAGCAAAGGCATCGATTATTTATCCCTACAATGGCCTCATACATTCAACGTCTTACATACTGTAGTTTTATTCTAATATGATATATATTTCTCCATGTACTTCAATACCTATACCATCGATGAAATGCACCTAGGTAGGAAGGAAACAGCTTATGCAACCTTCACATTCCGTCGTCTCAAATACCTACCTACCTAGGTAGATAGTGTCGTCGTTCAGAATATTCGATAACCACGCCAGCCGACGAATCATTGGACATATACGGTAGGTAACTTTCGTAATAGTCTAGGCGTGAGGAATATTAAAGATTAGGCAGTATAGTCGATATGGGTCTACTTGTCTAGGTACCTACCTCCTACTTACCTATAAAAGGAGGTAGACATTGGAGATAGTTGCGCTGCTTGTAGTAAGGGGGGTTATCTAAGCCCTTACCTTAGAGACTCGAGGTAACTATCATAACTTCTAGCTATGGACTAATTCGTCTACACATATATCAAGTTGATAGGTACATGCAAGAAAATAACACAAACGATTCACATACCCATTCTTAACTTAACAATTTGCGATATAGGAAATATTTAGGTGAATCTACGCATTTGTTAGGAAGATCGGATGTCCGATTTAATTATTTTGGCATCTACATCTAGGCCAGATGTCGCCAAGTACAGACTTGTCCTTGTCAACTAAACTCTTCATATTAACCAGCACCGGCAAAGTAATAATAATACTATTGCTAGGTACCTACATCACATACCTACATACGCCTATCACAAGCCCATCTCACTCAGCTTAGCTTACGTTATACCAATTGACCGGAGGATTATGCTACAGGTATAACCAAGGCTCTGCCGGAGGACTTGGAACAGACTAAGGCTAGCACAGATTAAACGCTTCACGCAGGTTTTGGGTGCTTTGTTACTGAACCTGGGAGACATAATACATTGGTAGACTCTTCTCCAGAAACACGTACGATGCACTAGATCAAGGTACATTCAGAAATTTGGAAAAAGAAAAAGCCTAGGTTGACTTATGATATCTCATTATGACAAGGCATATGTCTAATTGATAGAGTATAAAGCAACAAAGAAAACGATATGTAGGTACCTAATTTCGTGTGAAGCTTCCTATGTGAAACCAAGGCAACACCAGAAAGCGTCTACATCTGATAGTCCCAAAGATGTCAAGTTGATGGCAAGAACTCACATTGCCTCCCAAATCTCTAAAATCTCCACGATAAACAGCTGGGTGATTCTAGACGAAGAGCTTACGTTGAAGATAGCTCTTCTGACTTATATCGCTTTACTCTTCAACCCGATCATTGAAAATAATCAGAGGAAGCTTCCAGCGAAATATGATAAAGGCACTGTTTCACCAACAATGGATATCATAAGAACGCCCATCCAGCAAGTAGGGATATATAATATGTCTCTGACCCAAAAACCGCAACTTCAACATGGTTCATTGAGAGGTTTTAGCCACTCTGAAACAAACGTCCTCTTATTACACATCATATCTTGACAAACTAAACCCTTAACTTACCTAAACCCATACCGTAACTTAACTAGATCTCTAAGTAGAGAATAACCCGCATGTAAATCAAAGCTGACCAGAGCTATGAAAACACCACAACCAGAAACACCCACAGAACTGCATGAATTTCCAGAGCCATGCGCAGAACCAGAACTAGACAAGACCGAGAATCTTAGTAAATTCGCCCAACGCGCCAAAGAAACAGACGCGCACCAAGTCCCCGAGAGCGAAGCCTCCAACCGGGCCGGCGGGACCATGAACGACGGGATGAAAAAGGCAAACCTTCGATCAATCCGGCAAATCCGCAAACTGCTAATGCGGGGCCTAAGCAGCAAGGGGCGCGGGGAGGAAGAAGAGAAAAAGAACGAGCACAAGGAAACCCCGTCTTTCCGGCCGCGAAAGATAAAAAAGCCTTCCGTAGGTATGTATGCACCTATCGTAGACCGTAGTAGCCCAGCCTCGACGTGAAATCGCGAGAAATGTGCTTGAATAAATTCGTAAATTGATTTACATGTTATCAAATGCTATATTTTAATCGTGTAACCCAACAAAGGAGTTCATATACAGTGTAGGTGCCTACTCAGACACCACACGAGGCGGGTTAGTCCCTCCGCCCGGAACCTCTATACGGCCTGACTGTATCCGCCCAACCGTCTGCGCCCATATTTGTACCATTTCCTAACCTCGTCAGCCCAGAACACCGAGCTCGTCAACGCGACTAATCTGATAAGATCGACCAGTCCCAGAGCCTCTGTCTGGAACACCTCCTGAAGCCACGGGAAGTAAATAACGAGCAATTGGCCAGCTAAGCTTAGTGCCACCGCCCAATTGAATAGTTTGTTGGAGAACAAGCCCACCTCGCCCCTGAACACGGACTTGCTTTCCGACCGACAAGTCAATGCGTTGAACATGTCGAATAGCACAAAACAGGTAAATGTCATCGTCGTGTCGCGTCGAGAGACTTCGCCATCCAGCATCTCGTGAGTGTATACGACCATTGTGCCCGCCATGATAATCGCGGCCGAAGTCAAAACGCGCTGGAGCAGAGCCCTCGTGAGAACCGGTTCGCTTCGAGAACGTGGCGGGCGCGACATCACATCCGGATCAACTTGCTCTACGCCTAGGGATTGCGCAGGAGGACCATCCATGATGATATCTTTAGTCCATGTTAGTCATAGGGGTTAGGCATAGATAGGCGCTACTTACTAATCCAGAGAATCTGCATGGCATTCAAGGGAGTTCGGAAACCTAGGCATGTGCAGAGGAAGACTAGAGCTAAGCTAGCTACACTGGTGCTAAGCTGGAACGTGATGAAATTTTGAATGTTGTTAAATATGCCCTTGCCTTCTTCGATGGCATGGAGAATCGTGGAGAAGTCGTCGTCAGTTAGAATCATGTCCGAAGCCTCTTTAGCAACGTCGGTTCCATGCAACCCCATAGAAATACCAATATCAGCCCTTTTCAATGCTGGTGCGTCATTGACTCCATCCCCGGTCATGGCAACAATATCACCACGAGACTGAAGTGCTCGAATAATCTTCATTTTGTGATCCGGGTTTGTTCGTGCAAAAATGGTTGTGGTGTGCATTGCGGTCGCTAGGTCGCCTTCGCTCATTGCATCAAGCTCCTCACCAGTGAGGACAGGCTTCACTGCGCTCTGGTTTGATGAATGTTCGCGGGGGGTAGCAATTTGCATACCAAGCTCTTTTCCAATGGCCAATGCCGTGGTTGCAGAGTCTCCAGTAATCATTATGACTCTAACACCACCTCGCATCAGCTTTCGGATAGAGCGAGAAACTCCCGGGCGTGGAGGATCACTCATCCCGACCAATCCTGCAAAAGTCAAGCCTTTGTATAATTCCTCGTGTTGAGGCAGCGGACTTTGACTTCCATCCCCACTTAAGGGCGTGGTGCTTCTAGTAGATGGGTGTTCAGATCTGCTTCGTCTAGATCTGGCGACTGGGCCACTTGCAAAGGCCAAGACCCTTAGCCCCTTTTCGGCCATCCTCTCAGCTGCTTGCAGTGCTTCTTGACGTCGAACAGAGTCTATGATAACCTCGCGCCCGTCAGCTGTGAGATACGTGTCGCAACTATCAAGAACTTTATCTATAGCGCCTTTCATATAGGCGTATTCCTTGTCGCTATTCCCAGGTTGCGCTCCAATTACTACACCCATCCATTTTCTTTCTGAGCTAAAAGGAGTCTCGGCTGTTCGAGGTCCGATAGAATCCCTCACATCGTGCTCCTTAAATCGATCAAGCAAATCAAGCATCGCAACGTCGGTTGGTTGGCCAACCCATCGCGTGTAAGGCGCAAAATCTCTGCCTTGAGAATCTGGTAGTGCTCCGTTGGCGGAATGAACAAGCCGTCCATTATTCGCAATATTGCCAATGCGCAGAATCCTGAGTGCAGCAGTGTCGGGCGTCCTTTCCGTTGCCTCATCATCCGAATCGACGTCAATTGGTCCCTCAGATCCAAAATACCACATCTTCGCCGTTGTCATGTGATTCATAGTCAGCGTTCCCGTTTTATCAGAGCAGACGACATTTACAGAGCCTAGTGTTTCCACGCTCGGCATCTTTCGAACAATCGAGTTGTGCTTTGCCATGCGATGAACGCCGAGGGCCAAGGTAACCGTCACAATGATGGGCAACCCTTCGGGGATTGCCGCAACAGCAAGCGAAATAGATATCGTAAAAATCTCAAGAAGCTTCTTGCCTTGAAGCAACCCAACCAACGATATTAGGGCGATTATACCAAATGATATCTGACTGAGCTGTTGCCCTAGATGGTCCATATTCACTTGGAGGGGAGACCGGGGGCTTTCGGTCCCCGACACGCTCGTGGCGATTGTACCAAAATGTGTATGACCACCTGTGGCGAAGACAATTCCTTGACCATGGCCAGACTTAACCAGAGTTCCCATATATGCGATGTTGTTGATCCCGCGATTGCGTGCGTCTTCTTTAGGCTGTCCATTGTACGAAGGTGGAGATAATACAGAGGGGCTAGGGAGGCGTAATGCAGATTGATCGAAGGCAGAGGGTGCGTGTGTACTGCGAAATCGTGCGTCGGCGGTCATTCTTAGCGGTTCATTCTCCCCTGTAAGATTTGATGCGTCGATGGTTAGATCGGTAGCTTTCGTGATTCGGATATCAGCTGGAATACGATCGCCTGTGGTAAACAAGACTAAATCTCCAGGTACCAATTGAGCTGCCATGACTTTGGACGACGTAGCTTCCATCAATTCTTCGTCTGGTGTCTCCGAATCGGTCGAAGGGGTCTTTTCTTCTGGGTCGCTAATAGCCGGGGGCCACGCTCCATTCTTAGTGCTAGGAAGAGGCCGCGTAAGTTGCGCCCTGACCAGATGGGCATGATTTGGGACTAAGTGGTTGAGAGCCTCGATAGACTTTTCGGATCGATATTCCTGCACAAACCCAACTGTGACGACTATTGTCACGGCGATAGTGATACTAACGGCATCGTCCATATTACCTACGAAAATAGAGAGAAATGCGGATACGAGAAGTAGAATAATCAAGGGTTCTCGGAACTGAAGTATAAATCGTAGCCATAATGGATCCGGAGGTTCATGAGGGATCTCATTAGGGCCAAAGTCTCGTAATCGCGAAAGGGCTTCGGTGGGTGTGAGGCCGTGGTTTAAGGAGGTGTGAAGTTGAGCTGCTGTCTCGGCTGGTGTGAGGGAGGAATAGCCATCTGCTACGGACTATAATCATGAATTGAATCAGCTATAATTCTAACTTGGTGGGAATATCTCATTCTGCTCGTTCTTGTTGGTTAAAGCAACCTGGGGAATATCTTACTCGCGATTGTGCAGATGTAGTCCGGGCATGTCCCGACTGTCTATGAGTAGACCGCGCTCGTTCTAAGAGTTCCTCCCCGTCTTCATTATAATCCCGGTCTATTCCATTAATACTAGGTACTGACAATGGAAGTAATGGGTCGCCGTTGGTCTCGCGATCGCGCCATGGCCATGGCATCTTGGAAGGGAGTGGGACGAGCGAACGACAGGAAGGCAAGGCGGCATGGAGGAGAAAATCAAGTTACATCAACGACAAGGTCGGCGCGTAAGAATTGAGGATTATACAACAAAATGTAACTGATGGATACTTGATGAATTATGGAACAATGAAAAAATGCATATTAAAACGAGCCGAAGTAGCTACAGTAGACTTGATTGAATCTTGAATATAGTGACGTGTTGGGAACGTTTTAAAAGTTTTGGCCAAATGCGCTTCTGGAAGACGTGGAACCTTGGTCCTTAGTTTGGTCCGTAGTTTGGTCCTTCTAGCCCTTTTTGGGGCGGGTTTTAGGGTCGCGACCAATGCAATGGAGTGCCGATGATTCAAGCACGGAGCACGGATCCCTGAGCGTTGCTTGCCGATTTCGTACCTCCCAAGCCTATCGAGCCTACCCAACCAGCCAACGTAGCACCTAGCGTATCCTAGCACGCTAAAGTAAGATCCTATACCCCTGTCCACCGTCGCCCTGTGGCTGCCCTTAGCTTCAGCCTCCATTAAGCAAGGGGTAAAATGATTCTATTCCAAAGATTCGGTCTCGACATTTGATTTGTGTATGAAGGGTATTTCTTGCTTTGTCGGAGGACTATAACTTGATGAGTGACTATTTCCAGGTTTAGAATTGTTGAATCAAGTTCCATAATATATGTACATGTAACTACCTGGTATGGTTAATTAGGTAGTTTTGTGAGGTTTGTATTGCGAGCGAGTATATTCATATTGATTCGTATATCTCGAAGTTGAGTTGCAGTTGGTTTTGCTCATGTCGTTAGATCGAATTATGTAATGACATACTCCCGAGTCTCAAAAGTTCCAATTAAGACCTCATATTGTAACTCTCGTATGGAGCATCAACTGGGTAATTGTATCTCAGAGTTTAGTTACTACTTACTTTAAGGGCAGTTACTGCCTTATTTCTAGTATTTCAACGCCTTGAAAACTAAACAGCTGTTTTCAAATGGCATGTTCCGCATTCTTAAAGTACATACGTAAGGTAGGTATGGTTCATATTCCATCGCCATTCTGAAACCATCACTGCAGGTTTAATGGGCTTCAATTCACGGCCAGAATGAATTATGCTACGCATATTAAATTAAATAACCTTGAAGCTCAAGGATAATAAATCATATTCTTTTCATACTTGTATAAAAAGTATAAAAAGCTATAAAAAACAGTGTAACCAGTTTGGGTAGGATGTACTATGTAAACCAGCCACATAATTTCGACCCGAAGGAGTTTAGGTACATTGGTATTTCGCGTTCGTAAACTTTTCCAGGTTTTTTTTTCTAACGACCAAACGCTGTAAGTGATACCTGTTGCCCAATGATAAGCCACAGTTTGAGTCACAAACAATCCAATCAGGAGCTCTAGATGATATCTATTGACCCACTAAAAACCCTGTCACACCTCCAGCCACTTGGATTTTTAGCAGGAAAAGCGGAATGATATTTTTTTAGTCGCCCTCTTCAGCACAATCATTCGCTTGCGGCGTGTGGAAGACCCAATCCCGCAAGACTTTTCCCAGGCGTAGTTCCCCCAAAGGATCCCCTCCACCTCTAATTTCAATCTTTCATTCAACTCATTTGTCCTCTTTTCCCGACCAGTGCAAAGATAACTCAATCTTCCACCCCCTCGAATATATACTTGCTGTCGCTATTAGCTTAATACTATTTAAGATCACTGCAACAACACCGCGCATCCCTTGCGCTAATTGATTCGCGGGTCATAGACTGGATAAACTGGAAAGGGACGGTGCGAACGCTGGATGTACGCGATCTGCGCCCAAAACAACGCGCTCCTATTCTTGTTTACACCATCCGACGCCTCCCGCCTTTCGTCATCAACCCTTTTAACAAAGGACCTAACTCTAACGCGTTGTCGCATCGAATGAGACAAGATCTGCTGCTTTAATGCCATAATCATTGAGCGCTTACATTTCATTGCTCATTGCTCTTTCACTCTTTCGCTGCTACATCGCTTCAACTTTGCTTTAACTTGCTTTCTCAATTTATTTCCTCGTCGCTGTCGCAATGTTCTATTCCGAGACATTGCTGCAGAAGACAGGGCCTTTGGCTCGAGTCTGGCTGTCGGCAAACTTGGAGCGCAAGCTCTCAAAGACACATATCCTTCAGTCTAATCTCCCCGACAGTGTCGATGCCATCATCACCCCAAACCAAGCGCCCATGGCGCTCAGACTTAGCGGTCAACTCTTGCTCGGTGTCGTCAGAATCTACAGCCGAAAAGCCCGGTACCTATTAGATGATTGCAATGAAGCTTTGCTTAAGATAAAGATGGTTGGTGCCTGTTTTCAACACTCGTGGCCTCCCTTTGCTAATTATTATATCAGGCCTTTCGCTCTACTGGAAACAATGATATCCCCGAGAATTTGAATATGCCGAACCGGGAAGCATTGATGCTTCCCGATCGTATCACACCTGCCGATAACTTGAATATATTACCACCGCCGGACGCTAACTGGTTACTTGGCCAAATGGAAGATGTTAGCGCTACCCCTGTTAGCTCAGGCACGCGGGGCCGGGGTCGACCAAGTAACCGCGATATCAACTTACAAGAGGACTTCAACAACAGCCAGTTCTTGTACGATGACAAGATGGACGAGGACAACGTTGCGCTTGCTCCGAACGACGACTTGGAATTAGATTTAGATTTTGGAATGGATATCGACGAGCGACCTCGAGGGGATAAGAGCATTGAAATGGGTCGAGATGCTCCTACTATCGAAGATGATATTTTTAGTGAGCTAGACATGGCGCCGCCTGCTAAGGGTCTCGACCGGGAACCGTCGTTGAATCTCGACTTTGGAGACGACAATGTTAGAATTGCGGACGGAGATGGAGATATTCAGATGGACGATGATTTCCAATTTAACATTGGTGATCAGTCAGCGGTACCAGAAATGGGTGGTGCCCCTGGCCTTGAACGGGCCCGCATCTCGGAATCTCCTCTTTCAGATATTGACGAGAACGTAGCACGGGATGTGGAAGAATGGACGCGTCTAAACAACACCAGTATCTACGAACCAGGCCAAGAGCCCGAGGAGCCCGAACCACTTCCCCAGAAGAGGTCGAAGAAGCGTAAAGTCTTTGGGTTAGACCCGGCTACTCAACTTACCAGTGCCCATATCAAAGAGCAACAACAAAACCACGAAAATATTCTCAAACTGCCTACCTTCATCTCACGAGATCCGTATTTCCTAGCTCTAGTCGAGCTAAAGAACAGCGGCAGCTTCGTCTCTAGCATTATGGGCGACGGCCGTAGTAAAGCCTGGGCCCCGGAGTTGAGAGGGTTACTGTCGCTTGATTCTATTAGACCAGTCAACGACCTGAAGCGCAAGCGTGATAGCGGGATTGCTGACGTGGGCGAGGAAGAGGAGCAGGGTGCATCTAAATCACCTCGTTTAGAATTAGGCGATGATGACGATAGATTAGTCATTCCCGATGCAGGATTAGGCGACCGAAGTGTAGCTCCCGATGGTACTATCCTTGAAATCCCTGCGGATGAAACCGTCATACAACACGACGAGGACGATGATCACCAACCCCGCGAAGGAAGCCCGATGCCAGCATTTGACGAGACCACAGCTCCTTTGGTACACCCCGCTGATAGCGGCCCTGTTTCTATGGGCACAAAACATGCAGTTCACGTTCTTCGAGATTTATTTGGCAACGAAGCTGCTACTAGCGACGAGAAGAGAAAGAAGTCGGTGGTATTCCAAGACCTCCTTCCCGAAACAAGAACCACCAAAGCAGACGCCACCAAGATGTTCTTCGAATGTTTAGTGCTGGCGACCAAGGATGCTATAAAGGTTGAGCAGAAGGAGGGCGCTCTTGGTGGCCCTATCAGAGTGCGAGGAAAGCGTGGTCTCTGGGGTGCCTGGGCTGAGACAGAAGCCGGTGGAGAGATTGCCAACCAAGAACAAGTACCGGAACCCGATCAACCCGAACCTGCCATTGCAACTCCTTCTCGAGTTGTGGCTGCTGCGGCATAATTGTCTATTCCTGGGTTTACTGCTGGGTAATTGGATGATTGCAATGGCAAGACGAAGTAATGGTTCATGTATAAACTTCTCTGCACTTGTTGGGATATTCCCGAGGGTTCTGATCACATGGTCTAATGGCGTCACGGCGTACAGGGGTATGGAAGGCAGGGAGATACCATCAGCTGCGGGTATATTGGTCGTCAAAATCATGATAGGGTGTTTCTTCTATTCCGTTTCGTTTGGTCAAGACAGGGTAATTGCATTCGTATCATCATCTAGGGTTAAGATGATAGTTGAGGAGCAGAAGCTAGCAGGAGTGGCATTGCGATTTGATAATACATCGTGCGAGCCTGTTCTCGAAAGAATTCATAAAAATACATTTTACAACACGACTTGCTTCATTTGATATGTGAGTGCATACCTAAAGGATAAAACAAACCTCTGATACGGGTATCTGGTGTTACATATACGCAACTCTACTCTATGATCTTGTAAGTCGGAAGGGATGCGTCATGCCCACACCACAGGCTACTCAATGTTGTTGCCTTTAGATTGACACATTTTATCAATAGGCAACTTCCTTATGTACATTTAAACGAAAGGAAGCTTGAGTCGGAGTGAGCCAGTAAACGGTTGGAAACTACGTATTATACCTAGTACTGTACATTGTACATTTGCGCTCGTATCAGAAACATGAGGGGTTTACCAGGTATCTAGGTACGCAATACATAGTCAAAACCGTAAATTACTATAACCCCGGATCTGCAAAGGGACCAGATAAAAGATAGATAAAAGTTAGTAACACACGAATGGCGACCCACGTGTCAGCCTCAAGTCCAACTTCCCGACTACAACTTCACCTTCCTAGTCTTTGTATAAGTATAAGAACAATGCTCCTGCCATCTAAAATAAACAATTACTTGGTATTGAATCATCAAACTCTCAATCAACATAGCCTTTCTTCATCCACAAAGATAAGGCATCCTAAAATCAATCGATTATCGCAGCTCCTCTTTATTGACGTTGATTCGCCCGGATGATTGAATACCGTCAACACAATACCGACGCATATACTTAAAGCATAATTTCAATTCTCATTATCGCATGTTGACGGTCTTACAACTCTCTCCAGCTTCACTTCGCCATTAGGCCTATTCACCTCCCAGTCAACCGACGTCTATTCAATATTCCAACGTTGAATTATCGCATCCTGGGATTGAAGCAACAATGGTCAAATCACTTGTAGATCTCTGCAGACAGGTGTGCATTCAAAACATCAAAGGTATGGATGTTTCCTTACTTCATTATTCCCATCGAGAATCTACTTCGTAATTAGGCATTTGCCTTTAGATTGACTGATTTCCATTTAAATATTAATCCTACCTCAATTGACGAAAATATTACTAACACTATAACTTCTTCACCAGATATCTACGATGTTGGCGACTTGCCTTATTCAGCCCTCGCTCCGATCCTCTTGAAGATTAACGACTATGAACATTTGCTTCAACTAGAGCAGCAATCGCCCCAGATCCAAGGTGATAATGCTGAGTGTTGGAAACGTCTCATTAGGCGCGACTTCCCCCAGCAAGTAAAAAAACACACCTTGGAGCCGAAAGATCCCACTCGGTGGTGTAAGATATACCAAAAGTACAAGATTTTAGATGCAGAAGAGAAGAAAGCAGCTGTGGCGAAGTTAAACAATGGCTTCAAGAACATTTCGAAGGAGAAGCAGGCTAAGGCTGTCAAAGCCGTGACCTTCAACACGAGAGTTCACGGCCGTATCCCAGGCCAGCGCAAAACCGGATTGCCTGCTGGCCGACACGTAGTTGGTTCGGGTGGACTAACTTGGGGCGGTGGATCGCGAACTAAGACGAGCTCTGCCCATGGTATCATGCAGAAAGCCCGACGAGAAGCTGCTGAGATTGCTCGCAGAAAACAATTATCCACACCCACTGGTCAGCTTCTGGTTCGCCAAGGACAGATCACCCAAGCCCCGCGAGGTATGGTTGAGGAGCACAGAATTAAGTCTCTTCCTTCCGTTGCTATGCGCAGAAGCCAGATTCAAGCACCCATGCGAGGCAACGGAGAACGCTGGGAGCGTCAACAACAGGAACGCGAGGCGCGACTGCTCAAGGCCAAGAGTGGTCCTGTTGCTAAAGGAGTCACCGTACTTTCAGACGATGATCTTCCTCAAGATGACGAAGAGGATTATTCGGATTCGGAGCAGGAAGAAGGCGGGTTGAATGTCGAGGACCTTGAGAGCTTCTTTGATGAAAAGAAGACTTCTACACCTACTCCCGCCCCCGTTAAGTCATCTTCCGCGGCTAAGTCGAGCTCTACCTTGTCTGGTCTTGCGAAGATGAAGATGGGCCACGCTTGGAAAGATAGACCTACCAGAATCGAACGAGTTGTCGAGACTTCCAAGGCTTCTTCATTGTCGGCGCCCAAGTCTTCTACCGCAACTTCTCCACCCCCGCGATCTTCGACGTTTCCGGATCAGCTTTCTCCCCCTCCCAAGCCTAAGCTACCTATGGGATTGAAGCGCAAGGCAGCTCCCAGCGTTTTCATGCCACCAAAGCAGAAAGCTCGACGGATGTCCTAGAAGACAGGGTGTGTAGTCCCTTACTTACATAACTCGGATTTCAAGTTACGACGACAAAGATCGGGACGGACCATAACCATCATCGAAACCAATCCATTTCTTTTATGCCTCTCATTCGATGAGAGCAATGTTTTATATGGCAGCAAGGCGTTCAGGGAGTACAACATTTAATGATTATCTGGTGGAGTTGCTGGAGTTATCCCCGTAGTAGCAAGAGGAATATCTATGGACGGAAACTAGCCTCTCGGTGGTGCTAACCTATTGGCAGAGGTATGCTATAGGGAAGACTGTTGAGGCAACTGCCTTTGCATTTACACTGACACCAGGCTAGTGACAGTAAAGATTAATGAAACCAATGGATTATGTCCTGCTGACTACTATTTCGTACTTCAAATATCGCGATGCCTTGTTTGAGAATAGTAAACCGTAGGTATGAATGGGTTTATGTTGTGATTTCTATGTTTTTTTTTTTTTCAAATATACATTTACACCTGGACCTTTTGAAATTCTATCCACTTTCTCCTGATGGAATCCCTAATCTCTGAATAGGGCTAACATACGAAGCAATACTTATTCACCTATCTAGCGGTTGTCGTTAGGGAAAGTCCGAATCTACGAATCTACTCGATACTAGCAGAGCCAAAGCAAACGAAATGAGATACAAATCAAGGCATAAAAAGTCCCCATAATTCAGTTCAGTTTATAGAATTCGAGATGCATGCTACCTATAATATAGGTGCTCTGTTTCCCGCGCATTTGACTGTCTATGGATGATTGAGTGGTTGATTCCGCGATGCAACAAGCAACAGTGTGTATCGAACGAAACACAGGAAATAGACGCCTTTCCTGCCTTCGATGAAATAAAGGCTAGACCAGACCAAGCTCGCCCACGAGAGAAGATGGAGGAAAACGAAAAAATGGCAGGGTATGTAAAAAGCTGGGCTTAGTTACAGAATGTGATAGGAGAAAAGCTATCCGCCACCGTCTTTTCGATTCCCTCGCGCGGTTTGTCATGCGTTAGGCGTTCATTTCGTAAATTCGTCGTGGGATCTCGCCGATGCCTAGGTGGGTTTCTTGCTTGTTTGTTCGTTATCGTAGTCTATAGCCGTGAACATGTCTAGTATCGAAGAGGTTGAATAGGCTCGTTGCTGAGAATGCGATAATGGATGGGCGCAAGATGAAAAGTTCGGGTTCAGATTAGGAGATGGGAGGCTAGCAGCATCCGCCTCGGAGGGTGAGAACCAGATGGAGGGTTGCATCAGGTACGATGCCGGCGTCTTGCATTGTTAACTGATCGTGTCTATATGGGTTATGTCGGATTAGTTGATGTTATTCTCGTAGGCGATGGAAGGACTAGCGGAGGGTGAACGAACAATTGTTTCCCGCCATAGATGAGACGTTGCTGGTCAGGTGTGATTCCTTCCTTCTCTTCGACCTTCTTCTTTACATCCTCAATCTGTAAGTTGGGATTGTTAGCACCTGGTCTGACATATTTGCCTCCTTACTAGCTGGATAGGATCATCCGATAAGCAGGATGGCGCAAATGCGAATTTGATGATTTGCTACGGCTTTCGGGCTTTTGTAGAGGATTGAAATGAGATTAAAATATACCTTCGATGTGGGCTCAACATCTAGAGAGATCAACTTGCCCGTAAGGGTTCTCACCCTGCTCTGTTTGTCAGCTCACGATCCCCATCCATCCGATTTTATGAGCGCGCGCCAACAAGGCAGCTATGGCGGGGTACGGTATGATACGGGAGAAGGACGCAGGACGTACTTTATCATCATTTTGGCGGTATTGTATCTGAAGACGTGGGATTTTGAGTGTTCTGGGGTGCGATAGAGCAGGTCTGTATCGTAGTGCTTTCAAAGATTGCGTTTTGTGTAGAAGTATTGCAAAAAGCGGTTTCTGGCGGATATGGAGAATAAATAACCGTTTTGGATACAGTGACGACAGTAGACGGGGACTGCGTACGGTCAGAACTGTGGGTACGGCGGGGTGGCTTGTACTTGTCCGGGGTCTCTTGTTGACCCCACCTATACCTCCAAATATTTGTTAATAAATGGAGAGTATGAATTGATGTACATACACCTAATGTTATTAGTCTTGTGAGTAGCATCGTGAATTCGTTCATTCATCCTTGAACGAATGTTTGAGGAACGAAGAGAAGGAAGAAAGGAATTAATAGTAGATGAGTTATTCTTGTTGTATTGTCAAAATTTGAAGTTTCTCGTCTGTAGTTGAGTCATACTATTTTCACTGATTATCGTGAGTGTTCAAGACGATATTTTGGTCACTACTAGGTACCTACCTTAGGTACCTAGGTACTAGGAACTACAGGCTACAGCGACAGCAACATATAATAAATGGATGCAGTAGTCATAAAGTTTCGTATTTTACAATGATTAGTCCTTTACATAGGTACAGCGGAGATTTTGTATTTCCTAACGCCTCATCCTCATTGCTTTTTGGAATCGTCGCTAAACACATTCAATCCTAACCCCTCAGCATCAAGTAGCAGTCTGTTTCTGCCACCAGATTCTTGCATTTGAGTCGCAATCGCCCTGGCGTTCTCGATCTTCTTCAACTCCACATATGCCTTATTCTTCTTGATCGCATCTCCGATGAGCTCAGCTGATCGGGCCTCACCCTGTGCCTTGACAACCATGGCCTGCTTCTCTTGTCTTGCCTTGTCAACTACAAAGGCAGCTCTCTGTGCTTCCTGCTGCGCCACTTGCTTGGCTTCAACAGCAGCTGTAAATTCTGGCGAGAAAGCGAGATGCTAGAAATCAACATTAGTAAAACATATAACTACAACCTATTTTCTTAGGAAAATAGCATTAACATACCGTAAGAGAAACGTCATCTAACAAGATGTTGAATCTCTCAGCTCGTCTCGATAGGTTGTCTCGAACTAGCCTAGCAACGTTCTCTCGTTGAGTGATCAACTGACTGGCGTTGAACTGCGCAACCACACTCTTGAGGACTTCGTTGACGATAGAAGGTAAAACTCGCTCATCATAGTCCTGTCCTAGAGTTCTGTAGATTTGTGGAAGAGCAGGAATGTTAGGCCGAGAGAGCACACGACATGTAATATTAACCATCTGTAAATCCTTGGTGCCTGTCAGGGAAGAGACGTTTCTCGGCTTCGCGCGAACATCATAGGTAATTGGTGTTTCGAACCAGGGGATCATGATATGAGTTCCTATACAGAGCTATGTTAGTATGACAAGGGTATCAAGCATCGAGGATGACCGGAGAAGCCGGACTAACCTTCGGCATAGATCTCCTTGCTAACACCACTTAATCTTCGGTACTTAATAGCCCTGTGACCACCGTCGACGTTGAATAGAGAGTTTTGCAAAAGGAACAATCCACCACCAAGTAGACCCGCGGCCGCTATGATCATGCCACTTCCTGCCGGGGGACGAATGGGACCTCCACCACCTCCGAATCCACCTCGGTTTTGGCGAACCATTGTTCGCATTCTCTCGATATAGTCATCCATCGGATTGCGCGACATCTTGGGCAACGTTGAGGAGGGAAGTTGGCGGTATTTTCTTTTGGCGACGTCCTATTGACAAGTGAGGGACGTAGTGCTAGAATATCAAAAAAGAATCAAGCTTAATTCCAGCGAATCGTCGTCCTAATTTTTCTCCATGATTACAAAGTACAAATTGAGGCTGACGTCTCCTGATTGGTGGAAAGATGCACCATCGATCCACTTATAATGGTCCGTGCATTGCATTTTCCTAACGCGACTGTTAAACTTCTAAAGCTTAGATCCTCTCCACTATCGATACCAACCTTTTGAAGGCTATCACGAAAAACACATACTGTACCTACATCTTTATAAATACAACCAACTTCAACCTTTACTTCTTCCATTCAGAAATCGATTATAGCTCACGAAATCTTGCTTCTACCGATTTCCATTTGATTTTCATTACTACATCCTCTTTAAAGCTCTACTTGGCAATCGCATCTTTGACAAGGTCCACCTATTGCTCTAAGAAGCGCGCGCACACCTAGTTGACCTCCACCAGCCATTGGGCGGAACGGTGCGCCGTATCTTCAACACTCAATTGGCATCGATTTATTCTCGCGACCTGTTTTATCACCATTGTCGCCCTTACCATTAAATTCGCTCCTACCCCGAATAATCGACAACAATGTCGACCAAACCTCCATCTCGCGTTGTCTTTGTGGGAAATATTCCTTATGGACTTTCGGAAGAACAAATCAGCGACATCTTCAGTACAGCTGGAAAGGTCCTGAACTTCCGCCTTGTCTATGATAGGGATACTGGGCGCCCTAAGGGCTTTGGCTTCGCGGAGTACCCTGATGCAGGTAAGCTTAATGTTATGATAGCCATCTATTATATATATATACTAATCATATTCCGGTTTTAGATTCAGCTGCTTCTGCTGTCCGAAATCTCAACGACTATGAGATTATGGGACGCAAACTACGCGTCGACTATAGTACAGAAGGCCGAGTAGACGGCGATGAATCTAACAGCTCATCCGTGATGACCGGCCAACCTAATGGTGCTTCGCATACTACTGCCCAGACTGCGCCCGCCGGCTCGCTTCCTCCCCTCCCACCTGGAAAAGAGTTACCTCCGGGTGTAACTGCCACCGATGCCATCTCCCGAACCCTCAACACTCTCCCTCCGAGTCAACTGCTGGACATTCTATCGCAGATGAAGTCACTATCAACAACTGATCCTTCCCGTGCCACCGAACTCTTGCAGGCGGCCCCTCAGTTGTCATACGCCATCTTCCAAGCTCTGTTGCTGATGGGACTCGTCTCCCCGGAGGCAATACACTCTGTAGTAGAAACCTCGGCTGCTGCACCGGCACCTCAACCTTCTCCCGGATACCCCTCAGCGTACGGTGGCGCCACAACCGTCACACCTCCGGTCGCCGCACCCTATGCACCGCCTGCCGTATCAGCTCCGCAGGCCAGCTACGCACCTCCTGCTGCTAGTGCGCCAGCTTCCGCACCCCAAGATCCTGATTCTCTCATGCAGGCGGTTATGGGCCTGTCGGCTGAGATGATCGACCAACTTCCCGAAGCCGAGCGCCAACAGATCCTAGCTCTTAGGGCTACGTTCGCGGCTCAGAGGCGTTAGCACACTACCAGCTGACGCTAGCATATGGTTTCTTAACGTTGATTTTTCACATACCCCTCGCAACTGGTTGGAAGTTGGCGTTTAGGTTATGGTTCAGGCACAAAAGCTTTCGGGACACTTACGGCATCTATGCTCCATCTTGAGCAAATCGGAACTCGGCATTCACATAAATCACTACTCCTGGTATGGTAATTGGCATGCTTTAGGGAAGAGGATTAATGGTGGGATTATGGATCTACGCAGGGTGCCAAATCTGCCACTCTTCTAAGCAAAATTTTTAAGGGGAGCTTCATACCAGGTCGCCAAGTATATGTACATATTTCCGCGTCATAATGAAGCTGATAGTTCCATTGATGAATATTTGCCGTTGCAGAGAGAATTGAAACTGAACTCCGATACGTGATCTTGTCCTTTTCACATCGATTCATGTAAATAGTCGATTCACCTATCTACTAGGTAGTAGGCCAAATAACTAATATCCCTCATACTTCTTAAGCCATTATTATTCTGTACACAAGCTTTCGTCGGATAATGGCTAGGATGCACCCATGGACTTATCTGGGCATTTCTAAGTTACCTTACCCACATATTAATTCTTGCCCGGAATTGGAAGCTCCCTCTGTAGGTCCGGCTCATTATCCAATAGGTACCTTCGGATTTGGTATCACATGTTCACGTTGTTAGCTGTTTGGTAAAGTATACTTAATTCTGCAACCACTTTAAACTGCTCGCTTATTATGATTTAACAAGTTTAAAGTTGCGCGAGAGCTACAATTTACATATTTGTATCAAGTGTGCATATATACTAGGTGGTTACAATCGCATACCTGCCATAAAGTACATAGTTCAGTCCCGGAAGCGACTGTCGAGCTAGGTATCTCGACCCGAACTCCCCATATGCTGCATATGCCCCCACATGCATACTAGGTACACGTAGGTACCCACCTATCTTCATTGACATCACCACCTTGGCACCTATTAGAGATGGTTAGTGAACTTAGAACAGCTAGGTTAAACTCTACCATCACGCATTATTCAATTCCAATTCCATGTTTTCAAATGTTTTAAACCAAAACATCTCAACTCCGTCCTTGCTCCCAAATATTTTACGCTTTTGATGCTTACGTTGATTTCCTGCTGACCGATTTATTGCTCACAATAATAATGATTATCCGCCGTTATGGCTAGCAATCAATTCTCAGTTCTCGCCTCCTCTCGCGCGCAGGGTGGTCCTTCAACGTCTTCTAATGCGACCGGCTCTACCACCCAACCATCCAAGAAAAAGCATCGCGCCGGGCGAAAACACAAGAAGGCGAGACGAAAGTCCTTCGCTGCCCCTTCGGCAGACTTAGAAAGCGAAGGTTTACCTCCAGCTAGCCGTACCGGACACAGGGCTGGTCTCTATATGAACGAGAGGAATATGAGTAATACAAGCATAGATAGCGAGGCGCTTCTCGACCATAGGTATATTAGGAAATCCATTTCATGTCGCCCTTGAAACTAATTGATGCTTTCGATAGAGAGCACCAATATCCACGTCTGCGACGACCATCAACCCTCGCCGCATCTCTCCAATTACCGCAGTCAAGCCGGTCACGCATAGGACTTGGAGGTCAGAGCCGCGATTATGACGAAGAGGAGGATAATACCGAGTCTGCACCTTTGTTATCCACCTCCTCTCGACAGGACGTCTCATCTTCTCGAGGATATGGTTCAAGCGAAGGGCGACGAAGACATGACAGATCTCCCAGCCGTCCCACTTCTAGCAAGTCGGGTAGGAAGTCCCAACTACTTCCAATGACGCCATCCGATAGGTACAATATAAACTACCCGCCATCTATGCCTGGTACGCCTCCATTGGGACCCACCGATCGACTGGACTTGAGCTTTGGAGATATTATGATGAGGGACGAGCTTGTCGAAACTGGTTCTCATACCAATAGCGCACCCGAAACAGACATAGATCCTCTTCTCGACCAATCTCCCTTTGAACGGCGTCATACAATTGCCTTACAAGCGCAGGAGGATGTCTGTTTTCCTCAGGAGGGGATGTCAGAGCTAGCCGAAGAAGACGCGCAGCAGATTCGCGACAGCCGAAGCGCACGAACTCGACGACGAAGACGAAATAAGTGGCCAGATTTATCTATCCTCGAAGAATGGTCCAGACTTGAAAAGGAAGACCGGAGTGAGGAGCGGCGAATGAAGAAGATCACGGAACCGCAGCTGGTGAACGGGAGATTACGACCAATTCATAAGGGATGGTACCGGATAGAGGAAGACGCTCCATATCGATTCACCTACTTCAACGAAGAGTTCCAAAGTACCATTCACAGCCAGACAATATCGGAGCTCGTCCAACCAGATGTTGGTTTCAAGGAGCTTTTTATCCCAGAACCTCCAATCCTATCTGATTCGTCGGATGACGAAGAAGATGAACCTATTATCCAACTATCCAATTCGTTCAGGAACGGTGCTTCGACTACGGGTGGAAGCCGACAAACGTCATTGACGCCAAATGTTGCAATGAGTGAGCCAAATATAGATACTACTCCTAAGCCACACACTACGCCCTCTGGAGGGTCTTCGAGAGAGCACTCAGGTGATCCAAGCCCGATGCGAGTCAAGTCCCCTCTCGCGGGTCTGAAGTCACCTCCCTCGAATGGACAGAAGCAGCCACGATTTGGAGAGCGTCCTGTTTGGTGGTTAGATGTTTTGAGTCCTACGGAAGCAGAGATGAAGGTGCTTTCCAAAACGTTCGGAATCCATCCATTAACAGCAGAGGATATCATGCTTCAGGAACAACGAGAGAAAGTTGAACTTTTTCGACACTATTATTTTGTTAATTATCGGTCGTTTGATCAAGATGCTGAATCGGAGAACCACCTGGAGCCGGTCAACATGTATGTCGTGGTATTCCGCGAAGGTGTCATATCCTTTCACTTTAGCCAGACCCCGCACCCGGCCAACGTTCGACGCAGAGTTCGCCAACTCAAGGATTTCATGATTCTTAGCGCTGATTGGGTTAGCTACGCAATCATTGACGACATCACAGACGTCTACCTGCCTCTTATTCAGACCATCGAGGACGAGGTGGATGCTATCGATGATAGAATTCTGCAACTCCATTCGGATCCTTCTCTATCGAGCTCCGATAAGAAGAAGAATCTCGATAACGAGAAGGGCAATCCTGACACGAATGTTGAGAGTGGTGGAGATATGCTGCGTCGGGTTGGTGATTGCAGAAAGAAGGTCATGAGTCTATATCGACTTCTTGGAAATAAGGCCGACGTCATCAAGGGTTTTGCAAAACGTTGCAACGAGCATTGGGAGGTCGCCCCTCGATCTGAAATCGGACTATACCTAGGCGATATCCAGGATCATATCGTGACTATGACGGCCAACCTTAGTCACTACGAAATGTGCGTCCTAACCCCAGTCGAGACTGATTTGCGAGAATGTAGCTAATGTGAATAGGATCCTCGCCCGGTGCCATGCCAACTATATCGCGCAGATCAATATTCACATGAACGAACGACAAGAACAGACAGCTGACGTTCTAGGCAAGCTAACAGTCCTCGGTACGATTGTGCTCCCAATGAACATCATCACCGGTCTCTGGGGAATGAATGTCTGGGTGCCTGGCCAAGAATACGAGGGGGACCTGAAGTGGTTTTTCGCAATCACCACAGGACTGATCATCTTTGGCCTCGGCTGCTTCATCATTGCCAAGAGAGTATACAACATCGTCTAGAATCTCGACATGACCTGGATGACGTATAAGCGTGACACACGCCCCGTATCTGGGTAGGTCAAATATAACGAAGTATCTTACTACCCAGACAAGCGGGGGTAACCTACTTTATATAAGGGTTGGATACTTGTCCAATGGTACCCCATGTTATCGGACCATCAAGGTTCTTGTTTCATGGTCACTTCACACGAGGTACATATCCGAACAATATCATTCGTACATGGAAGCACCAGCATTGTGTTTATTTTCTTAGAATAAAAGCTGTGAAGCGTACTTCATCGGGTCCGGAGAAAGGAGACTTGGCGTTGGGGATAAGAACCTTAAGAAGTTGGGTACTTTTTAATATGGATTGGGTCGAATACATATTCTTATACATATACATACATAATAAGCTACATAGTACATATAGCGGTGCCGACATCGGTTCGTTCTTTAGACTCTTATAGAGTTGAATACATATAAATATCTGAGCGAAAAGGCATTATTTAGGTATTGCTGAAGTGAGGTAGAAGGCTGATACACTTGTCTAACAGTAGGACAATGTTACAAGACTACGGGTAAGCTAACGTTGGAAGGGTAGTACGATTACCCGTTTCTCGAATTATGATTCGAGAGAAATTAGCTCTATCACAGGATCCTCTGGTACCTAAGGTTCACGTATCTCCAGGAGGATGAGCTACTTAGATGAATAACCTCGTTAATTGTGATACCGGTGACGGACTGTGGCTTACAAATCTCCACTTTGTGGATCGTGGCGGTGGAAGCATCCAGGTGTGGCGAGAGCTATAGCTTTCAAGTAATAGGATTGGTCAGCCTTGGGCGCCAAGCCTTTTGCTAATCTGTGTACTTTGTACTTATCTCCACAGCAAGTTCAGCCTCTCAACCTTATTTTTCTTAATCATCGCCCTCGACTTTTGCACCTTTCGCCTCTCAATTACAAACACTCAACAACAATTGACCAGGCCGACAATTCCGCAGAATCGCGATAAAAGCTTCATCTCAATCGACTGCTAATCTCGTCATCGGTACTACTTTCGCAGCCACTGCAAATCAAAGCATCGCGACACAACAAACGCGACGACAAATTTCGTCCAACCACACACCAACCCTCACTCTCTCACCGACCTACCTCCCCCAACCCATCCAAAATGGCCAACTTCCTAGCCTCAATCTTCGGCACAGAGCAAGACAAAGTCAACTGCTCCTTCTACTACAAAATCGGCGCGTGTCGCCACGGCGACCGGTGTTCTCGGAAACACGTGAAACCCTCGTACTCGCAGACGATCCTGCTACCAAGCATGTACCAGAACCCGGCGCACGACGCGCGCGCGCGCCTGACTCCCGAACAGTGCGCGAACCACTTCGACGCCTTCTACGAGGACCTGTGGTGCGAGCTGTGCAAGTACGGCGAGCTGGAGGAGCTTGTCGTCTGCGACAACACCAACGATCACCTCGTCGGCAACGTCTACGCGCGGTTTAAGTACGAGGACGCCGCGCAGGCGGCCTGCGACGCGTTGAACTCTCGATGGTACGCGGGTCGGCCGGTTTACTGTGAACTCTCCCCGGTAACGGATTTCCGGGAGGCGTGTTGTAGGTTGAATAGCGGGGAGGGCTGTGTCAGGGGTGGGTTTTGCAATTTCATCCATCGCAAGAATCCGACGCCCGAGTTGGAGCGCGAACTTACGCTTAGTACGAAGAAGTGGTTGAAGATGCGTGGACGCGATGAGAAGAGCGTTAGTCGTAGCCCGAGCCCTGAGCCTACGCGGAAGCGGTATTAGGCGTAGGATGCTGGAGGAGGGATAGCTGGTTGAGGTTGAGATATTTGAGGCAAGGCTGGGGATGATCTCTGAACGGGGGAGTAATGACTCTAGGATCTTTCAGTTATGTTGTGCCTCGGATTACTGATGTAGAGGTCGGATATGAAGGTGGAAGAATATCCCGAATAAGGAATCTCAACAGCAGTGGATCAAAGTGAGAAAAGATCAGATACGGGAAGCAGTCGGGCTAGGATCCGACAGAATGAGGATACCCCCAATTTTTCGCCTGTCGATTGTATTGCTAGAAGGAAAGAACCATGATCCTACGGAATGGATTGACGAATGAGCAACTTATTTTCATGCAAAAGGGGAGGCCTAGGTAATGGCGTTAATAGGAATTCCATCGACTTTTCATAAGCTCAACTTAAGACAATGACAATTGACATGTAGAAACACTTCAATATTGTTCCCAAGATCAGGCTCAAGTAAAGGACAAGCCCAAATCATGAGAATATGCCTACCTGAATAGTCTACTACCTACTACCTAATACCCAGTACACTAACAGCATTCCTACGAAGGTGATTATAATTATAAAGACAAGTATATTTTACCCCAATGCAAGCAACAACGCGGCTGGTTACTGACTGCCCCAGGAGGCCCTCGATGCACATCTATTCCCGTTTAACACGCACGTACAAACACACACTCTTTCTTTCTGTTCTCCTTACCCTAACCCCAAGGTTTGCCGTCCCTGAATATTACCACGACTAGAAAGGAAGATGAGAGTAAGCAAGATGCCCCTATGCTATCAAACGTTGTATGCCCAAGTTACGGTGTAAAAAGTAGTAGCCAGAATTTCAGGTCTCGTGGACATGGGCAAGTATTGTGATTGGTCCCTCCCTTGTCCATGATGAAGAATTACTAAGTCTGGGGTGGACGAGTTATCAGAAGCCTGTTTGCCCATTTAACACCAGAAGATGAAGTAGGGCATCAGGTTAACCAATTACCCTGCTCTATTCTTACATTATAGCCACTTCATGTGTGAGCGTCGAAGAAAGCGTCGTTACTCTCCACCGTATCCCCTCTCCCCCTGTTTGGTCCTGGGGTCTTGGGAGTGGCCGGGAGGTTCTTTTTGAGATCTCCCGCAAAGTCGATCAACGGGCCATCCGGTTCGCGGCCGGTCGATTGCAACATGGTCGAAATATCCTTGCTATCCTTCCTAACCACCGGGGCAGGAGCATCGCTCTGGCCGAAGTCGATCAAGTCCGCTGTCGCATTTTGCGAGGCCCCCTTGGTTGCATCTGGATGCGAATGAGAGTGTAAGTTCGGGGAGGGGATGTCCCATTCGCTGTGTTTTTGGCCTGGTATTATGGGGTAGATAGCCATGATTTGTTCGGCCTGTTGTTCCGGTGTCGTGCCATCGCTATGTCTAGAATTAGCAAGGGTGTTTCAGTGTGCTAGTAACACCAGGGTCTGTCACCCACATGTGCGCATTGATAATCCACTCTAGATGTTCCATATCTTCTCCCGTGCCACCGTAATCTTTGTCTACTCGCCTGAACAGTCGAGGTTGCCAATCAACACCTGCCGCGCCTCTACTCGCTGCTTCATCTCGCTGCTGATCTTCGACTTTCGTTTTCTCGTCCGTTGCCACTTCGTGGTTCCTTTCCTTAACCGCTTGCGCCGTCTTTTGCCATAGTCTTTGCGACTCACGCTCTCCCTGCTCCTCTAGAGGTCGAACACGGGGTTTCGAAGCCCTTACTTTCCGGGCATCGAAAAACATATCTTTGTGCCCATTCTAGAATACCTATTAGACATAAACGAGACATCAACAGCTGCGAGTTACCTACACTGAGATCTTTGATGAACATCTCCTCGCTCCATAAGCCGGAGAGTTCGAAGAGTACCTGTCCGGTGCGATCATCTTTTATCGTGCCTCCAATAGCATTATATGTCCCGCTAACCCAACCCTTTGTCTTAAAATCGACATCGGCCGTGAGGCCAAGCTCGGGACATCGTACTACGCTGTGATCGCCTAACTCATATTTCATGTTTCCGAACAGGATCCCTCTCGCGTACATATTGGGTTGTGTTAGCCAGCTAAAACACTATCGTTAGCCATCGCTCATATGAAGACCACAGGAATCCCACGAACTATCTTTCTCCCTGTTTACGATCCTTCCCCCTATTTGTCAATGTGAGCACAGCGATGCCTTCCATCAAACTCGCAGCCGAATTACCCAAGAACTTGCTCCTAGGTTTCAGGGTACCATCGATACGAATGTGGTGTTCCGGCGCCATATAAAAGTAGCTCGACTTAGGCGGGTGGTGGGACGTTTGTTCGGAGATGTAGTAGGCGCGAGTGTTGTCGGGTAAGTCCCAATAACAGGAGAATACTTCACCGAGGATCGGGTTGAGAGGTTTCTTGACACCCCTGTTATCCTATATCAGCCTATATAAGCTATAGATGGAAGTAGGGATACTGTACGGTGGTCTAATATGCCAGCCGCTAAGATAAAATTTTACTACGGACACGAAGCGTTGGACCGGATCGTCGATATCGGGAATCGGGAGGAGCATTTCTGGATGGCACATGAAGCTATATTCGGCTTGCGTAAGCACTATGTCATGGCACCGGAAGCCGTGGGTTAATAATTCGAGCAACGTACTTGGTGATCCGTTCCAGCATACTTCGAGGCTCAAGGATGAAGGTAGGCAGCACAACTCGGCTTAGGTCGGCGCCGGGTCGCAGTTGAGAAATAATATGTGTGAGGACTTTCTAATGATTAGGATATATGCTTCTTAGCGACATTTACTCGAAAAGACTTACCGTTGCCCTGTTCGGGCTCCATTATGGAGGTATCATCGTCATCGGCACCGTCTCCGGACGATCTACTGCCTATATGAGGCGGCATTGTCAGCGAGCAGGTAGCCTTACAAAACAAATGCAATTCTCGTACGGTCAACAGGGGTAGCTTTAGATGATTAATACGTGTGCTTCCTTTTGTTCAAGTCTAAAATACCGAAATCCTTATTAAAAAAAAACGACAAACTTTACGTACTAGCATTCGACATTGTTCGGCGACGACGGCCTAGGCCTGAAGTAATCTTGACTCCGTGCATCGTCTCTCTCCTTCTATCGGACCGGGTGGGATCAAAGATTTAATTAATAAATACCTAAGCTCTTTTTTAAAAAGGGGAGGTTACCCGAATCGTAGATTGTTTATTGTTAAACAAAGATTTAAAAAGATTTAAAGATTTATTGATAAAGACAGAGAGATGCAAAGAGGGTCGCAACTGGAAGCAACCCGTAGCTGATAGCTTGTAGCCTGACGCCTTCGCTCCTGCTATCATTGATTGATGTAAGTCCGGGTTGTGCAAGTATAAAAAGTATAATGATGTACCCCTCCCCACGTTGCGCTGGTTCAAGGTTCCCAAGGTTGCTTAGCGGATAGCGGATTCTCGGGTTGTTATCGATTACAATTTATTACCTCCAACGAGGTATCACTGGCTGACCGGGCACCCCTAATTAGAGGGGCTGACCGATGACCTCACCAACCCCAACAAAGATTTACTTTATGTAGCATTCCGCAGAGCTGAATTGAAAGTGTATAAAATATGCGATGCGATAACACTCTATCTAAATTCCCTGCAGCGGGACTGCGTACCTAGTACAAGCCTAGGTATCTCTTATAAAATATTGAACACTAAGAGTAAATGAATAATAACTTAGTACTTCCATTTGAATACCTACCTAATACACAATTCAGACCTATTAATGCCTAGTCATTGTTTGAGTAAGGGATTAAAACACCGTATGCATGCATCCTCGAATCCGAACCCGAATGACCGGTGGAGTTACGTAGTGGGCGCCGCAAAATAATTTCCTTTAAAAGGGGACTAGTGAGGCCAAGCGTGCCGGGGCCGATGACGTACGTCAGATACACATGTCGATGTGGAGGCGCGCGTAGTCTACTTTAGGCAAGACCGGTGACATATTAAGATAATTGGTTGACTTTGTTGTTAAATTTCAGCTGCTACATCGAGCTTCCAACAGTGATTCTACCTAGTAGCTTCATAGGTACGTAAGTTCCAATTGCTGAAACAGCAACGTAACAAGGGTCCAGACGCAAAACTGCTCGTCGGCAAGTTGACTATTTTTTGCACCTCCTGAGAAGCTCCTTGCTACGACTCGTCGACTTGTGACGCCCTCCTCTTGCTCAAATAACCACTGGGGTATCGTGTCATACATGTAGCATTACTATACGTCGCAATGCCCATTGGGTCAAAAAACGATATGCAGTTCGTCTGCATGAATCATGTCCTCATTTCATCGTGGCTCCATCCTCATTTCCCCCTACTTAATCGCGACCCTTTCACTGGCGCGGGGAGAACCGAACAAAGCCTATCTCTCTCTGGAGGATCGTTAGTTCTAGATTCGGTAACACAAAATAGGAGTGCCAAGCTTACCAAGGTTATCATCGAACAGTATCGATATGTCATCGTGTTCGCCGGCAAAATCAGGCATGTCCAGACATAAGAATGCCGTATCATCCGTGTCCGCACCGCCTTCGCGGGGCACTCTCGGTAGTGGAAATTTGGCGTCAGCTAACTTCAAGCCCGCCTTCCCATTCCGGCTGTAGCACTCGAATGTGTCTGTGCCTTTGAGCACAAACCCCATGCATTGCCCGTGATGCCAATCCTCGAAGAATGCTAATAACTGGACCGTCTTGTCTTGCTGGACCACTTGTACGCGAGTGGTACCAGCCTCCCACTTCTTGTGGATGGGCACTACCATCATGCGCCGAGAGATGTTTAGGTTTATGGCGATACCATCGAATAATATAGAATATCCCGTAAGTCCAGCTTGGAACGCGTGAAGGTCCCTAAAACTCGGGAACCTGTAGGTGCGGACTGTTTGGCCGCGTTGGATAGTATTCTGTAAACCTGCAAACTCGCGATGTGATTCTCGAGGTACATGCGTTTCCAATATGGAAACCGTCATATCCACCTGCGGTTGTCTCAGGACATGCAATGTCAAGATATCCTTCGTGCCAAGCCTAAATTTTAACTCTCCAGGTCCAACATTGACTCGGTCCGTAATGGTACTGACCACCCCGACTCCGCCCTTGTCCAACGACTCGATTTCAACTCTGAGCCTCTCTGCCAATACTGTGCAAGGGATGTCCATGTATCTGTCGTTGATAACACGCGCGCGCTGCCAAGGTAGTCGTTGAATAGCTGGCAAGCCTCCCTTTGTGTCGCCGGCCACCTCTGACATGTTCATGCCTTCTAACGGAACTTCAGCGATGATTTCCTCCTCTTTGTGTATATATGTCCCAGTGATCATCTTCAGCAGAATCTCACGCTCCTTGTCATCGTTGAATGTCATGACCATCCTCCCCTTATAATTCCCGTCGTTGAAGTCTAGTTGGAGAACGGGGGCACGTTGGTCGCCACGGAGTAGAGCGAATTGAATGGGGAGCTGGGGTGAGAAGGAGTGCGTCACCCCGCTGAGTGTTCGTGTCCTTGGCCCGGTAACGACCGAAACCCGGAAACCTCGGTGGAACGTCCTGGTCCCGGTCGGGCTACTTTCTTTCAGGAGTTTCTCAAACAAGGCTATCTCACACTGCCCTACTGGTTCCTTAGGGAACGTCCTTCCTTGTGGGTTCGAATCGAAATAATGGAACGCACGAAGCGACGTCGTATGCCTGGTGGTTTCATCTCTTCGCGGATAGAGGTAAGATTGTACTTTGGAGCTGAAATCATACATACTCCATAGCATCTTGAAATCTTGCTGTGAGCACTCAATCGCAAGCATGAAACCTCGGGGTAGTTTAATCTCAAGTCGGCAAGCCTCTGATCTCCATCTGACATCCTGCCACGTCGGACCCGCGTTCTTGTCTTGCTGTATTCGCAACGAGACGGAGCCATTTTGGCTTGCAATGATGAAATTCAGGTTCGGGTCGGTTTGTGCTCGCACAATAGATAACATGCAGGGGAACCGAGTTTGTCTCGATTCCACGCCCTGCTCCATGAAGAATACATCGGATACTACTCGACCGTAGTTAAAATGCTTGGCAGTATCGCCAAGGGGCAAAGCTTCCAGTGCTTCCATAGATCGGGTTGGCTGCTTAGCAGCTACGAGAGCGGAGCCCCATACTCCATTGAGAAGGGCGATGATATCTTGGCTCACTGATGGGTATTCTAAAAAGATGCCCTTATCCATCGTTTGGGGAAGGAAAGGTTCTTCGGGAGGTAGGAAACCGTTACGCTTCATAGACCCAGAAAGCTTTCTCAAGTTAGAAACTAAGGCTTGCCTAACTTCACCAAGCTCGCCATCTACAGGGCTGTATTTGCCTTCCGCTATCTCGGGAAGCGCTTGTTCCATTAGCCAGTACCCCTTAGCTAAATCGGTGTAAGCCTGGTATCGAGCAATAAGCAGCCGGGTTTCGTCTGGATTCGCTGGTCGACTTCTAATAATCGTCTCCAACGATGTTCTCCCTTTCAAAAACCACCACAGCGCAGCTCGGCACATATCCTCAGGCCGTGAAGTTCCCAAGGGTCTAAATTGCTCCGCATGGAGTCGAAATAATTCATACAAATGCTTCGTTCGGGCGACGAAAATCTCTAGTGCATCATCGCCGGCCGAAGCTGATACGACAGTATCATGGAGACTCCGGTGAGTCTTTTCTGGCGAAGGTGGAAAGATTCCGCGTGAACCAGCAATTTGGGTAACCGGTGTGGCCTTGTGAGAGGCAGGGGATGTCGAATGAATAGAATTCGAATATTGAGACGAGGGGCTCTCGCCGGGGTTGTTTGTATTTATAGGCATCTCATCAGGTGACACCGGCCGCCGTGGCATGACAGGTACCATATCGAAATCTGGTAGTGCGTCCTGATCTGCTATGGGAGGTAAGGGCGATCTGCTGGAAGATCCATAGGATTGGTTATGCTGTGCATCTTGGTAAGAAGGAGGGTTTGGTGATCTAAGAGAAGGACTTTTGGCTGGCCCTTGTTGTATTGGTGAAGGCTTCAATGGGGCTCTAGTAGACTGAGTTCGCAATACCGAGGAGACGGATTCCTGTAGTGACTGAGCCGCCGATCTGGTAGACATGGATCTTTCCGGAGGGGGCGTCGGTTCCTGCATAGTCGGTATCGTCGGTTGTTTGTGGCGCATACTTGTTTCTCGGATTGGCTCAGGAGATGACCCTGGGTCATCCCACTCGCGCTGGGAATTAGCGCTAGCACTCCTCATTGCCATTCCCTCGGCTTGCCGCTGCTCCTGCTGGTGGATTTCGATAAAAGAACGACGATTGTCGTCTTTTCGGCTAGCAGACGTGTCTAGGAAGTTGGAGGCCCGAGAAGATTCACCCGCGGGAACAGCACGTGGCATTGGAGGTTCTGGAGACGAATAAGGAGGGGGCTCGTCTGAGCTTCCACCGAAGCCTGTCTGAGTCCTGCGCATCGGACCTGGAGCGAATCCACCATCCTCTTTCTTATGTGTTTCTTGAAAGGCTCCTACTTGTCTAGCATATTGATGACCCTCTTTTGTAGGCGGGATTTGTGCTGTAAGGGGTACAGATTTAGATCTCTTTTTCCTGCCAATCTCAGCCACTATGATCTCGCATTCATCACCACCCTCGCCAATGATCTCAGGGTATGCATCGGTGAAACGGACGACGAGGTTCTTATGTTTCCTTGGTCGTGGGCTATGTGACCGTGCTCGTTGGGAGAGGCTCTGGGATTTGCTTTCGACTTCGAGTGTTTGCGGGAATCGGCTAGCCTTGGTCGTATCGAGGGCGAGAGATGGTGGGCCCCTAGGGGTAGTAGCTGGGGGCGGAGGAAGGGGATGAGTAACCATTAAACGATCTGAGTGACCAAGAAAGTCGGAGATTTCGTTTGCACTCTCTTCGTTGGTCATTTTCCTATCTCTAGTTCCGCTACCACCAAATAGCTTCCCCATGAAACGATCCCTTCGTCGGGCGCCTTCGGTGGGTGCATCGTTCTCCATTGTCGTCTATAATTTGGCGGGGTATTATAGGATATAGCTTCGAATTATCAACCTGCAATGTTTCCAACGTTTGCGTCCAGATAGAGCTAGGCTGGTAGCTGTCAATGGTATCAAAAATTAGATTAAGATTTGACAGAATAGTAAAAGTGATTAGCAGAACCAACGTCAGATATCAAAAAGCCAATGCTCGTCTGCTGGTGCCGCGTGTTGGTCGTGAAGAAGTAGTAGAAGTTTAGTTCAAAGATTGTCAGGAACAGTTGCCGCGGACGTGTGTATGATGTATGTTGTATGAGAATGAACGTATGTGTTGTTTACAGCTGTGTGCCCAAGTGTCCCCAGGTCCACCATTCGATTTGAGATAGCGAGATTGTTAATGTTAATTAGTTTGGCTGGGATCGTCGTTCATCAAGGGGCGTGGGCGTTAGTTGAACAGTAAAATAGTGATACACCACCACAGGCATATATAGGGAAACAGCCAGACAGGTTGTTAGTTTCGCTGTGTTACCCACTATAAAGTACCGAAGCAGGAAGCAGTGAATGTGTTAGGTGGCGGTGGAATGCGATAAACACATCTATAATCTATCCATAGATCAGATGTGGAAGCAAGGAAGGTGAACGAAGATGGCAGGATCGTTAAAAAAAAAAAGAGCTGGAAGAAACTTTGGAACTATGGCAATGTCGGCCCTGTCGCACGTCGCATGTCGCACGTGTGCTTTGTTAGGATTTGAATTGAAGGTGTGTCGTGTGTCACCTCAGGCCTGCTGGTTTAACTTCTTGTTTTAATTCTCGTGCGAGTAGGTGCGAGTCGATTTGCTGTGAATTGGTCGTGCAGCAGTTGCAGATCGCCCAGTTTCAGGTACAGTTACTGGAACCTTAACCCAGGCGGAGCCCGCACTTTTTATTTTTTTCGAAGTCCCGTCCCGGAATTCCAAGTTTCGATCGACACATCAAAATGCTAATGCACTTCGATATTCTTGACCAGAGTCGAAAGGCTTAAGGCTAAGTTAAATATCCCGAGAATCGTGAGAATCGTAAATATCAACTTAGCTACATACATCATATGCACAAGCACATGTATATAGATGTTGGTTTTCATGGGGGTCTCCCTGCGAATCCAATTATCAATCGATTTCTTACGTGTAAGTCTAAGATCAATTTGTACGTAAAGTAACCTGTACCTCCCTGTACCTGCACCCTGTCTTGTGTTAGGACGAATCGAATCAGGCCCTGGCATTGGACCCCTCGGTACCCGTTCTGTGGCTTCCACCAATTAGGGTATGTTCAAGGTACAGGGGTCACTCTATTCTTGGCGCGGTACCTTTACGAAGCACTAAAAGCGACTTGTACAGTCTATACTAAGAGCACTAAAAGGGTAGGGGTAATGGCCTTATCGAGGAGCTGATTGTCGACCCCGTCCCCGTCCCCGTTGACCCCTTGTGCTGACCTAACCTTTAAACTACCTAGGTACAAAAAGTAACGTCCTCCTAAAAATGACGGACTATATGACGAACATCCTGCCAACCAAAAAAAATAGTCACACACATAAATTCCCAAAGCAGACTTCGTCCCTGAACTGAGGCATGTAAGGCGACAGCAAAATCAGCACAATCAGCAGATACCCGATGCACACACAAACGCATAGCCGCGGGTCTGGATTGATCGGATTCCTCGGCCTCTACTGACTTCTATATTATCAATGCTACGGCGAGGCGCATGCTATGGCCTATCCCTGGATATCCTAGGTTTGTTAGATAAATCTGATAGCCTATTGCTTCGCGCCGAGATCCATTTATTGCACCGACTTACCTAGTTAATTGCGTTTACCAACCTGGCTAATTATTCAAACTTTCATTTCGGTCTTTCTTCGTCTATAGCTAGCTCGCAATTCCGATGTTATAGTCGCCGTTTGCTTGGGATTCAACAAGGCGCAGGGCTCGTGTCTACTTCGTAACGATTTATTAACGAGGCTATGTATGTGGGATATTGGGCTCAACCACCTATCCAAATATCAATATGGCTATTTCTACCGAAAATCTATAGCGACGATGATACTCCAGCCTCTCGAACTTTGTCAAATTCTTTATTGGGATATGTCTGCCGACTTGGTAAGGCTGGTCAAACGCCTCGAATTTGACATGCAGCAAGACGACATTGGGTGATATCGTAGATTGGGGGCTGTGAGATGATGAATCTGATGGTGCTGGGGCGATTAGTTGGATTGGATGCAAGAAACATACAGCTTAGTGTTGTAAATGACACCACCAATCTAGGTAGTCCGATTCAGATAGCCTACATATTGTCGTAGCGATCCGTAAGCCCCCGTCTATAATCGCACCAGCGATGCGGTCCTCGGTCTCACCGGTGTCACTTCACAACTGTTCACTTCCGGCAATGTATACGGGCCGTAAAGCCATATCGGACCTCGAATTGCCATGGTCGGCAATCGACAATGTCTTTCAGCCTATCTAGAAGAAAGTCATTATTCTTTTACAGCTCGTCTAGCCTTGCCCTCCCGCATTTTCCTCAGCATGTGTATTTTCGGCTCCATCCTCGGGCCAACCCACCAACCACCAGTCAGCGCTCTAACAGTGTCCCTTACCCTCCTTATCAAAGCACCTCTGCCGAATACTTTGTCTTGGCCAGTTTCAATGTCGCCCCCTAACGGTTTATTGGGCCTTATTAACTCAACCCCGGCAAACCCTTCGACGACTCCGACCGTCTCCCATGAGCCGATAACTTTGGTCGGGTCTTCAGCGAGTACGTAATCAAATTTCTCCCAGAATGGTGGGCTCCGTAAAGTATTCTCATCCTCAGTCTTGTCATAATTAAATGTTATCTCATTAGCGGGACGCAAGTCATTGGGATAATAAGGATGTTGACCGAATAATGTCACCCCCGTCATACATGATAGTACATCCGTATGAACCGTGACTGTTTGAAGGTCAGGGGAGGAAGATGAAGTAACGAGCTTCCGGAGTTCCGAAAGAGCCTCGCCCCCCGGGTAATTGAGAGAGGATATGAGGAGCATGGCGGCACTAATGCTAAACGAAACAAGTACCGAGCCGACAACCGCAACGGAAGCAAGTAAGAAAGTAGCGGATTTGCTACGCCTTGTAAAGATATAGTTCGCGGCTAGGGCCGCCGTTGCCGTTAATGGTGGAGCAATATAAAAAATGAACCGGGCTTCCTTATGCGGCTGCAAGGAGTATATGGCTACGAAAAGGAGACTAGGAATTACCAACGGCAGCGCCTTATTTCTTGTTCCTTCGTTCCAAAGTGCATAGGGGATAAGAAAAACTGTGCTTAACGGGTTTGTGAGGATCTTGGGGATGGCCGATGTGAAGTAGTAGTGCCAAGGGGAAACTCCCCATTCGGATGAAGAGCCCAGGATAGCATTATAATAGAACCCCCATAGTTCCGGCCATAGCGGCTTCTGCCAGAAGTAAGAATCAACCGGGACTGTTAACCATAAAGACATGAGGAAGAAGACGATGAAGGTAGGGATGATCCCTCTCAAGGATATATGAGAACGGACTAAGCCATAAAGCGTAGTAGTAACGAGGAGAATAGCCAACTCCGATCGAAACACGGCAGTAGCCATAGTAAGGTTCCCAATGGCCAACCTGTAGCGCCAAACCCTCTTCTTCTCATCAGGTTCACCCATGAGTTGCGAAAATGCCAGTGTTGCTGCTAAGAATTAATATGAAGTTCCTTTCAACATGAAGTGGAGCACCGAATAAAAAGGAGGCGCTTACTCAAGCTGAAAGCAAACATATTTGGCAGCGTTCTAGAAGCGTAGAATATAATATGAAACTGCCCGAGTTGAAGCAACGCATACCACCTCGCAGTTGGCCTACCGAAGGCTCGTTCCACGTTCGCTTTGAATACCAACAATGCGCCAGCATTAAAAAGGCCTAGAAGACCTCTCACGATAAGTTGCGCATACTGAAATCCCACAAGCGCGATGATGGGCTGGCTAATTCCCGCCAGAATAACTGGGCCAATAAAGGTCCGAGGAACAGCGCCTGGGAAGTCAAAGTGGTCATATCGAGATGAGAGCCGTTGGTATATATCTGTAGTGGGCGTCCCGTATACGAGGATATCGTGAGTTGCCTGAATATTGAAAGACTCTTCGACCTTAGTGTAAGGCGCCACCAAGAGATGAGTAAGAATCAATATCGGTATTGCCAGTGACAAGAATATATCTATAATGACCGTTAATGTGCTTTTTCGGACTTAAAGAATTCATACGGTTGGCTGGATACCAAATACATACCGAAGGCTGCCATTTTAGGAGTAGAGGCGCATTCAATATAGAAATCGATTGAAGAAATTTGATAAATGAGTGACGACGATTCAGAACATATCTTCAAATGCGCATTGTCGACAGACCTGCTGTTGCACGATTTCGATTCTCATTTATTTTGAGAGATTGATCTTCGTGATGTATCCAAGTTCAATGTTGATGAGTACAGATTACATAGGTACCTGTGTACCTGCATATGCGCAAATGCGCACTACTGTGGCTGATATGTGGCTGAGTGGATCCGTCAAGGTTAAGCTTTACTGGCCAGTTTGTGCAACCCGTCGCCGCACCGTTGACACCTGTCCTAGCTAGGTACTCTCTACCTCAGTACCTACATGTACTTATTTTAGGACAACATTTCCAAGGTCATTGTTTGAACAGCAAATCGCACACCTCCTAACCTCCTAACCTGAAATCTCGCATGTCTCCCGACCTAAACCTGCTAAGATGCTGCTCCTTGGGAATCTCCTTTATGGTAAGAAATCAGTTCTTTGATATTCGACTAGTACATAATAGCTAATGCAACATCAGTCTCGATCCTTCTCGTGAACGCAATCGCGATCTTATCCGAAGACCGTTTCCTTGCACGAAGTATGCGCCGACCCAACCTTTATACTACCTCGGTCTCATACATATATACTAACTTGCTTTATTAAATAGTAAACCTTTCGTCTGCCTCCTACGATCCTGCGTTCGGCGCCGGCCCTGATTCCCAAAGCGTAAAGGCGAAGGTTATCAACCTGATTGCTAGCGTACGAACACTGATGAGGAGTATGTACCGAACCCCTTTACATGTGGAGTGCTGCCGCATAGTTGGGAGTACACACGACTAACTAACTGGAAATATAGTTCCACTAATAGCGATTAATACATTAATAATAATCTACGAGCTGGTCCTAGGCTAAGAGGAGAACAAAACATCACGAAACACGATGAGAATATAAGGGCGCATTCGACTTGACATAGGCGTTTAGGTACATGTACACTTCGGTTTGGCAGGACATGGTCAATAAAAGATCGGGAAGGCACAAAGTCCTGTTACGTATAGGAGTCAAATCATACATAATGACACCACATACTATATCGATGATATCGCATTAGGATTTGGACCAAGCCGATGGCTTTTGTAACTATCGAGTCTTTTTTCTGATTCCTCTGCTATCAGACGAGGGCCTGTGCTCCTACGCCTGGCCTTATCACACAGATACCCATAGTACTATGAGTGAGCCCAACTCTCGGGGTAAAAAGAGTTGGGTATGGTTACTATAAAGGCTGTCTCGCCCTACAGAGTATCCAAACCGAATTTCAGTTATAGCGCATATCCTCCGTAAATGCTCGAAATCGGTGAATTTCTGTTTTTTATGCTCCTGAAACTCCATATATGCCGTACCCCTGGTGTCATTTTACTTAGACATGGGTAAATATCCCGTTGAATGTGAATCCCTTAACTCCTGCTAATGAGTATCCTTACGAGAGGTTACTATGGCTTTTCTTCCGACCAAGGCTAAAACTGAAGCTCTTCTTAAGCTTGATATGTGGCTCCGGTTTGTCGTGGGCGTGCGCCGCGCTCTCTCCATTATGCCCATTTTCGGAGACATCTAAGCTATCCCGCTTCGCTCTATCTTTGCTGAGGAACCCGAAGCTTTTCCTCGACATAGATTTGCTACCCCTGTTCGGCTTTGGTAGTGATGGGACACTATCGTCTTGCTCATTACGGTTGACTTCCTCTTCTTCGGCTATCTTTTTGCTTACTTCAAGAGCTTTCTTCAAATCATCTTCTTCGGCCTTACGAGCTTCGCGCAACCGTACCGAGGATTGTTTCCGCAGCTTCTCCTTAGCTTTAAGATCTTCCTTCTCTGCTACCTTCTTTGCTTTTTCCTGTGCCTTAGCTTCTTTCTTCTCCCGGCTCTTTTCCTCCTTGGATTTTGAATCTCTCTTAACTGTATTTACCCTCGCTGGAAGCGGAGGAAGAGGTGGTGCTGCGCCATCAACTTGAGGGGGCAACGCCGGCGAAGGGATTGTTGAATTGATGACTATGTCGGGTGCAGTGGCAGCATGATCCAGTATCAACCCTTCAGGTTCTTCATGTGCTCGGTTTGGTTGTGTTAACTGCCTCGACAACCCAGGGACGTGTCCATTAGGTTGGCCATCCTCCTGAGCAACACCGGCTTTCTCGCTAGCTATCCTAACTTCTTCAAGTCCTTCGGCTTCCTGCTCAGCCCGCACTTTTTCGAAAGTTGTTTCTTGGTAGAAAAGCACGTATGCGCAAGCCATACCCGGCTTATCGCCAAAGAAATTCCTAACGTAGTGCTTGTCAACCGGTTCGACCATTTCATCGTCAAACAAGAGCCAACCTCGGTCCTCCGTTTTGATGACCGAAACATAATGTCCATGGTACGCGTTACCGCCAATATGGATAACGACGGCGTATAGCTCGTATAACCGGTCTGGATCTTCAGCATCCTCGGTCGTATTAAACATTCGTAGCTGGTATGGGTAAACCACGCGATGGAATAGTTTCTGTAACCGGCTATAGTCCTCAGTATACTTAAACCTTTTTAGGTGTAATGCTAGCACCTTGGGTAATCGTTTGATTTTCATGCGCTTTTCAGCTTCTTGTAAGCCTCCACAGTGATCGCAGTGAAACTTATTCCTCTCACAAAGCATCTCCTCAGCTGAGAATTTTTGTAAGCAAGAGGTCACCGAAGTGTGTTCCTCCAAGTCGATTGACAAATCGAGAAACGTTTCGTCGCGCTGAGATGCGGTCTCACATGTGAGGCATTTCGTCTCTGATGTTAATACTCCTTCAAAAATATCATGCACCCATCCTGTTCCTGGAGAATTCGTACCGTTTGAGGTAGTCTTAGCGACTGCCCCTAAGGCAGCTTTCAGCGATTCTTCGACGCCGTCCTTACCAAGAAGCGCTTGCTCGTTCAACAATCGTTTGGCTGTGTTCTCGACATTTGATATGATATCGTTCAAAACGAGTCCGTAAAACTCATGGGCGTCCTGGTGCATCGAATTTCGGAACATTTCATTGTCGCGCTTGAAAATCTCGAGGAATCGCTGCGGACTGAGGACCCCTGTACGGACGGTACTATCAACCAGCGTCATAAAAATATCTCTTAGCCCAGTGAATGTACATTCATCCATGCCAAAAGTTTCGTTACTTTCTTGTGCCAGCTCTAATATGGGTCCTTTGAGCATGGCTTGCTTCTTCTTATACTCGGGGGTATCTGGTTTATCTTCGGGTCGGATTGGCTGGGGCTGGCCTGAATTAATCTGTTTTCTTCTCTCCATAACCTCTGCTGAAGTAAGACCTTTTTTATGCCCGTTTGCGCCCCCGTGTGCGCTTCCATTCGTAACCGGCGCTCTTATTTGAACATTGACTCTGGGACGGTTGCCATTGGGGGTACTCGACGGCGACAGTGGTGGAAAATTTAAGACCTGTTCTCGAAACGGTACGGTATAATACAAGGCTTGAACGATCGAGTTGCAGTAGCTACATTCTAATTAGAGCGAAATTCCTTTGGAGTATAAAGTATTCTTACCAAGTGTTGCCAAACTATACGATTAAAGTCAGTTTCATGATGTTATGATGTGGATGTGGATGTTCATAGTCAAGACGTACATTCTCCATTCCAAAGAACTTGTCGCTTCCATCTTGCCGTAGTGCGCCAGTGTTCTGAAGCATCTTCTCCAATGGAGTTAACTCCGGAGTAGCTTCTTCCTTCTTCTTTTGCGCATCTTTGCCTGTCGAACTAGACGTCGCCTAGTATCGCGTTAGCATACCCAGCATTATACCAATAACCCAAGACTTAGGAGACACTTTATATCATGAAAGCGCGCCTATCTCGATGTTGATCTACGATTTTGACGACTTACGGAGTTACTGGATTTCCATTTGTTTAGGAAACTCGCCATTGTAAATATAATAAGGGACGAATTAAAGGAATAGCGCAAGTTCGGTCGGGACGAGCCAGCGTCGGAGCGCGGCGGAAGGTCAACAGGATAGGACGAAATTGACAGCGACAGTCATCCGAAGGGCTCTCTTTCTTAGTACGAAGTAATGGACAATAGGTAGTTAAATCGCAACATAAAAGATATTATTTGTCGCTCGGGAAAGCGTATTCTCGGCGTTGAAAATTCAGGAGATCTATTCGTCGTTTCGGCTTCCAAGTTCCACTAGATCGTCAATCGAATAGCTTCGGTAACGAATAATGTGGTGTTCGTCCAAGACTCTAGGACAGGTCGGCAACTTTCTTTGTATTCGATGTAAGTGATAAGGCCGACTTTTTTAAACAGCGAACCCCGATAAGATGACAAATGATGTGTCAAAAGAGAAAGGCTCGTGCGAGAGTTGTAAAAGAATCGCCAGCGAAGAATCGAAGGAAGAAGCGAGTGACAGCTGCTGGTTTTCGAGGGAGGAGGATTTGGATTATTCGATCGGTTCGGGGATTGGATGTATTGGATGTACGAAGTACGAAGTACACATTGGAAGGAGCCGGGGAAAGTGAATGTATGCAGGCAGTGTATGTAGGTACCTGACCGGGTGGCTCTTACCGCTGGCAGTGCCACCGAATGACCTGAAAATCTGCCTGTACTAACTAACGGTCACTGACCTGTACTTGCCAATATCCATGTACCTAGGACATACTCTGCTGACCCTCGCTAACCCAACACCTCCATTTTAGCACTTTAAAAGCCTGGAGATTTCGAAAAGATGGGGTAAATAGTGCTTAGCCCTAGTGTCTTCTCGGACTAACACCAATTTTGTATCTCCACTGGCCGAGATGGGCAACGGGCAGTGCGCAACAGTTCCTCATTCAAGTTTTGTTCATCTCGTCATGTGTGTCGGTAACTTGTGTGTGGTACATTCTTTGATGTCAATATTGTCGTAAGTAAGAAGTCATCAATCTACGATATTCTAATTGAGTTGCGGTTTCTTCCATTAGTTTAGGCCACTGGCTAAGTTCGTCGGATGTGAGCATCAAACAGACTACCTGGTACCAATATGTAGGAACAAACTTAAAATTCATTAACTTTGCTTTAGTAGAAAAGTAACCAAACCGCATTTACCAAATGAACAAACGAACAAATCTCATCTCTTACTACTCTTAAGTACTTAATCTTAACCCTAAGGTTACTAAGTCGATTAGTTTTTCGACGTGACAACCAGTCGGGCTTCCGATCCGATTCCCAAAACGGCAGTTTTTCCATCTCCATTAAGGGGATTCGTCACGAACTACACCAAGGATTGGTATTCTAGCGTTAAATTTATTAGTTCACCTTCCAAGATACAAGTTTTGACCCGTCTTGACCCGTCTCCATCCATCTCCGAGGTCCTATCTATTCTCTTCCCACTTTACTTACTCATTTCTAATTCGGAGATTTCCCGCTTAACGATTCCTATCTTCTTCGTAGCAATCGGAGCTTTCTGCTTCAGTATTGCGACATTGAAATATTGAAATCTATCAGGTCTAATGTTACAATTGGCAAGCGGCAAGATCGCTAAGTGGGGGGAACCGGGGGATCATTTCTTGGGACTTCTCAGTTGATGTCTCACTAGCTCCACTTGCCACGCTCCCAGGCAGGCCAAGGCGTCATCAACGCTCTGTGGTTCGACCATTCTACGTGTTCTAGACTTAAAGTAGAAGGTGATCACCACAAACCTTCTAGGGACCGCTGGTCCCAATGCTACGGATACGGGCCAAGGACCCCATCATTCCCCTCGGTCTTCTCGCTTTGAGATGAGTGACGATATTCTCAATACATACATAAGAGAAGGATCGTGGCTTCAAACTTTGACGAAGCAGTGTCACCGCGTTCTACGTAGTCAATGCTGCATCGTTCCGCTGCCACCATCGTCATCGCAGTAGGCTGTAAGACGGTAACACGCGTCTCGCTGCCGCAGATCATATCGGGCTACTTCTCCGCAAGGCATCGCTTCCTTGCTAGCTTGGCATAGTAGTGCTCGTGCTAACTAAGCTAGGACAATCTGATTGTTGAATCTTGTGGGGTTATACCCGCCAACAAGACTGGTGACGGACAGGTGTGAAGGGAAACCCATATAAGTATGGCTGGTCATACGCATAAGAACGGGGATTGTTCGCAAGCTGGGACCCGAACCTTACCAACGACCCTCGCTTGATCACCTAGATGTGGTTCTGCAAGTGCTCTGCAAGTGTTCTTGAAAGGCAGTCTGGCCCCCCAGATAGGCTGATGACCGCACTCGGCCGAGATTGGCCATCTCGATTACGGACGAAAACTACGAGACGCCGATTTGTTAATACATACCATAACGCCTAGAAATTTATATTCCTTCCGCCACCATTACCTTCAGATTAAAAGTATTCTAATATTTAGATGAAGGCCTGCCCAGAGACTACTAACGGGAGGACCTGAAGTTACACACTGATTAAGCCATGGCTGCCGTTGGCTAATGCCGCTTGGGTTTTCTTGTCACTTAATGCGCTCTTGGCTTGGTTCCCAGACGATCTGCACCAAGACAGAACCGAGGAAGCGCCGCCTTGCATTTGGAGCAACCAACGAGCAAACCCGTCACGAGCAAGTTGCAGCAGTGTGGTTGCGCACCGCGCGGAACTGCGCGATGACGGAAACCGAACCGTAGCCATGTCTAAGCCCATGTGGCAGGCCTGCAAGGGCTGACATGCTTCGATCACCCTCATAAGGCGTCTTCTAGAAGGCAGAGATACCTCGTGGGTTACAATACTGCGTGCGTGCGTGCGACCCCAAGCTGATGCACTTTGAGGCCTTTTCTCAAGAACGAGCTCGAAACAGCCCATCTTGACATGGCTGAAACCCCCACTTCAACCAATAGTAGCTGTCATTATAGCCTACTTTATATTATCGACCCCAATCCATTATAATTCGGATGTGTCGCTACCTGTCAGTAAATTGACCAATAGCCGCAATTCGGCTTTGGGGATATCGGGTAGTATATAAACCAGCATGCCCCAATGTCTTGGAAAATATCTCACATTTGGATCAGGCTGTCAGTATAGCTTCCCAAAGGAAACCAAGTTACTAACACAGTCTATTTGTAATCTCGCTGTCCCGGTGGTGGTAGTTTAAGACACAACAGTATCACTGACTTCACAATATATTCATTGGTTTGGCAAATGATACTTATGCAGGTAGGTAGGTCAAGGTACCTACTAGGTAGGTAATCTACTTATATTCGTGTGGCGGTCAGTCATATATGAATTGTAGAAAACTGGACGAGGTAAAATAATTGAAATAAAAGGTTCAACCTAAATCTCACTTCGTTCTATTACGGGTGTATACTACCTCCCTGTACGAGATCAAGATTCGGACTCCGTCATTCTGGAACCTGCATAGGGGAAACACTTGTATACCTATAGTACCTCGTAGAAACTAAGCCACCATAAACCGTATATTATAGTATATACACACGCCCATTCGCACCTATAAATGGCTAGAAAGTACCTGGCCGTAAATCACCTTGAACAGTAGGACCATTTAATATATGTACAAAACCATTGCCAAGTAGGTACCTACTTCCTGGGCAGTTCAAATCAACCATACAGGGGCCTTCAAGTGATACTACATGTGATATCACAACTTTACAGCTTCGGACAATAGGAAAGTTGCTGAGACAGAAAATGGCTATGTATCTGCGTAACACGATAAGGTAGTCATTACAAACCCCCCAAAATCAAAGTCGACCCTGCGTTAACTTGACAGTCGATCAAATCAGCCAACCTAGAAAATAAATCTCATATCACCTCACGTTTCGCTTATTTCTTCTCAGGAGGCGCGGCTCCACCGGTCGTCGGGAATCCCATGAACATCTTGAAGTAGTCCTATTACACCGTTAGCGGTCTTATCCTAGCAAAGGGGGACAAGAGAAAGGGGGAGCTCACGTAAATCATCCACTGGAGACCAGTTAAGGTACCAATCATGACAATTCGGACCGGCAGACCATTCCACAATCCCATGAAACCGATATCCTTGTAATTCCTTGCTACAGCAGCTCCGAAGGCCTCACCGGCCCCACGGTTGGCGTTCAACTTACTAACCAGCACATCGGCCGGATGAGAGACGATGGCGCAAAGAATACCAGCAAGGTATCCACCGCTGAACGAAACCGCCGTCTGCGCACCCTTTCCGTAATCGCTCTTCTGACCCGGCAGACGTTCGTAGATCTGTTCGACAATCGTCTCGAAAGACGCGAACTTCATCATCGTATACGGGATCTGTCTACCCCAAAGGGGGTACAAACCCTTATACAAACCTCCAATACCCTCCGCAGCCGTGATTTTGCTGATACCATCCAAGGTGCCCTTGTAAGGTGGGGGAATGGTAGTCTGCATACGGACCTTGACGGCCTCGAAGGGGCACAGGGCAAGGTCGGCGAGGAACTCGGCGGACGCGGACGCGGTTAGGTATAGAACCGTCTTGTACTTATACGCGTTCTCGGGCCCGGCCAGGTCCGAGTACTTCTTCTTGAAGTATTCATACCATCCGTACTTGAAGGCGCCCTGCGCCGAGTACCCGAAGAGCGTCGGGCTCCACCCCGTGAAGATCCCGCGCACGCCTTCCTGTCGTAGGATGATGCCCCATGCTTGGAAGTTGCCCTTGTAAAGCTTCGCGTCGACTTGGCGCCGACACTTAACCAGATCGAGCGGCGTCACCGCCGTGTGGGTTAGACCCTGTAAGAGATTGTGTGAGAGATGCGGTTCCCGGAGTTAAGTGGTTAAGACCGGGTTGATCCACTTACGCAAGCGAGGAGACCGCCAAAGGTGGCAGCGGCGTAGAAGGTGGGAGTGTAGAGCTCCAATTGCTTCTTGCCGCCGGCCTTGTCGAACTCTTGCTGAGCTTCGGCGCTCAGCTTCTGAGCTTTGTTCTTGGCATCTTCGACGACGGAGTATGCCGCGAAGAGCTCCGGACGAGCTTGGTGCGGAGTGGCTTTAGGAGCCGCGACGTTCCGGGCCCGTTGGTTTAGGGGCGAGCTGAAGGACTGATGGAGGACATGTTGATTGGGGAATAGGAACGACATTGTGATGGTATCTAGGGCTCTTAAGTTAGTATGGTGTTGGTGTAATTGATATGTGAATTGGGTTGTAGAGCTGGAAATAGCTCAGCCAAACAACATACCGTTTCCCTGGTGTTTACAGGTATGATCCTATCAAGATGAAGTCAGTCGCAAAGTCCAGTGATCTGGTATCAAACCACACTGTCGCGATGAGTAGACTTAATGTGTCTAAGCGAATAAACGTTGGTGACCAACAAAGGATAGATGGTTGAAATGAAGTTCAAGGAGGCTTAAAGATTTAACAGATTTATCAGGGAAGATAACCAATTACCAAGGTCCAATGACACTTCAATTATCCGAGTTTACTCCTCAGGTTACATTCAAGTAACTTTTCTTCTCTATGGTGGTAGAATGGGTACATCAGACTCCTTTTGAGGGTCTGATTCCTGATTGAGTTATTAACTTTACTTAAATAAGAAACTGAATCCCAATATTCCTTGCTGCAATGGACTTTCCTAACCTGACATGGTAAGTTTTCAACTCCTAGCTAAAATGTAGGTAAGCACTTGAGCTTCTTTTGAAGATGAGACGTCCCGTGTAAGTGACGTTGGAGGGGCTGGCAGGGCTAGATCGGTCAACGGCATTAGAGCTTTAGCCAATGATCGAAGAGGAAAACCCGATTTAATGGGCTTTAAGTGGTACTTGATTAGAATATAGGTAAGTACAAGACATGCCTATAACTTGAGTTATTCTCTCAACTTACATAGATGAATAGGTACTCAAATAAATAAATAAACAAGACAATATCAAAATATATATCTTTCTACTTTCTCAAGATGATCTTCGATACGTGCATGCCGTTTCTCTTTACTCTGTACTTATTCCAACTCTTATCATGTGAAAGGGATAGCCCCAACACAAGCTTTAAAGAGCGGCTAGAAACGCTTGCGAGGGGGTATTACATAAGGATCTGCCCCACTTAGATTTGCACTTCTTGAAGATCTTCCGTCATCTTGAACTCCACCAAGACTAAGTCAAACTAAAACTAATATTTCACTACTATCGACTTCTAAATACATCTGTGCTCGTAAACCTCTCAAGACGATCCATATTGTGACGAAGCTACCTGGATACGAAACAGATTTGAATAAACAGAGACGAAATAGTCGTATAATACAACGAGGCTAAGTGCAGCGGGATAGCTTCAAGGCTATACTGTTGAGAGAAGATCGAGCGAAAGTTCTCACCTCAATCCAATACCTACAACACCTCAACAAACGAACATGTCGCCAGTAGTCAAATCAGCCGCGCATCTCGGCCCATCGCCTCTTGGAAGCAAGACGTTCATCTCTAAATGGTCGTCCCGATATAGAGGAGTAAGATCCCTCCCCCTTAACCAACCAACGGAGTCAAACCCGGACTCAGCAAGACACCTCACATAGTAGCAACTATACACACATCCAATTAACCACCAAAAATCCACACATATCTCTACTTATAGGTATACACTACAAAAACCAACAAAACTAACCCCCAAACCAGGCAACAGTCCAAGACCTCGAACCCCCCTCCGCCCTCTCCCTCAACCCGAGCGACCCCATTTCCCTAGCCCTCCTCTCCGCCTTCGAGCGCGACTACACGCACCTAACCATAATCGACGCCTCAACACGTTCTCTGCTCGGCTACATCGCGATCCCCGCGCTCCAAGCGCAACTCGACACAGGCCGCGTGCAGCCCAACGACCCGCTCTCGAAAGCCATGGCGCGGTTCGAGCGGAAAGGGAAGAAGTACCGCGTGATCACTATGGCGACGCCGTTGGAGGAGCTGGAGGAGTTTTTTGAGGGAGGGGCCGTGGGTCAGAAGCAGGAGTTTGCGGTGGTGACGGATGAGGATAGGCGGTTTGTGCTGGGTGTTGCGACGCGGAGTGATTTGGAGGAGTTTGTGAAGAGGAGGCCGGCTTGAGGGGTGCGTTGTTGTTTGTTGTGTACTTACCCTTAGTGAGGAAAGGGGTGAGTAGCAATGGGAAGGAGATGGTGCTTAAGAGCAAGAGGGAGTATGTTATGCGTTGAGATACTTCAGCACGGGTCGATACACATATGAGGGTATGGTGAGAGGGTATTTAAAATCGACGCATATAATGGAGATTGGCGCTATGGAAAGAGGTTGATTTGTCACGCTAGGCTTACGATTTATTGATATTGCGGATCAGCTAATTCGAGGTATTCAACACCTCGGGCTACGTTAGGTACATGAGCTAGATTGGCTGGCTATACACGTCTCATGTATGAGGCTTATTCAACAAGAAATGAAAGCACATCTCATACACATTTATAGGTAACTTCAACGCGGATTTTTTTGTATTGCACTTGACGTTTCTTTTCAGACAAGAAACCAGCCGTGATTCATGCACCCTCTATTCTACCCAGCCTTAAATACCAACCCATTCATTGCCACGCCATCTATCATGTAAAACCCTCATAGAATCGAACAACCGGACCTCGCTCGCTAGCCCGCTTACTCGCTATCAGCAACCCAGTCATAAATCATCCTAAACGCAACATACGTATCCCCCTTCGCAACCACAATATTCCTCGCATATCTCCTCTCCCCACCCACATCCTGGAACCCCCAAACCTGGAGCGCCGTCCACCCATTATCCAGACTCTCCACATGATTCAACATATGCGTCTCGCCCTCAGGTCCTCCCTTCTCCGCGTCCCCCTCCAACCAATCCTTCGTGACAAAGTCGTCTTGCACCCACTTCTTCTCAATCGCTTCTCCGCCAGCACTTACCAGCGTCTTGAGCTCGGCGGCGCTGATCCATCGCGAGCGCCCTTGCACGCGGCCGAAGAGCCAGTCGCTGTGCTCGCGGAAGACGAAGTCTAGGCACCGGTTCTCCGTCGTGCCCTTGACGCCCGCCGTGGCGATCTGGTCGATGTCCACGCGCGTCACCGTCGGTGTGTCGTCGGCTGCGACGGCGGGGGGCGTGGGCGGGCCTTGGTACTGCTTTACGTGCAGCGTTACCGTCGTGTTGTTGATCGTCTTCCGGATCAGCCACCCGACGCCTTGGAGCGCTAAGGCTGGCTCTACGCTGTCTGAGAGGTTTTTGTTCTGCGGGAGGGTTAGTGGATAGGTAGGTGCTTGGATTGGTAAAGATGTGCCTGTGGCGGTGGTTATGGCGTGCTGGGAAGACGGGCTGCACGGGATGAGAGCGGAGTGGCGAGCTGTGTATGTGAGACTGTGTCTGACTTACCAGAATCCACTTCCCGTTCAGATCTCCGATTGTCTTGTTTGCCGGGGCTGCCATGGCGTCGGATGTCTCGCGGTACGGAGTTGATGAGCTAATGAGACGGGACGGGAAAGACAGAAATTCAGGAGTGGCTTATATTGGTAACTTGGCACGGCAATGGAGCACGCGACGAGGTCGTATTTCGTAATTGAAGAGTGCAACGAGAGGGAAAAACCAGGCTACGGGAAACTGGAGAGAGAGAGAGAGCAAAGCCGTCAGCAAAGTTGAAACGAGAGAATTTTGCGAGGACTCAATTGTCTCAATTTAAAGTCTTAGGGTTACTATTCTTGGTAATCACCTGCTTTTCTGTCAAACCGTCAAAGTCAATCGAGGAACTGATCCCGAGGCAGCATTTGAACGCCCTTTCCTTCACTCTTCAGCGATGAATTCCTATTCGGGACCAAATCGTAAGAGCAGCCACTTCCAGTCAGCATCCACATGTGGAGAGGGGTCGACTTTCCATTTCCTAATCGGGTAGTGAGAGGCATTGAAGACGGTATGGATGCCCGCATTGGTGCTCAACGTGATGCGGGGTACGCTAGTACGTAAGTGGTTATAGCTCATAGCTTCTGCAAGGTGAAGGAAGACGCTATCGACGCTATCGACGGCGTCTCAGCCACCCGCTCCTACTGTTCCTGCCGTTGTATCACCTGTGAATTGTGTGCGTTCTCCTCATATTAAAGTTGTATCTATCTCATTTCAATTTGTACGATTTGCCTTTTCATTTTTAAGGCTTGGTGTTGCTATCACATATCACATCATCCCAATTCGTTCCTATTTAGCCGATCTATCGATTTGATATGACATCAATGTAAGACTAGGTACGTATTACCTAGTAAACCTCATTAACATTTCATCCAGGTACCTCTTTGGTGTCATTCATTCTTGCAATACCTAGTAGGTATAAGGTACTTTAGGTACGGTATACCTACATATTTGCCTTGTAATCGTTGCTTACTTACACTGCTACATTACCTATGCAGTACGTATGTCAAAACTTAGGTAGTGATGAACGCAACCTTTTTAACAATCATGCTATAGAGGTTGTTTGGTACACTACAAGAAACACGATACTGGATAGAGAAACCGGACCGAAGATTTCAGGAAGTCGGCATTGTCCCTAGAGCCTACATGGACATAGATCTACTACCCCGTGGTTCCTTTACAAGCCAACCCTTTAGCTTTCATGTGATGTAACAGGGACTATGCACACTTGTAACCAACGAGAATAGACAATACAAGAACTTGCGTGGCCTTGAAACGTTATTCCGTTCGACTATAAAGAATGGATAAAATGTTCAGAATTCAGTTCTAAACCTGCTCTCTTATTATAATGATTAGGTCCCAGGACTAAGTAGGATGAACCTATACCCCTAGGAATTTATACATGCTTGTGTTGGGCGAATGGGAAAAAAAGGGGGATATCCTACTCATACAATTGTCACCATCTTCTGCTCCTATACACCGGAAAATTTTAAGATGACAGCCTACCATCGCCTGCAATCCAAATCCATCATCGACCCGTTATCATGGAGTCATCACTGGCAACCAGTTACTTCTCTCCCAGGCTCGGAAAGGTTTGAGATCGCCATAGCCGTTTGGCTGTCTTGCTAATACAATACTCGCCTCCCGATAGGGAGACGAATGTCTTGGGGGTATGTTAAAATCGTCATCGGTAATCACCGCCACGTTACGGCCACCACTTCATCCGTTTATAGCTCTCGATCACCTCCTCGACCAATTCCTTAGTGATAGTTGGCTTTTGATACTCAAATCCAAGCACCTCCTCAAGTCGGCTACCATCCATGCTTAGATCCGTATCCTTTAGCAGCTCCTTCTCCATAAACGGAGTCAGTGGTCCCGGTCTCGTTATCCCGGCTTCGGAGAGAAGGTCTGCCCAGGGTCCGAGAACGTCATCGTTGACATCGTCGACGACGCTATCCATGTTAAGGCGAGCCAGGTTGCTAAGAAGTTGACCTTGGAATCCCGTCTCGATTCCGAACACCTCTCCGATGATACCGGCGACCACGCCTTGGTTTGTCGTGCCCTTGTCGACGACGTTGAATGTAGGCACCTGGCCCATGCTCTTCTCGTCCCAATTGGCCTTGCCTGCGTCGTACCAGGCGGCAACGGCCCACAGAGCTCGTGTAACATCGTCGATGTGGGCTGTGTTCGTACGCAAATCTTTAGTCCATAACCATTTCATCTCTTCGCCAAGCGCTTGGTAGACGCGCGCCATGCATAATGCCGTCGCTACCCATTGCGATGCATACGGGCCATATACGTGTGGTAGACGCACGATAGCGAGGTTCAAGCTGTGCGGGAAGAAAGGAACCTAATGTCAGACTAAAGTTGATCAATATGAGACTAAGGGCGGTAACTTACCCTTCAATCTTGGCGAGCTCCTCTTCTGCCTGAAGTTTGAAGATAGCGATCTTGCTCCATGGTTTAAGCTTATCGCCCTCTTTACTCGGCGACGAATTCGGTTTATATACCATGCCTGTGCTTAACTCCACAAAGCATTTCACTTTCCGTTTCGCCGCCTCCCTCCCGACTGCTAACGATAACCCTAAAGATCGTACTTTATATACCTCGTCCTCCTGGGAATATCTCGTCTCGCCGCCGCAGTTGAAGACATAATCCCACTCTTTCCCGTCTGTTCGATCAAATATTCGCGCTAGAGCCTCTGGATTAAGAAATTTAGGGTTAGCACGGCTTAGCATGACTCGGAAGGGAGAGGCTAGTCGGAAAGTGTTGAGACATACGCTCTTTACTCGCATCCGCTTGGATAAATTTCTCTGAAGAGCATGCTTTTTCGAACTCGGGTGCCAACCAAGCGAGCTGCGGCAGTACTTTGTCGACCAGGCGAACCTCAGATGCGAGGTCGCTCTCGTGTATGTATCGAGCCAAGAAGCGTCCGATATAACCTAAGCCGCCGATGATGAGGACTGTCGGCTTTTCTGAGGCCATTGTGTGCGTGTGCGCTGTTGCAGCCCGACGACGTATGAGCGATTAGAGGGAAGAAGACGAGAGTGTGAAAGGATCGAAGCGCAGCATAAGCGCGGGGCTCGACGTCCGAGGGGTCGCGGTCGCAAGCAAATATTAAACAAGGCTATTGTTAGTTGGTTGTGATCCCGTCTCGGGAGACTTAGAGAGCTGAATTCGAACAAGCTACACTGGGAGAGCACCGACACGATGGTTATGTACTAAAGACCCAAGGGAATGCCTGTATTGTCTAAGGTGGAGCAAGGGGCATCCGTCCAACTCCGTCGAAGATTGTGTCAGCTGCCCGAAGCTAGTAGTATTGGTTCATTTCGTGGGTTTAGGGGGGGAGACTGAGCGGATCCGGTCCAAGCGAGGAAACCAGCCCTATATAGACGGGACAAGAAGCTAATAGGTCCCAAGAGGGGACAGAAGGAATCAGATTTATTATGTTACTGTTCGATACTTTGATTTTCTGGTGCAACCCCAACTGGAGGTGAACAGAAAAAAATAATAAAATAACAATAATAATGTGCCGTACGTGCAATGTGACGCAGGGGAGGCTTGGTTTATTATGTACGGAATACGTACGGATGTATGGGACATGAATATCTGCAGAGAATCATCGAAGGATGTTTAGGTCTAGTGGAATAGTGGGAAAAAAAGCAAGAGAAAATGTATGTAGCCTGCTGTAGATCGGTACGCATGGGGGGAGGCCGCCACCGCCGCCAGCCCATGTATGGATATGGTATGGATATGGTATGGCAGTTATGGGTATGGTCGATGGAGACATCAGGAGAAGTAGTGGAGACCCAACCAGTTGCTCCTTGTGGTTCATTAATGCACCAAGTGATTGCGGTAACCGCTAAAAGAGCACCTTGACTGCGACCCCCTTGTTCGCGCGAGATGGATCTGCTGGGGGCTCGGGCTGGGAAAAAAAAGGCTTGGTATGAGCACTGAGCACCGACGAGACTAGGCAGTTGGGCAGTGCAAGAACGGATACTTTCGTCTTCTCATGATATTCAGGATGTACTATGTATTGTACGAAGACCGTAGACGCAGGGCCTTCGGATATCTGAGATGCGCATGTATGATGTATGTAGAGATGTACTGTAGATATGTAGGTCAAGGAAGCCAAACTTGAGTTGCCTTGGAAGTACCTTCATATGGAGATATAAGTGAGATAGGTGTGTATCAACTTGACGATACATACTAGGTTAGGTATGTAGGTATTAAGTATGGACGTATTGTACATACATAACGTCGCAAGGTAGAAGCCACCGCCTCGTACGCACGTATGTAGGTGTGTGGACAATTATAGCAACTATGCGATGTAACTCAAAGGGTGTCAAAAGACGTCGATGTTGATATGATTATTATTAATCGATGAGACCGTAGTCTTGGATTATTATTTGTGTTCTTAAGGGGTTAAGGGGAAGAGATGTAGATGAAGAAATTTGATGAGAAAGAAGGAAAAGAGAAAAGATTGAGAGAAGAGAGAGGAGAGCGGATATCGAAGCTGCGAGGAATTAAACATTCAATGTTCACCTAGACACTCACCAATTCGTAGTTTCCTTCTTTCTTTTTCAATTGGCGATGCCGCGATGGCAGCCACGACATCCATATTCATGAACATCAATCAATGACTTTTGGATTGTAGGTAGGTACATTGTACGTAGAATAGCCGGGGTCATTACTTTGGTAAACTTTATTATTAAGGGCCTATTTTGGTTAGACTCGATGTACCTGGTTATGATGTATGGCATACGTAGGAAATTTAAAACTCTCTCAGCTAGAGCAGCTAAAGACAAAACACCAGATCACTTCTAACTTCTTAATCTGAAACACATACTCTTTAATGCTGACCAGGTAAGGTGAGCATTGATATATCGATGTCAAGATCAATCATCAATCATCTCATCAATCATTAATATCATATTCGTTATCATTATCCAATATTTAGAAATCAATAAAAACGACAACCTTTTTACCATCCGTTGCTACATTCCCCGATCTACCTGGTATATAGTACCGAGTAAATGACGACACGGCCGATAATTGGGTTCCATTCGAATGGGCAACAATCCTGATATGCATCAACGCTGCGGCTTGCTCTCGAGTTTGTGGATGTCTCGATTGTTTGGTTTTGGATATACATACCACATATAGCACCTATTTCCGAGACCCTAATTCCCATCTCACCACCAATGGAGTCACTCATCGTCTAACCTTAGAAGAAGTTAGACCTCGTTAGTCCTAGTCTCGTATCGACGGTTTACATATCCACCTGGAAACCTCCTGGGCAAAGTCTTAGGTGTTATCGTCTCGATACATCATGGATGCCTAGGTTGTTAAGACTCAAGAGACTATCGTTGAGATCTCCCCAGAAAGAGAAAGACATTCATCTGATGTTACAGAGTGTACGGCTGACCAACCTCGTTCTCATCTTAACTTCAAACGACCCCGGACTTTAGGATCGTCTGTATCAGATATTCGCTTCAAGTCCCTGTCCTTCGAAGTCCGCTCGAATCCGCAATATTTTAGATAAGGTACCCATTCGGGGACCCACGCAAACCCACGATACATATTCATGTTATTTCTATCATCCACATCCATCCACATTCGTCCACATTCATTCCACATCTTAACCCATCTTAACCCACCCTCTAATACTCTGCACACATATTCATAAACTCGCCCGATCCAAGCAGCCAAGTTACGTATTGTCTGAGTGCCTGGACAGTGGACAGCTGGGTTGAGTGTAATACCAACCACGGCGCGGGTGCCACATAATGACACCACCTTCGCACGCTGATACAGGCTGGTGGGCAACTCATAAGCACTACTGACCCGAATATTCCAGGTTTGTTCTAGTTTCTAGCAGAGTACCGAAACCGTCCTGTCGTGTAAGGTGTAAGCATTAATTATTAGGTATTTGTGTCCCAGATGGATGTCATCTTATTATTTGTCTCGTCGATTCAGTACCACCATCCACCCCATCAATCCCGTCAATCGAAAATTCTCCTCTGCAGAGAAACCTCGCCCATGAGAGAAAGGACTCGTGCGCCATCCGCAGCAACGTTAAGCCCTGGAGCCCTAGGCCCCTAGCAGCTATTAGCTGCCAATCTTTTAGAGGCAGGGGGGTTCCCGCATACGCTATCAAAGCCTCCAACGTCGTTAGTTCAACTTCGATCATATCCGTGCAGTGCTGTTCAGTGCTGTGCAGCGCTATGTAGTATAATATGTACAGCGTATATTAGATATGCGCGTACATACAAGGAATTCTGGTGGTCCAGCCTGTCAGCTTTCCTGCCAGCCAGCCTCTGACATCTGCGCTTCCAGGTTCCAAGCTGCAAGCTTTGACAGGTGAGCCCCTATTGGAAGCTCGTTGGAAGTTCCCGGTACACCCTCGCTCGAAGAACCCTTGGTCGGAAGATGGGCTTCTAGAAACATTCCATGCAGTGCACATCATCTAGGGCGCTGTCAACCAACATCATGTTTTTGTTTGCCCTTCCGGTCTTCTTGGCTAGTTCCGAACAGACCGTTTCTCAGACCACAGGCTATTTCAAAAAGACCTACCGACCTACCGACATGCAGGAGAAGGACGCAAGACATGTACAATACAATTTCCGATACGCGACGCAATGTCAACTTGTCCTTTCTTGTCCTCTCTTGTCCTTACGAGCCTGCACCGGATCGACAATCCCGGCGGATGCTTGGGAATAGGGTGATTTCGGTAAAGATGTCATGTAGGTATCGATCAAGAATCTTCAACATTACGCAAACCCTTACGGAGATTCGTGTTTTTCTTTTCTTTTTTTCCCATCTCTTCCAAGATTCTCCAAGACCTTGACGGGTTACATTAGATGCATGACATATATGTCGGTTTGAAACAGCCGCCCATCCTAATATCTAAGATATCTAATATCTAACACGTCGCAAAATGTTTCTTTGGGCGGGACCGGGTGGACAGGGTGAGATGAGATGTGTTTTCTCTGATTATCTCTTTAAGTTCCGGATGTCTTAGAACGCCCGGACGGGTTCTTGATTTCGACTAGCGGCTCTACTTTATGGCTCTATGGTATGATAGCTATCGCATACTCTTTCCTGCATCTATCTGAGTCTAGATTTACCCAAATTTCTTCGACTCGAACGTGGTCGTACATCTATATTACGACTAATATACTCCTTAAATATACATATTCATCTTCTTTCTGGAACCCATTGATCGCCAGACGATTCCCTATTGCGACTAGCCTTGTCTAAGAGTATGTCTCTTAAGAGCCGGCTCTCTTTCTTACTTACATGGCATACCTAGTAATACATGCTGCCGTGTTAGCCAGCCATGCGACATGACCACATCCGTATCCGCTCCCGCTCCATAATGCGCTCCATAGAAAAGAAAAATCTCTAAACCTTTCCTCGATCCGGACTTCTTCTAGAAAGAGAAGATCGTCGTTCCAAGGATACGCGAGAAAAATGCAAAGATCGTTGGAGAAATCGCTTTGACCCTTTCTTTTTTTCCCTTCTTCTGTTTCTGCTTCTTTTGCCTTTTTTGCCTTTTTTTTTAACCCTTTTCTCGCTACTCCATTCAGGGGTGTTGCGAAATGCGCACATGTAAACGATGCAGAAACGTGGTAATGTTCCATTGCATGCTGTCCTATTCCTTCTCGAATTTTATTGATTTTTCTTCAATAACTTCTAGAATGAAACTTGATCCCTCCCCTTCGAACTACTTCCCTATTCCTACCACCCACTCACCCCCCTATTTCTTCCGTTTCTTCAATAATACTATTGCGATACCACCTAACCACCCTGCCGTAGCTACCTGGGCATGTAATGAGTTCCCCATAAAGCCACGTCAAACAAACCCGGCTTTACCTAGCTACCTACCAATCTACCAATCTACCTTATCCGCGACAGTCAAACAGGCAGGCTGGACGGGGGCTGTCTTGGAAAATATGCAAGTCATTCGCAGGGTCGCCGTCCCCGATATCACCAAAGCATGTACGTATTCTGGGTAGTATATCTGTGTAAATATTGGTTCGCGAAAAGAATACCGTGTCCGCGGCATCGTCCTTGAAACAATGAGACGCGGGACGGTGGGAAACCCGTTCTTCCCAAGACCGATCTACCACCACACACATACGCGCATTACATACTTACATGCGCTCTCTCGGCTTTTACGTCTGCGTAGGTAGGTTTTACATAGATGGGTGGAAGCCACCGCACATCCATAACGCCCGTCCTCCTACATGGTACCTACTTAAGACAATACGCGCATATGCGCATACCTACTAGGTACCTACCTATACACGTATCAAAATTCCCTTTCCCCTTCTTTTTTTCTCTCTCTTCGCAAATACACCACACTACGCAACATACAATCTACCCATATACCCATACGTGTTTGTCTCGATACCACCTAGCTAAACCCGCTGTACGCCTCCCGCAGCCGGAAACGCATCCGGGCACGCAAGGGGTGAAGGGGGAAGCGGGGGGTGCTAGCTAGGTTACAAGCCAGGATCCGGGTGATCCCGCCGCGTTCTCGAAGTTCTGTCTCGCTCGAAACAGGAAGGCAGCTCATCATACATACATGGACTTACATACATACCTACTTAATTACTTACACGCACATATTCGTACATACATGACATGCGCAGGTAGGTAGGTACCCATGAGACAACAAATACACGTCTCTGAAAGAAGCATCGAAGTTCTAGAACGCCATGTACGGTACAAGCGGCCCTATAAATGGCCGCCCATTCGATCCGATCTTACGTAGAAAAAGGGGAAAAGTGACAGAAAAGTGACGGGATAAGAAAGAAAAAAAAAAGATTAAGCTCTATATCGAGCGAGTTATTATTGAAATCGCCGTCCTGAAGCCGGGAAAAACGATCGTACGATCTAAGATCTCGCGCGCGGGGCCTTCGGATCTTGCTTGCTTGATTGCTTGCGTCGAGAACACAGTTTACTGTTTGAGGTAGAAAATTGTGTATGCCCAGACCGAAAAAAAAAGTCTCGCGTCTAATCTAAGATTTTCTCTCTTCTCTTTTTTCTCCATGTCCCCTGGACCGTACACGAAAAGCTGCAAGGTCTCAGACATATTTCCCGAGACTCTGCGACTCGCCATCATTCCGATCTGTCGCTACCTGCTGTGCAACTTTCCGTCATTCACCGTGATACTCCTCGTCCCCTGATGCTCCCATGGGATATGCCACGGTTGAACGGCAAACCTTCCCCGGCTCATCACATTCTCATAAGGTCGTCTCAATGGGTCGATGTCACCTATCATCGCGTCATGCTTCCGATGAGTTCCTTATGTGCTTCCTTCTCCTTCGCGCCCTCGCTCAAGCTTCCCACGCTCCTCAGGTCGCCAACCACATCCTTCGCCTTGCCGAAGTAGACCTCCTGCAGCAGATTCCGCATCTTGAGCTCCATATCTTCGACGAGCTTCCCGATGTTGGCAATCTGCTGCTCATCACTTTCAGCCGGCAGCTCGATCTCGATCTGGCGCGTCATATTACCAGAGAGGTCCATGTCTCCGAGACTGTTCGAGTTCGTAGAAAGTGACAGGATGACGGTAGATGTGAGATTGTACTGCGTAAAGCGAGCTCGGTCGATGGCTTCGAATACGTGGATCGAGTCCCATGTACCTTCGCTAGCGCTACCTGGCTTGGCCTCTGATGAAGCGGATACAAGTCAGCCGCGGAAATCTCGTATTCACCACTCAACATTTAACGAGGAAGTAAATAAACCACCGACGCCATCGTGGCGCTTGTCCTCCTCCGGTGATCCGTAAGCACTATGTCAAGGTCTCAGATGCGAGATGCGAGATCTGTAACCTCCGATTTTGCATCTATCATAAATCCCATTTCTTTTTACTGTATCTCAGATCCAATGTCTTGGAACGTAGAGTAACGTAAAGTAGCGAGGATCATATGATTCCAGGAACGGCATGGCGTCCGCGCCCATATCGGCACCTACCCGAGCGCCACCTCCAGCCCTCAGGTACGATGATAACGGCAGCGGCGAAGCGGTGAGTATCGATTTCCTGAACTGCTCATACGATTCCAATAGTCCTTGCCAAAACCAAGTCTCCGAAGAAAAAAAACTCCTTAAAAAAAGTTGAAAGAAAGTCACAACTTACCCTTCTTCAAAAGCACAACCCCCGCGAACCCATCATCCAAGTTCCAAAAATACACACTACTCACACCCCCCTCATAATACAAATCACGATAAACATCAAACGCCTCGTTCGCGCGAATCTCCATGCGGCGGACCTTCTCGCTGGGCAGACTAGCGGCGGAGGCGGCGCCGCCATCGAGCGGGGGGTCGAACTCGTTGCTCCAGGGGGACCGGTAGCTGTCGCCGTCGCGGTTGTAGTCGCAGAGGAGGTAGTCGCGGCCGGTTTGGGGACAGCGGCGGATGGAGAGAGGTTGGTCGACGGAGGAGAGAAGGTCTTCGGTTAGGTCTGGGGCGATGGTGATTAGGGAGTTCAGGTGCGAGGAGGTATGTTTTGGGTTTAGGCGGCGGAGGAGGTCGCTGTTGGGTGATGTTAGCTTTGTGTGAAGATACGGTGTATAGTACAGTTAAGTAGATAGATAGAGGAAGATGGTGATATAAGTGTATATATGTCTGTCTCTTGAGCTAGGCATCTCGGGTTAAGGAGTAAGGCACCAAACGGGAGGTAAGGGGAATGCACGTACAGCGCCGAGTCGAAGGGGTCGACGGACGCCATCGTAGGGGTTGGCTGAGGAGGTAGAGTAGCTGTTATATCTTCGTCGGAGGTATCCGAGATGTAATGGTGCCACAGGCAGTTTATACAACCTAATAGAGAGCTTGGTGTATTGGTTGACGAGATGGTGGATAGTTTCGATAGATGTTGGAGGGGGAACATCTAGAAAGTCGACCTAAACGGTTTCAATCAATGGTGGGGTTGCTATAAAAAGTGGGACCACCGTCTGACAGGGTAGTATCTTAGAGCTTAGCTGAATATCTGCAAGAGCTTCAACAACCTCTCTTACCTAATATGCGAGCTCTAAGTCAACTATAAGGACAATAATTATCACAATACTTGATAATTAAAAGTTGGATGTAATATGAGTTGAGAGTTAAGAGATTACAATAAAGCAGCAATCATTTAACTAACGTAAATCGCGTGTCTAACATTCGGAGAACTTTCCCTATAAGTTCTAAGTTTAAACATGACATCGATGTATCCCCTAACTCTTAGCTCAACACTCAATCTTAAACTTAACCTAGGCTTTAATCCAACCTCGGGTCGAAATATACCAGCCGTCCCTGCCTCACACCTAGCCAAATACTAAGCAAGTACGTGTATGGATTATTTATGGCGGTGTAGGTTACTGGAGAATCATACTACACATACAACGACGTACACCTATTAATAACACGATAGATAGCTTTTCATGACTACTATGTACAGATTCGGTTTGGAAGCCAACCGTATACACTACCACGGCTGCACCAAGCCGAATACAATGAATTTGACTAAGTGTCAAATCCATACTTAGACGGGTCCAGAGTCAACTGCTACCCTTGAATTTTTATCTCTTTATCCCGCCTCACCAAATACTACAATCTGCTTCCATCACCCAACTTGAAATCATCGTCCAGAGAAGTCAATACGTAAAAAGCAGTCACCCCGCAAAAAAAGCGTAGGGTATCATCATTTGCCCCCAAGAACGCCGAGCGGAAAGGATAAAGCTTACAGGCAAAGCATGAACATGTATATACCCCTACCAATACAACTGTGTTGTTGGCGACTACCTACCTAGACCGTATCGGCATCATACCATTACTCGATCTCGTGGCTACAGATGAGACATTCGAGTGGCTCTGTCCACGACTTGTCTCCGCCCGTTACATTCTCTCGAAGGTCCGTTATCTCGAGTACCGATGGGCTCACATCACTATTGATGACACCCTCGAATAATCCTTCGTATGGTTTGGGTGCAGCCTTCTCGTTCGCTTCCGACTTACGCGGTCGTCCTCTTCGTTTCGTTTCGGAGTTGGCAACCGACACAGTTAAAGCCTCGGTCTTAATGTTTTGGCCATCGATATCCATCTGCTGCTGCTCTTCTGGCTTGACGTCGATCGATTGTTCAGCAGTTTGCGCCGCGCCTGTCTCGCTAGGACTTAACGGTCGCTTCGTACCCTCGCCCTCCTCTTCCTTGATTGGCGAAGGCTTGTGAGGTTTGTCCTTTCCTAGGCGTTTGTAGGTCTTTAAGAGAGCATCGTGAATTAGACAGTCGTCGTGAAGCCATTTCCTACACTCTTCGTTCGAACATCCAAAAAGTCTCTTGTCGGGGTTCTCAGGTTGGTTACACTTGCAGCGCAGCTCGGCAGACTATATATTGTCAATAAATACGTGCTTCGGGGCAGTGATTCTCAGACTTACCGAAAGTTCCATGCTACGGACGTCGAAGGCCTGGCGCCAGTAAAGTGCTGGCTGGACGTCGTCCTCATTGGTCTCGTCCCACTGATTGACAGTTGCCGCAGCGGTGACACTGACGACGTTGATCACATCCACTATAGCTTGTTAGAGTATAACTGCAAACACGATGTATTCTTTAGACATACTATGATTTGACGCGATCAGTTCGTTTGCGCCATGGTAAGACTGTCTTCCTGAAATCAACTTCTTTCCGTCTTGCGTACCCGCCGGCAGCTCGTCCGGCCAGTACATCCAATAAACGCGTGCGTAGACATGATGCTCATCACTTGCTCGAATTTCTAGAATTCTTGCGACCCAGTCGTCATCCGATTTCTTTCTAGGTTGTAGGGCTTCGCCTGGGTTCTTTTGACGTTCGATCGTCGAGCTGTTCGCAACGAATATGAAACCTTCGCTCCAATACTTGACACCGTTAACTAATATCGCCATGTCAGTATAGCACATCGTTAGAGAATGGATTTAAAGCGCACGTACGGACAAAACTGTTATATCGTGTCATATCCATCCACTTCTGGTAGGGTTGGACTTGATAATGTCGGTCCATGGTGTTATTGGGATCCTTAAATTTGCCCATGGGCGGGAAGGGCGAGGTTTGAAGTAGAACTTTGGGTTGGGGGTGATCTTCAGATTCTTGTCGTCTGCGCTTCGTCTTCTTTTCCTTCTCGTTAGGGTCAGGATGGATAACGCTGAACGGACATTCTGCCTGACTCTCCTCTATCATATCCGGCCGCGGGCGTTTACGAGCTGTTGCCATTGTTGTGGATATCGGACGTCGTGTAGGTTAACGAAGGGCGGAAACGCGAAACTGTGGTGATCGACCAGGGATGCAGGCTTCCAAAAAGTTGCGAGGGTTGTTGGCGTTCGATTTGATGGAAGGGAAGAAAAAAAAAGTTTGACGGCGCGCGCGCAATCGACACTAATCGGCACTAATGAAGCACAAATAAAAGTCACCAGGCAAATGTCAAGGGATAGAGAATGTGCGAGGGCAGCAATGGAGACCAATGCTATGAGGTGATAGCTGGTGAGGGAGCTCGCGACCTTCGAAGAGCTTCGGTTGGTGCTGCTATCAGGAAAATCGTAAGCCGGGACCGGGCGTGGCGGGGAAGGGGGAATTATCAGGTAGCTTGGCGCGTCTGTTATTAAGTCAAGATCCTACAAAACTGTACGAAGCTACAGCTACGTTTTCCTATATGTACGTATGCCGTATAACAGTACCGTAGGACTTTTCATGGAATCACAGAAAAGCCGATTCCAATAAGATCCAAAGGTGCCAGGTGAGCTGGAGCTCTGAGGCGCAAAAAGAGCCTAACGGAGAAGGAAGATGCGATGCAGACGCCCGAAGAACGTTACAGACCCTGCTTAGGACAACTGAGACTGGGCTGTCTAGGATATCTCCTAAGCTGCTAAGGTCCAAGGTTGGTATATGATTAACCAAGAGTGGAAGAATCGGGGAAGTAAAAAAAAAAGAATTAGTAATGAATTGTTACGATGGCGCAACTTAATTCGTTCCGATTTAGCCACCTCCAGCAACCACACCAGCACAATATATGCGCTAGGAAGACTGGGTAGAGAAGATGGGGAGGAGAAGATGGATTACAAGTGGAGGAAATTTCCATATTGAAAATGCCAGATCCTAGGCTGCAGATGCCCTCCAACATGCCCTAAACTTAATTCGGTATAATCTGCCGTAGCTGCTGGGGAGTTGCTGTATCCGGTAACAGATAAGCCCGGAGCGGTTGCCATGGGTTATGTCCGTGTAAGCTTCCGGATGCTAGCTAGCCTATCGTTCCCTGTAAGCAGTGACGTAGCTGCAGGTAGGTATTGTTCAAAAGTATGCAGGAATGTACTTTGTAGATATACCTATGCCTGGATATTCTTTATTCAACCGTCGTGATGTTATAACCAAATGGAACGGTATTTACCTATCTTAGGAGTCGTCGAAACGTAGAATGTTGGATAGGTACTAGGTATGTGACTAATGTTTTGTTGAGTTATTATTATTACACATTAGAATGAACATCTCGAATTATACGATCCCCTATTGGTTGTAACCGGGATTGGTAGGTAGGGTTGGCGTCATATTCGCGAACTGTATAATACTACCTAGTATGCCGAGAAAGCCTGCAACAGCTTGTGTAAAATAGATAATATTTAATTCAAGAAAGTCTCGATTTAAAGCTAGGTAACTAAGAGTCGCGGTTATACAACCCTCTTTTATAGTAGTCGTCAACGCCGTCGCTATGCAAGATGGATAGATAGACCCTTATAGAATGAATTTGGCACAATTATGACCTCGCGTGGCCGTTAATCCCGTCATCGTCCGTGTCATAACCAGCAAGTATTGGCTGGCTATCACTGCCATCGTGAGACGTGCTTCTTTGGCTTTCTTCCGCACTCTTAAATCCTTCGATAACCTCGGCTAGTTTCTCGCCTTCATACTTTCCGCGTTCGACATTGACGAAGTATATAATCGGCGCAGGAAGACCGACTAACACCGCGAGAAACCAGAATGCGGGTCGGATCTCACCCGACGCATCAATAATAGCTCCCACTATAACAGGACCGAATATGCTTGAACCTTTATCGGTAATAGCGTAAAGGGCATAAAAAGCAGCTTCGGATCCGGGGGGGATTAGCTCTCCATATAATGACCGACAATATGAACTAAGTCCACCAAGGACGAATCCATAAACAGCGGCTAACGGATACATTTCCCACGGTCGCTGAAGCCCAAGAACGCCCCATCGCTGAACGAAAGGCAGGTAACCAAGAAGACCATAAAGAGGTATGATCTCGAAAAGAGCGATGCAGCCTAACACGGTTTGATGTGGCTTCAACTTGAAATGTCGTGATATAAACGACCAACTAAATGCACCAAAAACGCCCGTAGTTGTGGAAATAACGTTGATCATCCCTAACGCCCACGGCTTCATGCCTAACTGCGTCTTGGCAAATAAGATCGCTGTCGAAGAAGTCGTTGCAATGGCGTCGGAAATCAGAAACCAGCTGGCTAAGAATAAGACAATATCTATCAAGCGTCGAGCTAGCTTCACGGTCCGGAAGAGATTTCTCCAGGAGTATGCGATGTAAGAAATCCAAGCACGCGCCCCTTGGTATTGACTCTCTGCAAGAGGAGGCCCCGGTCTGGGTCTAAGCCAGGCGGCTGCTGGTATTGTAAAGATAGCCCACCAAGCTCCAATGAAAAATAAGACAACTCGTTGTGACCAAGTAGAGCTACCCATGCCCACTAGAATCAAGATGGAAGCGCATTGCGCGAACAAGGCAGCACCATACCCAATTCCAATCCCCTTTGCAGATATCTGAGTAGAGAGCTGAAGTTCAATAGAAGTAAGTTCTTCGTGGGTCGGTATCCGTCGTAGGTCATGGATGTCGGAGATGGAATCGTTTCGCGGTAACAAGGCAGCTGTCGAGTCGCTTAGGTGATCTTCGGCAAGAGTAGGAGATGTCGAGAAAGACGGATGTTCGATTGCTGTATTGGATTGTAGATCGAGGTCTTCCGGGATTCCGGTTACCGACTCTTGTAATTTTGGGTGATGGCGGACAAGCAGAGGGAGGAAGGAGTTTAGGAGAACGAAGGAAGCCCCGAGCGACGTGTTTGAAATAATAGCTAGTAGGGCGCCGAGGATGTATATATCCTTAGAGATGAAGATGTAGAACATGACGGAGAAGCTTCCAATCCAGGCAAATGTTAACAACAATCGTTTTCGATAATTCCCATGGTCGGCGGCACAGCTTATGCTGACTACTAGTAGTGCTTGTAGGAGGACACTTATGCTGAAGGTATACATAGCGAAGCTAGCCGTGTTGATTTCGAGGCCGAGGATAGAGACAACACACTGCCCATTTGCATTGTCGCCGCATGGTGTTTTCCGATCTGATACGAGAACTCCATTTTCCCTCGCCAAGCTTTCGAGTAGAATCGGAATGAAGGAAGCTATTCGTGATCGGTAAGCTTAGACATAGCAAAGTATTATATGTGTATATATTATGTGTGTATTGATTCATGATAGACTATGTCTACTTGGTTTCGTTTCGGATGTGATGGAGCTCGGATAGCTAGTTGTCTTAGGTAAACAATGAAATAGGTAATAGCTACTTACAGATTGCTATTGATTGTCAGCATTGTTGTCAACAACGTTACATAGCAGATGCTAGAGGGAAAAGCATAAGCATAAATGGACTTACCGCATATTACATAGGTCTCGGCAGCAAAGGCATACATGTACCAACCAGCCAGCTCCTTGGTGCTGGTCGGACGGACATCTTCGCCATGATAGCGACTGGGAGGTATGCCATCTTCGATGATGCTTGGTGCCGGGGTCATTCTGCCTGATTCGGTGGATGTTGATCGTTCATCGTCAGCTTCGAAGGAAGAAGAGTATGAGCGAAAGGAATGCTTAGATACGATGGACTGGACAGAGAGTAAGCGAGTATTGGGGGCAGGACGACGTAGTTGTTCCTCATTCCGAGGAACCATTATTGGATGGAACGCGGAAGACGGAAGACGGGGGAATTAAAGTTAGTGGTTTAGCGGTTAGGGGCCAGGTGACGAAATGGCGGCTGCGTCTGTGTCACCTTCAGCTTTGAGCCTGTCAGCCCAGTTGGTAAGTTGCACTGGCAGACTGGTTGCGTTAACGCCTTAACCAACAACCCGAAAACCCTATATTTTTTTAAAGTTAATAACGTCTTTGAGCTCCAATAGGCGCGAACTTTAATAATCTAAATCTGTAAGTTTAGAAATACATAAATACGTACTCAAAGCTAATTGAACCTGATGATGAGAGCTTGGATCAATTAATTTAGTCTTCCAAGGTTTGTTAGGCTTGTTAGGCCAACGTGGTCGTAATCTTTTCTTTCCCTCTCTCTCTTCCACCCGTCTTCTCTTGCAGCATGAGCCTCTAGACTGGATCACCTCCTAGCGAATCCCTTTTCTCCTCTTCTCTGGCTAACCTATGAAATGCGCAGAACCTATTCAACGAGCTGATTCGATCCCTTTCATTGTCGATGCAGGGACATCCTCCCGAGGCTTGAAAATGCAACAAGACTTTTCTTATCTCTTGACACTTTTCGAATTCGATAGCTGCTACGGCAACCCTTGGGACAAGATCGATAAGATTGAAACCGATTGAATGAGAGATGGATGAATGACGAAAGAGGAGAAGTTGGAAATGGTCATCTCTAACACAAAGAAAAAGAATGGATCCATCTCTATGTCTACCTTACTAACTTAGGTAGAGACCTACCCTACCTGGCCCTACCTACAACCTACATGCCTAGATGCGCTAGAGCTAGACCTGGAAATCCCTTCCCACCTAGTACCCCTCGTTCTGTGGTCTGGTGCTTCACGAGCGGCATCCCCATGACGTTGTGGGGAACAAGACTGCCAGATAACAAGGCTGAAAGAACAGGGGTCGTCAATGCATAAAACCCATGGCAGCATCGTGGAGTTTGGTGATGTCTTCGTTTGCTTGCTTACCTGGTTCCTATGGATATCTGCTTACTTATATATACACCTATACAACCCCTTGATCATTCGCGCTGTATCGGGAAACGCAAATATACTATTAGTATAGTATATGAAAGAGGACACAGATAAGCGAGTACCACGTTCTCGGACTTCGGCCACCCCAAAGCCACCAATGACTACTAGGTATTTTCGCTTAGGTATAGCCTGTATTGGAGTTGGCATAATTATGGTTCACTGTTGTCTATCATTCATTTCTCTTTAATATTTTACTTTATATACCACGTGCCTGTTGATATTCTAGGTTTCGATATGTGAGGACATTGGTTGCTTAGTACGAGTGTATTAAGATAATCACATATCCTTACAAGTCATAAAACATAGGCAATGGAAATATCTGATTGGGGTCGGGTATGATTTAGTGTTCTTATAGTCTCGTCGCTGTTAAGCCTGCAGACTTACAGGAATCCCAGGCAAAGGGTGAGCTATGAGCGGTGCGCAAACAAACCCGGTCTTGAGCTCTAATTATTTCAAGCTTTTATTACGGAGTATTGGTGCCGAGCATCTTCTATAAATACCTCACTCGATCGACCCCATACGATACAACAGGCACATATACGCTCGGTGCTAGCATGGTATTTTAGGCTATTATGGTCCCATGCACCCCACGACGTCCCTCTTCCTGGAGCCGGTTGGACTCTTACATCGTGGCAACAGCATATCTTCACCTCGGACAGTGAGACCTTCTCGTATGCCCTTGCTAATATTGGCGGGCCGCTGTGACCGGATGCCCCTCAATCTCGACCTAATAACACAGGGGAGGAAGATGATGGGGGTTCTAAAGAGGCTATATTTCCACCTTGGGAATTAATCACCATGCCATTCTATTTTACCGTTGCCAAGTATCCAAGTATCGCTTTATTAGATGTGGACATGGAACCAAGGTCTAGCCTCGCCAATGACGGGTCTTATCCTCCGTCGTGCCTCGGTGGACGAGTATAAGACCTGGAGGTTTCAGCTCTCACGCCATCCTCGTCTCCTACCCTAAAGCTTTACTTCATACTCTAATCTTTAGTCGTACCAATTAAATCGGTAACCATGAAGTCTGCTCTCTTGTACCTGCTCGCCCCTCTAACGGCATTGGCCGCTCCTGCTGAACTCGCCGAACGACAGGCTGCCGACAGCATCGACGCGTTGATCAAGGCTAAGGGAAAGCTGTACTATGGAACTTGCGCCGACCAGAACCGTTTATCAAGCGGAAAGTCTGCCGATGTCATCAAGGCAGACTTCGGCCAGGTGACGCCCGAGAACAGCATGAAGTGGGACAGCACCGAATCCTCCGAAGGAAGATTCAACTTCGCCGGCGCCGATTACCTTGTCGACTGGGCCACGGCAAACAACAAGACCATCCGTGGACACACTCTATGCTGGCACTCCCAGCTGCCCGGATGGGTCTCTAACATCAGGGACAAGGCGAAGCTCACCTCGGTCCTCGAGAACCACGTCACTACCCTGGTGACCCGATACAAGGGCAAGATCTACGCTTGGGTTTGTCACCTTAGGATAATGAGCAGAAATATGGGAAAACTAAGACTAACCCATTGTAGGATGTCGTAAACGAAATATTCAACGAGGATGGTTCTTTGCGCCAGTCCGTCTTCTCCCAGGTCCTAGGTGAGGACTTCGTCCGCATTGCTTTCGAAGCTGCCCGCAAGGCCGATCCCGATGTCAAGTTATACATCAACGACTACAACCTCGACCAGCCGAACTAGTATGTGCACTTCACCAGAAACACCTTTATAAGAATTCCCTTACAGTTAGGTATATAATTAGTTGCTGACCTCATACCACAGTGGAAAAACCAAGGGTATGGTCGACCACGTCACGAAGTGGATCGCCGCCGGTGTTCCCATCGACGGTATCGGGTCGCAGGCACACTTGACAAGCGGTCTCGCCGCCCAAGCCGCCGCCTCCATCAAGGCCCTAGCCGCCACCGGTGTTAAGGAGGTTGCCTTCACCGAAGTAGATATCCAGACCGCACCCGCCAACGACTACGCACAAGTCACTAAGGCCTGCCTCGACGAGCCCAAGTGTGTCGGTATCACCGTCTGGGGTGTTCGAGACCCCGTAAGAAAAAAACCTCCCCCTTTTTATAATGAGTTTGCGTGATAAAATAGGAAATGAGCTGACAGAAGATGTGATAGGACTCCTGGAGAGCCAGCACCAACCCCCTGCTATTCGACAGCGGCTTCAACCCCAAGCCCGCGTATACTGCTGTTGTTAACGCCTTGAAATAGGTTATTCGCATTTGCTCGACTTATTAGTATGGCTCGGTAAAAATGGGAGGGAAACCTTCGGAGTTCGTCAGGACTACCTTACGATCTAACTGTATATATGCACAATCAAACATATGAATATTATTGTTGAGGTTTGATGTACAGATCGCATACAATCGACATGTAGAGAGTTAAAAACCGGGTTCTCTACGAATTATCGTAGCCCACATCTGACTTGATTATTTTAGTACGGTGACTTAGACGCGGGATATCATCGTAATGTAAATTGAAATCAAAACCAGCAGCGCTGCGACTGCTAGCTGGGATATTAAGTTAAAATCAGGAGACCAACTTTTCTCTCCTCCTTTTTGCTGTCTCCGTCGCAACGCAAAGAAAAGGTACTCATATTATCGTCAACCTCACTTCCCGCACCGTCCCTTCCTACGCCCATAGGCAGCCAACCCCTCCACCTATCCGCGCACACCAAATCTCATCCGCAATCCTAACCCCATCACCCTCATTTTACCTCTTACCCTCTACTTCTTAAAAACCCCAAAAATCTTATTCTTCAACTTATCAGCCAACCCCTGATTCGCCTTCGGCGCCGCCGTCGCTCCAGCAGGGCTATCAACGACTTTCGCCGCGGCCGCGGGGGCAGGGGCGGGAGCGGGTGTAGCGTGCTTGGCCTCCTGCTTCTGCTGATCCTGCTGCGATAAGTGCACGTTTGCGGCGCCGCCGCGGCCGACGTGGAAGCTGGCGTCGTCGGTGGACGGACGCGTGGCTTCCTCGGGCACGACTTCCCGGTCTGCGCGCGCGGCGGCGGGGACGCTGGTGTCGGCTATGTTTGCTGCTCCTGTTTGGGTTTGTTAGCTGTGAGTACCTAGGTAGGTGGTTGATAGTGTTGCGACTGGGCGCATCCACTAAGTAGAGAATTGCTGGAGGGGGTGATGGAGAATGGTATTGATGCAATTATGAAAGGCTAGGTCTGTACCTCCTCGCCCGGTGCTAAATGCGCCGTCGCCGTGGCTGCCTTCAGTGCCTTCGCGCACGATCTCGCCGTCGACGTACTTGGTGTTGTCCTCGTGGATGTTGCCGGCTCCGCCTCGGCCGTGGGATACTTCGGGCGTCGTCATTGCGGATGAATCTGCGATAAGCGCGGGGAATCTCAGTTTACGCGACTCAAAGAATGGGGTGCTGTAGGTAAGTAAGGCTGTGTGGAGGGATGTATGTAAGGGAGGTGGTGGTGCCTGGCTCCCCGCAAAAGGTTCAAAGATCCTGAATCGGACGGGCCTTTTTTAATTGTTTATCAAAGAGTTTGCGAGAACACCTAACCCATCCCGCCTTTTCGTCACAAATACAAATCACACATGTGTTATTAGGCAGGTGGTTGAGGGATATGTAAGGAGGTATAATAACCGTCTTAACAGTTTCAATGGATTGGATGTTGTTGAGGAATTACTGAGGAGTTACATACCTGTATTATGTATTTTTTTTATTGTTGAAGTTGGGGAAATCTTAAGGAGGAAGGACGTCGGGAGGGAAGTACAGGATAGGTACAGAATACACTTTTTGAATTCTCCTCAGCTCCTTCCCTCTCTTCCTTCCGACCTTTTCGTTTACCTATACATCTATCCCTTGTCCATGTTCACGCCACGCCCTATCAATGCCAGTACCCGTCTAGGTCCACAGCCTAATAGACTTTTAGATCATGGATGCCAACTTTGTGAGCTATCGTATCAGCCCTGAGCATTGTATCGGAAACTCAAGGCTTTGTTGCGACCAATGATATCTCCTTAAAAGCTTCGTGCGGGCTTCTAGAAAAGCAACGATAACGGATACAGGTACAGCAACTTGATCAATTGCTCCTATTTGCCCTCGGCTCCCCTCACCCATCAGTGATTCAGCCGTACCTGGATTCCAGCTACGAAACAGAATCACAGAATCGCTCCCTATCAATTACCTGACGTAATTCTAGCTTCTCATCCAGCGATAAGATGTTAAGTTCTGAATGGTCGATCGTTGACTCCTTCAGGGTTAACTAACGATGCCAAGAAAATTAGTGCTCCATCCCAGCTCAGTAATGATAGGATGGAATGATAGCTCTTTGGGGGAGGTCTAAGCTTCTAACTTGAGCTTGTGTGGGGCTTTTCTATCTTAAAAAGTTAACAATCTATTTTGTCAAACATGGTTCTTTACCCATCTGGTTTCGAAATAACCGATGTCTACTTACATGTGTTTTATATTACAAGAGAGAATTGAAAGGAATTTTTTGAGTGTTACGGAAATGCCGAGGATGGACTCTTTAAGATGAAATATGTTTGATCATAGGAAGGACGTTTCGCTCCGGAGCTTTCCTAGCGAACTGAACAGTTGACCATTACTTCAAACTCGGAATCATTTTCTTCTCGCTATCTTAACCGTTCCCGTACGCACTATCCTTGTATCGCAACTAATTCTCTCTTTGGAGGTATGGATATCTTGCAAACATCGCAAGGCATATCAATCCAAAACTTATCGCTACCGGCGTTGCAACGAGAGACGTTGTATCTGGTTAGTTGAGAGTTGACTAGGTACTAGGTAGGTAAGTGTTGTCTTGCGGCACGATGGCAATCTCTCTACGCTTATTACTCTTTGATTCAGCAACCGAATCTGCAGATTTGAGTCGGCTAAGGAGATCAAAAAGGCCCTAGACCTAGCAGTTATAATTTGGAAACTGTCTTGTACGGCCGCTCCTTGCTTGGCTAATCAAACATGAAGTTTTACTAGTATACGAACTTCCGAATATGTGCACTACTACGGACGAACGCGATATCCCGTGACACGTTATTCAACGACCAATTCTCGGATATTCCCGACGCATCTTTTTGTTTGTTCAATGGTATTGATGTCGGATTTACCTCGTGCCTTCGGTATCCTTTGTGCGATTAGCTGGGATCCCCATGAGTGCACCGACAATGGTTTTTGGTTCTTGGAAAATTCGTTAAGATTCGACGAATGAAAATCCAACCGTCCGTCATGGCCAATAGAAAGTTAGTACGGGTTAACACTCGGATTTGCGTCTATCGAAGAAGTGGTCATGTCTCTATGTCGGCAGAAACGTCATATGAGAACATTAAGGTCTAGAGTGAAGCTATGAATGTCTCATGCTCAATTCTCTTGACAGAAATCAAAGGAGCATGACAAGGGCGATGAGGGTAAGCATGAAAATGCCCTGAATTGACTGCCGAGTACAAGCCGCTTCTACTTGTCATCGATCATAAGGATGGCGTTAAGAAGGGCGAACTTTATTGGACGATCTTACAATATGCAGGCCATCTATTACTTGTGCGTAGGATCATGCCGTTACCCATTGTGGCGCTCTCTACCACCGAATCGGGAGACGGTCATCTAATACTACCTGGTTCAAGGAAACATCCAACAAAGCGTGGCGCCGCGCTAAGGCGGGTGCTGTCTTCCCGAATCCCACGATCCCAGCCTTGTGACTCAAGGAGAATATCTCTTGGAGTCTTTTGACGACCACCTGCCATCTTATATCGAGCTAGCAATTTACCGAATATGGTCTCTACGGCCGTCAAACTTTAGAAGGTAGATGTCTTATATCGACTTTGATTGGCGTATATGGTTTCAACGTACGTAAAATACCTAGGTTTGCGCTGCCGAAATATACTTAGGTATGCCACTACTCCACGGCGAACCGGTGGTCGTTTGAAGCGGTGCTTCTGTTTGAGACATCAAGTATGGGAGTCAAGTGCCCATTCCGGCAGTTCTATAATCATACCTACCTAAGGTAAGATATTTTCAGATAACCGGAAGCTCAGGAGGTCTTTCCCCAAGATGATATATCAAAAACTGATGGGCGAAGACCGGTTTCTAGTCAGCCACGAGGAAATTTGGTCATGCAGTCCCTAACGCCTAGACCCTTGGGTCTATATTTTCTAATCATATGAGGCTTAAGACTTCGGGATTTAGCGGTCAACACTATTTCCCGAAGACTTATTGAGACAATTCTATGTTTTGTTTGGCTCGATCTCAGTTAACTTTCTTTTGTTTCTACCTTTATGTTTTATTCTTTGGTAGAGGGTGTGTTGTAGCACGTGTAACTCAAGGAATCTGACTCGAGGACTTAGAGGGGAAGAGCGCTAAAATAGGCGCACGGCACGGGCACCCAGCAGAGAACCAATGGTTGACGATCTAGACTGACTAAATTCCCTAGTAAGGCAGGTAGATAGACTGGATATGCTTTTAAATGGAGTCATGTGTGGTTCGTCCGTCTATTTGTCCGCGAGACTAGCGGGAATGTTTCCTTAGTGTCGGTAGGTAAAGAAAGCGTCGAAGCAGACGACATCACAGCGTCTAAAAACCGAGCGCGAGATTGGCACGGGGACGAAGGCTATATGGCATACCAATCGGACCTTCACATCTATTCGGTTAGGTACCGATCTGTATCTAAGAGCCTACTACGCAAAGACCTGCATAGCAAGGATGTTCCAGGCGGTGTTGAATCGTATTGGGAATCCCGGTTCAACTCCATCTCACCCCAACGTCCAATGTCAATCCCCCGCGATATCTACTAATACGAATGCCGGGGACTTGGTGAGATTTTGATGCTGAATGACATACCCCCGGCACCCCGGATCCGCCTTGACCGCTTAATGGAGTTCGTCGTGTGGGGAAAACGACGTGGGGTCGCCGTTGTTTTCTTGTCTGACGTGAACAACTAACATGTCCAACATGCCAACATACCTAGTATATATATGTGTGTGTGTAACTATTAATAATGTTCATGTGTTACTATAACGCTCTGCACTCTACACTCTATTTTTTATTATCTCTCTCTGCCATCATACAGGTCCGAGTTTTTAGCGGAATGGTCGGTCGGAGTATGTAGGGGTAAGTGGCGCAGTATTGGTGCGCGGAAACCCGAGGACTTTGTTCGTCGGAGAAGATCTTCAGGGGAAATTACAAGATTAGGATATCGGCCAGAAAAGCAGCCTAGGCCAAGGCCATACCCCGTCTACCCTGCCTTCCCATCTCCAAAAGTTTCTTCAGAAGGCAAACTTGGAATCCAATCACGAGCATGTAATCACTTTTTTCATTTTCTTTATTTCCCCCCTTTTGAAGAAATTGTTCCCTGCTGCGTGACTCTATCACGCGTGGACGCGCCAAGGGCCCGAACGGTCTCTGAGGGGGAAGGGGGGGAAGCTGCAATGCTGCACCAGGAACGCAAGCCAATTTTTGGAGAAAGCGCGTTGTGTGCTATGCGCTGCACCGCCAATGCTGCCATGCGACCCCGTGATGTTACCTACGTAGCTCCTACTAACTCAACGACCCGTTTTCTGCATGCACCTACCTGAGCCTACCTGAGAAGAAAGAACATCGATACATGCGATAGGACTTTCTTGACTTGCATATAAACCGCTATGACGAACCCACAGTTTTCTAAAAATATTACTTGGAAGGTCAGTCTTTCTTTCCGGATGGATGAGAATAAGTAATAGGTATATTAGTACCTATATACCTCGTTAAGTAATTTTGTTTGTGTGTGGATCGACGCGTGCAAGCTACAAGCTGCATTCTTTGCTTTTTATATTACACTACTAAAAAATTCCACTGCCTTAGCTGCCAGGTTTAGGATAGTTACAGGTATTTCATTACCTGCCTATATATAAGCTATTGGCTCCTTGACCACCTTTTTTTGGCTGCCACTATTGTCATCTCATCCCTTACCCCTTTCCCTCCTGGACCCTTGGATCGCCCATGTCATCGCAAGCACCTATACACAGATGGCTGCTTCAGTTATAGCGAAGGCGTTCACCGCCTCGCTCTTAATAACCATAGGTCTTGCGTTGCCCCAAGAGGCATTGAAACGTAATTCTTTTCAAGGCAGAGATTCAAACACTGCTCGTAAGCTTGCTCACAGCTATATTTTCACATATAAGCTCACACGTAACTAGTTATACAGCCAGTGCATCAGTCTTTTCCCCTTGGTACGATCAAACCGCGGGGATGGTTCAGAGACCAACTTACGCTGGAGGCCGATGGGCTGGCGGGAAACTTGTTTGACTTTTACCGCTTCGTTCATGACTCCATGTGGATAGGTGGCTCAACGGAATACTCCGTTCTCAATGAGGCCTCGCCATATTGGTTCAATAGTATTGTACCACTTGCTTTTGGGTTAGATGACCCCAGGCTTAAGGGTCAAATCTATGCCTACATGGATTATGTCCTTGACCATCAACAGGACGATGGTTGGCTTGGCCCTGAGACGACTCCGGAAACTCGAGGCTTGTGGGCTCGTTGCTATTTCTTGGTGGGATTGATGGTAAGTTCTATGAGGAGAGAAATATGACGCCTGTTCTGGGCTTTTTGTGGACTGCTCGGCTAATTCATGCAGCAATACGCTCAAGCTGATCATACGCAAACGAACAGAATCGTGGATGCTATGCACCGATACGTCGTAATTGCGAACAGTATGCTGAAGGATGGCTTTGCGGGGCTTATCGAAAAAGAGGGTCAGAATTATGACGGTGATGGGTTCGGTGCCATGAGAGCTCATGAAATGCATATTCCCCTGCAGTGGCTATATGAGAATCACCCTCGAAATAACTCGCAACTCATCTGGGAAACCATGGAGCTCATGATCGAAGGAAGCGTCGCGGCCAATAGCGACTGGAGAAAGTACTGGGTAAAGGGAGTATACCCAGAGGTTACGTACACTCCTAGAAACGAGCCTTTTAAAGATCTTTTCAATCATGGTGTGAACATGGCAGAAGGTATAACTTACATGGGTTACCATAAGAGTTTGGTTTACTAACGGAATCAGGTCTACGATACCCGCTTTCGATATACCGGATGACGCACGATGAGGCGCTGAAGACGCAGACCAGAACGGCGGTAGATCTACTATCGCAATACCATAAGTCCTTAGCCGGAACAATCATTGGGGATGAGTTCATAACAGATCTCAACCCAATTAGAGGCGCCGAATTGTGTACTGCTGCAGAGATGACATTCTCTATGGCGTACATCCACCAGTATCTTGGCGATAATGATTTGGCAGACTGGGCAGAATTGGTTGCATTCAATGCTGTGCCCGGTTCCATCTTCCCGGATTGGTGGTCGCATCAATATGTGCAACAGGAGAATCAGGTAAATTAACTTCCCAAAGTCTCACGGCATAAATTAACGCTGGTTTTATAGCCTTGGTCACGTAATCTGGCAGTGTCCCCTGGAATGTGGGTGAACGTTGGGACTCAGGGTAATGTGTTTGGCTTAGAGCCTAATTACGTCAGTTCTAACTATTTCCTGGTGTTTTTTGGGGTATGATAACTGACATCATGGCAGCCTTGCTGTACCGTTAACCACGGCCAAGCGTATCCGAAATTCTTAGCGAATTCCTTCACCAAGACTCAGGATGGAGGAATCGCCCATGTTTTGCTTATCCCTGGAAGCATCACCACTTCTTTGGATAACAACTTGGTGTCAATCCAAGCTGATACTATGTATCCTTTCGGGATGCATCTGAAATATACGATTACATCATCGACTGACTTCTCGTTCTATGTCCGAATCCCAGGTTGGGCGGACGAATCGAGCACTGTCACAGGACCTGACGGCAAAACTAGCAAGGTTTCTCCGTCAGATCAGGGGCTTCAGAAATTCTCGGTTCGCAGGGGCCTCAGCTCTGTTACTGTTAATCTCAGCACAGAACCGCGTGTGGTCACGAGAGCCAACAATACCGCCGCGATTTATTACGGACCACTATTGTACTCTCTTCACATCGATGCCAATGTGTCAACAGTACAGCCAGTTGCGTTCAGCGGCGACTCAATACCGAGTGCTAGCACTACGACTCACACGCACGACCATGTCATCGAGCCTGAGAGTGTATGGAATATCGCGATCGATCCTTCGCAGATAAGGGTGGCACAGGCGGACGTGTCAACTCTAGCAAATCCAATCTGGGACCTCAATGCGCCACCACTCGAGCTTCGTGTAGCTGCGGTCGAAATCGACTGGCCCCTGGAGTTCGATACGGCTGCGGATCCGCCTCTTGAGCCGAAGATTACCGGGAAACCTTTTAGTGCGCGCTTTGTACCCTTCGGAAGCGCTAAGATACACATGGCGCATTTGCCGGTTGTTCAGATGGATAAGGTAGACCTATCGAACTGATAGGATTAGGGTGTACATTGTGTCTTGACGAATGAATGGATATAACGCATAGATGGTTATGGAACATACGAGTCTTAAGAGTACCGTTCTTGTAATCACTAGGATAAAGCATAATTTAACCTTTTTTTCTTCCATTGCTACCGTCTGTGGTAGAAGCTTATATGAACCACCTCCGGACCTACCTACCCGGCAGCATGATCAAAGGCAAAAGGGGTGGGGCCAATGAATAGGGGTCTTAAGCAACCATAAAGTCTATTTACCTAACATCAAAATGGGGTTTAAGCGTGCATATCATATCAGATGGCAGCAAAGTAAAATGTAAACGAGCGACATATAATTTTAGTTAACTACTACTACCCCTGTAAAGCAACAACGCGCACCACAACCACCTAACCTTATCCAAAATCTCACAATAATAGCAGATAACAACCCCCACCATCTCACCTCACCTCACCCCCTATCTCAAACCTCCCCGTCATCGACTTCAACCCCACACCCCCACCACCATCATCATCATCAAATCTAACTCCCACCATTAACCTCATCCCGAACATTATGTCGTCCGTACACCTTCTTCCAATGGCGGATACTAATATCCCCGCCCTCGTCGTACGCGCAGTACATATCCAACTCGCGCATAGCCTCAACCAGCTCCCCGACACAAGTCGGGTTGGGTCCGCCCCAGCTGCACGTTGACACCACGACGGACCCCCACAGGATCGTCTTGCACTGGTGCTTCCGCACCCACCCGTTGTCCGGCCCGTTGTTGATCCAGTCGAGGTACTTCGCGTACGCGCGGAGGTAGTCGTCCCGTCGGATCTTGCGCTCCCGGCACAGCGTCTTGCGCGTGGGGAATTGAGGCGTGCAGTATGGCGTTATGCCCGTTTCGTTGTAGGCCTCGGCGTTGGCGATCACGGAGAGGTAGTCCGGCGCCGAGGCGCTGATGTTCCATGCTTCGTCGAGGGTGGCGCGCGAGAAGTCCATGCCGTTGGGGCCGAGGGGGACGTCGTATACTGGAGATGGGTTAGGTTTATGTTAGAGTAGTGGAAGGGATGGGAGGAGTTGAAGTAAGAAGTAAGGATAGGTAGGGTTTGGGATATTACTAGGGGTGGCTGGGTTCTTGACTTACATCCGTTGGCGAGACCCTCGACGTTGATGGGCTTAACGGCCGGGTAGATAGCGGCACCGCTGACGACGCCGGTGAGGCATAAGAGAGCGTTTATGGACTTCATCGTTGATGTTTTGAAGGGTAAGTTAGATATGTTAGAAGCTTACTGAAGTTTCTTTGGCAAGTAAGAAAAACTGTTGATGTTAGATGGTAAGAATAGATGTTAGAAAAAATGGGAGTCAGACGCCTATTTGTATTCATAATTCTACGTCTGGATGCTGTTCACTGACACTCTTCATATGACCTGCTGATATGGCGGAGTTAGACCTAATAGTACGCTCGGGAAAAGCTTCTTTATGCTATGGCGATGGTTAGTGGTTTTCCCTAGAATGCAGGTCATAACGTGGTGGCTCGGATTCAGATTGTATATAGAAACTTCGTCATTTAGCTAATGCTTGAGTAGTAGAACGCCACCCTGTATCTATGCGTCAAATCTAAGCTAGATAAGCATACATTTGTAGGAAAAAAAGCTGAACTTGTGACCTCTTCAGCAGTTGCCCTGACGTAGTGTAGAGGGTGTGGACTATGCCGCTCAGGCTTTATGGGAGGAAATCAGGCACTTTTTGCAGGTCTGATAGGGGTCTTTGGAAGCCCAGTCGGCCCGTTTGGGGTACTTGGTAAAGGGCAGGAACCCTTATCCAAATTCCTGTGTTCTTTCTTAACATTAACGACCGCGTTGTCGTCGTCTTCATCCCCATCATCATGCGAGGAATCATCACGAAAATCATCCTCTATCTCCGTTACTAGCCCACCTTTAGTAGAAGTAGGCTTGGCCTCGCCCCACGTATACTTGTCCCGCTGAGACTGGAGATAGTCCTCCATCATAGTCCGCTTATTGTTAAGACGTGATTCATTAACAACCACCTCCTCTCCATCAGGACTGAAGTGAATAAGGTACTTAGTATTTATTTGGCTGCGGAGTGAGTGGTACAACTTCTTCTGGCGCTTGTCCAAGTTTTCAAAGGCAGCCCTGGCGCTTTCTCTCGCGGACCAACTCATCGATCGTCCGGGGCAATCAGATTCTCCTAGCATCATTAACTCCTTCTCGCCACTAAAGGCGCCCCATCGTCTGATCTCCGTCAGAACGAGGCGGTGGAGCATCACAAAGATGGGCCCATGACCATCATGAGAAAGACCCCCCGTGTTAGGTACATCCCTCTCACATCTCACGCAATCGCAGCCGAAGGTATATTGATACGCGTGCACCATCTCGTGAATAAGGGAGTATACGATACGGGGAAGCTCGTATAACTTGCTGTTTGTCCCAATACTAAGACGGGTCAGGGTCTTGTCGTGCTGCTTCGTACACCAGCGTGTCTTGCCACTCAAGCCTCTGAGACATCCACCGCCATCCCTTATGAGATCGATACCACTATCAAGGGAAACATTGTCACGTAGGAGTCCGATGAAGAAGAACTTGTCGAGGTACGAAAATAAATCCGTCATATCTTGCTGGAAGCTTTGCTGGGAAGCCCCGGTCCTTAAGTCCTTTCCGTATTTCATCTTCCTCTCCTTGAATCGATTCACGAAATCCTTTCGCGCCTCGAGCTGTTGAAAGCTTAGTTTGCCGTCTGGACGGTTGTGAAAGGAGAGAACGGCGTAGTTGAGAAGATCGCGGGGCTTGTATGCGTTCTTGTGTAGGATCGGCTTCTGGAAGACACCGAAAGGGGCGTATTTGGGGGGCTGGAGGTGTTTGATATTCTTGCCGTTTTCGTCTTTCGTGGGCTCTAGACGCCTTCCTTTCTTTCCGGAAGAAGCCATGATGTAACTAATTTATTTGTTTGGGAGCCTCCGTAATACCTAGTAAGGCCTAGTAAGTAGGTAGGTAGCTGGTTGTGGTCGATATACTGACCTAGAAGGGTCTTCTAGGTAGGCAATTATTTATACTTGGTTTTGAGAAGACGTCTCTTATGACTTATAACCTTACCTATATTGGAATCGCCTGAGGTTTAACCAGATATTTCAGGGAATTTCAAGCCTTGAAAACAATTGATGTCTTAGGTCCAGCCTCAGACATCCTCGATTTTCTAGTATCCTTGGTTTAGATATCGGCGACAGTGTTCTCATATTCATACAATCGAAGTTTGTTACTCGGGAAAATGATAGGCAACCTTGCAATATAGGACATGTTGATCGGGTAATTGTGTACAAATACCTAATAAATGTTACTGAGGTGTGATAGACTCCTTATTATTTCCAGGTGCCTACCTAACAATAGGGGTTCACATCTGCCAACAATTGAAATCTACCTCAACCCCTAGGCACACAAGCAAATTCGTCATTACTATATGGATAGGCTAAACTCATCATAATTACCTAACTAAAATCTACTTTTTGATTATGAAAACACTGTAGTCGGAACTGTCCCCCCACTAGTTGTCACGATATATAACCCGTAGCCCCCTGAGCGCCCAATGCTAAACCCATGTTATGAGACTTATGTAGGCGTTCCTTCTCGGCTATTCCTGGTTTCCCTCTTGCTTAAGAAACTCCTCCGTAAAGCGTTATTCCCACTTCTTGGACTGGGGCTTTCGTTGTTTTCTCCAAACGTGCTCTTCACAACCACCGTTCCACCTCCGACCTTGATCTCCTTTTCACCGCCGCCGCTCTCGTCTACGAAATATAGCGCTTCGCCTAGATCGTCGTCGCTTCCGAAAGTGTGGTGGCCTTTGACTTCAATACGGAATTGCGTATCGGGAGTGCATGTGTGCTTGAACGTTTCGTCGAATCGTACTACGTCAGGAGACTCGTGGTGTTTTGTCTTGCCAACGGTCCGCTCTTTGGGTGTGAGTTGTTTGATCTGGACGTAGATATCCGATGACGAAGGATATCCTTCCGCAGAAACCACGGTAAAAGTAGCTGTTCCGGCGCCGGCAGCACCTGGGGCTAAACTGTGAATAGAGACTCCACCTAAACTAGGGTTGCGTCCATGGGCCTTACCATTGCCGTTAGGCGTGACAGGGCGAGTAGCGGCTGATTCGCCGTCAACGCTTAAGCCCGTCGATCGTCTCAGGCCAGGACCAGGCGCAGCAGTATCGGGTCCATTTGTCACGATCGTGGGGATCTCCGAATTACTAGACGTTAGAGTTAGGCCGTTGCCTTCATCGTCTTTCTTTCCTCGGAAACCTCGCTTGATAAAACTGGCACCCTTTCCAACACCGTGGCCAACGACACCAGCTACTGCGACACCACCCTTGACCGGAGCTCCTACAACACCAGTTACGATCCTGCCGGGGCCACCAAATGTTCCCGAGAACGTGCTAGTACCTAGTCGGGAGCGTGTAACATAGTCAGGTCTAAAGAGGAGCCGTAATCTGACGGAGCCAGACTTCCCATCTAGAAGCAACTTGAGCTCCTTTGCCTTAAACGGGTCAAGCTGTTCCAGATTGATGTCCGTTCCACCCAGAAAGTCAGGCTTATCCGCGAAGTCATAGTCATAGACTTTACAGGTGAACTTGGCAGCGGTTCTTGACGGCACCGGGACTTCGAAGTACTCGTTCCATACGGGATTGAGCGTTTTCTTTTGGGTCTTGGTCTTGAACACATCCTGCCCATTAAGCTCGAACTTGCAGTATGGGTCACTTTTGCCGTTCGAGTCCGCAGGAGGTAGGTCAGTTGCATCCAATACATCGACGCGAAGGTTACCCATGTTATTGATGCTCTCGCTAGGATCGAGATGCATCTTGACAGGGATATACTTCAAGCTGACCCTAACCGTGGCAGCTCTATTTTCTTCATCCTTTAGCTTTAGAACCGTGGGGTTATTCTGAGATTGTTAGCAACGTGGAAGAACAGTCGTTTCGAGTGGAAGCTTACTAAACATTGCTTCAAAGTGTCTAGAGTGTTACCCGTTAACCGAGCTACTGTATGATCTTCATCGCGCTCTTCACCTGGCTTCTCGCGTTTCTCTCTCACCTTGAGAGTTAGGCGTGAGAAGTCCAGTTCGCGGATAAAGCAGTCGCCAATCTCATCGAATTTAAACACTTTATTCTTGGCTGTGCCCGAGATATAGGACGGGTATAACATGTCATCGACGTAGATTTCGAGATGTGTTCCACTTTTAGGCATTTCGGCGTCCATGAGCTTGAAGATCAAGAATCCACATTCATACTTCAGTAGCTCCTCGGGGGAAAGGTGAACCTTAGGGCGCTCGCGTTGCGCTTCACGAGACCTTCGTCCAGATGCAGTTGACCTAGGAGAGACCGGCGATTTGGGCATCGAGGGCGAAGTTGGCGTTATTGGTACACTACCGTTTTCTTTCCTCTCTAGCGTGGGAATCTTCCCAGCTTCCGATGATCGAGGAACATCGAGTGACTTCTTCGGTGCTTCTGCGGCTACTTCTTTATCCTTTGCCTCTTCCTCCTCCTCCTCGGGATCTGCGACGTTTAGGCATGGATAGAACGAAACGGTATATGCGAGCGTTCCCTTTGCGATGCCCTTTCCGTGCAACCGGAGGCCGCCTTCGTGTGCCTTCTTCGCGTCATGGACGAGGTATTCGCCGGTCTCCTCATCTTCAGTGATGTAGTCACCGGCAAAGACCTCGACCAAGCCCAAGCTACGATCCTTACCCATCTTCTCCGCATCCATAACCTCAAGGGTTAGACGGTCTCTAGCAGAATGCATTGGTATGTAGATGACTTCGTCCCATTCGGGGCTTAACGTATTGCGGTGCGTTACGGTTCGACCCTTTTCAATACCGGAGAGTAGCACGCGAACATAGGGATCCGATTTACCCATAGTCTCGAAATTCCGAAGATCGCGCGCACCCTTGAAGTGGAGGCGCATAACACCGATGGGGGTTTGGTAACCTCCAGTTCCTGCTAACACACCGGACAGCGCGACAGGTTTCCATTGAGCGGTCAACTTTGCTCGTCCAGTCTTGGCCCCCGATAGATTGTACCACTCATGACCCTTCTCCATCATCTCAAGCATGTCATCAAGCTTGATCTGGTGAGTACCGATAAGTTGATCTCCAGCGATTTCGCGGTCATCTTTGATAGCAAGACCCAATTTGGCATTTTTCCGGTCGGTGATAAGAATTTCCTTAGAACCATTGTCCCAAATTGGATTGTTGGTACGCTTGAGCCTTTTGGTTAGGTGGACTTCTTTGCCGTTTAGTAGTAGCGCAGCATATGGATTGAGTAAGCCAACCAAGCTCTTGGTGCCGTCGAGATCCTTTGCTTGCTCAATAGTATATCGTAGGATACCGGTGTTCGTCTCTGGAGGTGGCTCTACTTTGCCTTCGTGTTCTGTAGCCTCTAGAACGGGGAAGAAGCGAATATCAGCATTGATCACACCTCTAGCTTTACCATGGGCAATAACTTCTAGGCGCTCGTTCTCGTACACGCCAAGCTCCTCTATCCGTTCAAGCGGGAAGGACCCGACACCGAGCTCTTTGTCTTTGCGGAAATCGTTATAGTCGTACACGATAAGGTCAAGCGAGTCGTTAAACGACGTAACGATAACATAATGCGTCTCACCCCATCTGGGGTTTGGAGTGTCCTTGACAACTTTGGTCTGAGCAAGAGGCGCTCTCTTGTTGAAAGTGACCACAGCGTACGGATCGGGATTGCCGGCGAAATTATCGGGGTTCTTGAGACCTTGAGCTCCATGGATCGTAATCGCGATCACACCAATCGCTTGGTCGACAGGTGAACCTGCAAGCAACTTCGCAACTTCAATAGGGAATACATTTGGAGCGTACATCATTGGGGCTAGGTTTCCGTGAATCTGTTCTTGAATGAAGCGTTCCAGGCCAGGAATGAAATTGATATCGAAACCAAATGTTTCACCGCCAAGAGGCTTACAAACATAGTCAATTTCTGGGCGCTCAAGGAAGCACATTTCGACTTTCTCGATATGTGGGAAGGGGAACTGGAGTTTGATCTTTAAGCGCATAATGCCGGAAAAGGACATCTTCTCTACAATGACGTCTAGGCCCTTGCTAATCATGGCTTTTCCGATGCGGATTTCGAGGACAACCTTGGGGTCGATCTTGTTTTGGATTTGGCGCGCCGTCATATCCTCTTTATCATTTGGTGTGAAGCTGAATTTCCAATCCATAATGATGGTGTCATCTTCTGCCTTGGGATAAGTCTTGACATGATCCATCCTGGGAGGCTTGGACCCTAGGGTGAAGGTCTTTAGTCGTAGACTATCAAGAAATGAAGGAGTCGCCGAGCTCAAAACCTGATCAACGGAGTTGATGACAGTCTGTGCGAGGACAGGTTGGTAAATAGGCCAGAACTTTACGAGGAACGAGTTAATCCATTCAACAGATTCGTGATCATTCTCCAGCTTCTTCAGCGCCATTTCCCGTGTAATGTCGTCACGGAAGTTTCTCCGGACTCTCCTGATCGAAGTGCGGTAGTAAGTAGAGCAAGTTGCCATAATGATAATGACCCAACCTAGACCACCTCCAAGGACGGCAACAAGCCACGAAGAGAGACAAGCAAAAATGATGACCGCAGCATTATGATACCAGTCTGTAGAACACGTCAACATTAGCGATTTCCATCAGGGGCACACGGGAACCAAATGAACCAACCTCCAAAGTATTGGTCAGGAACAGTTCCCTCTAGCCAGGTGGTATGATCCAATAGACTATCGCCTTCCATGACACTGTCGACAGGCCAGCCGAATCGCTGAGTCCACCCAACCATATCAGCTAGCTCTTCTTCCTCCCTGGCCGTGTTTCCGTCCGTAATTGATCGCCCATCTTTGTCTTTGGCGTGTACGATAGCGTTAGCCTTGGAAGGGGAGGGAAGAGCGTAATCAGCTTTTGTGCCATCGTCGACGTCGGTGGCAATGGCTACACCTCGCGGTTTCCGTAAATGGCGGATATCGTTAGGTATGGCCTAATAGTGACATTCAATCAGTATATACATATATATCAACAAAGACTGATGTGTAATAAGGGACATACAGCTTTGGCCTGAGCTCTCTTTTCCTCCGGACTGGCATCCGGGTCGAATGTGAAAGCAGCCACGCCTGCATTTTTGCTCTCCTCAACTAATTTTTTCTGGGCATCGTTCGAAGTAACAGAAGATTCGGGGTCGCGAGCGGCCTCAATGGCGCCTTGTTGCTTAAGCTCATTTGCTTCTCGTTCGATCGATGCCATGGTGACTTCTCGAGAAGGTGCCTATACCGCTGAAGCAACTCAAAAGCGCGAGAGGGCTGGGTGGTTGGCCGTTGCGTCGCGCAGCATATGTAGTTCGGTTTGTTGAGCGTGCCGATCGTATTTCGCGTGGAGGGGCGACAAAGTTTGACAAAGAAATTGTCTTGGATTAAAAGGAGTGACACAGAAGGCCGGTTGCTAACTAGCTACCTAGGTCAGGTATTAAGCTGTCTTGGATGGGATAGCCAGATAGCTAAAATATACTAGTGACTCTAGGTGCCTATTAGTTACATAGGAATATGTAAGGAGACGTAAACGCGGCGGGTAAGCTATCGATAGTTCGTAAGGCTACCTAGTGCTGTTGCTTCCAATTGCAGAGAAATAGATGGGAGAGAATTGATAACACAAGAGACGAGAATGGGAGAACGGGAGAAGAGGAGAAGATACAGAGACAGGAAGAGAGAGGAAGAGAAGGGGCAAAAGAACAAGAACAAGGAAAAGGCAAGTGCTGTAAGGTCAAGGAGTCGACGTTGGCGATGGTTACGAATGTAAGCTTAAGAAGATTGAATTGGGAAAGACACGCAGCGCCCTGTTTCCCAAAGTTTAAAGTGGTACCTCTCTGGTACGTCTGATTGTACAATACCTTAGGTGCTTTCTTGGCTTGATAGGTACAAGCTCGGTTACCTCCTAGGTGGTCCAAGATGTTCCCAGATTCGTGGCCCCATGTGGGCTCTGAATGATGTAATTGTGCTAGGGATCTTATCGTATAAACATTCGTTAGTTTGCAAGTCTTAACCAATAGTATAATTCCTTTCGGTCAATCGCTGCACAAATCCTGGCATGAATTTTTCTCTCCACAATCTAGAGCTGCGGTTACCTTGGTATAAATGTACACATATTGCGTACATCTACATGGAAGGCAGGTGCTGTTCAGATGTCAAAAGTTTAGGTTTACGTTAATAATAGCCGATTGATGAACTTAAACCTTGATCTTGGTTTTGGGTAACGGTAACGATCCAACGGTGCTGTGCTCTGAACTTTTAAGCGTCATATATATTCCCGACATTCTTCTTCCCTCTTCAACACATACCAACACACACTCGGTGCGGGATATGTACGATCAGACATGGCCTAAAACACAGCACAGCCTAGCTGCCTACCTAAGAAATTAGGTCCATAAATGGCAATAGACAAATGTTCTCAGCTGTATAGGTGTGAGCTGGAGGCGCTTGCACTGTTCCTATTCCTTGATTGTTTGCCATGGATGATCGCTGCACCGATCTATACCAAAGTCCAAAGATCAACCAGCTTCCGCTATTCCTTCTGCTATGTGCAGCTGATCCCTTCCGATTTGATGGCCTTGCATACCAGTGCAACGAGACATACTTGCTAGAAGTGCAGCAGATGCAGGAAGTGCAGGAGGTCTAGGAGGTGCAGGAAGAGGAAGTGCAATAATAACAAGTTACAATAATAGTATCGTCCTCCCGGATCTTCTCACATGCGGAGCGGCCGTCGCATCGGCATAGCGGCACCAGTACCAGGTACCAGCCACCTCTCGCTCTCGGTCATATGCGCGAGCAGGTTAAACAGATTCGGATTCGCGCAGCCAAAAGCATGCTGGCATCCGCGCCACAAGATTACGATATCGTTTGTTAGGTACATCCGAATTCATTGTGAAGTTTTGACGGTTAGCAAATTCATTTTGTCAATCTATTCATACCTAATTACCTACATACCTAGTACGTATTCTTACAACTCACCACAAATCTATCGTACGAAAGGGATTCTGCAGTATTAATATCGTTGATAATAGGTAGTATTAGCGCCAAGTAATCTGTGCTATTATGTTGTGCATCCATGCGACACAACCCGTTAGGAACCCCTCAAATCCCTGCCCGATCATCATTTCTAAGAGCGCCGAGTAGCCGGTCACCTTTTGATGATTACCTCCCAAGCCTCACCTCACACATACACGTGTGACGCATGCGTATTCGGTACAGCAGATGATACTATCAGCCGGGCTTGGGTGGGTTGCAACAACGACTGTGGTATTATACAAAACGAGCCCGTTGAGTTGTAACGTTCATCGACTTTAAAGACAGAGAAAAAACCTTTGCTTTACCCACTACGAAAAGGGGCCTTTTTAATTGAGCAGCCCTGAGTGTCAAATCTCGCCTATTTCAGCATCATGAAGAGGATCACCAGCCGTAACGTACGTTTGAGGCGTGAAACGAGGACAATACATCGCACGCCAAATCGGATTGCGTGGGCTTATTGATCTTATTCAAGTGCCAACTTGAACCACGTTTGGGTGAATTTACGGAAACATGACTAGGAATTTTACGTGGCCTTATATTATCCATAAAATGTAGGAGGAGCTTCACGTTAACTTCAATTGAGGAATTTTCATCTCTAATATTTAGGATTCTTATTCACGAATATCTATTAGGTACGCAGTGGCGATACCACCGAGACCTCTACTAGACATTGAATGGTCAGCTCAGGCGAAAAAGTTATACATGTCTACGCGACGACGACATATTATCTCTTTGCTAGGTATGCTCACATACGCATGCGATTGCCATCATTCGCATTGACCTTTGCGAACCTACAGCCAACCAGCGAACCATGCGATATTACTCAGGCCTACTTCGTACCTATGTAATTTCATCTCGACACTATCTCGAGACATCAGTCTACAGGAGTATTAAATCAGCAAAGCCCGTAGAGGATCAATGCATCTCACTAAATTGTGACAATATCGTAATGTTTACAGTTACCTAGTACTCAAGCTTGGGGATGCGCTGACAACATCGCTATTAGTGCTGACGAAGGCCTTAAGCTCGGACCAGTTTTAGTAGCGTGCTCAGTAGAGGATGTGCAATCGGCGCGGAGTAAAATAGGGGCTGCGCCCGACATCACGAGCATCCCTAAGAAGCGTCGTCTTCGATTGAAATCCCACAATCATCGCTTTCGTCACAGGAGTCCCTCGTCCTGGAACCTAAGATGCGAAATACAGCCAAAATACCCCCCCGCAAGGTTCCAAATGACAACAATGAAAAAGTGCTGGCGCAGCTGGATATATGTCAGCACCGCTAAATATTATCTACACCTCGAAGTTCCTAGCATATTTGAGCGCATATTATATGCTATGGCATATCTAAGATGTTATTTAAACCATCAAGATAGAGAGGTGTCCTATGGATAGAGCTATCTTCTGACACAGTATGAGTCAACCCTTCAGTAAGTTCAATAGCTTGGTAAGTTAACAACTCAATGAACGTAAATCGGAGGTTAGCCAAATCAAATTGTACTTCATCAGAGATACATATTTACGACTTATAACGGTGCAAGCGCGCCATTCTACTTGCTCTTATGGCAAGAAAACTCGACTTAATCCCAAACCTCCTTCGTGAAATGCTCCTTCATTTCTGTCGAGGTCATGGGTTTCTTGAATCTGCTTCAAGCAGTCTACGGACTGCTTACTAGCATCGTGACATGGTCGCCATTCGAGGAAGAACACGAAATAACAAAAAAGCCTGTCTGCCATCTTCTTCAGTTACCAGTCGAGCTTATTCACCATATTTCGGATGATCTGTCGCCAGCCAGTCGACTTGTGTTATCCCAAACTTGCCGCCCGCTGGGTGAGATCCTCAGAAGAGACGCCTTGGCAAACCCCTTTACCCGGGAATATCGTTGCGAATATCTAGCGGCCATTGCTCGTCAGAGGCCGGATTACTGGGTATGCGAGGTCTGTGTCAGGTTACATAAAGTTGATACATCCGATACGCCAGAGAAGCCGTGTGTTCAAACCTGTTCAGCAGGCCGGAAACGATGGCGACAGACTGGATACGGGCAGCAAGACCGACTTGACGCACGCCTTCTTCGGATTGATCACCGACATATCCAGCTTGCTCTTAAGTACACGCGCCTGAAGTGCCGTAATTATCAAGACTATCTCGATAACCTGCTCGTACCGCGCATCGAAACGAAGTTCGGAACTCATCTGTGGCCGTATAGGCAACCTAACGTTTTATCGGTCCATTATTCGGCCTTCCCTAAGATTGTAGTGGGGGATGATGGCAATCTTCGATTCCTACTATTGTCCTCATGGCGCTATGAAGTAGACACGAAGTCAATAACGATCCCAGCTATGGGAGACTTGAAGATTTGTCCCCATTTGAGGCTCACCTATGGTGCTAGAAGGGGTATAGGTCATGAGATAGGGTCATTGAAAAGAATTCTTAGTTCGTTTCTCCCCAGAGAGGGTATGGACAACAAGAATGGATTCTATTTCTGCTGTTACTGTCCTACAGATTTATGTGTCAAGACGTCTCGTGCACGCCTCATACTGAGTGCCTGGCAGGACCTGGGACCCGAGGGATCGCCGATGGATAAGTCCTGGAGGGTGCACATCTTAGGTAACCCGATGATCTCTCGGGGGCATCCACACCTCAGTCATGAACCCGGGAGTGTTCTAAGGCTCTATGAGCAGACGAAGGGCGTGGGCTATCTGCCGCTATAATAACAATGTTGAGTGGAGATATTACTTGAACGATATCTACTGTTATCAGCGCCAACTCTTTGGAAACATATTACATTGCTACTAGTCTGATTATTTTTAAATAGTTTAATATAGGCTGTTAATGGATAATAACATTGTGTCCTAACAAATAGGTACCATCACTATAAATAAATATTACACCTTTGTCCCAGGGGGTTCAAAGGAATCTATCTCCATTCTCAAATCATACTTACCTATTATATACCAATCAACAAACTCATTCAAAGTTCCCAATATGGATTCGACAGTTCTCTCTAAAGAAACATTCATGCAGGGCGGGCCCTGGGAGATGTCAGATATCATGAAGCTGTCGAACATACAAGACATACTTGAAGTCCTAGGGAAAACGAGCATTCGACTCTTCTTCGATGAGTATGTATCGCTACACCCGTCCCTTGAGCCTATCGTAGCTAAAGACATCCTCCCCGATGTCTTCTCAATAGTAGGTGAGTCGGAACCGACCTATACTTCCTTGTATAGGCGGGCGAACGATCCTCCGACAAACGCGCATTGGGCTGAGGGGCTCTTCGCATACCGTATGAAGCGATATCTGGAGAGTCGGGAGTGCATGGCCATCACTTGGAGGTCTCTCGAATACTATACTATTCGCGATCCTGGTGAAATTCGGACTAACAAGGCCATATTATTGGAGAGATACGGGATTATTCTTATAATCCTCGAGAGGCTTCAAAGGGAACGCTACGAAGCGGCCTTCCCCGAGCCAGAGCCCGAGTCAGAACCTGGTTCCAGGCAGCAAGCCAATCCACGTCAAGAAACCACGCTTAGCTGGCTCGATGAATTCATTTTGAAATGGATTCCTCGATGTTAAATTTAGATATTTAGTATTTAAATTTAACTATTATATCTTCTAAGTACCTAGTTAAGCGGTGTGTTGTTTTCGGGATTATAGATAGGTTCATTTTAGACTTGATTATTGCTAACTTTGGTAGCAGCTGCATCGTATTTTTAATGAGAATATATTATAACAATGCAACATGATACATGAATGATCATAAGTGAGAGCTTTATAGTTGTGATTGAAGATGACTGTATATCTGAATCAATTATTACGAACTCTACCTAGTTACACCACTGTGCTAATATAGGGGCAACCCCTGAGTAGGGACCCACGCGTAACTGGCGAAGGAGGTTTTACTCAGAACAAGGTAAGATATGACAATGAGGGCAAATGTAAATAATTCGCACTTTTAGAGTACTAATTCCATACTTGAATTATGCTTTCAAGGCCATTTCTTTAGAGATGCTGTTGAAACAAAACCTGCAAATATTCGCTGTCGCTCTCCTAAATCCGTCCCACGGCATCACATAGGCGATCTGACAGACTGGAATATCGTGTAGCCAACCAGAAGTGTTGCGAGCGCAACATAATAGACCGCTAGCTTCTCTGATGTTGTCGCTAATTTCGTCTCCGGTTAATGGGCGGAAGTTGAGGATGTCGTCTGTGCTGATAACTCCTCCCGGAACGACTAGTTTGGGAGGCATCGCGATATCTCATTCATTCCACTCATCAAAGAAATATTAATATTGATAATACCTCTGATATATTTGATTGATTTGAATGGGGGGTTTGTTCTTTAACCTACCTAGGTATGCCGGAGAGGACTTTACCTTCTTAAGTAATTTGATCTGTAGAAATATCGAAGGCAAATCGAAGTATCTGTGCTTCACCATGTCAGTTACAGGTCATTATATTTGATGATGTGACGTTGAATGTGATGCTATGGATCCATGTCCTTCAGGGGTGTCCACCTAAAATGACCCTGCTAACCCGCTATTACTAGCGTACATAGGTAGGTACCTACTAGGTAGTTTACAGTACAGTCCGCTATGAAATTTAGGTACCTAATAGTTCATAGCAAGACAAAAAAGGGGCAGGTCGCTACAGACCAAACTCCATACCATAACTAGGTAGATAGGTAAAAATTATTAAGAGTTTTTATTGTTAAACAACGCTATCTATATGTCTATCAATGACGAGATATCAGCCTTGACCTTTTTGTTACCTCGGGATCTTACCCACAGCGTACACCCCCCTCGGGATGAGATCATCCTGCTGTGATTGTCACATCGTATGGCCTGTATTCATGTGTTGTTGGGGCGGCATTGTCATTATCTGCAGATTCAAGTGAATCATAAGTATTTGCCCAGCGACTACCTGCAGTCGTATTCTCATAATGAACCTGATGCACGACAGTACGCACGCCAACTATGGTTGCGCGTGGTCTACATGGCATATTCCTATCTCCCATAATGATTTCATCTCCGCCGGATTTGCCCAGGGCCCCCCCGGTGAGCGTTCGAAGCCCGGCCGAGCAGTGATTTTTAACACTCCGAGTACCTCTTTTGAACAGTATGAAGACGACCGGCATGCAGGCGCAGATGATGCCAATGTTTAACTCGAGTATGCTGCAAGATGCTTAGTGACATACTGCCGCAGGGCCTGCCTCATATAGATATCGGGGTTTCACTTACACCGTGGCATAGACTGGAACCGTTGTCCATGTTAAATCAGTAGATCGTGAAAATTGGAAACGGTAGTATGTGCCAGCTATAGATGTGCCACATGCCCTTGAAAATATTAGTGTTGCTGCCTAGAAAATGTATGGTTCTGGAAAGCGGAGAGTATACGCCAAACCCGTGAGGAAAATGCCAATAGCGCCGTATTGTTTCCGCGGAGAGAGTTGGATGTGTGAGATCATATATATGGGAATAAAAAGAATATAGAAGTCGGAGAACGTGCTAAAGATTCCATGAGCAAGCGACATATCCGAGATGAACTTCGAGCAAGTTTGTGATGTCGACAAATTCGTGACGCAAAGGGGTAGAGACGGAATAATCCAGGCGGTGTAGAACAAAGTAACAATCACGGTACCCGACCAGGACATAAGTCTCGCAGATCTGAAACGACCAAAGAGCCTGGCAAAAAATATGAGAATTGATGTTTTAACGGTCGTCGAGGCGATTGCGAATAGACATGAAGTAGCCAGTGTTTCCTGATGGGCACAAGTTAGTTACCTGTGTGTAGAACGTGTATAGGAAACTGTCGATAGAGGGAGACCTTGCCCTGAGATAGTTGTCCGTTATACGTATCAGAGGAACGTCCCACATGTGTGGCCCAGCTGGCCCTTTCCCAGGGGTATCGAGCACTGAAGAAAACGGACTTTAGCCTCGTTCAAATAAATAACATGTTTTCAAACTAAAATCGTACTTGCAAGAGTTAAGCCAGTATATGCCATGGAAAGGAACTAAATAAATAAGTATATGCCTGACAAGTCTTAGGAGAAGCTGCCGACAGGAGAAGACTAACAGCAGAGAGTATACATAAGTCTGGGATATAGACGAGTATCAGCCAATTTTCATTATAATACCAAGGTGATTATGGTCTTTTTCTCAATAATTCTTCCTGTTCCCGGTGCCTTCCTGCTTTAATGACTTACGGTCGTCCATGGTAAACACTCCATTGATCATAATCCGAACATATATGCGTAGCCCCGCGAATATGAAAATCAAAGGCACTGTAATTCCTGTGATAATCAAAATCCTAGTCGATTGGGAGGGAGGGTTGATGAAGTTTGAATGAAAACCAGGCGGCGGTGCCATAAGTGGCGTCGTTTCCAGTTGTTCCAGGGGAGTTCCTCTGAGGGCGGTTAGGTTAAATTGGGAGGCCATTCTCAACTGCAGCTTTGAATCTATACCAACCCTCTTGGACCAGGATTAGAGGCTTGGACATAGAAAAGAGCTCTATATTTCTGGGTAGCAAGGTGTGATATGACTGAAGAACTGTGGCTATAAGTTGGAGAGAACATTCTTTGGATTTGAGGAAGGAGTTAACCTGAAGTAAGGCTGACAGCAGATTTCTTATAGCGGCTATGACAATTTCAAGTACGGCAACTAAGAATACCTATCTATGTAAGAACTGCAAATGTTACGTTGCTACCTAGGTACTCAATGGGCAGTGATATGCGGGAATACAAATTGTCTTTACTCCAACTATTATAGGTACATTTCCTCTTCTAACCGACAAAAGCCCATCTATGATTCTTGTAAATTGATCGTAACCAACATTCAAACTCATTTACGGTGATACCCTGTCCCGAGCCGAACCATCCCTACGCCGGATACCTGGTGCCGGTAATGTATACCTGAGCAATAAATGGCGGACTTACTATCTTGCTTAAGACTATGGAGTAGGTGAGATATCTCACGGGCGGTCTGTATGACAGATATATTGATCCGGACCAATGAGGCATGTAGACAAAATGGCGGGATGCTACCACACCCAGTATAGTGCGAATATAAGCCTAATACTAGCCGCCAGCCTGCTTTTGATCTATTTCCTAGATGACTAAGTTCCGGGTTGGATATCAAGGAGGCTCCGTGCAACCACTAGAATACGTAACCACCTAGTACCGCATATGACATTGAATTCGCGGAATCCCCTGATCGGATTTGCCCTGTCACATCGGGTCTATCGGCTTGCGATGGAATGGCGTAACTTAGAAGAACGGGTTGCAAACATTCCACCTGAAGGATTTTCTGCCGGCCAATGTCTGCGATGCGAATTTGAATGTCTGTTCCCCCAGAATTGCCGATGGTAGAGTGATCACCATCCAAGAGATTTAGGTCTAAGCTGCTGAATCCTTACGGCGAAACTGGTTGGGTGAGCGGCCCGAGCACTATCAGGCAAGAGTCCTAGAATGATTCGTACAAGGTAATCATATATACGCATAGCATCTTGCACCGAGAGGTTCCAGGCCAGACACTAATTTGACGCGTACGAATCGCAGGAGCTAGCCATGCTGATGTTTACTATATACCAGGTAGGTACCTACCTACTTAAAAGGTGGTCATTAAAGTAGGTAGGTAAAGTAAAAAATGAACGCCCAGATATGTCTGTACTAGGTACCTAAGCTTACCCCTTTACCAGACAAATCACATAGTATCAGAATCGTAAAATGCAATAAAATAATTTCTGTATAATCTATCATTATTAAGGTTGTCTTAAGACATTTTCAGATTTTTAGAAAGTGAATTATTCATTGGTCTTATTCAGAGGTGTTAATCTAAAGTCACATTTTGTGTCAGTTTTCCACGCACATGAATACGACCTTCTACTAAAGGTAATATCCTTTCGCTAATACTTAGGTAATAATCTCTCAGCGCATATTTCCGACAAAAATCACATAGTATATCACGAGTACTAACCTTGGAATATTTACGCGTCATTTCACTTAATTTATGAAACCCCAGTATGTGAAATGTACCTGGGTATGCAGCATAAAAGACCAACACAACAATATAAAAGTGACATTGGATTTACAGTAACAGAATGAATGGTCATGGATACATGTATACCGGACTCGTAGCCTGCCTACAAAAGTACAGATACCTACCTACAATCTATGGAAATGCAGATCCACATAGCCAGCAAAAGATGGTGTGAGCGACACTGGAGTTTGGTTGGTGTTTCGGCCTCCATCTTATGTACTTCTCCTACTCAATATTATGCACACGCTTCGCAACGTGATATCGGGTATTTTTAAAGGAGGTACTAATTATATTTCTAAAATGGCTCTTACCTATCAACCTCACCTCCTGTTGAATGGGATTCCTTTAAAATATACTTTAGTTTAGCATTGGAAATTGTCATTCACTCACCTCGCCACGATATGCAAAATCCCCCTTCTGTATTCCAATATTCTGTATTTTACCACTGCTGGGTAGTATAGACCCAATCATGTTTACATATGTCACCAGCCTTGTGCTTTGTGTGGCACTCCTGATACTCTATGTCAACCAAGCATCGCTTGAATCCGTAGGTCCCCCACACGAGGTTCCACAGGCTGTTCTAATGTCACAAAGCTCTCTAATGTCCTGTTCCGCTACGTTAGTAGGCGAGTTAACTCATGGAAGTTTCTATTTTCTGGCGTATACATGATTACTGCAGGATATAAGAAGGTATATTTGTTCCCAAGCACTCTTTATGGCCGTCACCATTGGTACCCGGTAATTATTGATATTGACTAATTCTAGGCCGGAGGAAAAGCATTCGAAGTCCCTGGACCAGATCATAACCACATATTTGTCAGCTCCAAAGAACACCTCGGCGAGGTCCGCAAAGCTGGCCGCGATGAGCTATCTATGTTTGGTGCAACGAAACAGGTTAGTAGAGTTCGCCTTTGATCGTCAAGAAACTTTGCTCAAAATATCACCAACAGATGTTCCAGCCTGCTTATACTATGCTTGGCCATAATTGGCTCGATGAAAGAGGGGCCGAAGGAATAGGATACGTCAGGGCTGTTGGCACTCTGTTCCCACGGCAGCTACTCAATATCATGCCCGATATGCAAAGAATTATCCGAGAATCCTTCGAGGCATTCCTGGAGACTCACACCTCTCAGGAAGGTGAGTGGATTTGCCCAACCAGATAGAGCCAAAACTAACCGAGAAGGAACTGGGATTGCCCCGGCGTACAAGATGAATAAGAAGATCTTGACCAAACTGAACGGCTTCTGCTTCTTCGGTGATGAACTCAGTCGGTTTCTTTCCCTACCTACCTAGTACCTACCTAGGTAGTCACTTATGCAACACGATGATTATCTAACACCTTTTAGGTCAAAATGAAGAGTTTATGGAGAAGATCTTCGAATACAACGAACTTGTTATTACCGCCGCTGAAATCCTAAGAGTGCTCCCGGAATTCCTAAAGGGGTATGTATCTCTCTGATTACCTATGTAAAGTTGAAGCATAAGATCCTAATGTCGTAGTATCATTGGCCCATATATTGGCAGACATACTAGCGTTCAGGAAAAGATCTTTAACATGATTAACGGCCTTGTTACGCGGCGAATGGAAGAGAAGAAACTTGTAGAAACTGGAGAGATATCGAGCTCGCCTCCTGTATGTTGCTCCTGTTCATATTCAAGTTCATCTTTAACCCATTAACTATGGCAGAATGATATGATTCAGTGGATCATCGATACTGCTCCAGCAAACCTGGAATGGGGACCACGTCGTATTACTTACGAGATTATCGCCATATGGTTCGGTTCAGTCCATGCTTTATCGGCTGTACGTACTATCTCATCCTGGGTCGGTTGGCGTTGTGTGATCTGACATTACTTTATGGTAGACCGTCACTTATGTGCTTTTCGACTTGTGTGCGCACCCAGAATATGTTGGGATACTGCGAAAAGAGGTAGAGAGTTCCGCCTTCGACGAATTCATGAAGACAACGAAAGGTTTGCCCTTGTTGGACAGCTTCATCAAAGAGTCTTCGCGGCTCAATCCGATCGAAGCCAGTACGTGTCCCACAACTACCTATTTTATATGTGACCATTCCTAACCCGTTTCTAGTGTCCGGCCGGCGTCAGGCTTTGCGAGACTTCGAGTTTTCTGACGGGACTCAAGTCAAAAAGGGTGATTGGACTTGTGTGCCAACAAGAGCAATGCTTCATGACGAGACATATTATCCGCACGCTACTGCTTTCGAAGGATTCCGATTTGCACCTCCCGACAAAGTTCCAAAAGATGAGAGAAGCTACATTTTCCAACCCGAAGGTCCATCTAGATACTCGGATCTTTCGGACAACTACCATGCATGGGGCATTGGAGGGATTGTGTGGTACGTATCAAGCATCCAATTAAAACGCGAAGAAGAAAAAAAAGGAAAAGAAATTAACAAATTCTATAGCCCAGGAAGGTTTTATTCTTCCGTGGCCACCAAGCTGATCTTAGCTCATATCCTCAAAGGATTTGAATGCAGCTTCATGGACCAGCACACGGAGATGACATCTATCTGGAGATCTTACTCTCTTCCAAGGGAGGATGTTCTAGTACAATTCTCCCCACGTCTAGAATAAGCCACACGGGTTTCGCTCCCATATCTTCTTTGTTTTGAACCCATACATTCTGCTGTCACGTGCTGACTTGTCTATCTATATTTATCTCGCTTTTTCGAGTTGAATTATGTATTTTTGGAGGTATTGTATGTATCTGAATCTTTCTGTTTGGCTTCTGGAAGCCATGATGCGGATATCAAATGGAAGGAGTTTGAATATATTTGGAGTAGTACTATACTACTATGTACCTAGTAGTACCATATGTATCTCTATATTAATTAATGTAACTTGAAAATAGTTAGATATACCGTTACCTGATATATGAAGCTGTTAATGTATAAATGTGATTAATAATTTTGATCCTTTAACTGGTACGAGATGTCTGTTTTTTAAAGGGGGAGAAACGCGCAAGTTGCACCAACGCCATAATTTACCTAGGTACTTCCTCGCTGCGGCGGACTATTCCAATCTTAGTAATAGTTTACCTGTAGAAGTGTCTCACTCATTCTTTCTTGGCATATGCACTTAATTTAAACGGTTTCTGTCCAAGTTGTGAATGGGGGAGTAGATGATACACGGGTAAGGCTGAGAAGGTACTTACGTCACGGGTGTATCGGGTACAAGACCGCCCGGTAATTACCTGAGTACATGTATAACGTAGTAAATGTCAACTAACAAGTTTCAAATAAACTTTGAGTAACTTGTACAAAGACAAAGTGCAAGAAAAGCTCTCATGGTTGGTTTCACAAGCTATCCCTACATTGCTTTTATTAATATGCACGTACCCATGGGCTAACCCCAAATAAACCGACCAACCACCTTTAATCAATCACCTTTTATTTTTCTCCTTTTTGTCCGTTCCAATCAGATTTATTTTCCACCTACCTACCTTGCTCATATCCATGGTAGGTTTACCCCTCCTACGTCTTCACGATATCGGTCTCGGGAGCAATTGATGCCGTTCAGAGGATTTCAGATAACTTGTTGCTCTTCGAGGGACTAAGGAGTATGATGAACTTACGAAATCTTATTTCTATGAGCCGGAACATGAGCTAAAACCTGCATGTTTCCTAACGCCAAATTCGCCCTCTCAGGTTTTCAGATATACTAGTGCTGGCTACACTAAAGTTCGCCTGGCACCCCTAGGGGGTGCTGCGCTTTAATTAGCAAAAAGACCAGGTATTAGCAAAATACTTTCCATTACGAGAGATTCTCTCTTAATTGTAAGTACTTTATTAACATGGGAGTCTTGGCAAGTATTCTTATATGTAAATCGTATAGAAAGTTTTCTATAGGGGTACTTTGCTAATTAAAGCGCAGCACCCCGAAGGGGTGCCAGGCGAACTTTAGTGTAGCTAGCACTAGTACTGAAGGCCATAAAGCCATTCGGACTTCTCTCCAAAATGGCAATCTGTGGGGCCGGTCAGCAGGCAACGCCCGGGGTTGCTAATGTTCGCGATGGCCTCACAATTCATCTAGGAAATCTTAGAGGCATCACGCTTAATTCAGAGAAGAGGATTGTCTCTATTGCGGCTGGTGGAGAGGTGGGGGGGGGGGGGTGGGGTGTACGAGGTCATAATGAATGCTGGTCTTGGCGTTGCAGGCAACCGACACTCGAGCGGCGGAATTGGAAGAGACGCTGTTCGAGGCAAGTGTTGGTACCTATTAAATAGGTTTATCGTTGTCTAATTCATTCGGGCGGGTTGTCATATTTCTTATCGACGTGGCTTCGTTTGCGACAGCGTAGTCAACTACCTATGAAGTTGTCCTCGCTAGCGGAGAGATCGTGGATGTTAACGCTAACACGAATAGTGACCTATGGGTTGCACTTAAAGGGGGAGAAAACAATTTCGGTGTCGTTACTCGTTTTGACCTTACCGTCTTCGAATAGGGACAGATGTGGGGTGGTAAGGTCTTCTACTTTCAACCCAGCTTTTCTGGCCAGATTCAAAATCTTGCCGAGTATCCGCGTGACCCCAAAGCCGACTACGATATCCACATTTGCGTCAGTCTCGGATACGCCGGTGCGTTTGACGACTTCGTGTATATGAATGATGTCTTCTGCACAAGACCAGAAAAGCCCAAAACACTTGAACCATCCGCAGATATCCAGCCTCAGATCGATCAGATGAAGACTTTACGCATCGACAACCTTAAAAGCTTTACTAGCGAGGGATTTGCAAATAGGTGAACACATTGGCGGTGCGATTCTTACATACTTGTAGAGGTGCTGATATTGAAACAGGGTAGCAAAAAATGTTCACTACTTTGAAGGCTGATAGTGTCATCCCTGAACTGTATCTTGAATTGTTTGGAGAGATATACCTATAAGGTAAGAATATATAGATTCGCTACACCCGTTGGGAACTCAATGTAGAGTAGCGAGGCTAATGAATCACCGTTTGGCTACTATCTACCTAGGTAGGTAATATATTCATTGCAGTGAGCTAAAAGTGCTTTGTATCGCGTCCGGGGCATCTGGTACTTGGTACATTGTGTAGGAGTGATAGTTGTTTTCTGTCTGCTTTGTTCTCTTCCAGACTAGTAGGTTAGTTGCTTCACGTTGGGGAGCCTAACCCTTACTTCTTAAATGTATACTGAAGCAACCGACCTATCATAATATCACGATTATCGAAACATGAGTGTAGGTTTATTCATTCCAACAAAGATAAATTTAGGTTGTGGCGACCTACACATCATTAGCTTCAATTCCAGAAACTGTACCTATGCTGTTTGCGTACTGACATTGAGGGTAGTGCTTTCAATCGAGTTCTAAGGTTAATATAGGATTTTATAGGATTTAGTTATGGAATATACCCATGCTACCACTGATATTGCGTGAAGATGAGGAACAGTATAATTAAAAATTAATAATTTAACGAAAATATTATATGCATATTCCTCGGAGTTTCTTTGTTATAATTACCTATGTCTGTGGAAATCCCACCAGGTACAGACCCCTCTCAGACTCCGTTGTTTGTAAACCCCGATGGGTCCCCGCCGAACTTTGACAACCCTCCATCACTTAAGGTGGTTACCTACGCGGTAACTATCATCTTGATAGTTACTTCATTCCTATTGGTGCTGTCTAGACTTCGAATCCATTTGAAAGTGCACGGGAAGTTTGCATATGATGACTGTGGGTTAATTAATCCATATCTACCTAACTAATAGCTAAGCACTGACTAAACAACAGATTTCTGCTTCATTGCGTGGGTCCTTGCGACGGTTTACGGTGCCCTTATTATAAAATGTAGGCATGATGGTTAATATATTGTAAACCATGCTTATTAAAAATAGCAACCCCTACAGCCCGGCACGCATGGGATGTTCCCCTGAGCGCTATCGATGCATCATGGATTAAGGTGAGTGGGTCCGATTTAACGGTGTTGATACAGATCTAACATCACGTAGCGTAGCGCGGTTCTTGCAACGATTTATGGGCCAGCTATGTGGTTCGCCAAAGCAGCCATATTGATGATGTATATCCGCGTGTTCCACGTTGTCCGATGGATGCGGTGGTGTTGTTATATTGGAATTATCTTCCTCTTTTGCGCCTATTGGAGCCTCGTTCCTGTCTCCATCGTGTACAACTTTCCCCACAGGCCTAATGAACATTGGGACCTTGCACTATCGCTCAGTAGCATCCCATCACAACTACCTTTCATGATTATGGGTCTGGTCAGTATAGTATCCGACCTATACATCCTGATATTACCTTTTCCTGTCTTACTCAGACTACATATCTCATGGAAGAAAAAGGTCGGGCTGGGCTTGGTTTTCATAACTGCAGCAATGTTCGTTTCTCTCTATCTTTTTCGGTCGCAACAAGCGCTAACATTGATATCGGTAGCGGAATCGCGTGTAGCTGCCTCGTGTTCTACTACCGTATCGTGGTCTGGAATAACTTATCAAAAGATGCAACATGGAATGTCGCGGCCTCATCCTTGACAGTGTAAGTAATCTCTACTATATAGGTACCGAATAATGGTGAAGGCCTACTGACAGGTCATTCGAAGGGCTATCGAAATAAACGTTGCCGTCATCGTAAGTTGCGCGCCGGCTGCCGCAGCATCTTACAAGCTCATGGCGCAAGAATCTAGATTCTGTTCAAGCATAGTGTCGGCTGTCAAAAGCTCTCGAAATCTGATACACCTCGCTTCCGGCTCGAAAGAAGAAAAGCCGAACTCAGACGTTAAACTGACATCTTTAAAAGCGGTTGGAGTTCGTTCGTAGAATATATGTGTTCAGTTATCCAACCCCTATATTACGTAAGTAGCCCCTTTTATGGGCGAAGGTTGAGGGGCCAAGACCTCCAGAGATATGCGTTGCATTTCTCTAGTGGTTAAGGTACCCAAATTATAGCGGCTACCGAGTATAATATAGCGAATAGGTCATCATTAAGCCTAAGCCTTAGCTGGGGTTAACGCAGTATTAAACCACTACCTAACTTGGAAATTTAAACATAAAAGTTTGCTGGAATCCGACGCGCCTAAGGATGCGGGGCTTAGCTTAGTTGCCTAGCCCCCACCTCCATCTTAAGTGCTCCACTCTTAGAGATCAGAGGCTGAAAGGTCAAATCAAGGTACAGAGAATAGCGATTCCTAAAAGAGTTAGTACAGAGATCTGCCACTAGGTACCTACCTAGTACCTACTAAATTTCTGTAGTACTGCACCACATAAGATAGCCGCTTCCCATCACGATGGGAACGCCTTGTAATTGTGATGTGTGATAAAAATTGATGAAAAGGAGGCTTTTAGAGACTTGTAAGTACTGTACCTACCCGCCAAGACATGTACCTATACTATAATGTTAGGTACGTATTGATAGTCAAGCAAGGCGACCAATAGACGCGATATTTGTGTTACAGTTACAGGTGCATTATTGGCTTGACGCATTGATGTCGGCGGTGGAAGCAACGATGCAGCCCATGGCGTAGCAATATCGTTTTAGCATACAGCCAACTACATAATGAAATTCCCAAGGGATGACATAGCCCCAACCTACTAGGTGCAATTCTAGTTTACAAAGTACAACATGCCATGTTTTCCCCCGCGACCGTTGCGGCAGTTGCCGTCCATTACGGCTAGCGTTGCGGAATATCCTGTTGTATCTGTATCCGACATTTCGGATTCAAATTTCATAACCCCCAACAGCAGAATTGATGGCGATACCTTACGCAGCCACCCGCGCAGCTGTGTAACGACCCTATGGATATAACTTCCTAGTACGACAATGCTACATGCGGGACGAAAAGATTGGATATAAGCATAAGTCTGGTAGTTGAAACTTGTTGGAAAGGCTATAGTCACTTTCCCTTCTCCAAAAATCGCTTCCAAGGTTGTAAACGTCTACGATCCTTATCCCGATCAGTTTGACCATGGCACTGAGTTCAGGCTCAATCGATATTCAGGATGAAGGAGATAATAGGAAACAACAGGCTACGACAGGCCTCTCAGAGCAACCTGTACATACTCCGTCAAAGTGAGCACGTCTTCCCCTAGAATAGCTCGCTTGGGTGGAGTCTAAGTCACAATAGCGTTATGAGCGTCGCATTTCGAAACCTCAGCGTTCATGCATTTGGACGACAGACCGATTACCAACGTACCGTTTCCAATTTTTTCAACGCCTGGCTGGCGATATGTGTCAACTGGATTACGGGGCAGCGGAAGCTTCGAGTTGATATTCTTCACGATTTCGATGGCTTCGTCTCAAGCGGCGAGATGCTCTTAGTTCTTGGGAATCCGGGCAGCGGGTGCACTACCTTGTTGAAGTCTCTGGCAGGACAGACATACGATCTTTGCGTAGATTCGCAGTCTCTTCTGAACTACCAAGGTAAATGCGTATCCCTTGACTGGTCGGTTTGTCATCACGTGCTTACGTAATCGACCAGGTTTGTCGTCGAAGCAAATGTTCACCGAGTTTCGAGGTAAAGGCACGTATCAAGCTGAGTTCGACATTCACTTCCCGACTTTGACTATGCGAGAGACCCTCGAATTTGCATCCAAGTCACGGAGACTACCACGCAATTGGAATGACTGTCGCGCTACCGTCGAAAGCGTGGCCCGCACTTTAGGCCTTACCAAAGCGCTTGATGTCAAGATGGGAAACGCTTTGGTCCCTGGAGTCAGTGGAGGGGAGCGCAAAAGGACGAGTATTGCGGTACATACGATCACCCTCTAGCTGGTTCTTAACTACGTGCTTACTGTATTAGGAAATACTCCTGGGTGATAGTGTCTTTCAGTGTTGGGATAATAGTACTCGAGGCTTAGATAGCGTCAATGCTCTCGACTTCATCAAGACTTTACGACGACGCACATCAGAGAGTGGGTCCGTCGCTATCGTGACGCTATATCAAGCTGGCGAGGATATCTACGATGTGAGTAAGCTCGTCCAAGCGGGATCTCTAAACGAGATTGGGGTTGCTCACAGATACTACCTAGCTGTTCGACAAAGTCACCGTCATACACGAAGGGCGGCAAATATATTTCGGACGCACTCGGGATGCCAAGAAATATTTTACCGACCTTGGATTCATTGCACCACCAAGATCCACGAGCCCTGAGTTCCTGACGTCCATCACGAGGCCTATCGGTCTACGTCCGCAGACGACGGAAGACTATGTGTTTCCTCCTAGAACCGCTGCAGAATTTGCGGAGGCGTGGAAGGATTCTTCTGAGTATAAGGCGTTGGTTAACCAAATCGACGACTACAACCAACTTCACTTAGTAGGAAGAGGTAACAGCCTTCTTGAAATGAGAAGAGAGCTTAAGGGCACGGAAAAGAAACAGTTAGTATTCCTTCAATCTACCCAGTTGACAAAGACTAGGTATAGTTACTCACACGCCACAGATCCCCTTATATCCTCCCAGTTCTGAAGCAGATCGCATTGTGTATGCACCGAGGGTTCCTTCGCCTGCGCCACAATCTTGCAGTACCGATATCCACCATCATGGGCAACATGGTCACTTCCATTATCTTGGGTAGTATGTTTTACAATATGCCACGCGATACCAGCAGCTTCTTCGGTCGCACCGTATTGCTATTTTTCACTAGTTTAGTCAATACAACATTAGCCGCCTTCGAGGTGAGGAAATATCCCCCCCTGCCCCCTTGTCTGTTAGCATTTTCTACTTTCAACTTACACCTCGTAGTCTGTCGCGTTATGGGATGATCGCCCAATTATCGAGAAACATGTTCAGTATGGTTTCTACCATGCATTTTCTGAAGCTATCGCGTCTTTTTCCTGTGATCTACCTAATAAACTTGTCCTTACATTTGTGTTCAACTTTCCTCTCTACTTCCTGAGTAATCTTCGGCGCACACCTGGTGCATTTTTTACCTACTATCTATTTGGCCTGATGAGTCTTCTCAATGGATCGGTTATATATAGATCTATGGGCGCTATGTCCCGCACTCTGGCTGGTTCACAACCTCCTGGCGCTGTGCTAGTCATGCTTTTGACTATCTACAGTGGATTCGTCGTACCATTTCGAGAGATGCGCCCGTGGCTTCAATGGTTCTCGTATATCAACCCGGTATACTATGTCTTTGAAGCTATGGTCGTTAACGAGGTAGCTATCACATACAATATGATTTATTCAACCTCTGCTAAGGCTTTATCAGTTTTCCGGGCGCGAATTCGACTGCGCCACCTTAATCCCCCAGAACAGAGATGCATCTCACTTCGTCTGCTCCATCGCCGGTGCTATGCCCGGAAACACTACGGTTTTAGGGGATGCTTACATTGAGGCAGAATTTGGCTTCCAACCAGAACATCTTTGGAGGTTTGTTCCTTTTGTCCCTTTGGATGTTCCTACGTAGACTAACTAGAGCAGAAATCTCGGCATTGTGATTGCCCTCCTAGTCTTTTTCGCATTTACTTATGTTATGGCCACTGAATACATCACAATGCTTCCGCCAAGATCGGATATCTTGCTTTTCCAACGAGGGCATACTCCTTCTACCCCTCTCATTGAAGATGAGGAGATGGGTGTATTCCCTCGAAATAGTAGTGAGCAATTAGTCGAGAGTAAGAAGACAGCGGACGATATGATTGGTATAAGTAACGGTGCTCACCTTCTTTGGACTGATCTCTCTTATGCCATAAAAGAAGGGAAGAATGAAAAGGTGATTTTAAACAACATTGACGGTTGGGTCAAACCTAGAACACTGACGGCACTCATGGTTTGTATTCACACTTCTCTTCCCCCCTAACCCCCTTTTCCTACCCCACTTATTTCTAACTGTCTTTAGGGACCTTCGGGGGCCGGGAAGACCACCCTCCTGAACGTTCTTGCCGAGCGAACTACGATCGGGATTGTCACTGGCAATAAAATAACGAATACTCGCTACCAAAACGTTGCATTTGCTCGAAAGATAGGGTACGCCCAGCAGGACGATATACATCTTCCTACGACATCTGTTCGTGAGGCGCTTACATTCAGCGCTTTGCTTCGGCAGCCCGAGCACTACTCGAAAGCCGAAAGGATCGCATATGTAGACCATGTGATTGGCTTACTCAACATGGAAGCATTTCAACATGCCGTAGTCGGTAGACTCAACGTAGAGCAAAAGAAGCGCGTGACAATTGGCACCGAGCTAGCCGCTCGACCGGAGCTTCTACTATTTCTCGATGAACCAACGAGTGGTTTGGATAGCGACTCTGTCTGGTCTTTCTGTACCCTCTTACGACAGCTAGCCGATAGCGGTCAGGCAATTCTATGCACGATACACCAACCGTCAGGCCCGCTGCTCACTTTGTTTGATCGACTTCTTTTTCTCAAGGAAGGGCATGCGATGTACTTCGGCGATTTCGGACCAGAATTCCGTACCCTGATTCAGTACTTCGAAGATCATGGAGCGCGGAAATGCTTGTCTCACGAGAATCCTGCTGAATGGATGATGGAAGTTACGAGTGATGGCTCTGATAATGGGGTAAACTGGGCCGACATATGGACAAATTCTTCTGAATGCATCACTATCAGACATGAGTGTCAAAGGATGAGAGAGCGGCTATCTAATACAACTACGACAGAGGGCATGGGTAGGGATCGCAATACTGAGTTTGCAACATCGTTCTGGTATCAGCTTCGAGTTGTAACCCAGAGAGCTTTCCAACATGATTGGAGATCCCCAGAATATCTATACTCGAAAAGCCTCACTACCTTCGGCTGTGTAAGTATCTTCCACATGGTCTTAGCTACATCTCTAATATCGATCATAGGCATTCATCAACGGAGTGAGCTTCTGGGCCTCTGGGTATACATCCCAAGATATTCAAAACCAGATATTCTCTCTCTTCCTCCTAAGCACAATCTTTGGTACACACGTACAGCTGATAATGGAGAGGTTCTACCATAGTCGGCTTCTGTATGAGAACCGAGAGCGTCAATCACGCACGTACTCGTGGCTAGCCTTCCTCATCTCCAATATTGTGGTTGAGCTTTCCTCGCAGACCGTCATCAGTGTCATTGCCTACGTCGCCTGGTACTATCCAGTAGGTTTCTGGAGGAAGGCGATAGATCAAGGAGAGCTCAATAGCCGCAGCGGGCTAGTCTTCCTGTTGATTTGGTCGCTGCTCATCCTGTTTCAAACTCTTTCGCAGATGCTAATGACTATCATGCCTGATATTCCGACCGGCATTAATAATGGAAACCTCCTCTTCATGCTGTCATTGATATTTTCTGGGTATCTCGCACACCCTTTTGCGTCCTTTACATAATCAAGTGCTGACGTAATCATAGCGTTCTCGTGCCCCCTGATGCCCTTCCCCGGTTCTGGATCTTCATGTACCGCGCGACACCACTATCGTACTATATCTCGGCGATAATATCAACCGGACTTTCGGGATCTGACATTTACTGTTCCTCGAACGACCTTCTTCAACTCGATCCTCCCTCTGACCAGACCTGCGGCTCGTACCTCAGCTCTCCCACATCCGTGGTTCTGAACCCGGACGCCTCGGCGGGGTGCCAGGTGTGTCCATACACGAGCGCTGATGCGTTGCTGGCGTACTTCGGTATATACTACGATGATCGTTGGTGGCAGTACGGCGTCACAATTGCTTACAATGTCATCAACGTAATGCTCGCGATATTGCTGTATTGGCTAGTTAAAGTGCCGAAGGGGTCTAAGAAGGAGAAGAAGTAACAATTATGGTGATTGGATGATTGGATTTGTCGGTTTCTCATGTACTGTCATATGTAATGTAGGTACCTGCGTAGAGGTAGGTATGTGAAGTTTGTCTTTTAGGTTATAGAGCTGTGAGGATGACCTCGATGGTCCCCCATCTAGACACAAATTTTACCATCTTTTGAAGCCTTGATGATGTTTTAAATCAATAAAGCAGGATTTACCTAGGTAGGTATGTAGAAAGCACTGCCTGCCTGTAGCATTAACTTTCAATATTCTACAATTGCCAGCATGTGGAAGGAGTAACGTAGAGTTTTCGAGCACCGATTTGTATATAGGTAAGGAGCTCATTTCTCCTATTTCCTGTTACATGACCCTTAGGAAGTCGTATTAAATATTAACCATCTAACCTAGATAGCTATCTGATGCCCTCTGTACTGCACGTAAAGGAAATCTTATCAGCGGAGCTAAGTGGCACGGATGATGTGACGCATGTCAATATTACATGATGGCAATTGGGGATACAGAACGCAGCGAAAGTAATACCTTCATTCAAAGAAGGGACCTGGGTACACGATCGGATTTAGACGGGCGTCGGACCATGGACGCCCATTGTCGCTTGTTTTAATGTGGTAAAGGCGACCGCCAATTTGGATCAGAGCATACAGCTCGCGTTTCCCACGAGAAAATTGCCGTGAGTGGAAGGATAGACAAGTGGCTGGTGGGATGTCCTGAGGGAATGCAATGCGCCCGATCATGTGCCATTCGTTGGGTGCAGATTCCGTGCGGATGAAGTGAAAGATGCCCCCCTCAGCCGAGGGCACTAACAGGTCAAACTGGGTAGTCCTACCATTATTAGAATCAGCAATAAGCACGGGGTTTCCAGTCACCTCGCCCGGATGTAGGATCCTAGAAGTCTTGCCATTCCACGATCCGTAACTGGAGGAACCCTCGATGACGTTAAGTTGACCTCCTGAAATGCAAATCGCCACGAGATTTGTCTTATAATTGGAGGAGGCTATATCGTCGTCTACCATTATGACGGAGATAGTTGAAATTATACCCAACTCGGTGCCGAGATGATTTACAGCCCCAAATTCAATTTCATGAGATTTCAAATATGTTAGGGGTGTATGAAGCAGACCACCAGACTGGCATGGGACGAACAAGCTCTGACAATCACCGTTACTGTACGGACGTCTATTTTGTACAATCGTCGGGCTACCCGTAACCCTATAACCTGCCAGAGGAGGCGAAGTGTCCGGTATAAACGAAGGATTCTTCTTGTCGGTGAGTTGAAAACTATAAAGGACACCGCCTGAAACGCAGAATAGGTGAAGCCACGGTCGGTCCGGGGATGAGTAGAGAGCCAGGCCAGAAACGGTTAGTTCATTAAGCGTCACTTGCGTATTGGGAAATGGGCGAGGCTCAGACCACGGTGTAGCGGCATGGTCTCGTATGCGCAAGAAGTAGAAAAGACCATTGGGGCCGGTGGCAACGACCTCTTCTGATTCTGTCATGGCAAACTGCCCAACAGAGGGGTAGGGCTGTCTCCATGAAGTAGTACTCAACATTGTAAGATTCAATGGGCCAGCTGGAAGGTTTGCAGAACTAGACTGGCTGATGCTGTTTGCTCTTGATGTTCGAGGTGTGACAATTGGCGTGGCTAATTCTGTCGACGTGAGCGAGCCAACGTCGTCGTCTATCGAAGATACGCTATTCATTTTGTACTGCCGAGCTTGATTATCTTGTACGCGTCGGTTTCTTCGGTAATATTCTTGGCGCCTACTTTCATGTAGATGGATAGAGAGCTAAGTTGATGATTTGGAGTGAACCTTGGGAGAAATGATGGGGTTCTGCAAAACACGCTTATTAATCGCATATTAGGCTTTTAGAGCACTAATAACCTACCTACCTAGGTACCTAGGTATCTATTGGCCAAAGCTAATCTGAAGCCTTATTTATTAGGCAGTGGTAGATCGGGGGGTGGTATGATTACATAACCCCCGCTATTCTAGCACTCTTATATGTGCATAGTAGTTGTAACAAGAACAGTTGAGGTTAAATCTTTCCTTTATAACATCAATAGCACCCCCTTAAAAAGCAGACACCTAAATTCTAGATTTCACCTTTGTATACCAATATTATGCTATTTATTATGCCTTAATGGCCTAGTTTTACTCGGTTAAAAGAGGCCATTTTGTGAGTTGTACGTTGTCACAGGAGTTTCTATTTTAGCATCCTAAACTTATAACTTCAAAGGCTTCTATACAGAGTAAGCATCATATGTGCGCCAAGTATACTTAACAGAGATCGTTGAGGTTAGAAGTTGACTAAAATACCAAGTTACAAAAATCAAAAATACTTACGAGTGTGCTTCTAAAACACACGTAAACAACTCCTAGAAATTCCAAGTGAACATCGTACTTCATTCATGTGATTCTCAATTGTTACGTATAAATCCTCGAGTATTCCGTCTCTAACGTCTAATCCAATCTAGAGCACCAAAGAAAACTATACTTCCACAGAGACGCCTATGACTACCTCTTACGGTTATCAGTAGCGACTTCGACAGGCCTCATGTGTAGCTTGGCGCATTCTAGATCTGTGAGAAGCTCAACGATGATACTACTACATTGAACATATACGCCACAATTGCTTAAAGGGGACAATACATTGCAGCCGGCAGATCTTCTATTCGAGCAGAGGGGAGACCTCTACAAAGAGGCTTGGAGACAGCTGATCATTCGGAGCAGGATGAGCAACCAATAAGTAGTGTGGACGGCTCGAAAATGACAACTGGCCATCCAATTGGCCGGCATCTATTCTACATTGTTCTAGGCGTAACAATGGCCATTGCCAAGGGAAGACGGGATCTCAAGGGTGATGTCTTAGATTACGGGCTTTTTTTTACGTTGAGATGGAGATCTTGGGAAGAGTGTTTTGGTATTGGGGAGAAGATCCATTAGGAATTAAGGGATGTATTTTTCTACTGAATAGAAGATAGTCAGGTATCTATGGAATCTTTGTGAACGTGTCCCTTTGTTGGCTCAGTATTCCTAGGTCCAAGGTGCATTCGCTTAAGCATGTCTTCAAACTTCCCTCCAACTCACTGTCTCCTCGCAGCACTAAATATTACAGCCCCTGTTTCATCGAACGAACGCCAGGAAACCCACAATTCCTAATATTCCTAATATTCCTAGTTAATTTTCAACATATCTGTGTATCTTGGTGGGAAGGTAGGTACCTAGGCTGCTCGGTAATCATGTACGAATGTGTATGTGTGAGACCATTGATGCGAACATGCATTGTTAGCAAAAGTTCTTCAGCATAGATAAAGAAGAAACCCACTCTAAATATATTCAAACGCCTTTTCATATCCAACGATTAGGTGATGTTCTGGAAGGACATTATATTTTTATATTCTAGAAGGGTTAGGGGTTCACATTAAGTAGTTGGTAGATAAAGGAGACACCTTCTGTCTCCAGTATGGGAAGTATCACCAAGTTTTACATGCGTTATTCATCGTTGTTACCTTGCTAGGTTACCTATCTATAACTATAAGTATCTAGTTAATTACTATTTATTCTGAGTGTAACTCTTCGGCAGTGAAATCTGCATGATTGTAAAAGCCATCAACGTCATTAAATTTGTCATCGAAGACAACTGGAAAGAAACGAGGTCTCTTGAGTAATCAAATCCTGCGTAACAAGTTCCTCGCCCGACCCTTCATAAGAAAAAAAAACATTTCCTCATTTCTTCAGCAGACATCCCATTCATCAGACCGCTGCGAAAACCACCCCCAACTCTTTAACGCGCCGTAGGATTCTAGGACTCCAGCAGCCTACCTCCCCAACCCGCCAACAACCTCCCCGAACATTCTACTCATTTATCCCCTCGCCCAGCTCAACCGACGATCACTACCGCGCGCATCTCAGGCAGATTAAAAAAAACGCCCACGTCGCCTAACTGAGGTAACGCAAAGCACATATACCCGCGGAAGAGCTGAAGAGCGACGATCCCGCGTAACCGAGACGCCCAAGTTAGGACGAAAGGCAGGCGATCAGCCAGCTGAGTCAAGCTGGAAAGCTCGAGGGAGGAAAGAGAAGCGCAGGCAGACAGGTAGGTAAGGTAGGTAACGTGAGTTTATACCGACCTACTTACGTGCATACCGGGTTGCCGGCAACTGTCACTTGACAATCTGCCGAACGGGAAGGACGCAGTCGGCAAAGCAAAGGTCGCTGCATACGACTCTAGCCTAGCAGCTACCTATGATAGCTGTTATTGCTCAACAGTGATCGGCTGGCAATCTCGCGAGGCTTTTTTTTCTATGTTTTTGCTTTTACACAGCTGCGGTTCCCGATGTAACGGGGCTGCACTACCGGCACGGCGGCGTGGTCGTAGGGATAAGGGGTACGTACTAGGTATCGATGTACGTATGTATGTACGCTGTAGGGAGACGGATCTCTCGTGACGCTCGCTGCGATGCATCGTAATGTTGACCCGAGCTCCATCCCACTCACACCTGCGTCGCGGCAAAGGCTATTTATATTCGATTTTGGCGGTTCGGCAGTCGGGAGATGTGAGCGCGGCGAGGTCAGCTGTCGTGTGTTCGCATATCGACTTACATACCTAGTATTCATGGTTCATGTTGTCTAACATAAATATATTACTGTTCAAATTACTCAATTGAATCTGCGACGACGTCCCTTTCGTGTCTTCCCTCTGCAGACGCCACAATTCGCTTGTGTTGTAATGCGCGTATAAGACATCCCTAACAATCTGCCGGCCAAGATGGCGTTTTTCGACAACTCGGCCTCTTGGGACCACACGTCGCTTCGCACCCGGTGAAAAGGTCCGGTTATGCATAGTAATTTAAATCTACGTTGTGGTGGTACTGGAGACCAGTCGTATACCACCGGCCGACTACGGAACTGAAAGCCTGTGAAAGGGCAAAGAAAAAAAAAGCTTCGCATCTGTTCCGAAATATCCTGCGGGTCCGAAGCGCTTGTCTCTTAACAATCGACAACTTTCGCCCAATGATATGGATACGACGTCGGATACCGCAGTTACTTCCCATTTGCCTTGAGGCGGCAGATTGAAACGTACGACGCTCAGACCCTCGTTCAGTTGAGGGGATCCCTTTCGTCAATGCTCTATTATCCTCAAGATCGATCTTCATGGCTTGCCTTCGAGGGATTCGGGTTTCCCGCATCAAGGCGCTGGTAGCCGGAACTGTTAAACCGAGAGCCGCGTGAACATCGTGCGTGCCACACTGTATCTTGGCATATTTTGAACATAGATACATACGAGTTCTCCTCGGTCTGCTCGGATTACCTTCCTACTTAATGGTTCAAGGTTGCGAATGATAACAGCAAAATGATAAGTCAGCAATCGCCATCCTGCGGAAATTTCCGGGAGTGAATCCAATGACGATAAATGACGATGCCTATCGTGTGACCAGGGTTTAAAAGGGGGTGAAGGTCAATACGTGTTTCGATTACGGGGACAAAGGGTCTATCAAAACTAGATCGACCTTGTGATTCTCCCAAAAGATTCATCTCTTGGGGGGGATTGATGAATTCAGCGACGGGTTGCCACGGATAATTTCTGACCGGCGTACTTGACCGGTTATTTGTTCAGGTCTTGGACGAATTGCGCATTGAACAAAAAATGCGGCATTGCAATTGGCGTTGAAATTCGAAGCTATTAGTGGGGGTATCGTCGTCTTCCGGCCTCTCCATTCTAGTCCCCAGAGTGTCTTCATCGGCGGGATGGACCGGGATTTCAGGTGAAAGTGGTAGGTGTTTTGCGAAACGATCGCATTGGCTCCAAGGGTTGCCTAGGAAGTCTGTCTCGAGAAAGCTGATGGAGATGTGTAGTTATCGTCACCGTGCTCTAGGCAAATTTCTAATATCTCCTCGGTGGGTTTAGTGTCAACGACCTCCATAACCGGCATATTATTCTCGGCCGAAATCGATCCTGTTTGCCATATTAAACTTCGTTGAAGATCACTCGCTCTGAGGTCCTTGCGTCAAGACCCGGATCTCCCGAACCAGAGCTGTAACCGCACATGACAGAGTACGCTCTAGAACCTCTCAGAGCTCAGATTGTCTTAGATATCTGAGAAAAGTCCGGCTGTTAGGGAATCCCCCTTCGAAAAAATGACTTGTGCTCTCCCGCAAGTATCTCCCAAATAGTGCCAGCTCCCCTCATGCTGGTTGCTGCGTCTAGTTGATCTGCGCGGTGACGGCCTCTAAGTCCTCTTTGCTGGTGGGATTTTCTCCACACACACGCGCGACTTTCCAAGACACATTTCTTCCTAATTGGTGACCCCTCCAGAACTGAAGCTATCGTGAGTTTCGGTAGAAGTTGCCTTGCAGATTGGTGTAACTGCGTCGTTGCATTGGGGTAAAGCCACCAAGAGTGATATTTGATGAAGTAAGTTTGTAAAATCGACCGGGGTTAGAGTCCGATGGCAAAATACCCAGGCTCAGCTATGTTAGAGCGTAGGCGGAGTCATGGCGTATTCCAGGTGGCGTCATGTGTAGGTATCTAATGCGTCTAGTCGGCGGCTTTGACGAGCTCTGAGGGAACTTTCAGAGTGAAGCAGTTCTGGTAATTCTGACTTTGTGTTAACCTAGGTCCTAGGTAGACGCCAAGCTCGGCTAGGGAAGACAGTAGATAAAGCACGGTGGGCGAGGCATAAATCTATGTCCTTGGAACTGGAGAAGAGGCCAACACCAATCCCATTCCGAGGATGGTATACTGTGTACCCGGATATCGTTATAGTCCAACTCCCTACCATTCTATTGGTCGAATTCAAGTTTCACGACTTCGAAGACAG